CGTCTCCGCCTTAACAAAAGAAAGAAGAGAGAAAGAAGTGAGAAAGAAGAGAGAGAGAGAGAGAGAGAGAGAGAGAGAGAGAGAGAGAGAGAGAGAGTGAGAGCTAGACATGTCATTTCTCCGCGAGCATGTTGATTGATTGAGATTTTTCGATTTTCTCCAGTATTGCCCTTTTCATTAAAGGCATCGCCGCCGCCGATTGTGCTGGTCAACAGGGCAGTTGGAGCACAGTCAAATTGTAAATTGCCTGATTTGTTCAAATTTGTACATATCTGAAGAGATTGAAGCAGCGGACAGTACATTGCAGAAATTGCATCGGTGTACAGGATTTCGAGCTTCTTGGATTGCATGCTTGTGATTGAATCTTGATTTTGCTCCGGCTTGCACTCATTGATCAGCAATTGCGACAACAGCATTATCATTGCGCTTCATTGTGCCATGGCCACCTCAGCAGCAATGTCGCCGATTGACACTGCTCAGCAATTGTTCAATGAGGCCCGTGGAGTGATTGACTCCTGGGACTCACCCAGAGTGGTCGCTTGGGTTCAGACATTGATCTCAGTGCTGATGAGAAACGTCGACCACGGTGACATTGAGCCCGTGGATCAACATTTACATGGAGATGTTGATATTGATGAGTCAGCATTGTGACAGCGAGTCTATTGATCAGCCGATGATCGCATTGGTCTGGATTCAATTGGAGCGTTCATTGTATCTTGCAACCAAATTCTACTGCAGGATTGAGAGTGATTTGTTTCGCTTCAACATTGACCCAAGCTTGATCGTCAATCAGCCGTTCATTGCCACTTCGCTGATTGCTTCCACCTCTATGCGTCCCTCATTGTCGAAGGTGGTTGGAGACCGTTGGTGGACATTGTTTGTCACCAGAAGTATCTGTGAGCAGAGTGATTGACTTGACGAAGTATTGGTTTTGTCCGGATGCGACGATTGAATACGGACTGACCAACGCATTGAGTCGCACGACAAAGGATCCATGCCACCAGTGCAGCCGAATGCATTGGCTGACCTCTGGTTGTGGATTGCTCTGCCCATTGAGTTGGCAACCAACTTGATTTCCCCACAGGGATTGAACGTGGGAAGATTCAAGTTCCATCAATTGAACTTCGCATTGGCTCCATGGACTGCATTCTTCAAGTTAATGTATTGGATTCGCCAGGGTGTGATTGAATGGACTGAGTCGAATATGGTGCTGATCCAATTGAAGATGAGAGCCACGAAACTGAGCAGCGAATTGAAATCAAGCACTGGCAAGGGCGGACAGCGCAATTGGCACAATGTGTCATACATTGGTTCCAGTTTTATGACCATTGACAACCATGCGGCCAACGCCATTGTGAACCTTGATGCGCAAGAATTGATCACATCGCTCATGTGGGAATTGCCATTCACGTGCAATTTAATCTTCCAACTGTTCCACATGGATTGCTGGATGAAAATGATGCCGAGTGTATCATTGAACTGGCACCTCCGCATTCCATTGGCCATGAGGAATGCAGTGATTGGTGAATCCTCATTGCTTACCGCTTCTGCTCAGGAAGAAGCCATTGAGGACAGTGATTCAGACCGAGTGGAACATCCTGACGGAAGAACAAGAATCATTGTCGAAGCAGGCACAACGGTGCAGATTGGCCCATCACAGCGCTCATTGCGCTCGCGAAAGGCCCAACGCAATTGATTGTGGAATTGCGAACAGACACAAGTGGATTTTTCTGCATTGACCAAGGCGAGTCAGATTGTGCACACCGAAGCAGATTTCTGCGGGATGACAGCACATTGATTGGCGAGCTTTGATTATTTGCTCCACGATTGCTTTGCAGATTCTGACAGGTGTGGACATTGCATACATGCATTGTCCAAGGAACCGTGTTAGATTCTGTTAGATTGTAGCATCAGTTCACTGCCATCATTGTACACATGTGCACCTTGCACATTGGCTCAAGATTGATTTGATTGCTCGTGAAAAGATCACTGACCGAGTGATTGCATTCTGAAGCTGATTGCATCTGCGATTGTGCATTTGATTGTTGATTGCATACAGCACTCCAAGGGAAGCTCGAGATTGTTCGTTGAATTTTTCATTCGGGGCTTAAAAGGGGTCTTACAGGGAGGCTTAAGGGGAGTTTAAGGGGGGGTTTAAAGGACACGACGATGCGGCGACGACTACAATCCTGCCAGGACTATCCGCGGAAAATCGGCCCGTGTGACTGGACGGACCAGGTGCCGGGTCTTGGCCGCCCACAAATCGATGACTCTTATCAACAACGTTTGCGAAATGCTTGGGCTTCTTTGTGCTCTCCCTTGCCATCAGGCCGCATTCTTGTCACGGTGGAAAATCCGCATGCAACCCAATACCTGGGTTGAGAGTTGGGGTTGAACAAAGAACAGCTATTTGGGGTTAAGGTTGTAACGCGTTGGAACCCAAACCCGGAGCCTGAGGTTGAAGGTTCCAGGTCAGCTTGTCGACCCGAACTCCAGGTTGCAGTTGGAGTTCACCAGAACCTCAACCTCAGGGTAAAATTGGGGTTTTATTCGAACCTTGAACCTGAGGTTCAGGGTTCGGGTTAGCCTCTGGAACCTCGAGGTTAGAGTTGGGGACCTCAGGGGATTCGGCTGAACTCGATCGCCCAGTTTCAGGTTGTTGGATTTCCTCACCGGATTGAATGTCTTGATGTTTTGGCACATGCTGAAGCTGTTGTCACTCAAATGTCTACTTGAAGCCTTCCTTGTTGGAGAGAACGTTTCATTTCTGATTTTTTACCCCTGCACCGTTTTCGTGTGGCTCTCTTCTCATGATGTGTGGTTTTTACCACTTGAGAGAGCGGGGGGAGCTGTTGGGGGGGAGGGGCAAGGACGGGCCTTCTTGAAGCCTTCTTGTTTGTTGGAGAAGACTTTCATTCCTGATTCTGAATTTGATTTGCTTTAAACCCCCCGGCAGCGTTTTCGTGTGGCTTTCTCCTTCTGATATGTGGTCTTCGCGGCTTAAGAGAGTGGGGGGGTTGGGGGGCCCCAGGAGGGGCCTACTTCAAGCCTTGCTGTTCGCTGGAGAAGACGTTTCATTTCGATTATTAATTCTTTGCTTTTTAACCCCCCCGAAGCGTTTTCGTGTGGCTCTCTCCTTCTTATGTGTGGAAAAGACGTTTTCTGTGCCACTTCGAGCCGGCCCAGCAACCTGAACCTGAGGTTGATCCGGGACGTTAGGGTTGTGGTTCGGGTCAACCCGGACCCCAACCTCAGGTTAAGACTTGGGGCTAACCCGAACCCACAACCTCAGGTTGAAGTTGTTGGACCGCCCCCCTCCCTGGAGCCGGCCCCGGGGGTTCAACCTGGTTTCAAGCACATTACAAGCAACCTAAAAGACCTAAAGCGTGCCGAATTCCACCCCTCGTGCCAGCAAGAGCCACTGTCGTGCTCAGAAAATTCATTCCTTTACCGCCTGAGGTCATGTCCATGCCGCCCACACATGGTTTGCCTGCTGGATCAGTGCCCGCTGCCCGTTATGGTACTCGACGAGGGGATGATACTTTATTCTTTCCTTTGGAAAAACTTGTCGTTTGAGAAAAATTTAGCTTGCTTGCCCAACATCTTGGTTGTGTGGTGATTGAATTTCTCATGCTGCAGCCTGTTTCCCTCTGCGAGGTGATGGGCGAGAATTTTTTCGGATTATTCTTTTTATACGCTGCTTATTTCACAATAGATGTTGGATTGTTTTAGCATGATATGATTGCGTGCAAGCGGTTTCCAGAGATAGAATAACAATGTCCTTTACTTGGTAGCCTAAACTTGTTTCGCACACTTTATGAGCATTTGCAGGCAGTGATGCAGTGCATCGGCACATCCGCATGCCACGCATTGGTTCCTGCTCGCAAGTGTTCGCTGGCCCATTGATTTTGTGCTGGTCATTGGCATGGACAGCAAGTCTTTTCTGCAAAGGATCGGCATGCAAATTGTTCTGGTGTTTCAGACGATTGCAACCATGACATTGCACAAGCGGGTTTCTCCAAATGAAATTGCAGCTCATTGTAGAGGTACCGGTTCTGATGGCTCGAGGGATGAAGCCAACACGCAGATTGTATGGAGGTCTGATTGCACATGAGCAGCCTTGCACCCTGCAGTGCAAAATGAAGGTGAGTCGATTGAGTCAGTGAGCGATTGCCGTGGTCGCTGTTTGTGATATTACGATTGTTTCGAAATTCATATGCAAATTTTTGGTGAAGTATGCATTTGTGGGCATCTCGAAATTGTGTTAGATTGTATGATTGTTTGACCACTGGCACAAGCTCCGAGCAAAAAGTACCCAGACTGAGTGATTTCATTTAGAAGCTGATTGCATCTGTGCATGAGAACATGATAGTTGCTTGGTCCATTCCGGAAGAGCTCGAAAGTGTCCGTTGAATTTTCCTTCAAGCCGCCAGGTCCCGGCCTGGCAGGTCAGGTGTCCCATACCAGCCAGTCGCAGAGAGTGACAGCGGCAATAGACCTCCACTTTGTTCCTGAAGGCCACGTCGGCCATCCCATGTTAACTGTTAAAGGTGGGCAGCACCGGTGTTCCAGGCCAGGCAGAAAGCGAAGCTCCCATGGTGCCGTGGGATGGCACGTTGAATGAGAACGCGATGCAGCTTTCTTTGAATGTTGATGAAGCCTCACATGCTGACTTCGGTGTGGTTTACGAGCTTCAGCTGTTGCGCCCAAGCTGCTTCACCATTCGCCATGCGGGCGTCCGCTTGGTGGTCAGCCCATAGTCTCACAAGTACAGGTCGTTTAGTCGCGGGCCTTTCTAGTGGGCTGGCGGCAGTTTGGTAGCCTGGATGCCCAGAGCGCAAAGGGTTCCGTGGCGCAGAGTGTGGCATGCTGGCGAGCCTTTCTAACGCAAGTGCGACGGCCACACCGAGAAAAATGGTAACAGGTTTCCGGCTTCGCTTCCAGACGGGTTTTGTGGGATTCCCTTTGATTGCCAGATCCGCGCTTATGACAACCTATCCATGGAGCGATTGAGAACTTGTAGCATTGGCGGGCCGCAGACGTTTCGCATACAAAGCTTCCGCTCCCTGACTTGTTCTCCGCACTCCTCCGCAACTTGCCGGCAGCAAAGTGACTGCAATCCGTTAGCCACGATTGGTCGCGGTCGGCCCCAAGGAGAACCGTGTAGAGACGAACACTCGAAGGAATGATTGTTTTGACGAGTGCGGTGGGAAGCTCGTGCAGTACTTAGGTTCTTCATCTCAAGCCTTACCGCCCTAAACTCTAAACGCCAAGAGCCACAGCGCAAGGCTATGATGCTGAAGTGCGCTCTCGCTCTGGTTGGCTTGGTCGCCTGTCACAGAGGGGTTTGCCAGGTGTGTTCGCGTTTTGCGTTGGGCGTTATAGCAATCTGTACAGTACCCTTATACAGTACGTCATTGTGAAGCACCGACGTTGGGTTGTGGAAGGCTTCGGGACTTGGGGGTGCTTGGGTTGTTGGGGTGGCGATGAAGAGGCTTTTCGACTCCGGGGGTTTGCAACAGTTTGAGGAGGTGCAAGAGGTGCAGAAAACCCAAGCTTGGATCAGTTCAGTTTGACACCGATGTATGGTCGCGCAGATGCCTTCAGAAGGTCTCCTTTCAACTCCTTGATGCCGGAAATAACGATTCTTCTACACTGCAGGCCCTTCGGGTATCCTCACACCCTCGGACACTGATTCTTTTGAAGGTAAGTAGAATAGATTACAATAGTTCTATAGTGAGACTTGAATCCCAAGAACCTGAGCTGAAGCCCCAGGCACAGGTCTGGGCCGGAGGCCATGGACACGAGCATTTGGCGGTGGTTCGCGTGTTCTCGACCGACGAAGAGGCGAGAGCCGGCGGGTTTCTGGGTCTCACTTTTTAGGATTAACCCTAAAACTCTAAACCCTAAAACTCTGAACCTTAACACTCTAAACCCTAAAACTCTCGACCCTAAAACCCTTAACCCTAAAACCCTAAACCCTTAACCGGTCATGCCTTACTCGTCCACATCGTGGAAGCCTGACCGAAACTTCCCAGACGATTTTCGAATCCGGCGCTCCAGAGTCACAAATGCAAGAGCTGTACACCTTGAAAAGTCTTCAGCCAGTTCTTAACGCCACGACAGCAAGCATCTCGAGTCTGGAGAGCTCATGTGCGCAGGTGATGCTGCTGAATATGAGCAAGATGGGTTGGGACCAGACCGTGCCCTGCACGAACAAGTCGAACATGAGCGCCATCGACCTCATCTTGGTGTACAGCACCCTGGCTTTGAAAAACCTCGAACCTTAAGCCCTAACTGTAGAATCTGCAGGAATTGGGTACGGCCCCCACTCAGTAACACTTGGATAATATTCATAATATAGATATATATAAGGGGCCCTCAATAGTAACCCTATTATAAACTCTTACTGTATGGGGGCCGTACCCAATGCAGGAAGAAGGAAGAGGAACTCGGGAGTAAGCGCTTTTCGGCTCGAGGAGGCGGAAGCCTCGGTTTCTGCCGGGGCCTGGGCGCTTGGGTTCTTGGGATGTTTTAGCACAGTGTGTGTCTGTGTCACTGTGTGTGTGTGTGTAAATCAACAGATGAAGAAGTACCTTGATATGTACATATATATATGTATAGATATATAGATAGATAGATGTATTTTCATATGGTATGCATCTGGAAAACAATGTAAATTTGTACATGCAATACATCAGGTTACATCACAGTACAGTACAGTAATTACAGTACAGAATTCACAGTACAGTACAGTACAGTTCATATATACATACCTACCCATACGTCCACCTGCAGTGGTCCGGCAGTGCAGCAGCCCGTATTGAAAGCGATCCTCATTTCGACATGTTGCGTGCTTTGCCTGTCCGTATGGGCGAGTTCAATGCAAGCATTGCGGCTCTTGTTACGTGAGACGTTGAGCTGGAATCCGTTCGCATGTTGTTGTCAAACTTCAAGCATTCCGCAAAGCTTGGGCACGGCCTGGAGGCCGGTGACCTCAACGCTGGGGCGACGGGGTCAATGGCAAAGCGGGCTTGTGTCAAAGGCAAACTTGTGAGAGCATAGAACCAGAATCTAGATGATTGTTTTGTCGCCGCGATACTTCGAGGAGACCATTGCCGGTTCGGATGCAAAGCCTCAATCGGTGCCTCATTTACGGCCAAAAGTACCTGCAATAGCTGCAGATGACAGAAGTTGAGTGAACCTGCGCAAGATGTGGTGCGTGTAAAAGTCATTGTCTACTACTCCTGCTGCTCCAGCTACTACGAGCACTACGACTACTACGACCACGACGACAACGACGACGACGACAACGACGACGACAACGACGACGACAACGACGACGACAACGACGACGACAACGACGGCGACGACTACCATGACCACTACTGCTACTGCTACTGCTACTGCTACTACTACTACTACTACTACCACTACGACTACTACTACTACTACTACTGCTACTACTACTACTGCTACTACTCCTACTGCTACTCGTGCTAGTGCTAGTGCTACTGCTACTGCTACTGATATTCATGACTTTTCTTCTTCCTCCTCCTCCAGTTCTGACTATGCATGGTGCGATTACGATGGCAATCTCTTAGTCTTTGAGCCTGACTATGACCATGATGGTTACTACTAAGATTATTGCCATTGCAATTACTGTCATGTTGACTGCCATTATTCCCACCGCCACTATTATTTCTGCGACTGACTGAGTATTCCTTCTGTTTCGTGAATGGGGGCAGTGTTACACCCTGAACCCTAAACTGAGGCAAGGACCTGTCCGGCAACTCTATGGCCAACGAGGTCGAATTGGGCAACCTTTGGTGAGCTAAGCAGTCACAACTGCGCAAGGAGGGCCCTGTACACCAAGACTGGAGCTAGCTTGATTCGTACCCTACACCCTCAACCCCAAAACCATAAATCCCTAGAGCCTAAACCCCTAAACCCCTAAACAACAAATCGTCTACAAGTCTGGGATTGTCAGAATGTCTCACGAGGGCCCTGGGCCAGGGCTCGGCGGCCAAGGCTTACTGACTGCCATGAAAAAGGACCACTTGTAGGCATCACCCATCTGGACGATTTACGTTATGTTCCAATTCGCCCCTCTCCCCTTTTTCGAGGCTTTTCTAGTGGTTGATTGGCTTACTTGCTGGAATTTCCGGTTATTACCTCCCGCCGCTTGCTTTCGCCTTCTCCGCTTGCTGTGCTTCTTCCATGCAAAGTCATTGAGATCACTAAGATTTCAGACATATCCCGATGGCCGAGTTCGTGACTTGTGCATGGTTGATGTAACGACTCCTTCATTGCTTCGAGACAGTATCTCTCGCCGTTCTGGCTGTTGTCCATCCGTCGCTTTTCATGAAGTTGGTGGTGCGACGCCACCTCGACCGGTCAACTCGCCTCTTAGCCTTTCGTTCGTTTCGGTTCTGCGAAGCTTGCAAAGCGGTTGATAGGTCGTGATGGACATGGTGAACGGCTTCCAGATGAAGATGGACATGGACGCCCGGTTTCAAGAATCCAGAGCCGTCCCAGCCGTCCTTCGGGCCCAAAGCCCCAAGCCGGCGCAGCACAGGAGATGTATGGCTCAACGAATGTGACAATGGGCACGATGTACGACTGGATGGAGTGCTTCTCGCCACCTGGCCCCCTTTTTTCATCCCTCTTCTGGCTCATGAGCTGCCATGTTATCACTGGCAGTGCTGAGGTTTCCGGTTCCTTGTGTTAGGGCATGGGGCTTACTGTCTGGGTCTTCACTGACTCCGGCATGCTTGCTTGAGCACTTGCCAGAAGATCAAAGCAGTCAAGCCCTGGGCCAAATGCAGCAGACCGGAAAGCTGTCATCACGACAAACACAAGGGAAGCTGTTGTCATATCCATCGCTGAAAGTCCCGTGGTTCAGGAACTGAGCCTTTCGGACTGCGATGCCATACTCTCATAGAAGCTCCGTGTATCTCAGAAGTCGTTGCTCCGGCAACGGGGCTGCCGCTAGTTTTTGTGCGCCGCCCAGGGCCATTAAGAGCATGTCGGCCATGCTGAACCCGGAGCAAGACGTCTACGACAGCAATGGCTACACCACGAACAAGCACTGGGTCTCTGGCTGCCACCTCAGACTGACGGACTAGATGCTATTTCCATTTTGTGCACAACTTGCTCTGCACATATGGGTAGCATGTGTAGGGACACAGCCTAGGCCCCAACCATGTTTTCAAGAAGATCTTGGATGCCATGTACATGGGCGAGTACATGGACATGTACGACTCCTTCTTCCTCATGGAGCTGCAGAAATTTCGAACATCTCAAGTGAAGGTTTCTGGAATTCTAAATTCAGTGCTACATTGTCTCAGAATATGACACGAGACAGGGCAGGCGCAGACGGTTCGGTTGCTGTGAAGAGTATCTGACCATGCAACTATCAGCATCTCATGCAGCATTCTTCGTGTTGTGGTCCGACTGACTGCTAGGATGCAAATGCTTTTGGCCAAACAAGGCTTGATTGATCTTGATGGGTTATCATTTTGGTGAGGCTGTGAGTGATGAGGAAGTTCCAGGAAGACTTGCGGCCACCGCAACGTCCTGTGTTCCTCGCTCACTCGCAACGCTTCATCCTTCTTATCATTATTGTTATTATTATTGTTCTTATTATTGTTATTGTTATTGTTATTATTATTGTTATCATATATTATTTAGTGAAGTTGCCAGGAGATGGATGCTGTCCCCATCAAGGACAATTGGCTCGTCCAATTCGAGACGGAGGCGGGTTAAGGGTTTGGGGTTTAGGTTTCCGAAACAAGCAGGGCGGAAGGGTTGAACTAGCGGCAGCATGGGCATCGACTGCACAGCCATAGAGCATGTCCTTGCAGTGATGCCCCGGAAGGATTTTAGGGAAGATCTCTGAAAAGCCTGGGAGCATAAACCCCTGGGCTCGCAGAGGCGCACGAAGTTCACGACAGCGACCAGGCGGTGCGTGGCAGCCAGTACCTAGGCCCGCCGCCGCCCCGCGGGGGGGGGTCCTTCCGGAAATTGGGCCTTGTGCTCGTTTTTGCTAAGCCCCCCCCCCTAAATAGGCCCTTATATAAAACCCTTATAAAAGGCCCTAAAACCGCCCTAAACGCCGTCAGAGCCTCGAAGCTCCGACTTCGGAGGCGACAAGTGGGATCTCTTCAAGCAGATGATGCCCGTGTACTTGGTCGAGCACATCAACGGCAACGCCATCTACAATCTGAAGAACAGCTGGACCAAGCCCCTGGAGCAGAAATGCCCCTGACTTTCCCTTTCCCCCTTTATTAGTGAACTTTTTGTGTTCCGAAGTTCCTGTGCTCCCGTGTTCCCGCTTGTTGAGGCGGCCTTGCGGCTCTTTCCAGAGATCCTTGCTGCTCTGAAATCCTTGCGGCTCAGGTACTTGTACCAGGCCTTCACGATGGCCGGGGATGCGTCGATGATGGAAGAGATGGCCTTCGACGTGGCTTTCGCTCCCCGGCATCGGGAACAGGCTCCCCAGAATCCCTAAACTCCCCCCACACCCTACCGCACGCCCTGAAGAATTAAAGCCCTAAACCCACCAGAAGCCTGGGAGACCTGCGCCCCCTCCGCCACCCCCCCGGCGCCACGCCACCGAACCCGCACGCTTGGAAGACCCAGGCCATGATCACCATGGCCGCGGAGTCGGGGGATCCGATGCAGCTTCGGTGATTTTTGCCGGTTTAGGGTTTAGGGATAGGGTTTAGGGTTCGGGTTTACTCCTTTAGAGTTGTGGGAATCTTCTTCTTCGGCGGCAGTTGCAGGTCGTTTAATCGGGCGGAACTGGCCCAAAACCCTGAAGCACAAGCATTAAGATGTGGATTTCGGATGTTTTGGGGGAGACTCCTGACTTCGAGGCGCAATTCGTTGGGTCTGTGGATTTGGGCTCACAGACTTCAGCACTTATATGATGTGCCGCAATGGTAGTCCCAGAGGTGTTCGGCATCCCAGCCGTGAAGAGCAGACCAGGACGACTGCACCCCTGATAGAGAGAACAGGAGCACTCAGCAGGAAAGTAGATCCCTTAATTTGGGGCCCTCCACTACTAAGAGTACTTTATAGGAACCCCCATTAAGGGATCTACATTTTGGATCCTCCCTTCGGCAGGAAGAGGAGTCAGGACTGGCCCTGCCCTGAGCAGTTTTGATGCTCTCGGTGACTGCACGGGGGCCTGACCCTAAGGCCCAAAACCCCAACAGCCCTGAGCCCTTAACCTGCTTATCAGAGTGCTAGGACTGGGGGGTTCGTGGTGTTTTATTCCAAGGTATGCTGCCAACTGGACGGGCAACAATATGACCTACAACACGCACACGATGTTGGTGGGAAACTATGTCCGCGACTCAGGTCTAGGACCGCGGCTCGCACTGGCTTCGGGTCTTTCGGTTCTTCTGCCCAGGCTACCCAGGCTAGAAGGCGGGGGGGGCCGGGCCGGAAAGCGGCTGAGAAAAGAAAAGGCCAACACCCTCCTGAACACGAGCTTCGAGTTCGGCAGCTACATCCGTCACGGCTCTTCCAAGAATCTCTTCGAGAACTTGGATGCCTTGGCCCCAGCCATGCCTTGCGCCTTCCTTGCTTTGCCGACATGAAGCGAATCAAACGCGTGCCCTCCGCAATCGGCTTAAGGACGACAAGGTCACCTTGGGAGTGGCATATTTCGATCATCAGGGCCACTTCATGGAGACTGCCGTGGCCCAAGAGGGCTTAAGGGTGAAGGGGTTGATTTATCTTAGGGTTCGGGGTTTCTAGAGCCTGCGTGTTTGGGATCCACTTTCTGCCTCAGCGTTGGTTTGGTTGCTCAGGGTTTGGGGTTCGCTGCCTCTGTCTCTCCCTCTCTTTGCTCTCACTCGCCATCTGCCTCTGTGTCTTTGTTTACGTCGTTGTTTTTCTGAACTTGGTCAACAGGCAGGCGGCAGGGAGCTTCCTTTCGCACATCTCAACAGCCAGGTCCCCACTCACCACCCCTTCAAGAAGATCCTGGGCATCACCTACTTCGACCAGCCGAACAGCACGCAGACCATCAGTGCTCCTGGAGGCCAGCTGTCAACCCTGAAGCGCTCATACATTAACTATCTTGCATGGTTGCGCACGTTTCTAAACACATGGACTTAGGGCCACAACCTGAAAAAATAGAGCCCCGGTGACCTCGAGGGCCTAGCAGCGTTTCCAAACAAAGTGTGACCGAGGCGATGTCACCATGATGATGAAGCCGGCCATGTATGAGCCCTATTTCCATCTCTGTGAGATTGCCGAGCTGGTGGACACCGACTGGTTCGTACGAGTCCCAGAGCGGTTTACCAGCGGAATAGGGTTCTCAGGAGGCGAGAGCTTCTGCCTCTGAATGCAGAGGCCCTTGTCTCAAAGTTCTTGAGAAGCTGGAGCCTGTGACGAACTTACCAGATCCCTAAACTCTGGTCCCTTTACCGCTTAACCCCAACACTCTAAACCTCAACCCTACACCCAGGCCCTCACGGACAACTACCACATTGTGAAGGCTCCGGTGAGCGTCCTCATGGACGACGAGATGCTGGGCTTGATGAAAGAGGCTCTTTTTTGTTTTAAGTTTTTAGGTATATAAACAGAAGCATATATATGTCAATATACATACAGAAGTATATACCTAGATAATAACATACCCAAGACCCCATTCGCATCATCAAGGCTCCGATATTCCACATGAAGACCCAGAAGCGGAACCTACGGCCAATTGTAGTCTTTCGCTGGGAGGTCTTCCTTAATCCTAAAGGCTTGGACGAGACTCCCATATTCCGACCAGGGCTGATGTCAGTCACTATTAGCAGAGCTGCACTAATGAAGCCCCGAGAGCCGCCAGAATCCCAAGCCCTGAAAGACCCCTCAAAAGCGCGGAGTTCATCTACAATGCCGTGCAGACGCGAACGTTGTAGAGCCCTATAGAAGCACCGGTCAGGTCCAGCCTAAGCCCGCGGTTCCCCATACCTTGAACCTTAAATCGTGCCATCCCAGTAACAAGCCGGTGCTGCCCTACGTGCTGAAGGACTCCAAGTGCCCGGCTTGCAAGAGAGTTGATGCCAATTCCCCTTTTTGCAGTCTCTATGTCGTGGACGTCTTACTTAAATCCTGAGCCCTGAACCCAGAACGCTAAACCCTGAACCCTAAACCCCGAATCGCTTGAACCCCTAAGCCCCAAAGGCTTTGAGGGTTTTTCTTCTGGGGCCATGCGGATACGCCAGCTGGACCTGCCTCACGGAGCTCTGCACAGCATCAAAAAGCACCCTAAGCCGTAAACACACCACAAGCCAAAAGCCCAGAACGCTAATCGCTACCCTAAACCCTGAACCCTAAACCCTAAACCCTAAATCCATAAACCCAAAGCCCTAATCCCTGAGCCTAAACGCGGTCACAGCTCACCTACCCAAATAAGCCCTTATGCCCCCATGGCCTAGTCAGATCCTCAGCTTCAATTTCTGACTCCTATGGGGGGGGCGGTGGGCGGAGGGAGGGTTTAGAGGGTTTAGGGTTCAGGGATAGCAGACATGTTTACGCACTTCTTGTACCTTATCTAAGCCAGTGCTGCCCGTTTTTGCAGTCAGCGTTTTCATGTGCTTGTTGTCTGGGAGCGCGGGCTGCTGACAAGCAAGTTCACGATTGCAAAATGCATGCTGGCATGCAGAGCGAAATCGGTAGGGCAGCAATGGCCGCACCAGGTAAACCCAAACCCCAAACCTTTATCCCGAATGCCTACGCCCTAAAACTTACCTTTGGTTGGTAGGGAATGGAAGAATGGTAGTAATAGTAGTTATATGGTAGTAATATGATAGTAATATGGTAATAATATGGTAGTAATAGTACCCCGTTCCTCCATTCCCTACTAGCCAAAGGTAAGACAAACGCTGAACCTTTTTGTTTCAGCCGGAGGCCTCCGAGCCTCTAAGTAGACTTTGGAGGTACTGCGGTGAGCGCCCCAACTGCAAGGCTTCTATGGAGCAGGCAAGGGTTACGGGTTGAAGGTCTTCAGGGCCTGCTTTTTTAATTTTTGAGGGTGAAGGGTTTACGGGCTGGGTGAGTGTTGGGTTGTTTGGGTACCTCGCTGGTTGATGTGAGAGGTTTCCGGATTTCCGATTTTGCATTTGAGGCTCAGGGTTTTGGGGCTAAAGGTTTGGATGCTTATGCACCTAGAACTTGGGTTTTCTGGTGTTTGCTAACGTTGGTGTTTTCTACATTGTTGGAGTGGTAGGAGGCTCGTGCAGGCTTGTTGTTGAGTCAAGTTTCGGCAGAGTTGCAATGCAAGCTCAAAGCATGTGCACATTTTGGGCCCTCGCATCGATGGTTCAAGGGTTTAGAGCTCGATCTAGGTTTTGTGACGTTTTGGTCCTGTGGTGTTTAGGGTTGGTCTGTGTGGCAGTAGCCCACCCTAGTGTGGTGTCATGAGGGGATGCGTGGGCAGAGCTTTCGGTCTCCCTGTAAGACGGTCGCTGGAGTTCGAGGTCTTGCATGATTTGATCCTAGCTGCGGTTTAGGGTTTAGGGTTTCATGATTTGACGGTAGGCAGAAGATTTGTTCAGCATCAACCTGAAGTATCACCACGACAAGTACGAGGTGCTGTACAAGACGGTTCTCGTGGCTGCAGTGGAAGGGAAACCCCAGTGAAATCTTTCATAGCCGACCAGGGGTTCTGCGGTGATATGTACATATATAATGTGTATATATATATAGAGACATACGCGTAAGCCCATGACAGATATGCATATATATATATATATATACACATGCATATATGTAGATGATGTATATGTATATGTATAGGTATAGGTATTAGTATAGGTATAAGTATGTACATGTCTTTGGTTTTGTATTTGCATATGCATATGTATATGTGTATGGATATGTATATCGATATGTATATCACTATCTATGTCTGTCTGTGTTTATATATATATATATATGTATGTATGTACATGTGTGATATATGCATATTATATATACCTATCTAACAGGTTTTTTTTACATTCGTTCATTTGTATGATACCCTGCACGTTTGAGAAAGCTGACATCTTCCCTTAAAGTCTCAAAGCTACTTTGAAACCCAGAAGGGCACCTCTTTCAACCATCTTCTTCAAGAAGTAATGTCGAAGTCCGAAAGCCCTCCTGCAAGTGGACAGCCAACATGAACGGTGACATGAATGCCAGCACGTCACTTCCACTGTGCTGGCATGTGCTGGCAGCTTTTGCCGACATGCATTGGAAACTTGGATACGTTTGTAGCACAAAAGCTCCCCCAGAGGCTGGCATGGATGCCGCGAGCATGGATGTGCTGATTGTATCACCCGAACCTCAGATTAAGCCCCAAAGCCCCAGAAAGCCCAGCAACCCGTAAGCCGTGACCCTCGCAAAGAAAACTCTAAACCATCTTAAGATCTGAAGCAGACGAAGAGCAGACCTAAAGCCAAAATCATCCAAGAACATACAAGTCAAATCCCTGAAAGCCCAGCAACCCGTAAGCCGTGACCCTCGCAAAGAAAACTCTAAACCATCTTAAGATCTGAAGCAGACGAAGAGCAGACCTAAAGCCAAAATCATCCAAGAACATACAAGTCAAATAGTTCTCCAGACCCCGCCTGGCGAAAAAAGCCGCAGCCCAGAATGACGCCAAAATGTTCTGCGCTGACTGGGTCACGGCCACCGAGGGAAAGGGCTGGGGCGACCTGGCTGCTACCAGGGAGATATATGTTTGTACCTCTCTCTCTCTCTATAAATATGTTTTTAATTCCCGAAAGCGTCGCGAAGGGTTCTTCCGTGCGGAGCCGGGTAGACAAGTACATAGATGACAAACATAGAATCGAGCACATGACCTTATGACTTGACACTTGAGTCTACGACTCTATGACCCTATATGACTCTATGACTCTATGACTCTAAGACCGAACTTGACTACTCTTGACTACTCTATGACTCTATGACTCTATGAACTTGAGAACTCTGTGACTTACTCACTTGACTACTCTATGACTCTGTGACTTACTCTGTGACTTACTCTGTGACTTACTCTGTGACTTACTCTTGACTTACTCTGTGACTTACTCTATGACTTACTCTCTGACTTACTCTCTGACTTACTCTCTGACTTACTCTCTGACTTACTCTCTACCTCTCTACATACTCTCTACATCTCGTGACTTACTCTTGACTTACTCTGTGACTTACTCTGTGACTTACTCTCTGACTTACTCTCTGACTTACTCTCTGACTGACTCTCTGACTTACTCTCTACCTCCCTACATACTCTCTACATCTCGGTATCTAAATCTCTCTTCTAAAGCCAGGGGTGGCACCGTCGTCGTCCATCGGGAATGCAACCCTTCACAGGGATTGGCCACCTCGAGCGCCCAAACGCTAGGTAAAGTTACACATTTTAGGCGCCCGGGTGAACCCTTCACAGGGATTGGCCACCTCGAGCGCCCAAACGCTAGGTAAAGTTACACATTTTGCGGTGCCCGCGCAACCCTTCACAGGGATTGGCTTGGTCGAGCGCCCAAACGCTAGGTAAAGTTACACATTTTGCGGTGCCCGCGCAACCCTTCACAGGGATTGGCTTGGTCGAGCGCCCAAACGCTAGGTAAAGTTACACATTTTTCGCGCGCCGTGAACCATTCACAGGGATTCGCCTCCTCGGGCGTTCAAACGCGAGGTAAAGTTACACATTTTTCGGGCGCCGCGCAACCCTTCACAGGGATTCGCCTCCTCGGGCGTTCAAACGCGAGGTAAAGTTAGACATTTTTTTAACTTAATAGGCGCGCCGCGCAACCCTTCACAGGGATTGGCATGGTCGAGCGCCCAAACGCGAGGTAAAGTTATTACTTTTGATGCGCTTCGAAGCGCAATTTGCAACCGTTCACAGGGATTGGCGTGGTCGAATGCACGAACTTGCAACCCTTCACACAGATTGGCATGCTCGAGTGCGCGAACGCGAGGTAAAGTTGCTACTTTGAAGCGCTTTTAGGTGCATTGAGGTGCAATTTGCAACCCTTCACAGGGATTGGCATTTTGCAACCCTTCACAGGGATTGGCGTGGTCGAACGCACGAACGCTAGATAAAGTTGCATTTTTTATGTGCATTGAGATGAATTTTGCAACCCTTCACAGGGATTGGCGTGGTCGAACGCACGAACGCGAGGTAAAGTTGCATTTTTTATGTGCATTGAGATGAATTTTGCAGCCCTTCACAGAGATTGGCGTTGTCGAGTGTTCGAACGCGAGGTAAAGTTAACACTTTTGCTGCGCATGAAGGTGTAGTAGTAATAGTAGTAATATAGTAGTAGTAGTAGTGGTAGCAGTAGTAGTAGTAGTAGGAGTAGTAGTAGTAGTAGTAGGAGTAGTAGTAGTAGTAGTAGTAGTAGTAGTAATAGTAGTAATAGTAGTAATAGTAGTAAGAGTAGTAAGAGTAGTAATAGTAATAGTAGTAATAAAACAGTAGTAATAGTAGTATTAGACATAGTACCATGGCGTTGCCGCCACAGCAGCTGAATGGTCTGCGAGAGGGTTTGGCGAGCACGGTGAAACCTGGCTCCGTGCGGAGCTTCGGGAACTAACTACCAGGCAGTTGTGTGGGCTTGCTGCCGCAACAGGCGTGCCGCAGCGCTCGTCCTAGCGCACTCTGTCCAAGCTGGAATTGGTATAAGCTCTGTCATAGTGCATTGTCGAGGAGGCGGCTTCATGGGGAATCGATGTCGTTGATCATTGTCTGTGTCAATTTGTAATATAGTGAAGCGTCAGTGTCGTGGCCAGGTTAGATGTTTCGTGCTATCACGTGAAGTTTTTGCTTTCAGGTCGATGTTGTTGCTGCGTCGGAGCAAAGCTGCAGGAGCTGCGAAAGGGCTGTGCCGAGCACGGCGAAGCTTGGCTCCGCGACGAGCTCGGGAAGCGGACTCGCGATTAGTTGTGTGGTCGTGCCGCAGCGCTCGTCCTGGCGCACTCTGTCCAAGCTGGAACTGGTATAAGCTCTATCATGGTGCATTGTTGAGGAGGAGGCTTCATGGGGAATCGATGTCGGTGATCATTGTCTGCGTCAGTTTGTCTTGCAGTGAGGCGTCAGTGTCGTGGCCAGGTTAGATGTTTCGTGCTTTCACGTGAAGTTTTTGCTGTCAGGTCGATGCTGTTGCTGCGTCGGAGCAAAAGTTGCAGGAGCTGCGAGAGAGCTGTGCCGAGCACGGCGAAGCCTGGCTCCGCGACGAGCTCGGGAAGCGGACTCGCGATCAGTTGCGTGGGCTCGCTGTCGCTGCGGATGCGCAGCAGAATATCGCGGCGCATTGCCGAGCAGGACGCTTCAAGGGGAATCGCTGTCGTTGATCACTGCCTGCGTGAGTCAGTTTGCAGTGCAATGAGGCGTTGCCGGTGCCTGCTCGATGACTTATGGCTCGGAATCTCTACGTTGATTATAGAGGCCTTCTCACTGCACATGTATGACCCGCATGCTTTGCTCGAAAGGAGAAATATCTTGCAGCATCTTACCATACTGAGGACTGTTCTTTACCTGCCTCGCTCTGCTCGAAAAGGAAAATGCGTTGTAGCATCTCACCATACTTAGGACGGTTCTTTGCCTGACTAGACACTGTCTTGCGAAAGGGCCGGCCTGCGAGAGGGCTCGTCCTGGCGCACGCTATCCAAGCTGGAATTGGTATAAGCTCTATCACAGTGCATTGTCGAGGAGGAGGCTTCATGGGGAATCGATGTCGTTGATCATTGTCTGTGTCAATTTGTAGTATAGTGAAGCGTCAGTATCGTGGCCAGGTTAGATGCTTCGTGCTTTCACGTGAAGTCTTTGCTGTCAGGTCGATGCTGTTGCTGCGTCGGAGCAAAAGCTGCAGGAGCTGCGAGAGGGCTGTGCCGAGCACGGCGAAGCCTGGCTCCGCGACGAGCTCGGGAAGCGGACTCACGATCAGCCGTGCGGGCTCGCTGTCGCTGGCGGATGCGCAGCAGAAGTCAGCCGGGCGCAAATTTTCCAAATCGGAGTTGTTGGAAGCTCTATCGCGGCGCATTGCCGAGCAGGACGCTTCATTGGGAATCGCCGCCGTTGGTCACTGCCTGCGTGAGTCAGTGTGTGTTGCAATGAGGCGTCGCCGGTGCCTGCTCGATGACTTATTCAGGCTCGGAATCTCTACGTCGATTGCAGAGGCTTTCTCATTGCACATGTATGACCCGCATGCTTTACTCGAAGGGATGAACATGTTGCAGCATCTTACCATACTGAGGACTCTTCTTTACCTGCCTCGATCGAATCTCTACCGTCTTCCCTGCTGGATCAGCTCCAACCAAGGATACCGCAGCACTATAATACGATCACCGACCACCGGACCTGGCTGCACTGAAACAACTTGACACCGTGACTCTATAGATACTTATTCACCTGACTTATGCACCTGACTCTATGCACTTCGCCGTATGCAGTTGACTTCATATACTTACCTTAAGTTTATACACTGCTTCGACAGCTTTGACAACATCGACTGAGAAACGCAGAGTAAAACATGTAGAGACAAGTTCATAGTTTCAAAAATATCGATCTCGGCATTGCCATATACTTCATAATTAGATGCACTTCGCGCTATGACTCTATAATGCTATGCACTGGATTCTATAACGTAGCGCTAAACTCTTCGCTAATGATGCTTTCGGGCCAAGTGTCTTCTAGTATGCATATATACACATGCGTTTATATGGGGTTGTTTTCCTGGGGGCCTAGGATTTCGGACTCCAGAGTTGAGGGTTTGATCAGTTGCTGGCGCTTGCTGACACCGGCGAAACGAGACCCGTCTAGCAGTGTCATGATCAGTTTGCAGGAGATCTATAAGGGTTTGCGGTTAAGGGTTTGCGGTCGCAGGGTTGGGTCTTCAAATTTTCTCTGCTGATTTCAGGTACTGCTTGTCCAGGCCTTCAGGCCTTGTACTTACTAAGCATCTCAGCGAAGTATTGAATCTTTAGGGGAAGTTCTTAGAGAGTGGACTCACGTTACGAGGTGCATGGGTTCGTTTTACCAGCAGTTACTATCACAAGTTCTAATGCCTGTACTGCTGGCACTGGTACTACTACTACTACTACTACTACTCCTGCTACTACTACTACTACTACTACTACTGCTACTGCTACTGCTACTACTACTACTACTACTACTACTACTACTACAGCAGGTACTACAGGTACTACAGGTACTACTACTACTACTACTACAACAACTACTACTACTACTACGACGACGACCACTTAGAGACCCGGTTCAGGAGCATGTACCTGAGACGCCAGATCCTGTAGCGTCACCTTATCCCAAGGCCTCAACCCCTAAACCCCAAGCCTAAATCCACAATCCTTAACCCGAAACCCTAGACCCCAAAACCGTAGTTTCAACGCAGTCTGTACGATAACATATTCCGAATCAACAACGCGTCGAAATTAGTGAAGGGTGGAGCTAAGGCAACTGCTCCCTGGCTTTCGGCCCGACTGCCGATGCCCGGATGCAAGAACTTTGCAGCTTCGGAGTTTTTGGGGCTTTAGGCTCCTTAGGGTTTTGGGATTCAGGGTTATCGGGTTCGGTCCTTTGTTGATGTTCAGGTCTGCCTAGCCCTGGCCTTCCAAAGTTTCCTCGGGTTGCAGCTCTGTGAACCGAAGCGCCGGGTCTCCAAAGACCTTCTGCTCGAAGTCATATTGGGACAGGTGACTGGACGGTGGGGTTGGTCTGTGTTCTGGCTCATGGTAATTTTCTCTTCCACAGGGAGGTGGATCAAAACCGTTATCGCCCATGGTGGAACCAAGAGCAACTCCGCGAAAGAAGCACTTCCTTTCAGTGACCTCGAGGATGACTACATTGCTTGGAAGATCAGTTCGCCAAACTACAACATCTCTGATGATTTCACCCCGAAGGACAAGGCACCGGTCCTCGGCCTCTCATGTGGGAGTTTCCGAAAATTAGGGGGGGACCTGGGTCCGTATAGTACGGATCCTACTATTTCGGGTACTATCTTATGGTTCCCCATTTCCGAACCCGGTTTTAAAGCCAGGCGACTCGAAGCACCTCTAAAGCACAGGAAGCCTAGCTCACCGGCTTCGGGGCGTCAGGTCGCGATTTTCACTGCTCGATAGGTTGAGCAGTCTATGGGGCTTAGGGTTTTGGGTTTAGTTTGCATTTTCTGTTTGCGTGGCTTCACGAGCTGAAGACTTCCCTCTATGACGGCCAAATCCACGACCTTATGCGATAATAAAGGTTGCCGCGGAGGCTGGCGGCTGGTAAACAGTTAGTGCTTGCGATAAGCGAAGAGTGGTTGGATTGTGCAAATCGCTTCCAAACATTCCAAAAGAAACAGTCTTCAGTCTAAATCGGTAACGTCAAGGGGGAGAATGCAGCAACAAAAGGGTTTCAAGGCAATGTCTTGGATGACACGAAGGGCAAGCCCATGTGATGAAAAGGCATTTTTAAGGCTTCGAAGAGCCAGGTTACGTTGCATCGTCACCATCAGAATCACCATCATCACCATCACCACCATCATCATCACCATCATCACCACCATCATCACCACCATCATCATCACCATCAGCATCACCATCTCGTCATTCATCGCCATCACCATCATTATCACCATCACCGTCATCGCCACCATCACCATCATCACCATCATCATCATCATCATCAACATCGCCGGCAGCATCATCGTCATCATCAACGTCATCACCTTCGTCACCATCATGACCAGCATGACCATCATCACCAGCATCAACAGCATCGCCATCATCGCCGTCATCACCACCGTCATCACCGTCATCACCATCACCATCATCATCATGATTATCATTATCACCAGCATCACCATCATCACCACCATCATCATCATCATGATCATTATCATTATCATAAACACCAGCATCACGATCACCACCCCCGTCAGCATCACATGAGCATCAGCATCAGCATCAGCTTCAGCATCACCAGCTCCAGCACCAGCGCCAGCACCAGCATCATGTGCCTTTGTTAGTAGTACAACTGCTGTAGTGTGGCAACTATCACCAATCATGCTACAATTAACATGCCTTAATGCATGAAGAAGAAGAAGTTGTTTTGCTGTTAGTGTCCTTATGTTGATGACCACCAGCATCATTGTCATGGTCATCGTCGTCATCATTGTCATCATCGTCATCGTCATCATCATCATCATCACGGCCTCGCTTGCAACCAATATTGCACCCACAGCTCATCATCAACAACAGCGGCGGTAACAACCCCACCCCACCAAAGCTCTTATCCGCCTATTTATCAGCCCTAAATCGTGGACGGCAGACGCGTTACGGATGGCGAGCCTGGACCAGCTTGTGGAACCCGGCCCCGGTCGATGACCGCAACTGCGACACCACGCTCTACGGTGTGAAGGAGGGCACGAGTTCAGGGCGCTGAGCGGATTCTGATGTTTCAGGAATTACTTTATCCAGCTGCGAAGTGTTTATCTAAGAGCTCGGGTCAACTTCAAAACGCTCCGCAGGGTAGACGAAGGACGGCCGCTTTCGGGGGGACAGCGCCGATTCACAATGGTCTCACGCGTATTCTGATGGCTGCATCTGTTAGGTTTGGATAGGAAACGTGTCGATTGCAGGAGTACCTGGAGACCCTCGGAAACATTTCCACCTGTGCTGTCGACTACGTCGCATGGCTACTACAAAGCGGATTCGAACTTTTGGGGGCTAGGGTTTCGATCTTTTACAACACGGTTTGAGATTTGAATACGGGATGGTATACGAAAGCCTGCTATGGAATACAAGAATATGTATGTGCATTGGAGGGACATGCACACATATATGTATCTACATGTAGGCCTGTATAACTATGCCTCTCTCTCTCTCTCTCTCAGAGGCGGAGAGGGAGACAGCGAGAGAAAGACAGACACAGAGGGAAAGGGAGAGAGCGAGAGAGGCAGGGAGGGAGGGAGCGAGCGAGATAAGATGGAATGCAGTGGCTACTAGGAGTCGCCAGTGCTGGCCGCATTATATTATAGTACCCTTAACCTTATAGATCCCTGAGAGTATCCCTTATAGACCCCTTTTAAAGGAATTTTCAACTTAGCCTTGAGCCCTCTCCCACAGCCTTCGGCCCTGTGCCCCTGGAGGGCCGGGACCCTTGCTTTGCTGAAGGTTTGTGCATGGGACTTGACTTGTGGTTTGGGTTCGTGGCGGCTTAGGATTGTAGAGATGTTCCGGTCCGATAGTATTTTCTTGGTTGGAGCGGCTTCGAGTTTCAGAGGTTGCAAATTAGGGGTTCAAGGTTCAATAGCTCAAACCCTGAATCTCTTAACCCGCAACCCTTAATCATTAAGGACAAACCCCCAACCTAAACCCCAAACCCCAGGGCCTAAATCCGGATAAGGTGGAGAACGCCACGGCCTGCACGGCAGACCCACATTGCATGTGGAGGCTGGTGGCAAATAGTAGAAGAGGGGCGGGTTCAGGCTAGGGTTCAGGGTTCAGAACTTTAGGGTTGAGGGTTGAGGGTCCTGTGAAGGATTTCAGCTCGTGCAGCATCCACGATCTTGAGAAGCCCCAGCCCGACCCGAATTACAGACCAGAACTGCCCAAGGTATCTTCCGTCCTAAACACCAGTCAGTTATAAGCCTACAGTCCCCTTCCTGGCGGCCCGAGGCTACATTTTGAATTCGATTGGGCATGTTTTGAGTTTGAAAGCACAAGGCTTGGCTGCGAGCACCTTTCTGGACGCTGCATCCCCAAGCATGTCTAACCTGTTCGCTCAACCACGAAACATCCATTCAAAGCCCCAAGTTGTGACTATCAGTCTCCACTCTCCGGCTGTGCTCAGAAAGCCTAGGCTCACCCTAAAGCCTAAACCCGCAAGCCTAAACCCTGAAACCTAAAGCCGAAGCCGGAAAGCATAAACCCTAAACTTACCTTTGGTTAGTAGGGAATGGAAGACTGGTACCAGTTGTAGCTATACTTGTACCCCATTCCTCCATTCCCTACTAACCAAAGGTAAGAAAACCCTAAACCCTAAACTCAATAGATCCCTTTAAGGAGCCCTATAGATCCCTTTAAGGAGCCCTATAGATCCCTTTAAGGGGCCCTATAGATCCCTATAAGGAGCTGTAGATCCTTATAAGGAACCCTATAGATCCCTTTAAGGGGCTTTGCCAGGCCCATGTTCGAGTCCGGCGTTTGCCTGCTGGACCCGAAGAGTGTGGCGCCCAACTTCAGTTGGCTCATGGGGACTGCGTTTGAAGTTTTGGTAAAAGAACCCAAGCCCTGGTCAAAAACACCCCAAGCCCTGGTAATAAAAGAACCCCAAGCCCTGGGAACGCGAAGCCCTGAAATCTCTGAAGCTGAAGCCCGAAATCCTAAACGCAGGGTCAAGCCGCATCAAACCAAATACCGAGACACCTGAAGCTCACCTGGGTGGTTATCAAAATTATGGTACCCTTTTTGGGTACCTTAAATATCAGGTACCGTACTATATACGGGACCCAAAAAGAGACCCTAATATTGACAACCACCTCCCTAGAAGTTCAGTGCTTTTTTGGGGGTCGCCTCTCAGGTTGCCATTGCTGTGGGGTATTTCGGTTCGGGCTCTGGGACCCAAATCGCCCCGAGGCCCAGTACTCAGAGGATCATGGGACTTAGTAACTAGGGTTATAAGTTAGGTAACTATACTTACAACCCCAATTATTGGTACTTACAACCTTACTTACTAAATCCCATGATCCTCCAAGTATCGGGCACCTGAAGCCATGGTACCCCTGGTGCTTTTGGGCAGCCATGAACTCTACGTCCTCCCTCCCTCTTGATCTTACCCATTCCTCCATTCCCTACTAACCCAAGGTAAGTAATCTGTAAAGTCCAAAGCCTTCAAGTCCGGAGCCATGAATCCTGAACCCCAAAATCCTGAAACCCTAGAGCCTCCAAGCCTAGATCTTGTTTACACAAATGCACCAAATTTGATGTGAGGCGTGATGCCCACCACCACGGCAGCCTCGCCCAGAATTTCAGACCCAGGGGTCTCCAGATTTCGGGGTTTCGGGGTTGCGGGTTTCGGGGTCAGGGGTTCAGTGAAGATTTTGGGGTTTAGGGGTTGCAGGGGTTAGTGGTTAGTGGTTTAGGGGATTTTGGCTTTGGCTTTGTCATGCTGGTTGCGGTATATTTGGCTTCGTCAAGCTGTGAAGATGAAGGACGGATTTCGATGAAGGGTTTTGGTGTGAGGGTCCCGTGTTTGCGGTCGGGGTGTCTAGTTTATGGACTCTGAGTTCGCGAAGAAGTGGTTCAGTCTTATATCTATAAAAAACCATATATATATATATATATATATATGACTGAGATTTCGTAGCACCTCCGGAGCTTTTGATGCTGCATAGCGAGGAGTGAGAGCTTAGGGCCCCCTGGGTCTCCTGAACCCTAGACGAAACCCCAAACTCTAAACCCTTTAAAGGTTCCTTTTAAAAGGGGTCCGTAAGGGCTACTATAAGAGGGCTGTTATCAGGATTTAGTATAGGGGATCCCAACCTCCCTGATCTCTAAACCCCTAAGCCCTAGACCTCAGATCTCAGATCTCTAAACCCTAAAAACCTTAAACCTTGCACCTCTGAAACTCAAGATGCTCAGATCTCCAGGCCCTCTAGACCCTACCTTAACCCCAAAGAACCTACCTTTTGTTAGGACTTATTATAAGGAAACCATCATAGTATGAAACTTTAAAAGAAGCCCCAAAGCTCTAAACCTCAGCTGATGATCCTTTCACGGCCAGGTCATGGCTCGGGCCTCAGGTCTCGATATTTTTGCTTCGCTTGCAGGGCGTCATGGGACCCTAGGGTTTAGGGCCGTTTAGGGTTTAGGGGAGGGTTTCATGGGCTTTTCTCCGAAGCTTCGAGGGTTTAGGGCCCAAGGCTGGAAGCTGAAAATTATCGGGGTTTGGGCCTCGAGTTCGGAGGTCAGATTTTATGCTTCAAGGCTCAAGGATGCTTCATGTCTTGGGGGCCCAGGGTGGTTTTGAGATTGCAGGTAGCCAGCGTGAGGCACTCCGTGAGCCTTGGTCCCAAAACTCGAGTCAAAGCCCAGGTCCTACGAATTCTTTCATGAAAACCCGACGCGCTCGCCTAAACCCCACTGTAGGAATTAGATACTAAGATACTGGTAGGAGAAGGCAGAGGGTACAAGAGTATTTATAAACTCCACACGTTGTCGTTACAATATCCCCAAGTACGTCCGACGATGTCCCGGTTGGTCCCAAGCCTAGCGATATGATACTTTTGAGTCTGATCAGTGTTGATGGTGATGATGAGAAGCTGTTGAAAATGGTTCGGCAAGCTTCGTCGGTCGCCCTTTAAGAATGTTGCGGTCGCGGCTGGCAGCGTATCTGTGCTGTGCATGTGTTTCATCTTCTTTTTCTTGCCACTGTTTGGTGTTGGCTTAGGGGTTAGGGTGTCCGTCCTTCTTTTGCTATCGCATCTCCTTCAATTCTCAGGCCAGCTTGACAGCCGGAAGGTAGACTGGAAGATCAGAAGCTCCAAATGTCAAGTCGGAAGGACAGCGAAGCGCAAGCCTCAAGCACCACACCAATCCCGAATCCCAAAGTCCACACCACGTTTTCCTTCTTTTCAACCCCAGAAACACGCACTCCTCAGAACGATTCAGCGAAGACTGAGGGCGCAGTTTACAGCGTCCTGGAAGCCGTCATCGAGCTGTCGGTGGAGGATGCCGATGCAGTCAAGAACAACGCCTGGCTCTTGAGATTCAGCGAGCCCGAAACCCTAAGCCCTAATCCCTTAGCCCTAGCAGTCAGGGTTTGCCTTGCGGCAGGCCGTTTGTAACAGGCGGAGAACGTGTGATTTTGGGGCTTTTTCGCCTGGCATGGTTGTTTTCTGATTGACGGGCTCCTGCATGATCTAAGGTGACTTGAGGCAACATAGGTCCCTAAACCCTAGAGCCGATGCCTAAATCAAAGCTACGATTCAGAATGAGTTTCCTGATTTGGAGTTTTCAGAAGCGTGCAGTTGTGTTCAAGGCCGAAAGACATGGGGCCGAAGAAGTCCTGAGGCTGAGAGCGTTGAGTTCAGGGCTTCGGCTAGGTCTCCATGAGGCTTACTGGGCTCTTGTTAAGGGATTTATCTTAAGTAAGCATGATAAGGAAGCGATATTATTCACTATAGATCCCGATTACGGGAACTTAAATTGAATTCCTTAACGAGAACCCAGCTTACCTTCATTCTGAAGCTGAACGACCCAAAAGGGCGCTAAACTCCAAACCAAGTCTTCCAAGGCCGCTCTGGTGACCTCCATGAAGCAGGGAGCTCCGGTGTAGGGTTTGTATTCGGTTCTCTGTAGAGTTTTTATCAGGCATTGCTGGGGTTTCAAAGGATTTCGAAGGCTCTCAGAGGCTTTTAACATGAGTGTTGCCTGGCACAGGGTTCCCTACAACAGGTATATCCTGCTAGTTGAGGCCGCAGGATGCAAGTAATCAGGGATTTCTTTCTCTTAGGTTAAGTAATTCCAAGCGCTTCGCGTCGTTCGCCTCGGCCCGGCTGTGGTGCATTGTTTCGGAAAGCAGCAACCCGAAAGCTTACCAACCAAACCAAAAAACTTAAACCCGAAACCCTAAACCCTAAATCCGTGTAGGGAGAAAGCGCAGCCCCTGATGCAAGCGTGAAGCTCGCATGCCATGGCATGGGAGGGTCAGCAGGCAAGTAAAAGTTGGCAAATTGGACGGGGACTGGAAGGGGCGGGGGGGGGGGGGGCGGGGGGCCAAAGCCAGGGCTCGGAGGCCGTGGATCCGTTAACGAATTTAGATAGGGGGCGGTATAGAAGGACTCTTAAAAGGAGTCCCCCATGCTGGGATCCAAAGTTTAGGGTTCAGGGAAGTAGGGTTTCATCCGCTGTGGTCCTGCAGTTCATTAGCATGGCAGGGTTCTCGTCTTGATACGTGTGATAAACCTAAATTCGGCTGTGACGGTCGGCGCAGCAAACCGTGAATGTTAAACCTTAAACCCTAAACCCTAAGCATCTCAAGTGCCTGCCTCGGTTGAGCCGGCTTTACGGGGTGAACTTTTGGGCATCTGGGCTGAAGTACCTACCGATACGGATGTTTCCTCCTCCACCAGTACGACCTTGGCTACATCTGGTTCCGCTGTGTGGGCTCTGACAATGCCGTTGTCCTGGTCCCCGGGAATGCCGGTGACCTCGCCTTCTTTGTCCTCCAGCACTACATCATCTTCGACTTGGAGCTCGACGACTACGTTCGGGAGTACCTCAACCTTCTCGGCATGGAACACTGTGGAATCGGATGGGTCTTTGACTGAACTCACACAGGTGAGTGGAGAGTCATCATTGCTCGACTCCACCTTGGAAGATGATGACATGTCTACATTTGTTCAGTTGCCTTCGGATCGAGGTCCAATCTCTACTGGTGAGGAGAATGATGTTGTGGAACCTCCTGTACTCGTGGTCTGTACCACAACGACTACTTCCATTGCTACTCCTACGGCTCGTCGTCCCGACTTCCCCTACGAGCATGTACAAGATGCAGTTGCCCAGCAGCTCATTCTTGGTGGACAAGCAGATGTGCATGTCTTCATCAGGCGCATGCTGGATCACCAACGTCGCCTCCGTCGTCTTCAACTTCTGGTTGACGAAGCCATTGAGTCGGCGATGGAATGGATTCACCTGCCGCTGTCAGCGAGGTCGTTCAATGTCGGTGTGATGGAATCGTCTGTGTGGCGAACTATTGCGAGAGAAGCAGATGAAGGATCGGCGTCCTCCTCTCTGCCTCCGCCTGTGCCGATCTATCATCCGGTGGTTCAGTTGCAGCCTGGTTTCCCTACATCCTTGTCGGCACTGCAACAAGCACTGCCCATGGATTCAATGACGACGATTGCTGGCTATCGTCGTCGTTGTTGGCGTGAACATGTCAGACGACTCTTTGAGGAAGAAGGCCGACCGGTACCCCTGGGACATTGGCCTTCGGAGTGGGATCGCCCGCTCTATCTGGTCCAAACTTCAGAAGATGACGATGTGCCTTTCTCTCTTCGTGATGGAAGTGCCCAAGGTGTCAGTCCTGTTCCTCGTTCTGTTCGTCGTCGAGGCCGTCGAGTTCGTCAGCCACCTCAACTTCCGGAACCTGTTGGTGAACTACGTGCACTTGCTGAACTCCGTGATGGTCCTCGTGGTGGGGGAATTGGCTCGTGGACAAACCAACATTCGGCTGATGGAGGGGAAAGGCCTCGTTCCAGTGATGCTTCGCAGACTGTGGTTAGTCGTCGTCGGGTCTCGCATGATCGTGAACGAAGCCGGAGTAGAGATGCGTGAAGAAAGTGACCTGAGTGAATGAGTGCTGTTTCCTGACTACAGCTGCCTTGTGACTTGAAAGATTCAGGTAGTTCGCATGATGTCTCGTTGCCTCTTCTCTTGGCCGTTGTAAACACTGCCTGAGGGATGGAGGTTTTGAGAGTCTAGTTTTCTTTGTTTGGATGCACACCTCAAGGAGGGAGGTGCTGGACCTGCTGCTGCGGAGAAAGGGCCATTGCATCTTAAAAAAAAAACCTAAGCCCCTAAACCCTAATGTTAAACCTTACAGTGTTCGAAGGCCCTGCACCCAAAGTCATCCCAAGGCTTTAGGCCTTAGCCTAAATAGGATGTCTTGGAGTATCACACTAACTGAAGCTTTCAGATCTTCCCGGCATGGCTTTCGAGACCCGACCGACACCCGAAGGTTTCAGAGGTTTCATGACAGAAATCTTTAGGGTAGGGTTCAGGCTTCAGAGTTTAGGGGGTTTCTTGGGGGTTCGCAGTGCGTGAAAGTTCTTCGGAAGCCAAGTCTTCTCGATCTCCACCGATTACTATGCCACTGGCTGACGCTGTGGGTTTAGGGTTTAGGGTTATCTTCACCCACTGGGCATTTCGAATGCTTGCAGGTCATCCTTTGCAACCTTGATGGGTGTGGATGTGGAGCCTTGGCTGAGTTTGGAAAGGTATTTCACGACCCCGACCCCAATAGTTCCACGAAGTAGAAGTGCATGTAATATGGCAATCTCGCGTTGGTCGACGGTCTTGCCGTCGTCGCAGCTAGTGTTGGTGATGGTAGGAACCCAATGCTTTAAGCCGCTGGCACATTGGGAAGGCCGTGTCTCAAGAACAGAACAGGCGTGCTGCTGCAAATGCTGCTTCCCTGGACATTTAGTGACACAACCTCGACCCTAAAGGCAGAATACCCAAGCTGCAAGCTCCGAGACAACCCAAGCACGTAGTTCAAGTTCGCAGGCTCCATCACTCCATCAACTAGGCAAGGGCCTCTCCAGCCTATGGCCATAATGGCCTATGATGCCTGCTCTCGCTCCGTCTTCTTCACGAGGAGAAGGTGATGCTGGAGTTCATGGAGTCTCGACGCCTGGCCGGGGCAACGGGAAACGGCAACATGCGGAGGAGGCTCGCCGAGATGCTGACGGCGCCCGGAAGCCCAGCTTTGCGCATTTCCGGGAGATTCCTTAAGGTTTGAGTTTTCAAGTCGGGTGCTCCTCGATCCGGTCCTAAACCTTGCAATGTCGTCAGGAGTTCAGAGGGGACTCCAATGCTGAGGGCTCAAGCATCAGAGATCAAAGACGAACAGCGACTCCTAGCCGCTGAACCACTTACCTCTGCAGAACCAAATGTGTGCTCCCGCAGGGTGTTGTGTTGTTATTGCGAGTAGTAAAATGCTGGCAGAGCTTTCGCATGTCAGGCTGAAAGTCTTCTGACGACTACCCTGTCGCTTTCCTAAGCTACATGTTTTTGATTGTTGTTAGCGCCCGGAAAGCAACGACCAAGAGCAGACAAAGTAGATTTTAAATGCATCTGGAGTGCACTATTGCCGGCCCAAACCGATGATGCATATTTCTTTCCACATGTACAGTTACTTACAGTTACTTAGAGTACCGTGTATGTGCACAACCCAAAGCTTTCTGTCTTAGCATGGTACTCTTACTCCTCGTCCTCGACCTACGACGACGAGTGCTAGTCCTAGTACGTAAAGGTTCTATTACTCGTAGTACTGGCACCACTACGACTACGACGACTACTGCTACTGCTACTGCTACTGCTACTGCTACTGCTACTGCTACTGCTACTGCTACTGCTACTACTACTACTACTACTACTACTACTACTACTACTACTACTACTACTGCTCCTGCTCCTGCTCCTGCTCCTGCTCCTGCTCCTGCTCCTGCTCCTGCTCCTGCTCCTGCTCCTGCTCCTGCTCCTGCTCCTGCTCCTGCTCCTGCTCCTGCTCCTGCTCCTGCTCCTGCTCCCGCTGCTCCTGCTGCCGCTGCTCCTGCTGCTGCGACTGAAAGTACCAACCACGGAGCGTTCCCGAGGATCTTCACCGTGGAATTGGACTCCATTGCCGACGCTGAAGTGACCTTGGGCTGGCAGATGGATGCGATTTTGAGTTCAGGGAATTGGATTTACAGGTCAGCGAGCGCGTCTAGGGACTAGAATTTGCTGTCAAAGTGTCACACTTTAGGGTTTCGGGTGGTGAGCTCTACGTCTACACGTCCACAAAATTGCAGGAGTGTGGGTTCGAGGCGAATCTGGGTTTGACTGCAGACATTCTAGGATGTTCCTACGCAGTACGAACAATCATGATGTTTGCCATGCCTTTGTGGCAACATGCGGCCTGTGTGCATGCAAGGCTCAAGGAGCAGTGCGGAGAGCTGCGCAGCCACACAACATAGCATCTGCCGTATCCTGGTCATCATACAAGTATTTCCGCTGCAGTGACTGATGCCGCTGCCATAGCTGCTAGTCCACTTCCATGTTACACGCATCGACGTCTGCTAGTCGTATGCCTGGGTTTGAATGAAAAGCTTGAAAGCATACAGAGATTCTTGTTTTTGTGATTCTGTCTAGGGTTGTAGTGGCGCTCTATATTTCCTTAAACCCCAAAACTTAAACCTGAAATTGCGGTCTTACAGTAGCCTTGCATCAGTTTTCAATGAACTCCCGACCTTTAGGGCACACGAGGGTCTTCAAGGGTTGAGTTCCCTGTACCCTAAACCCTGTACCGGTTCAGAGCAAGGGAGCAAGAAGAGCTCTCCTGGAACTCGGAGTTCAAGTCAGGGCTAATGTAGGAACCTGATTAAGAAACCCCGGGCCTATAACCCCAAAATAATAGGGTTCATATAAGGAGCCCTACTGAAGGTCTTAATCAGGTTCCTACATTATGGAGAGGCTTTGCAGGTTTATTTTGCAGTTTTCGGTCTTCAGCCCTCAAGCCACGGAGAGGGCCCGACAGCTTGTTTCTTGAGATTGAACTTCACTACTGAGTCATGCATGTGCACAGGAGCAAAAGTTAAAGCATCAGAGTGGCATCATCTATGAGTGAAGTAGCAAGGTAACTCGGATATTGTGTGCAGCTCCCGAGCCCGAGGAAGCAAGTTGAGTTTGAGACGGCATCTGTGATGATGGTGAGCGAGGCTGGCATCGGCCTGCCGATGGTTTTGAGCTGCTCTCTTGAAGCCCTCCTCCTCATCCTCCTCCCCATCCTCCTCCTCTTCCTCCGCATCACCATCCTCATCCTCACCATATTCTACTACTACTACTACTACGACGACGACCACGACAACGACGATGCCGACTACACTACTACGACGACTACGACCACTGCTAGAAGAACAACAAGAACGACTACTACCACGACGACGACGACTACAACAAAGTAACTACTACTACTACTACTGCTGCTGCTGCTGCTGCTACTACTACTACTACTACTACTACTACTACTACTACTACTACTACTACTATTGCCACGACGACGACGACGACTACTACTACTACTACTACCACTACTACTACTACTACTACTACTACTACTACTACTACTACTACTACTATTATTACTACTACTACTACTACTACTACTACTACTACTACTACTACTACTAGTGCTGGTAATAATAATCATCATGCTAATCATGATGGTGATACTAGTCCTAAGATCAACCCATGGAACAGAAGAGCGCAACCGTTAATGGTCCTGAAGGATCGACTTTAAATGAACAGGGAGCAGCCCTTGCATCCATTTTGAGCCAGGCCGTCGCTGCTGCCGTCACGGACCGTACACTTTGCCATCGGGGCTGCTGATCTGACGGGTCTTCTCAGTATACTAGCTAGTGAGAGGGCCTTGAAGCGGACCAAGACAGAAGAATCCAGATCGAGTTTGAAAGGTCTCGGAAGTCCAAGCTTCAGGGGTGTAGGGTGGGAAAGTGCAGTCTTGCTCACAAAGACAAGTTGTCGCGCTTTGTGATGGTTTCTTTCGGGAGTCTTGTCAGAGTAGCCGTCTAGAAGTATCCAAACCATCGGACCTGCTGAATCCTGAACTGTCTTTAGGTTTTCCTTCAGGATTTTGAGTTTAAGTTTAGGATTGTTCAGGGAGCAGACTTCGCGTGGGCCTGAAGCCTTGAGAGCCCAAAGCAGCCTGGCAACGAGTGCTGGAGTCGGTAGACAGGCCTTTTGGGGGTTTAGGCTTCGGGAATTAAAGGTTGGGTTTGGGGTTTGCGGGTTCAGGGTTTGAGGGTTGCAGGGTTTAGGGGTTACTGTAGGGGGCATCGCCTGCTACGGTTGTGTTACAGTTGTTGACTTCGCCTCTGGATTTTGGGTTCTTGCGAACCAGTCGTCCCAGTAGTCACGATTCACAGGTTGCCGCCGCCCATTAGTATCATTATTGTATCTGAGAAGCCACACACCCATTTCAGGGTTTTCCAACTCTGCCCACTGCTTTCAGAATACTTCCGAATGAGTGCAATGTCAGTGACCTTTTAAGGCCTGAGCAGAAAGCCCCAAATTTATGATCCGTATAGAAACATGAACCCGAAACCCCCAAACCACAGAAACTATCTCTCTGGACGCGAGAGCTCCCTCCACGCGCAGGAAGCAGGCTTCAGTGGCATGGTCCAGGTTGGGGGTGTTTATATAGAAGCCTGAATAATTAGCAAGTGGTGTTCCTAGGTTCTTGAATCGAACGATAGTATCATAGGCCCGAAAACCCTTCTGATGACTACGGCCCCCATACCGCTGGTTTGGGCCAAAGGGTCGGAAGGTACGAGCTTTCCTGGTAGGGTACAACGTGCAGCTTTGGGGGTGCAGGGGTTCAGGCTTCAGGACAACGGCTTGAAGAATTAGATGAAGATTTTTCGGAGTACTTACAGAGGTCTTTTGGTACTGCCCCTTGCAGGAAGCTCCCACGCCCTCGGTCATGCAAGCCGTGCAGAAACTTCGGTGTCATGTCTGATTGCCCTCGCCCGCGGTTTCAACATGATGGTGATATTGATGGTCCTTGCACTGATGGTGATGATGCACTGATGGTGTTGATGATGGTGCTGAGGATAATGACAATGATAATGATGATGATAATGCTGAAGAAGAAGATGAATGAAGATTAAAATTGTATCATGGGGTGATGATCCTTTCTTTGCGCACAGCTAGATCCTGTACCTCATTGCCACCACCATTTGCACGTGGGAGGTGGTTGGGAAGACAAGCAATCTCGTCCCGGCCCGCGCCTCAGCGAGAGGGTCGAGAAGTCTGAAGAACATCGACGGCGAGCGCAGATGCAGGCACCTCACCCAAACCCCAGACGCCTCTGAAGTGCACAGCCCAACCTTTCAAATACGCTGGAGCATGCCAAACTCCGATCAGCGAAGACTTCCGTGCCCGTTGTTGATGAGGCGACCACCACGACCACGACCACCACCACCACGGTCCATGGCCAAGACTCGACGAGGGCCTCGATTGTGCCTTGAGCCCCACCCTCGAGCAAGCCGAAATCCTAAACCCGATATTTTCAGTCTTCTACAGCTCATGCCAAGTACCAGACCCACCCTAAACCCTGAACCCAAAACGGGCTTGAGTTCGACAGCGACCCTTGCCCACAGCCTAACAGCCTGATTGAACCCCCCTTGCTGAGACCACGACAAGCATGGCCGTCGGGGTCCCAGAGCCGGGGTTCTTCGTCTGATTGGGCAGTTTAGAATTTAGGATTTAGGGTTTAGGATTTAGGATTTAGGGTTTAGGGGCTTAGGGGCTTAGGGTTGAGGATTTAGGGTTTAGGGTTTGTAGTGATCAGAAGCAGTATTCCACAACCTCGATTTTGTTTAAGGTTTCGAGGTTTTGGCGTAATATAGGGGCCTTAATCACTAGGAGAGAGTTTGGGGGTATAGTGTACTACACTAGTAACAAGGAGCCCCCAAATCCCTATTGTATGAAGGCTTCTACGCTAGATCCTTACAATAGCCTTGAGAGGAGCCCTTATGGACCCCGATATATAAGGGAACCCTATTCTCATTACTAAGGCCCCTACATTACCATGCTCTCCATAGCATCCGCAGTTCTCGCGTGGTGCCATGCCTCCGGGCGAGGCTTTCAGGGCTGCTTTGTATGTGGGTGGTTGTCAAAATTAAGGTCCCTTTTGGGCACCCCCCAAAAAGTAGGTGCCGCATTATAATAGGGACTTAAAAACAGAACCCTAATTTTGACATCCACCCATGTGATTTGAAGAGGGTCTTGGGCTTTCATACGAGTCGTAAAACGTGGTAGGGCAACTTACTGGAAGCGAAGCCTAACATGAGACTAAATTGAAATAGTATAACACACTGGCATATAATATAATACAAGAAGTCAGTATAACATAGCACAACATAACATAAGACAAGACAACAAACACAACACAGCATGTTGCACAAAACAATTTTGCAACACATAGATATGACAAAAAACCGCAATACAAGAATGCAATACAATAGCTAAATATGATCCATAGTTTACTGCAATACAGCATTCAAAATATTTAAATGATCAGAAATCTAAGGCAATACACTAAACAACGCATGCTGGCGGTTTGCGGTGCCCCTGTCCACTCGCCACGGGACCGGCTTCGGGGCTGAGAAATGTCGCGTGTTTCGTTGCGACCGAACCCTCTGACGAGGTACCAGCCCTGGAGTTTAGCGGTTTTGGGCTTTTGGATTTATAGGGTTTATAGGGTTTAGGGCCAAGAGTCCCCATGGCAAGGACAACATGACGGACGACATGACCACAACGACGGCTGCCGGGGCACAAAGTGGGCTCCATTTGCAGAGATCGCTTTTGTGAGTAGGTCTTGCAAGAGGGTTCCGACGAATCAGGGCTTTTGCCCGACGGGTCAGTGGCTTTTGGCCTTCAAGTGGAGCGAACCCTAAAGCCCTTAAGGCTTGACATTCGGGGGGGGCATGGGAGGTTTCACACCATCCAGGAGACTGGGAGACTAGGTGAGGGATTGTTGTCTGAGTGCGCAAAGTTCATCTTGCAAGCAGTCGTCTTGCTTGTTTGATCTTCTGGTGTTCTAGTAGTACTCGTAGTAGTAGTAGTAGTAGTAGTAGTAGTAGTAGTAGTAGTAGTAGTAGTAGTAGTAGTAGTAGTAGTAGTAGTAGTGCAGCTACCACTACCACGGTCCCCACCACTGCAGAACTCTTGCTCTTCCTGCCCGTAGGATCTCTAGCAGAACGCAAAGAAGTGTGGTTTGGTGCCGCGCATACGTCCTCTATGTCAGAGCCTGCGGATGTAAGACGCAGCGTATCGATTCTCGGGTTTTCTAGAGGGAACTTCTAGAGTTCGTTGGCGGCACCTTTTTAGGATGTTCTCAGCCTGCGATGTCGTGGAAACAGGTGCTAAGTAGCACTTTTGGTTGCCTTTCCCCCTAGTTGAACAGGCAACGCACAAAGTTCTTTGTGGCCCTGTAGATTCAGGCCATTCCACAGCCCAGCTTCGCGAAGCACTTCGGTAGGCCAGGGGAGGATCTCAGTGATGCTTGAGCTTCAACATCGAAGCAACCAAGCACTAAGAGTCTTCGAGCCCTGCGAGCCCTTGCGTACTACATGGAAGGAGTGAACCCCCAAGCCAAAGAGTACTCAGAGCCCAACGCCCAAAAGTTTCGAAGGTCTTTCAAAACCGAAAACCTAAACCCCTTAAACCCCCTAAACCTCCTAAACCCTGAACGTTTAGTCCGGGTTCTCGGGAGCTCGGTAGTCCCCTAAGTACACGCCTGCCTTGCTTTTTCAAGGGTCTTTGCGGGTTTCTGTACGGCTCGCTTTCTCAGGGGTCTTCAAGGGTTTCCGTACGGTTTACTACACCACAAGCACTGCATTGCATTGTGAAGTTGCGAAGATGGAAACTGGGGCCGTGTAGAAATCTGAGAAGCACCACCGCCAGCTTCTCGGCGCTCCTGCTCATTGCCGCCACCATGATGGCCTGAGAGTATGGCAACGCCTTTGCCTCGGAATGGCTTCGGTAGTTGTTTCAGATGTTTTTCAGAGCATGCACCTTTGTGGAGCACCTTGCTCCATGTAGAGACATCATGCTGCTTCTTGGTTGTTTATCTCCCTTAAGCGATGCGCTTCTATTGGGAGGTTGTGGTTGACTCGGCCTTTGGGCTGGGGGGGGGTCGTCGGCAGGGGTGACTCTTGGAGCTTTGCGTTTGCATTCCGGTAAGGGCCGCACGTCCTTTCCTCTCCATCCTGCAGTTTCCCGGAAATCGGAGATTTTTGCGGATTTGACATAGACAAAGCACCACTTGCTTGGTCTCTCGGGGAGCCATCTCAAAATCTCTGTCTTGAAGGTCGCTTGCATGTGTGCCCCATGAGCGGGTACCGTGTTCTGATGGCGCGGTAGGCAACTTCTGTCGGAGTTGCACAATCCCCAGGTAGCAAAAAAAGGAGCCAGCAAAGGATCAATAATTGCAAAAATTCAATTGCATTTCCCTGTAGTTGGAGTTGAACACCCTAAACCCTAAACCTTCTGGCTTGGAGAAAAGGAGCTTAAAAAACACCCTAAATCCTAAACCTTGCAATCTAGGCCGCCCTGTTATCAAGATGAAGGTTCCATGGAAGCCTGGAGGTCCGCTGTAGCCGTCGCCGAAACGTCAACCCCGGCTTCTTGCAGCTACCAGTCTCTTAGAGCCCTGAGCTGGTCTGGGTCTTGCGATCATCAGGGGTCAGAGGGTTTAGGGGGTTTAGGGTTTAGGGTTTAGGGTTTAAAGGAACTTGGTTTCGTTGCGGGGCGAGAATTTGAAGCTAGCCGCTGACAGATATGGCAGTAGGTTTGTACTGATGCCGGTAGTCAGTTCCTGGGGAAGAACGCGATTCGGAAGTGAGTCGTGGAACACAAGCAACGACACTGCAACACATCATCACCATCACCATCATACGAAGGAGAAGCACAGCACGGCCGCATCAAAGGCAGGAAATTGCGAGGATTCCAACGAAACTGCAGGGATCCTGTGGTGTTTATGCAACACAGGGGTGGCTGCAAGCAGCTTGAATTCTCCATCTATAGGCGTCGAGCTGTTTCACCGACATCGACCGCGGAAGTGGATTGATGAGTACCAGAATCGGCTGTTGACACGGTGCGATGCAAAGGTGCCATTCATGCTACTAGATATGAGGCAAGCTGCAACCTGCCTTTCTCCACATTGCACAAAACCTTAAATCCTAAACCCTCGACACTGGACACATCGCTTTGACCCGTGGCCAGAGCACTCATTGGGGTGCCGGTCGTGTATCAAAAAGTTTCCGTTGCCCGCTCTTCCTGCTGCTTCGCTGAAGGTTTTGCCGGGGTGCTGGCTAGGCCGAAGCGATCCAGCCAGCACGCCCTGTCTTTCAAAGTTATTTCGGCTCCCCGCAGCGCTCTCTTAATCTTTTCAGCCTGAAGCCTATTACCCTGAAATGTACCTATGTAAGGTTGCATCTGCCAGGAGTGGAAATACTTTGGGTGTCGCCGCCTGGAGTCCTTTCCAGGCTGCGAGGCCATCTTGTGCATGACAGACCAGTGCCATCATGCCGCAGGACTGACTGGAAGCCGGTTTGGGGCTTCAAGTACGCGTGTCGACTCTGACAGGTATCATTATAGCGATGTCGTAACAAATGCTATGGCCCTTCCGAACATGCTGCTGTCCAGCCCCAACTTCCCAATGCCCCCGATCGGCCACGGAGACCTGAACAGATGACGAATCGAGAGAGAGTTCCTTGATGTTATTACATCAATCTGAAACTCCTCTGAATGCGTGCCCAGAACTCAAGTGGTAAAGCCTCTGTGCAAGAGTTCATGGAACCAACCTTGACTAACCTCGAGTCCACAGCCCTCAAGAGCAGAAGTCCTGTTTGGCACGCTGGACACAACTACAGCGTACGTGCGGCAGCGAGACCTAAGAAGACCACGGCCATCACCACTACCACCACCACCAGCAGCAGCACCACCACCACCACCACCACCACCACCACCACCACCACCACCACCACCACCACCACCACCACCACCAGCACCACCACCATCGTGAACATCACATCACTGTCATCATCACCATCATCACCATCTGTGCACCGTCGTCATCATCATCGTCACCATCTTCGTTACCAGCGTCATCACCACAACGATCATCTCCCCTACCATTCTCACCATCATGATCAACAGCCTCCTCCTCCTCCTCCTCCTCCTCCTCATCACCATCACCACCATCATCATCATCATCATCATCATCATCAATAGCTCTAGAGGCATCACCATCAACGACAACATCATCATCAGCAGCGGCACTAGAAGCATCATCATCATCATCATCACCATCATCATCATTATCACCATCATCACTCTCATCATCTCATCATCTTGATCTTCATCGGCTTCATCATGGCAAGGTAATTAGTACTGTTGGTCTCTGCAGTGGTGTTGTATACAATTTGGTTTTCGTGCTGGTATTAATGTTGGGCTTCGTCGCAGTCGTCGTCGTTTTCACCCGAAGGATGCACAGTGGAGGCTCGTGCTTCTCCATAGATACGGTATAAGCTTTCCACGGCAGCAAAGAGCTTCTCGCTGCCAAGCGCGTGTGCACAACGACGGAGCAGCTCTGAGAGATCTGAGCGGACCCCGCACGGAGGCCCTGGAAACAAAAGAGGCTTTGAGGTTGTTGAGCTTCGGCTTTCTAATCTTCGTTCTTAGTGCTCCGCTTGGCCTCGACCCTTCTCGAAATCCTGACTGTGGATGCCGAACCTGCAAGAATCCTACGATGCAAGTCCGACTGACCAACTTCCAAGGCCTTGACCCTGGACCCCAAACCCGAAACCCTGAGCCCTAAACCCTGCACCGTTAGACCCGGAAACCTGGATTCCGGATCCCAAGCCGCGCGAGCCCTGAACCCTGGACCCCGGACGATAGGGTTCATATTCAGGAATCCCCACCCCAAGAATCTCAAAATCTTAAACCCCCCTTTTGGCCTCCCATCAGTCTTTTCCCAAACCCTAAACCCTAAACCCTAAACTCGTGGCTCACCATGCATTCGGCCTTTCGGCTGCAAGTTTTATTTTTTCCGGGCCACGGAACGCCCTCACCAGGGAAGCCAGGCTCCTTGCCGTCAAGAAACGGGACCCTCCAGGGCCTACTCTAGGGGCCTTAATAATACCTTAGACAATTATAGTATAATGGGCCCCAAACCCTATTGTAATTAGTAAGGCTCCTATATTAGACTCCTAGTGTTCATGGTTTTGGGGGTTGTAGGCTTTCAGGGTTGCGGTTTGAGTTTCGGACGTTGGGGTTCTTGGCAAAGGCTTCTTTGACCAGCAGCGTCTACGCCCGAGTTGCAACTTGTATTATATGGGTGGTTGTCAAAATTAGGGTCCCGTTTTGGGTACCCTAAATAATCGGTGCCGTATTATATTAAGGACCCAAAAAGGGACCCCAATCTTGACAACCACCCTAATATGTGTTCAAGCCGTGCAGATTAACTACAGACACAAAAAGTTGCATTGGTTTCTCGACTTGGTCGTCCTTTCTTGGATATACAGGTCGATGAGGGTTCAGAGTTTCGGCGCGCTCGGGCTCCCTCTTTGGTGCACTGCTCGTTTTGAGTCAGTGTAGAATCCAACTTTGGGGCTCGGGGGCCTTGAACCATGCTCCAGTCACATCAGCTGCGGGGTTTTAGGGTTTAGGGTTTAGGCTCCCGTCGTAGTTACACGCTGGGTGATCTAGGAACGCTTCCTGGTGCTCTTCACATTCAAAAAGCCTGCAATTTGCATGTTCTTCCTGGGATGCAAGTGTGTCTGTAAGACTACCCAGATGAAGATGCAGAGCAGTTGTGGCAGTGTTTCGGGATCCTTGCAAAGTTGAGGCGCTTGAAGAGCAATCTATGTCTTGATATGGGTAGTTGTCAAAGTTCTTAAATATTAGGCGCCGTTTTTCTTAAGGACCCAAAAAGGGACCCTAATATTGACAACCACCCATATGTGGTCCTTTGCCAACTCAAAGACTCTCCGGAGACCGGCACCTTAAAGCCTGGTTTTTAAAAAAGGGGCCTCTATAATTACCAAGACTTAGTAGGGTTGTCGTATATCATACCCTCAAAACCCCATTCTGATTATCAGGGCCCCTATATCATAGAGCCCCTCTAGTATCCTTTAGTAGCCGTGATAGACCCCTTTAAAGGAACCCTATCCTAACAATTAAGCCCCCTTTATTCGGGCTTTGGGGGCTTTTTGTGTGCTTAGTCCCAGTCCCTGGAAGCCTTCTTGGAGGATCATGGGAATTAGTGACTAAGGTTATAAGTACCTTACTGGGGGTATGAGTAAATATCAGTATCGATGCCTCATTTGTAATCCTAGATACTAAGTCCCATGATCCTCTAAGCTGAGTCACCAGGTCATCTGACTATGGCCGCGTGGGTGTGGGGCCTTCTGCCATTGCTGGCAGCGGCAGGTCACAGTCACAGATAATGTATGAATATGCTATATACCATATAACCAAGCAATCTATCTACCTATCTGGCTATCTAATCTATCTACCCATCTACCCATCTACCCATCTATCCATGTATCTATAGATATGCACGTATACCTGCATGTATATATGCATATGTATATGTATATGTATATATATATATATGTATATATATATATATATATATATATATATATATATACACACTGTATAACATAGTGCTTCGGGTGCTTTCCCACCCCAGCCCTGAGCCTTCCAAGCTTGAAAATCCGAAACCCTCCATGGGGAACCGTGGCTCAGGGCTTAGGGTTGCGGTAGATATTCTAAGTCTCTATGCTCTCAGATATCAGGCCTCCATCCCAAGGCTTGAAAGCATAAACCCAAGTTATGTCTCACCGCAGCCTTCGGCTTCGGGGCGGGGGGTGGAGCCATAGTCCGGGATCTTTGTCTTCCGACACTCACAACTTCGAAACACCCCAATCCCTAAACCCCAAACATTTGCAGCCCTAAGCCCTCTAATCCGTGCACTGCTGCGCTCGTCCTGTCCCAGCAGGCATCGATGCCCAAAGGGCCCCGCCGAAGCGGCGCTTGCAGGACTCGCCTTTGCATTTTTTTTGGACCCTCAGGTCGACGGGTACAATAGGGGCCTAAATGGTTACCTATACTATTGTGGGGGTTCCTTATTATATTTATAGTACAAAGGGCCCCACAACTCCATTCCAACTATTAAGGCCCCTATATTACGAGCAACATCCCGAAGTAAGCTTACCTTTGGTTAGTAGGGAATGGAAGAATGCTGGTAATCGTAGTTGTGATCGTACCCCATTCCTCCATTCCCTACTAACCAAAGGCAAGTATGAGCAAACCCTAATCCCCTAAACCCTAAACCTTAAACCACATCCCGAAGTAAGCGGAGCCTCTACGGTCCAGGGTTTGAGGCCTTCGTCCGGCGCTTGTGGTGCTTTGACCTGACGTTGCCGCAGACCCAGACCCGTGGGAGGATCTAGAAAGTAGATCCCCAATACTACTAAGGGCACTTTATAGGAACCCTCACTAGGGGATCTACTTTTTGGATCCTTGCGGGGGTTTGGGGAGCTGAGAGCTTCCGTGAGGATTACAATGCCAGCAATGGGACATACGTGAACGGCTTCCAGGCACGGCCCCAGCGGAGATGTGGGATTGGGAGCGTTTGCTCAACGGAAGGTAGAATGGAGAAGCACGTCTCTAACACAGAGGTTTAAATGATGGTCTTGATTTCTGCCATCTTGAGGTGTAATGACAACCTGTCGCAGTCCCCTTGTTTGTGCATACTGTGGTAGGTCTCAGTCTCTCAGAAGGAGCGAGTCTCCCTAAAAGCTCACTTTCTTCTTTCGGGCTCCAGACCTGCAGCGCGTACTCTCCTCCTTGTCTTGGCTGGTGTCGAGGTTGTTGTTGCTGCTATAGTTGGCTGGCTTGTATGGGGACAAGAGGCAGGGATTTTGCAGGAGTGGGGTTTCACTTCTGCCCCAAGCCATGAGCCCTGAACTGTATCCCCGAGCGTTGCTTCGTCGTCGTAGTGCGAGTTTGACCAGCCGAGATCTGCTAGTGCCAGCTACTCCGACCTAGTGGTGCCGCGCTTTGTTCTGCTATCAGTGCCACCTCCACCACCGCTGATCAGTGTGGCTACCGCCGTTACCATGCTTTACCAGATGGGGGACCATGGTCACGGCGAGGACAGGTGAAAACGACTACAACTTCCGACAGGAGTCTAATTACCAACGAAGGTGCAAACCAGGTTCAAGACAAGTCACGACGCGCAAGAGTTGCTTAAGCTTTGGTGCTCTTCTCTCTCTCTCTCTCTCTCTTCTCTCTCTCTTCTCTCTCTCTCTCTCTCTCTCCGGGTCTCTCGCTCTCTCTGTCTCTCCATGTTTATATACACACAGAGACGTACGACATACATACATACATACATGCATACATGCATAAACATGCATGTGCATCTTGTATTTGTCTACACAGTATAAGCAGATAGACAGCACAACACAATGTAATCTGGCATGTACAGCTTGAAGCAAGAATATAGCATAACTATAGTATAACTTTGGGGTAGCTATAGTATAACCGTATAACCATAGTACAATGTAAGAACTATAGTACAATGCAGCGAAATTCCAGCTCAAGTTCCCCACACCCAGAGCGGGAGGCCGTGCAAACCTTTGCGCAGCAGACGCCCTTCCCCGCCGCTCGGAGTAGGACTGGATGCAGACTCCTGAGGATGTGGAGTTTAGGACTTAGAGCTTTCGGGCTCTCGGGGATTTGGGGGTCTTTGGAGCTTTCGGGTATCGGCCTTTTGGGGTGATAGGCCGTTATGAGGTGAGCTTGCTGTTTTCCAGGGTTGGTCGGCTTCGGGCTGGAGGGGTCTTGTGCAAAGTGTGTCTCCGTCCTCTTCGGGGTTTTAGGGGTGGAGCTGAAGGTCGTTGAGTTTCCTTCAGCCTGTGCTAAAGTATTGCACTACTTGTCATTGCTCATCTTCTCCTTCCGGTGGCAGTGCACGGTGCAGGAACCCGAAGCAAGCGTTCGGTGCTGTAAGAAATTAAATGAAATTGCCCCCACGATTTCGATTACGACATTGACCTGCGAGGTCTCGGGCCTGTAGATCCGGGAGTTGTTGCTTCGGGGATTCGCAAAGGATCCAGATGTCTCTACGCCACGCGCGCACTAGCGCACTAGCTTCAATCGTTGCGCGACACGCAAGGCTTGCTGCGGCGATGTCTGTGTGAACTGAGCAAACTCAAATCTAGCTTTGTTTGTTGATGTGAGCCTTATGCGTTCAACACAACAGGTTTTTGGAAGTTCACTCTCCCGAGCTGCTTGTTAATTATGGCTCTCTGGTCATCCTCGGAGTTCAGGGCCTAGCAGGATACTTACCTTTGGTTAGTAGGGAATGGAAGACTGGTAGTAATAGTAGTTACAATGGTACGCCATTCCTCCATTCTCTACTAACCAAAACTAAGGAGAAGGAGATCCGCAGCTTCCACTGGGGATTCGACTGGGGATTCGGGCTGCCGGACTTCGGGTTCTGTGCAGACGCTTTACACCCCCAAGCCCGAGGTCCAGGCATACTCCAGGGGCCTTGGTCATTACCTATCCTGTTTTGGGAGCTGCCTTCTTGCAACTATGGTATACTGGGCCCCAAATTGAGGCCCCGTTCCTTGCACCCAAAACCTGTGTAGCCCTAAACCGTAAGCCCTAAATATTCTAAGACCCTAAACCCTAAAACCTAAATATCCAAAGACCCTAAGATCCTAAACCCTAAAACCCTAAACCCTCTGAGATCCTTGCAGGTATCCTGCTTCACTGCTTGTCCGGAGCTTGCCCTGCTCAACAACAGCTTCGCGGCGATCTACGAGCCTCGGCGGCAGGGCATCTTTCCGAAAAGTAGCGGGGGTGCCTTACCTTGGGTCCTTATAATAAGGATCCTACAACTCTTATACGGGGGTTTCCGAAAAGAAGGGGTACTTTGGGGTCCTTATAACAAGGATCCTATACAATATTAGGGTCCCCTATTTAATTAGGGGTCCTGATAATAAGGATCCTACTATTTAGGGTACCTGCTACATTTGGGTCCCCTATTTTCGGATACTCCCACATGCGAATCCGCCGTTGTTTTGCTGTAATGCTATGACACGACTATGGCCGTGACGGCAGGACGAGCTAGCACTACAACTCACAGCAGCAGCTGCTGCTGCACTACTGCTACTACTACTCCTCCCCCTGCTGCTGCTCCTACTATTCCTACTACTTCTGCTACTCCTGCTACTCCTGTTACTCCAACTCCTCCTGCTCCTTTGCTCCTATTCCTGCTGCTGCTCCTGCTTCTTCAACGTGTTCTGTAAGCGAATCCGAAACTTCCAACTCCGAAGCCCTAGGCGCCAGAGCTCTATGCCGAAGCTCGGCGCTCGACCCCTGATCTCCCAGACCTCGCAGCCCTTTAGTGTTTAGAGTTTAGAGTTTAGGGATTAGGGTTTAGGGTTCAGGGTTTAGGGTTGAGAGTTTAGGGATTAGAGTTTAGGGATTAGAGTCTAGGGTTTAGGGTTTAGGGTTTAGAAGAGTCCAATCTGAGCACCGCACCGCTTGAAGGATGAGCTCTCCGACGCGAGCCCGACGAGGACTATTGAGACGCTCTGCTGGACTAAACCGAAACCCTAAACCCCAAGCCCTAAACCCTAAACCATCGACTAATTGCTACCGAGGTTAAACCCCGGATCTTCCCGTGGCTCCCGGCCAAGGGCAGTCTTTGGGTTGATGATGATGACAGAGCTCTGGAGTGTCGGAACTCCGAATGTTGCTCTCCCCTTCCCTTAGCCAAAAGCCCCGGGAGGGCTTGATTGGTTTGGGGCATCGGAACTCTCAGGGAAGGGCCGCAACCGTACTAGCAGAAAAGCAGCAACGGAAGAGCAGCGGAAGAAATGAAGTAATCGGCGAAAAAGGAGTACTCAGGCGAGCCTCGTAGCAGTACCTGCAGCATTCCTACAAGTAGCAATGCCGACCCTTCGGTGCTGAAAGAAATACCGGAATCACCGAAAAACCCTCGGCTGAACCGTAGCCTTGTCCCTGAGGTACTTGGCGGCGTTTGCGACCTTTGCATCCTGGTCGCAGCGTACTTGGTCCCTTCCTCCTAGAAGCCTACTTTGTATCCTGTCCTGGCTACACGCAGAGTTTATGCTTTCAGGGGCATGGACAGTTTTTCAAGCCTCCCAGACCCTCCCATGAACGTGAAGCTTATTCGATTGGTTCGCTCGGCTGCGCTGCGGTTACGCATGGCAATAACAAGATCCTTCGTATCGAAACGACAGCCCGAAAACCCAAAGCCCATGCACCCTTAATAGCCCTTGCAATATTGTTAATGTACCCCCCCCCCAAAGGCTAGTCTATTCCACCGTCTTGTCAGGGGGAGCGCGTCTCTGCACTCTTCTGCCAGAACAGGCACACTTTGGAGCAGCGAGCCATGGTACAAGTAGCCCTTTTTGGTTCAATGTATGCTATCAACCACCAGGTTCCTGAGCAGAACCCTTCTGCACTTTTTCTTTTGGGCTCCCCTTATTGACACCGAGTAGTACGAAAAAGGGCAGCCTTAGTATTAGTGGGGCTACTGCAGAACCTAGAGAAGCAAGAGCAGAATACCACCTCAAGCATTACTTCGGGCCAGCTTTACCTTGGCTCTCGGAGATCCAGAATCTAGTGACTTCGGCCCCTATCTTTGGGGTTAATCTGGCTTCATACCCTGCAGCTTCAATCCTTTTTGGGTGAAGGGGCTTCAGGCTGAAATGCTTGGGGGTTTCTTGGGGGTTTCAGGGTGCAGCCTCTCGTCTTCCCATGAATTAGGTGGTCAGACGGGTCGTTGACACCCTAAATAGTAGGTGCCCTATTATAATATTAGGGACCCAAAAGGGGATCATAATTTTGACAGCCACCTCGGTAGATCCCCGAAGCTCAAAGCGTGATTTCGGGGCCTTGCTCGAAGCTCCAAGCCCGACCAAGGCACAAGAGATCCAAGCCGCTGGCGGACTCCCTCAAAACGCGAAGCCGAAACCAGCAAGAATGTAAACCTGACATCCGGAGGCTAGCTTACCCTAAACTTACACCTTACTCGTAGACTGGAGACCAGACACTCCACTCCCCCTCCCAGCCCCGAATCCAAACCCTGGCAGGGACTTGGCGGCGTGTATCGCCAGCAATCCTGCAGCTTTGAATTGGAATTCCAGTTTTCGTTTTTACATCCGGAAGTCCATAAGGTTTCCTGGCATTTCCATGAACTTCCATGACCGGGTTCTGTGAGTATGGCTGGGTTCCTTGCGTGCCGGATTCACTCCCTGGCTTAGGAAGCTTCGGGGACTTCAGGCTCTTAGCTCCTGGATGCTTTACCTCCTTCCTCCTGGCGTCAGCCGGAGGCTTCTTTCCAAGGCATAGACTCAGCGCTCAGAACCTCCGGGCTTGGCCTAGTGGAGAGCATCTCTGGCCCCCTTCCCTTTGATCGACACACCCCAGAAAAGCAGTACGGTACGATCTAGCTGCCACTGCACTGCAAGGCTGCAAGGCTGCGAGACTGAGACTATCTTGTCTTGTCGTGAATAGTGTAGACCTTGCATATTCTCATAGTTCAGTTTCGGATCACATGATCTAGATAATGTAGACTGTGATGATTTTCACCTTTGATTAGGAGTCGGAGCGTTCAGGGCTTCAGGGTGGACGTGTCAGAGGCCTCCTGTGATGCTGGTGTCGAGCCAACTGCGAGACGCTTGAAAGCCGCCAGCTCGCAAGGAGCTTTCGCACAGAGTTTAAGGTTTAGGGTTTACCTTAACCCCAAGTAACCTACGTTTTTAAGGAGTTACATAAGGAAATCATATTAAGGAACCCTAAAAAGGTAGGTTTTAAGGTTATGTAAATCTGGAAATACAAGCCGTCTGAGGCCCGTTTGGGCATGTTTTGCTCGTGCATGTGCTTTCGAGCAAGCATTGTCAAGCTTACGGGGTGTGCACAATACGCAGAAGTGAAGAGCAGTGACTTCAGGTGCTTCTTCCTCGTGGGGTCTACTTAGAGGATCGGGCGAAGCAGGTTTATTGTACGTAATGTGCCCATGGCTATATTATGTACCTATAATCCCATTTACGGTACTCGTGCTTGTAAACCTCCCTAGTGCAGTTCAAGCCGCCGTGTGCGGTCCCTTTTGCATTGTGATTGTGTTCAAGCTTGGCCACTGGAGCTGCCCTAAAACAGGGGCCAGAATGATTACTTGTACTATTGTGGGGGTTCCTTCTTGTAATTATAGTAGATTTGCCCCTAAAACCCTATTCCAACTTAAGGCCCCCATAGCGCTCTTGCTAAAGCTCGACGTGCAAGCCGACCATTAGCCAGAAAACTTTAACAGCCCTAAACCTTCAGAACTGCTCCCCAAAACTCTAAAGGAATGTTGGTCTTACCTTCGGTTAGTAGGGAATGGAAGAATGGCAGTAATGGTAGTTATAATCCCATTCCTCGATCCCTACTAACCAGAGGTAAATGGCGAGTGCAGATGGGGCTTTTTGAAAGGGCATTCGTTTGCAACCCACGAGCCGACTTCGGGGTTGCAAACCTTAAACTCCTGGGTTGTCCTTTGCGATTCTTTTGAATTTCCCCTACGATTTTGAAGAGAACCATAATAGTAAATAGTTTTCAAACGGCTTAAAAGGACAACTCAGACTCTCAAGCTTAAACCTTTACCCCTGAGCCTTCAAGAACATCGCATCCAGAACCCGAAACAGGGTCTCCCCAAGAAAAGGTTGCACCTAAGCAGGTTCAGAGCCTTCAAGCCCCGAAACACCCGGCCCCAAAGCCCCCAACCTTGAACCCAAAAGCCGTGAAGCTACAAGCCCAATGGCCCCAAATTTTTTGAGAGTCCGTGTCAAAGGTAAGAAGCCAGCGAGCGAAACCGGCACGCAAGCCCGCTGTGGCGCCACGCAAGCCCCCTGTGGTGGCACTTCGCTTAGCCGGGGTTTCTGGCTTGATGTAAGAGCCTGATCATAAATCCTGGCGGAAATGGGCTGTGAAGATCTTCAGAGCCCGACTATGAACCAGGATGCTTCTCAAAGTCTTACATGAGGCTTCGGACGGGTTTTGCATCCTTCCTCAGTGCTCCTTGCCAAGTTGTGTAATTTTGGGTTTGCCGGGTTGTACATAGTGCATTCATTGGTACTCAGTCGATTGCATGGAGCATGCACGCGCCTGAAGTGACGCTACAGGATCCGAGGGTTCCCTTGCTGACTCAAGCGGCATACATTCCAAGTGCCACGAGACGAGATGACTGGCTCTGACTGCTGAGAACCTATTGGCACCTACAGACAAAGCCTATGAAAACCGGAAGTGGTTTATCTAGGCCCCTGCACGTGCTCCGTAGGTTTACAGAGGGATCTGTGGACCGTGGTGAGGTAGAACAACGATCTCTTTCGTAGGTAAGTTGAAGGGAGCCGTGCTTCAACATAACCCAAAGGACAAAGGATGCAAAGTGTAAGCTCTGAGTGTTCAGGATTGTTTTCGGGTTTCGGGATCATGAACAACGAATGCGGAATCTAAACTCTTTTCAGACCCTCCTTCCTGAGAACCCAACAGCCCCATACAAGTGGCTAGTGTAGACCGCAAGAACTGGAAACCATTTAAATCCTAAGCCCTAAACCCTAAACCCTGCCCCAAACCCAGTGTGCATGAGGTCGAGACGCAGCAAATCCGACGGGCCGTTCATTCTCGACTCTTGCAGGTTGCAGGGTTTTGATTCTTGTAGGATTCAAGAATTACTATACGGCTGGGGTATATATAGATTATTCAGCTTTATTAAGCATAAAAGGAATCTTAAAGCGGTTTAATGTTTGGGGTTTAGGTTGCTGTTTTAGGTTTAAACTTCAGTAGGGTTTAGCGGTGTTTAGAGGTTTTGGGGTTTTCAGCGTTTCGGGTTTGAAGAGTTTTCAGGGTTTTGAGGGGTGTCGGGTTCTAGGCCTGAGAGTTCGTCTCGAGCAGTTCGGTTTTCAAGTTGCAGCCCGGAGTTTAACAGTTGGAGGTCAAGATTGCGGCTTCCCTTCAAAGCCTACGGCTATGCTCATATCAATGATAACAATTAATAGTAGTGAAGATTCGCATATGACCAATAAGGGCAACTATGATTCACCTTACTGGTATTATTGTTCCAAATCTCGCAGACGCGGAGCCCCTGAAAGCTGGCGAAGAGCTGAGTAACCTCCGAAGCATACACGAGATGGACCGAGGGGTGCATTCCAGGGGATTCGAGGAATTCTTGGCGCGGGGGTTGGCACTTGGGACTCTGACTGCCTTGGCATGTCCACATCGACCACCGTAAGTCCGAAGGATGGGCATCAGGGCGCAGAGTCTGGGTCTGGGTGTGCAAGCCGACGCTCCTTGAATCCGCAAGTTGAGATGCTCGGCCAGAGGAGTCGCATCTGGCAACTTCGCATCCTTGTGCGATTTCCTGTAGACTTGGGCAGAGTGTGCCCACTTAGGCACCTATCTTGCAGAAACCATCTCAGCTCTTCCGCCCCGATGCCTCGACCCTGGCCCTAGAGCCCTGAAATTTTGAATAGTGACTCATAGGGACCCTTGGGGGGTACGGGGAGGGGGGCTCGGGGACTAGATTTCTTTAAAGAGGCCTTACTAAGTCCTTATTATGGGTCTTAAGGCCCCCCGTCCCAAGTCCACCCTTTAAACCCTAAACCCTGACTCTTTTACCTCGGGCATCAACCTTGACCGCTTCAGGGTCCCCGGCGGGTCTCGGCAGCACCGAGCAGGTCCCAGTGGAACCGCCACAAAGGGAGTTTTCCGAAAAGAGGGGGACCCTAAAAATAGTACCCGACAGAGTAGGATCCTCATTATATAAGGACCCCAAAATCAGGTACCCCGGAAACTCCCATCTAGGCTTCAGAGCCCAGCCTCCAGCACCCGTCCCAAAGCTTCTCATTGAGACACTCACGTTCACGCTGCTGCCAGGCGGGCTATGGCGGCTATGGCACTGGCACAACGGCCGCCGGACTGATGCTACGTTTTGCTTGGCATTACTTCCTTCCGTTCTCGACTGCAGACTCAAATTTTTTAATCGTTGTGAACCTACAGCCAAATTAGCACATGAAAGTCTAGGACACATCATAAAGACATGCTGTATCGTCGTATCTGGCATGTCGAAGCTCACAATCCTCAGCCCTAGAGTCTAAATCTCTAGGTCTCGGAGCTTTCCAATGCACCATGAATGTTCACGTGGTGGCCAGGGGGGCTATGGCGGCTACAGCGGGGCCGGCACCGTCGCCAGCCTGACTATTGCCAGGGCTGTGTTCTTGTTCTTGAGATGCAGTCAAGCCGTCAACACAACCTGCAGTTCAAGAAGCATGAGCTTGCTGGAGTAGGCTCTCAGACAATCCAAAATACCATCCACCGCCGGAAGCGCTAGTTCCAAAGCTAATCAATGCAACATGCATGTTCACGTGGCGGCTACAGCGCCAACAACGGCTCAATTGTGCCTCGCTGGATTTTTGGCATTACCTCGAGGGATGTATTTCCTTTCCTTGTGCTCTAGTGGATATGCTGACATGAAACTGGCATGGGCCTGCTGGAGCAGGTGTACACGCACTGTTTGCACAATCATCACCCGTAGGCCCAGTCGTACACGCTTGTACCAAAGCTTGATCACAGTGTGACGCGGGGCCGCAGTAGCTACAACGGCCAGCCTGACTATTGCCTGGGCTTTGTTCTTTATTTTGAGATGGCCAAGCCGTCAACTCAACCTGGAGTTCAAGAAGCATGAGCTTGCAATCCAAATGCCATCCACCCTTGCGGCTTCAAAGCCGACAACGCTAGTTCCAAAGCTACTCAATGCGACATGCATGTTCGCGCGTTGTGACCAGGGAGGCTATGGTGGCTACAGTGCCTACAGCAGCACAACTGTGGCCAGTCTGATTTAGGGCCATTGAGGGTTTTGATTGTTTTCAGGATTTATAAGTTACTATACTTTATAAGGGTTTGTATTAAGGACACTCTGAGAGGTTTAAGGTTTGGGGGTTTATTCACAGATGTTTTTGAGGTTTTGGGGTTTAAGGTTCAGCAGGCATTTGGGGTTTTCTTACTCAGATGATTATCCGCGAATCTTACAGACACGAAGCGAAGCCCCTGAAAGCTGGCGAAGAGCCGAGATTGAAACCCGAAGCCCGAAGCCCTCAAAGCATGCTGAAAGAGTTCCAGGGTTCTAGGATTTTGGGGGCGAGTTGGGGCGTGTATCGCAAACCCCAAACTCGTCTGTCAAGAGTCGTCTTAGGTTTGGGCTTGTGACTTGGCATGCGTCTCGGAGCTTTCCAATTCACCATGCATGTTCAAGTGGTGGCCAGGGGGGCTATGGCGGCTACAGCGGAGCCGGCACCGTCGCCAGCCTGACTATTGCCAGGGCTGTGTTCTTGTTCTTGAGATGAAGTCAAGCCGTCAACACAACCTGCAGTTCAAGAAGCATGAGCTTGCTTGAGTAGGCTCACAATCCAAATACCATCCACCGCCGGCAGCGCTAGTTCAAAAGCTAATCAATGCAACATGCATGTTCACGTGGCGGCTACAGCGCCAACAACGGCTCAATTGTGCCTCGCTGGATTTTTGGCATTACCTCGAGGGATGTACTTCCTTTCCTTGTGCTCTGGTGGATATGCAGACATGAGACTGGCATGGGCCTGCTGGAGCAGGTGTACACGAACTGTTTGCACAATCATCACCCGTAGGCCCAGTCGTACACGCTTGTACCAAAGCTTGATCACAGTGTGACGCGGGGCCGCAGTAGCTACAACGGCCAGCCTGACTATTGCCTGGGCTTTGTTCTTTATTTTGAGATGGCCAAGCCGTCAACTCAACCTGGAGTTCAAGAAGCATGAGCTTGCAATCCAAATGCCATCCACCCTTGCGGCTTCAAAGCCGACAACGCTAGTTCCAAAGCTACTCAATGCGACATGCATGTTCGCGCGTTGTGACCAGGGAGGCTATGGTGGCTACAGTGCCTACAGCAGCACAACTGTGGCCAGTCTGATTTAGGGCCATTGAGGGTTTTGATTGTTTTCAGGATTTATAAGTTACTATACTTTATAAGGGTTTGTATTAAGGACACTCTGAGAGGTTTAAGGTTTGGGGGTTTATTCACAGATGTTTTTGAGGTTTTGGGGTTTAAGGTTCAGCAGGCATTTGGGGTTTTCTTACTCAGATGATTATCCGCGAATCTTACAGACACGAAGCGAAGCCCCTGAAAGCTGGCGAAGAGCCGAGATTGAAACCCGAAGCCCGAAGCCCTCAAAGCATGCTGAAAGAGTTCCAGGGTTCTAGGATTTTGGGGGCGAGTTGGGGCGTGTATCGCAAACCCCAAACTCGTCTGTCAAGAGTCGTCTTAGGTTTGGGCTTGTGACTTGGCATGCGTCTCGGAGCTTTCCAATTCACCATGCATGTTCAAGTGGTGGCCAGGGGGGCTATGGCGGCTACAGCGGAGCCGGCACCGTCGCCAGCCTGACTATTGCCAGGGCTGTGTTCTTGTTCTTGAGATGCAGTCAAGCCGTCAACACAACTTGCAGTTCAAGAAGCATGAGCTTGCTGGAGTAGGCTCTCAGGCAATCCAAAATACCATCCACCGCCGGCAGCGCTAGTTCCAAAGCTAATCAATGCAACATGCATGTTCACGTGGTGACCAGGGAGGCTATGGCGGCTACAGCGCCTACAGCAGCACAACTGTGGCCAGTCTGACTCAGGGTTTCGTTTTTTGGATCTACCACGAATCTACGAGGTTACGTTACTATACGGGGCTTGCAGGGGTTATTCTAAGGGAAACTTTGAGAGGTTTAAGGTTTGGGGTTTCTTTGCTTTTAGTGGGGTGTGGTTGTTTAGCGGTTTCGGGATTTTCAACGTTTCGAGTTTAAGGGATTTAGGGTTCGGGGTGCAGGGTCTAGGGGTTTTCAGGGTATTGAGGGGTGTCGGGTTTTAGGCCTGAGAGTAGGTCTCAGTTCGGTTTTCAAGTTGCAGCCTGGAGCTTAACATTTTGGAGGTCAGGATTTTGGCTTCCCCTTCTAAAAACCCGAAATACGAACAACAATAGTAACAATGACAATTGTAGTGATAATGCGAATCTCATCAATAAGATCAATAATCATGATTATTACTCGTACTATTTGCAAGCGCGAAACCCCTGAATGCCTGCGAAGAGCCGAGTTTGACACCGGGGTTGGGGCTTTACTCGCAAACCCCAAACTCGTCTGTCAAGAGACTTCTTGGGTTTGGGCTTTTAACTTGGCATGCGTCTCGGAGCTTTTCAATGCACCATGCATGTTCACGTGTTGACCAGGGAGGCTATGGCGGCTACGGCGCCAACAACGCCTCAACTGTGCCTCGATAGATTTTTGGCATTACCTCGAGGGATGTATTTCCTTTCCTTGTGCTCTGGTGGATATGCAGACATGAAATTGGCATGGGCCCGCTGGAGCAGGTGTACACGAACTGTTTGCACAAACATCACCTTCAAGCCTAGCCTTACACGCTCGTACCAAAGCTTGATGCCAGTGCAACCTCCACGCTCACAATGTGACGCGGGGCCGCAGTAGCTACAACGGCCAGCCTGACTATTGCCTGGGCTTGTTCTTTATGTTGAGATGAAGCCAAGCCGTCAACTCAACCTGGAGTTCAAGAAGCATGAGCTTGCTGCTTCAAAACCGGCAACACAAATGCAACATGCATGTTCACGCGATGACCACGGAGGCTATGGCGGCTACAGCACGTACAACGGCACACTGTGCCTGTTAGTCTATCAATCAATCTGTCAATCTATCAATCTATCAATCTACCGATCTATCAATCTATCTGCCTGTTTCCCTCCATCCATCCATCCATCCATCCATCCACCCATCGATCTATCGGTTTGTGTACTAGCTCTATCTGTCTGTCTGTCTATCTATCTATCCTAATATTGTATTGGTGTTACGAATACCTTTATTATTGGTACTCGCAGCATGGGTGCCAGTGCTAGTGACAGCGCTATTGCACCTCACCGAAGCTCCTAGAGATTTTTGTGAAGATGGAGCCAACACCGTCCATCCAACCTACCAGGACCCTACCCTCAAATAGGGTAGATGGAGTGTCTAGGTATAGTTTTATGATTTATGAAGCATGAGCTTGCTAGAGTAGGTGCACTGGCAACGCTAGCGCAACACCCTCGGGCTTGGGGCCTACTACAGCATTCGTCCCAAAGCTTCACAATGCATCGAGGATCCGCGTCGTGCTATGCTCCATCACCTTAACCTCAATTCGTTAGCTCCTTTTGGAATCGGAAGAGAGGCATGCTGGGTATGCGACTTTTTCGTCACAAACGCAACCTCGTACTTCAACAGTCTGGCGACGCTTGGCTTGGATCTCAAGACATTTGGTTCAGGGGTCGAAATACTGGCAATTAGATTGTGTTAGCTAGGGGTTTCTCTTTCAAGGTTCAGCAAAGGGGTACTATGAAGGCTTAGTGTAATTGGCCTTCATAAATGAATTCGGGTATATTGTCATGCAATTGAAGGAGCCCTAAGGAGTAGTATTGGGCAGTATTCCGAGCTCTATTGGCCTGTTACGATGACGACGAAGCTGTTTCTTACCATGGTTAGTTGCCCGGATGTTGATGGTGATGGTGCTGACATGGTCATGACACCCACGACACCGATGGCTATCATCGCAGTATTTCTTCGTGCTTCTCACCGTTCGTGTCACAACTACCAACATTGCTGCTTCGATCATGGCTGGCTCCTAGTCTCATGGGACCAAGTCGGCATGAGAACTGCTAGCTGTCCGCGCGCCGCGCGCCTCCAAACCGCACAGCAAATGGTGCAGATCGGGTCCCCGGTCTGTTCCACTACACTCTGCGTCTGCAGCGTGCACTCCGGCGTGATCCCTTTCCCAGAGAACCCAAGACCCCCTGATTAAGGAATATACCACAAATCATAATATGAAGCCCCTATAACTTAAGGTTTATTCCTTAACTAGGGGGTCTTGGGATCTCCGGGAAAGGGAGCATGGAGTCTCCACTAAGCTCCGGGCCATTTTCTGTGGCGTCGACGCCGGCCGGGCTGTGCTGGTTTTGCCGGAGTCTCCTCGTGGTCTCGAGTCTCCTGGTCTCGTGGTCCCGCCGCCGGGCCGTTCTTCTGTCCGTTTCCGGGTGCTTTGGGAAACTTCCGAACCTGAGTAGTCGACAGTCCGGTGAGGTTTCTCCGAGCTCCTGCGATAGAAAATTACGGATGGCAATCTGTAGCAAGCTGTCATTTTCCATAAGGTAGACGACTCCGGCGTAGTCCTTCCGGGCCGTTCTGCTGTCTCCGTTCCTATTCATCGGACATTGCGTCGTTTCAGCAGTGCTGCGTTGACGCCTCGTGGATTGCATCGTTTTAGCTGTGTCTGCGACCGTCCCTCTGGGCCATCCTGCTCGCGATGATTCCCCAAACAGCGTGCAACCCAGAAGAATTTCACGAAACAATGTGCTAACACTGAAGGGTTCTTGACCTTCCAAGTAAGATTGATTGAGGTGGCTGTGCATCAGAAGGAGCTCTGTGCATCTTATTATTTGCGGCAGTCTCCTGGTTGTCTCCTGTTGTCGCAGTGGTGTTTTGGTGGTCTCCTGGTGATCTCTTAAGGCCTGTACACGGAATGCTCCTTGAAACTTCGTTGTTTTCGAGCACTGATCGGGATGCTTCCCCAGGGCCCAGCTGCTATTTTAGAAGACAAACGTAGTGCACGGACTGCTTCCCCAACTCTGGACTCCAAACTATCCCAAACTCTTCTGCGCTCGAGTACAGATGTGGTGCATGGCATGCTTCTCGTGGCCTCCTGAGCTCTGCGGTCTCCAAACCGGGTTTAGGATTTAGGGTTTAGGGTTAGGATTTAGGGCTCAGGCTAGGGCTTGGGTTTAGGGTTTAGGGTTTAGGGGTGTATGAATACAGCTGGAGTACAGATGTCGTGCGCGGAACAGAAATTGGGCGGCAGCGGCATAAAATGCAGGAAAAATACAGATGGCAACCAGTTGCGAGTTGTGTTTCCCAAGTACAGCGAACCACCGGCCCGGCAGGTGATGGCTGTGCAGAAAGGTTCTGGTGGTGGTATGCAAAAACAGAGATGGCAACTAGTCGCGAACTGTATAGTCCTCTGCAGAGCGAGCCGCTGGTCCGCCGGGTGATGACTGTGCTCCTGGGGGGAAATGGTAGAACACAGATGGGTGGTTGTCAAAATTACGGTCCCTTTTTGGGTTTCCTAAATAGCAGGTGCCGTTTTGTATTAAGGACCCAAAAAGAGACCTTAATACCCAGATGGACATTAGTTGCGACCTGGATTTTAAGCATAGCGAGATAAAACCCCCCGGCGGTCGTGACTTCCTGCTCCCAGTGGCATTGCTTGTGCGATCTTTAAGCTTTCACTGCTTGGATCTCCAGCCTTCAGACTCGCTCTTGCTGGCAACATGCAGCATGCCATTCAAGAGCAGCATTATGGCAGGGGGCTGGCGGAAAGCGAGTTTCTCTGCGTCAAGTGCTTCTACCCTCCCACCTTGATTGCCTTAGCTCGAGCCTAAACCCTAAACCCCAATTCCTAAACCCTAGACCCTAAACCCAGAAAAATGCCAAGGGACCCTCAGATGTTGACCGTGGACGAGGAGAGCACCGCTTGCGCGGCCAGGGCCCCAGTCTCTCCCAATCCTCTACCTTCGGTTTAGGGTTTGGGGTTTAGGGGTTTAGTGTTAGGGGTTTAGGCTTTAGGGGTTTAGGCTTTAGGGGTATAGTGTTAGGGGTTTAGGCTTTAGGGGTTTAGGCTTTAGGGCCTTAGGGGTTTAGGCTTTAGGGGTTTAGTGTTAGGGGTTTAAGTTTTAGGGGTTTAAGTTTTAGGGGTTTAGTGTTAGGGGTTTAAGGTTTAGGGGTTTAGTGTTAGGGGTTTGGGGTTTAGGGAGCCACCAAGCCACCAACAGCAAACACCGCGCGGCACATGCCCGATAATATTCCTTTGGTTCGAAGAAGCTCTCCTCTGCAAGTCTGGCTTCCGTTTGAAGGGGCTTGATCTGCGGAGTGTGAGACAGGTGGTTGACTCTTTGGACTGCTTGTAATCGAAGCAGCGCTGAAGAGCACATTTGCACACCGTGAGAACACACGGATACAGACATGGCCATGACATTGCTGCTGATACAGACGGACAGGCAAACAGGAAAACGCAGATGGATGCCTAGAGAATGAGAGAAGGAGATATTGTAGGAACCTGCTTAAGAATCCCTGGGCCTATAACCCCAAAATAGTAGGATACATTCATTTAAGGAACCTAAATTAGGCCCAAGGTCTCTTAATTTTTAAGTACCCTTGTAATAGATCCCTGAAAGTAAGCCTGACAGCCCCCTTCAAAGAACCTCAGAATCTCCTTGACACCCGATGCTCCGCTCTCCGTAGCTTCCCGCGTACTCGAAAATCTAAGTTGGCTTCAATGATCGACGTCTGCAGCGTGGCTGTTGAAAGTCAGGTGTTGGCAAGACTTCATCGGATTTTGCAGGTTTTTGAGTCGCATGGTGCTTGTAAATTTCTCGCTTTGTTGAGTGGGGACTGAATAATGGGCGAGAGTATTGCCGTTCCTATACGATTTTTCAATCACACCAAAGTTTAATACCTTCCTAAACTCAGGCTGCTGTGTCAGGTGCTTATAAACTTCCCCAGTTGTTGGCCCAGATGATGCCATGAGTCTCGTCTAGGGGACTTAATTAACACTCAGAGGTATAAGATACTGTAAGTACATATTTAGGGGGCTATAGGGGGGTTCTATTTTCTGACTATTCAGATTCACCCAAACCATCGCAAACCCGAAACTCCAAACCCCAGACCGTGATAAGCCCCGGCAGTAACCCATTTGGACCTTCCTTGTATTGAAGCCCTTCAAGAACCCTTGCAGACCGGATTCTGGCCGAAGCTGCACATTCCCGCACTCGCGATCCTCATCTACCGAGTAGAGTCGAAAACTTGCGGTAGTAAGCGCCCTTGCAAGCTGTGGTTGTTTTAGGCAGAAAACGCGAGGGAGTTGTTTTAGAGTTCAGGCTCGTGCTGGATTTGGTAGTTTATGCTTATCTTCTATGTAAATTATGCACTCCCAAAGGTGATGTAACATGGGGGCCTAAAGAATTACCGGGGCGGTTCCTTCTTATAAGTTATAGTACAATATACCCCCAAAGCCCCATTCTAATCATTAAGGCCCCTATATTGCTATACGTACCCTTTCAAGGTGTGGGCTGTTTGGCTATGAAGCGCCTAGCTCCGCGTGGGACTTCAGGATTTCCGGGTTTGTGTGGGATTTGCTGGGTCTTGATAAAGGATGTAGTTTAAGTTACCATTCAAACGGACAGCATACTATGTACTATAGATCCCTATTATGGTAAACCTAAACAAGATTCCTTAAAAGAGAAGAGCCAAGTTTGGGGGGATGGAGCTTCTGAAGCTCGAAGACCCGATCTGCAGGCTTCTTCTCGACAGGCTGCTGCGATGCGGGTTTCAACGCCCTCCCCGCAGCTTTGCTTTCATCCGGGCTTGTGTATGAGAGGCGAAGAAATCATCATGGCGACTAGAGTAATCGCTAGTATGTTAAGAGTTTAATGTAGCGGCCTTAATGTTTGGAATAGGGTTTCGGGGGTTCCTGATCATGCTGATAGTATAATAAACCCCAAAACCCGATTCTAGCCCCTATATGACCATGCTGTAGTTCACAGTGCGGCGCTGCGCCCTCGTCTGAACCCTGAACCTCAAGATCCGGAGCACAGCTTCACAGCAACCTCAGAGTCTCAGCACTCCTTTACCCAGAGACTCCAATTTCCCTTCATTAAGGAATATACCTTAAATCATATTATGAGCCCCACCATAATTTGAGGTGGTTTCCTTTATTACGGGTCAGGCAGGATTTATATCATCAACCGTAGCCCTCCTTTACGTTAGAGTTTCCCCTCGCCAGGACCATGCCCCGAAATCCCTTGAAGCACCCCTAAACCCCAAGCCTCAACGGATCCCAAGACTCCAATAACGTGCGAACCCAACTCCAAAATCCCAAAACTTTAAAACGTAAGGGTTCCTTATTACAATTGTCGTACAATGGGCCCCTAAACCCTTAGCCCTGGACCCTACACCCCAACCCTGCAACCCTAAACCCAGGCCGATCTGCTGCAGTTCTACGCGGAGACCAGTTCCTTAAGCTTCCTGGGCTTTGGAGTACCATACTTTAATACTTTTTCTTCAAGGGAGCCATTATGAAATACAAGTTTATACTTTTTTCTCCCTGGTTACTCAAAGCCCAGGCTTCTGCAGCAAAGACTACTGGCCCTGCGAGGCCGCTTGTTTGGTTTTAGGGCTCAGGGGCAGGTTGCAGGTCTTAACAGTATACTATGACATGCAAGAGATTATGCTATGAGATAAGATGAGATAAGACAATAATATTATGATATCACATACTTACCACAATATATAATGTAAGATAAGATAAGGTAATATGAAGGCAGGATCATGATTGTTGAGAATCCTCCTGGGACATTGCCGGAGGTCGAGGGGTTCAGTTTTCGAGGATTGAGGGAAGAGGCGAGAGAGGAACCGAAACACACACACACAACATAGAAGCGTACAAAGCACCAACACTAGCCGCGATGCCTGAAACCTGAAACGTAAACCCTACGCTTTATGCTTGTAAGATCGAGGCAGATGAGTTGGAACGCCAACTAACTCGGATGTCAAGGCTTTAGGGAGAACGATCAGAGGGAGAGCTCGACCCCCCAAAACCCTAGAGCCCTAAACCTAAGACTTAAGCCTAGCCCCTTACTATCCAAGCGCCAAACGAGCCGACAACCATGAAAACTTGTGCTAGTTATACGAACATATCCCCCCAAAAGCCCAATTCTAGTCGTTAAGGCTCTTAGCTTACTTTTGGTCGGATGCTGTCAAACAGAGCCCCTAGCCGCGAATTGGGGCTCGAGAGGTTCAGGATTTATGCATGTCACGGTTTGGGGTTTATGGTTCATTTAGGGTGTTCTGCTTCCCGGCTTGGCACCGGCTCACCTAAGTAAGGCTAAGCATACGAATCCCGATCCCCAGACCCCTACCCTAGACCCTACATCCCCAAAGCCCTACCCTATGAAGGCCTCCGCGAGCACCACCACACCTTTTGGACCAACTGGTGGCTATGGTGGCTTCGCCCAGGCCGGAACCAAGTCATGACAGCTGACTGACATCCCTAAACCCTGAACCCCTAAACCCTAAGCACTAAGCCCTAAACCCCTAAACCCTAAGCCCTAAGCTCTTGTGCCTATGATCCCCCATGCCGGTCCTTCTGGGTTCTAGCTTAATGTCCGAGACCCCCTGAAGAACCTGAACTGCTTGGGGGGAGCATCTCCAGGCATACTGCTGCTGCATATCTGCATAATATGTTGGATGTATATTCTTGTCTTCTTTGTGAGCTTGTCTATATGGGGGTTTCCGAAAATAGGGGACCCCAATATAGTACCCCAACTAGTAGAATCCTTATTATAAGGACCCTTAAATAAGGTACCCCAAATTTCGGAAACTCCCATATGCCTCTACTTCTTGAGCATGTTCGCCATCCCTCAGAGCGACCTGTCGTTTGAGGGAGCCCTTGAGCTGAAGGGGTGCAGGGTTTTTGGCGTTTAGGCGGGTTCAGAGTGTCGGGAAGGCCTAAGGCACTCGTGTGCCACTTTCACAGCCTCTCTTGCGGCTGCGGGACAGGCCAAAGCACGGTTCATTGGTTTATGGTCCGGAGTAGTGGTTACTGGATCATACTGGGTCGTAGAGCTCCTCCTCGTCGGCACGCGGTCGCTCGTCTTCTCAGCCCTTGTCAGGGGATGGTATTCCCTTCGCTTCTCAGCGCTGGCCGTCCCGTCGCTGTGATCTCCGTGTCGCCGTCGGCGTCCTCCTTCTGTCGCGGAAGTCGCCCTTCTTGGTCCTCACTCTGTGCCGGGCGTGCCATTTCTGATCGGCATCGATCCTATCCTCAGCTCTCTCGCCAGCTTCTTTGCAACTGTGTTCCTGCGCTTTTCGGCGCCCTTGGCCTTCCAGTGTCTGTTGGCTCCTTCTTTTCCTTGGCGTGACGGGCCTTGGAAGGCGTGAAGGTCGCGGTCTCGCGCTCCTCCTTCGCGAGCGAGGCTGCCGCGGCTGCCGCGGCTGCCGCGGCTGCCGACTGGTCGCTGGCGTTCCGGGCTGCAGCTTCTCGAGCTTCCTCTTGTTTTGGGGCCGTGATCCCGGCGTTCACGCGATCTCCTTGGAGTCCCAAAGCTAACATCCGCCTGCTGCTCGAGACGCCTTCCGGAGGTGGCTGCGGCTTTCCGGGCAAGCCTTTAGGAAGCGGACTTCGATCCTTTCGATGTCTGCCTTTCTGGCGGTTTCGGCGGAGGCTTCGGTCCTGCCACGCCGACGGGTCTTACGCTGCGGCACCCCGGTGGTGCGAACCGCATCTGAGGTCGTGCAGTTTGCGTGTGCTCCACGAGTTCCTCAAGACCTTCCAGCTCCTCTTCATCCTCGTCCTAGTCTTTCTTGGTAGCGCTTTTCTTGCCCGGGCTCTTGCCTTTTTTTCGGTCTCTGTGTGTGTGTGTGTGTGTGTGTTCGTTCGCTTCTGAAAGTCTTTCGGAGGGTCTGAGACCCGAAGCCCAGAACCCTTGAGCAGGCCTCTGGGCCCCAAGATCACATGGGTGGTTCTGAAAATCAGGGTCCCTTTTTGGGTACCCTAAGTATTCGGTGCCGTAATATGAATTAAGGACCCAAGAAGGGACCATAATTTTGACAACTACCCGCATGGATTTCGAGCGTCCCCAAGCTCGCTGTAGCCCACAGTGCAGGCTTGCAACGCCTCTGCTCTGGAGACCTGCAATGCCACGATGCAGAGCCTCAGTGCATATGTGGACACGATCAACGTCTCCAACGCCTCGTAGCTTGGCATCAGGATTTAGGGCAGTTAGGGTTCATCTTCTTGGGTTCATCTCAGTTGTAGATCGTAGAGCTTCTTGGGGGTTAGGACTTTGAGTATCTGTTCCTTGGGTTTTGCAACAACTGTTGCGAAACCGATCAGGGTTTGCGTAACTGATGTTGAGCCTAAGCTCCAAACCATAAGAAGACCTCAGCATTCGGACCTCAGCCCCGGTCTCCAGGCTACTCGCACTCAAATGGGTGGTTGTCAAAATTAGGGTCCCGTTTTGGGTCCCTACTATAATACGGCACCTATTATATTAGGGTACCCAAAGAGGGGGGCCATAAATTTGACAACTCCTCAAATGAATCTTGCCAGAGAAATGCCGAAGCATGAAGCTCCCGAAATTCCTCAGACTTCAGGCCCTCTTTTGAGGTTCCCGAACGCTCCCGAAACCCTGAAGACACAAGTCCTCACCTCCAAGGGCGGCAGAGGCAGCCATGATGTGCCAGGCCGGAACCTCAGATTCTGGCATTTTGTGTCGGATCCTAAGAAGTCCTCGAAACAAGGTTTCCTTTGAGCCACGTGGTAAAAGCAGGGAGCTTACTACTTGAAGGACCCTTCAAAGCTGCGGCACCACACGCTGCAGCCTCAACCCTAAACCTTAGACTCGACGCCGTTCAGGGTTTATGGATGGGTGCATTGCGCGGCCAGAAAATCACGAGCAAATAATGTGTACCATCGCATACTACCAACCCTTCGCTGTCGTGTGGACTCCCGGTGTTTGGGTGCCCTAAATCCTAAACCCCAAAACTATAAACCTTAAATGGGAGATTCCGAAAATAGGGGACCCCAATATAGTACCCTAAATAGAAGGATCCATATTTTAAGGACCCCAAAATTCAATTTTCGGCAACTCGCATAGCAGGCGTCGATTTTTTGGGTGAGGTGCCAGGGGTCGAGGGTCTTTGGCCCCCGGAGCGGTTTGCTGCTTGGAGCCTCGGGCTCACTTTTCGGGGGGCTCAATAACTAGAATAGGGTTCCTTGAAGGGGGTCTACAAAAGCTACTATAACGTCTATGGTAAGGACGCGACAGGGCCTCAATAATTGCCTATACTCTTTGGGGGTTTATGCTTATGTGTAATGGGCCCCAAAGCCCTATAATGATTGTTGAGGCCCTATATGTGGGTCAACCAGAAGCTTGATCATGGAAGCCTTACGAATTTTGCAAAGACTTTTCCTCAGGGCCTGTTCCTTTTTGATAGTATATTATTGAGGTTCCTGCATTAGACATGTGAACGGGAACTCCCCTGAGCCGTCAGGCAGAGAACTCAACCTCAGGCCAATGGTTGAATCCAAGATTGCCGTTTTATTCCGAGTTATGATAGTAGCGTAATGTAGGAGCTTAAGTAATTACCAAAGCTATTTCTTAGAGCTCCCTATACATATCTCTGTTGTAATTATGCTACAAAGGAGCCAAAAGGCTTATTCTCATTGCCAACGAATTATGAAAGGCCCTATGAAGCCATGGGAGGATTGGAATTGGCGCGAGATGGCAGCACCACCAACCGCTAGAGGTATCTCTGCCCTGACACCGGAGCCCAGAAGCATGGAACATTGCAAATCAGACACTCCGATATACCTTCATGAATGAGAATAAGTACTTTGCATTAGAGTAGGATCCTTAATGTGATTATAAGGTATATGCCTTAATTCAGGGATATTGGAGTCCCTGGGAAGGCAGCTCTAGGCTTCTCTGTTGCGGGAATGCTTGTGCTCCAATCGTTGTTTACTGAAACACGGCTCCCAGACTATGCCCTAAACCCTAAAGCCTAAAGCCCACTTAAGCCCACAACCTTGAGCCTTGAGCCACACAACGCTGAGATGTACGACAGCATCGACTCCTGCCGCCTGGCTTCAGAGTCAGCTTTGATAACAAATGCGCTTCGAGTCCCGAGGGTTTAGGGGTTCAGGGTTTAGGCTGGGGACTCGCATGTTTTCGACATCATGGGCTCTCCAGTGCCAGGAAAGCTACTCTCAAGAAACGTGTCCTTTGGATTTCTTTTGGGCCACTTTAGGGTTTCCCTCAGGCTTGGGTTTGGGGATGATCGTTTGTCCGGTACATTGTGCTAGCTGTGGGTTGGCCGAAAGATACACAGATCCAATTCTTAAACCCTAAACCTTAAATCCTAAATCCTAAGCTCTACCCTGAATCCTAAACCCTAAACCCTAAACCATAAACCCTACATCCTAAACCCCAAACCATAAACCCTAAATCCTAAATCCTAAGCCCTAAACCCCAAACCCTAAATCCTAAATCCTCCTCCACCTCCAGCTCCAAACTCTGAATGAAAGGGCCTGGGCGGCTTTTGTTGCAGTCGTGGTGTTTGGGGGCTGGAAACATGACCTAGTGACAATTTTTAGATGCCGGATTATGCCCAAAGAGCTCTAGTGACAATTCTTTAGATGCCGGATTATGCTCATAGAGCTCTAGTGACAAGTCTTTAGATGCCGGATTATGCTCAAAGAGCTCTAGTGACAAATTTTAGATTCCGGATTATGCCCTAAGAGCTCTAGTGACAATTCTTTAGATGCCGGAGTATGCTCAAAAAGCTCTAGTGACAAGTCTTTAGATGCCGGGTTATGCTCAAAGAGCTCTAGTGGCAATTCTTTAGATTCCGGATTATGCTCAAAGAGCTCTAGTGACAATTGTTTAGATGCCGGATTATGCTCAAAGAGCTCTAGTGACAAGTCTTTAGATGCCGGATTATGCTCAAAGAGCTCTAGTGACAATTCTTTAGATGCCGGATTATGCTCAAAGAGCTCTAGTGACAATTCTTTAGATTCCGGATTATGCTCAAAGAGCTCTAGTGACAAGTCTTTAGATGCCGGATTATGCTCAAAGAGCTCTAGTGACAAATTTTAGATTCCGGATTATGCCCTAAGAGCTCTAGTGACAATTCTTTAGATGCCGGAGTATGCTCAAAAAGCTCTAGTGACAATAGATGCCTATGCTCAAAGAGCTCTAGTGACAATTCTTTAGATGCTCCGGATTATGCTCAAAGAGCTCTAGTGACAATTCTTTAGATGCCCGGTTATGCTCAAAAAGCTCTAGTGACAATTCTATAGATGCCCGGTTATGCTCAAAGAGCTCTAGTGACAATTCTTTAGATTCCGGATTATGCTCAAAGAGCTCTAGTGACAATTCTTTAGATGCCGGATTATGCTCAAAGAGCTCTTGTGACAATTCTTTAGATGCCGGATTATGCTCAAAGAGCTCTAGTGACAATTCTTTAGATTCCGGATTAGGCTCAAAGAGCTCTAGTGACAATTCTTTAGATGCCCGGTTATGCTCAAAAAGCTCTAGTGACAATTCTATAGATGCCCGGTTATGCTCAAAGAGCTCTAGTGACAATTCTTTAGATTCCGGATTATGCTCAAAGAGCTCTAGTGACAATTCTTTAGATTCCGGATTATGCTCAAAGAGCTCTTGTGACAATTCTTTAGATGCCGGATTATGCTCAAAGAGCTCTAGTGACAATTCTTTAGATTCCGGATTAGGCTCAAAGAGCTCTAGTGACAATTCTTTAGATGCCGGATTATGCTCAAAGAGCTCTAGTGACAATTCTTTAGATGCCGGATTATGCTCAAAGAGCTCTAGTGACAATTCTTTAGATTCCGGATTAGCTCAAAGAGCTCTTGTGACAATTCTTTAGATGCTGCCGGATTATGCTCAAAGAGCTCTAGTGACAATTCTTTAGATTCTCTAGTGACAATTAGATGCTCAAAGAGCTTATTTGGAACAGATTCTTTAGATGCCGGATTATGCTCAAAGAGCTCTAGTGACAATTCTTTAGATTCCGGATTATGCTCAAAGAGCTCTAGTGACAATTCTTTAGAGTTATCAAAAGAGCTCTAGTGACAATTCTTATAGATGCCGGATTATGCTCAAAGAGCTCTAGTGACAATTCTTTAGATTCCGGATTATGCTCAAAGAGCTCTAGTGACAATTCTTTAGATGCCGGATTATGCTCAAAGAGCTCTAGTGACAATTCTTTAGATTCCGGATTAGGCTCAAAGAGCTCTTGTGACAATTCTTTAGATGCCGGATTATGCTCAAAGAGCTCTAGTGACAATTCTTTAGATTCCGGATTATGCTCAAAGAGCTCTTGTGACAATTCTTTAGATGCCGGATTATGCTCAAAGAGCTCTTGTGACAATTCTTTAGATGCCGGATTATGCTCAAAGAGCTCTAGTGACAATTCTTTAGATTCCGGATTAGGCTCAAAGAGCTCTAGTGAGCCCGAAGCCCTATTCTAAGTTTTTACGGCCTCGACATTCGGGAAGTTCGTTGGTTCAGAGCCCTTGGCAAAGCATTGAGGGGGTCGGCGAGCCGAGGCATCTACGAAAGTGACTGCTGCTTTTCTTTGCCCTTCATGATCCCCGCGGCCGGGATGCAGAGATGCGTCTGATGTATCGCTTCAAGCTTACGTGGAAAAGGTCGCGTAGTAAGACTAGTAACTAGGCTCCATGACGTCTGCGTAGGGCGTAGGTTCTCCAAGAGCTTGCTTTGCTTCTCGTGGTGATCATGTCTGTGCTTCAAAGCCACATAGTTGTGGGCCCCGAAAGCATACAACGATGGGGAGTGAATGTTCTCGCGAAGCAATTGCCTCAGGGAGACAAGCCTCTTGACTCTTGCAAGCCCTGGACTGTTTGATGGGCATCTCCCTGCACTTTGTCAAGTGTTGTGAGCGCGATGCTGTATAGCGGCGTGGGTATGGGGTTATGGTTTAGGGTGAGGGAAAACGCACCTAAGCATAAGCCTTCCAGCCCCAGTGCTGAAACACCATATGGGGTCGAGGATCCGGCATTTTGATCCCGAGCCCGAAAGAACAGATACCAACGACTGAATCGTCACTCAGCCAGGAAACCGGAAGGTCGTATGTAACCTATGTGTTTCTGTATCCCTAGCACGAACATCGTTGTTGGGCAGCCCCAAAAGCACGTAACCATGGGGATTTCCGCCCAGAAATCCCTGACAGACAGCACCCAACGCTCCACCAACAGGGGTTAAAAAGGGGTTCTGCAGCTTAGCGGCGATTTTTTCAACCCTATGTGAATAATCGCCCGCAGGCCTTCTATCGCAAGGCCGAAACAAACCCTAACGCCCAGATATCGTGGCCTTCAGAATTGCTTATACTATTTTGGAAGTTCCTTATTATAACTAAACAGGTTCTAGGGTCCCAAAACCCTATTCTCATTATTAAAGCCCCTACATCAGATCCCAAAGCGGAATGCCTGGAGCCCTAAACCCTAAACCCAGAAGCCCTAAAACGCTACTACTACTACTACTACTCCTCTACTACTACTACTACTACTACTACTACTACTACTACTACTACTACTACTACTACTACTACTACTACTACTACTTCTACTACTACTTCTACTACTACTACTACTACTACTACTACTACTACTACTACTACTACTACTACGTCTACGTCTACGTCTACTACGACTACGACTACGACTACTACCACTACCGCTACCACTATACCGCTACCACTATACCACTGCCAGCTAGAGGCAAACTTGATGAATCCGGACCTGCCCAACTGCTCCAGCATCAACGGCATCGAACCTCGATGCTCTGAGGCTTGGAAGCTTCAAGGTTTAGGGTTTAGGGTTTCGGGTTTTAGGGTTAATCCGTGGTTTTTTGTCCATATCCTTGCAGTGTAAGAGTTTCGAAACGGGAGACAGTTGATCTTCATATGTTGATGCAGTTTGGGTCTAGCAGCTCAGGAGTGTGACTTGAAGGAGGGGGTAGCTTCAGCAAACTGGTCCTAAAACACGCCGGTATTTGGGGAAAGGCATTTTTAAAATTTTTACCTTCGTCCTAAGTACTTGGGGGAACGCCGTTTAGCAGTGTCCTGGTGGTCTCCTGCAGTGTCCTGGTGGTTCCCTGACCGTCGTCGTCTTGGTTGCAGTGGTCGACGCGCTGGTCCTATTTTTCCTAGGTCGTCACGGTCGTCGTGGCTTGTGTAGTTGAGGAGCTTGAGGGGTATAGGGGTCTGAGTCTTGGGCTAAGGGATCGGCAGGTTTAGGCGGGTCGGCATGGTTGAGCCTTAATTATTCTGGCTTTCACATAGGCGTTATCCTGCATGGAAGTTGCTTGTTCCAATATGGATCCGAATCAACAGTTCACGTATAAACGACGAGTCTTGCTTTTTCGGCCACTCTGAGTCGCCATCTTTCTATCTTGAGTCCCCACTCCTAAAGATCACAAACCCTGCGCGGCCGTTTCCTAAAACCGTATCCTCAGCCCTGTAATAATCCCTAAAACCCTCAAAGACCTTTCACAAATTCCTGTCTGAGCAAACCCTAAACCCTAAACCCCTAAACCCTAAACCCCTAAACCCAAAACCCCTAAACCCAAAACCCTGAACCCCTAAACTCTGAACCCCCGAAACCCTAAACCCCTAAACTCTAAAACCCTACACCCCTAAACCCCTAACCCCTAAACCCTATACCCCTAAACCCTAAACCCCTAAACCCCTAAACTCTAAAACCCTAAACCCTAAACCCAAAACCCCTAAACCCCAAACCCACAGCTCGAAAGCTGAGCTGCAGTTGGCCGTTGGCGGCGTGTGTCAAGGCCTGGTTGAGATACGGATGTGGGAGTTTCCGAAAATTAGGGGGGGGGTGCCTTTAAAGGGATCTATAAGGGCTCCTTTAAGGGATCTATAAGGGTTCTATAGAGGGTTTAGGGTTTAGAGTTTCCGAAAATTAGGTACCTTATTTTGGGGTCCTTGTCATAAGGATCCTGCTATTAGGGTACCATATTAGGGTCCCCTATTTTCGGAAACTCCCAAATGACTCAGGGATGTAGTAAGTACTACCTACTACTTGCTACCCACTACCTACTAGGCCCCTACTCCTTAGTACCCACTAGGTTATCACATGAATCAGCGATGTAGTAAGGGGTTAAGGGGTCCAGGGTTTAGGGTCGTGTCATTGTGGTTCTCAGTGTATGAATTGGAGTTATTTCAACCACCTGAGCCACACACCCCCCTAGCGTAAGTCAGTAATTTAATGAGGGCCTCGCATTTGGAACGGGTTTTGGGGGATGTTAGAGCACCCTGGTCTCCCCATGTTACGGACACAGACCACCCAAGGATGTGGTTTGGAGGAGGCTCTGAGCGACGTGTGGGGGAGACATTGGGGCTGTGAAAATGCGTAGAGGCGATCCCTACACCTTTGATGCCGGCTACGGTCCCTGCGGGACGCCGCTTGTTGGCACTCTCCTTGGTTGCAAGTATAAGAGGGAATGTAGGTTCCCGAAGATATGTCTGCACGGGGCTTTGTTGTTCTCGGGATGTTTACGACAGGTGGGAGCTTCTTACACGGGCGTCGACCCTGCATGTTGTTACTAACAATTACTACCTTTCGCGTGCAAGGTTTGGTTTTCTGCAGACCCATTCGGGTTCTTTTCTGAGCACCCGTGTTGAAAACCGTCTCGCAAAAGAAGAACAAGAGACATGCCGTCGGAAAATCTGTATCCTACCACTAAATTTCTCATGGGTCATGCCACCAGTCTCGTCAAGTACAGAATGGTCGTTCAATCACACCTCTCCCGCAAGTTTTGGTCCAATATCTATGCATCTTTCTCTCTACGTCTCTCTTTCTCTCTGTCTCTGCCTCTTACTCTCACTGTCACAGTCACGCACACGCACAGTTTCACTCTGTCTCTCTCTCTCTCTCTCTCTCCCTCTCCTTCTCTTTCTCTTTTTATGTGCGACTACATCGATCGGCACCATTGCGATCATGATGGTAATGATGATGGTGATGATCATGGTGGTGATGTTGACGGTGCCTATCGTCAGAAGGTTGGTGACGGTGATGATCAAAAGAACGATGCCGACGATGAATGCAGTAGCATCGGCAACGGTCACTCGTCATTATTGCCAAGGTAGTTCTCAGTCATTACTGAGACATTGCCAGCACCATGAAGGATGAAGGGCCCGATCCCGCCGGAATGTGTATTGGTATGCTGTTCTCTGTATTCAGACGCTTGGTGAAGTCAAAGTCGTACTCCAAGTGTTGATGGCTCAGCATTCGCCAAGCCGCCACGCCGCTGCTAATCTAATCCTAGGTTTTACATCTCTCCCTCGAACTTTGGCTCGCCACACATAGCAGCCACCTCCGTTCTACCGGAATACTCCATTGATCTTCGCCGTTTTTGTGCCCTGTCCTCCACCCCGTTGGAGAACCAACAGCGTCTCCTGTGGTTCTTACAGCGATAGCCGGACTGCGACGCCCCCAATGCACCGATCCTTCCCAGTGCTTTGTGGAACAGTGGAATAGTGTTTACTCTGTTTTTGCTAATCAGAACCACCCTGCCCAGGCAATAGAAGACGTATGAGCTAAGGTACTCGCCTGGGATGGCAAACTACCACTTTTGCGGACTGGACAAAGCAGGCGACTTGTATGCGAACCAGGCCGGAACAGTAAGGGTGTCCCCAGACCCCTCAAGCCCCTCAAAACAACCTACCTTTTTCAGGACCTATATACCCTAAACCCTAAACACTAAACCCTAAACCGATAGCCTATATATTATATATGGAAATCACATTAGGGAACCCTAGTTTCGGGTCCAGGCCCAGCCCAACTCCGACCTTGTTTGTAATTGGAAAGCAAGCCTCGACTTCATTTTTCGATGTCAGTGGCCCAGGTCCCTACATATGGGGGGTTTGCGAAATAGGGGACCCGAATATAGTACCCTAGATAGTAGGATCCTTATTATAAGGACCCCCAAAATAAAGTACCCCTACTTTTCGGAAACTCCCATATCCTGACAGTTCGACTTTCCCAATCATGAGCTTTACGGGATGCTTACAGGTGTTGGGGTTGAGCGGTTCGGGGGTTCATTGTTCATTCCAGGGCCTCGCGATGAATCTCTCAAAGCACGGCAGATTTTCAATATGTCTGAGTGCAGCTGCTCAAAGCTAAACCCCAAACCCGAAGCGCTAAACCCCAATTCCCAAGCCGTAAGCCCTAAGCAAGCTCTCTGTACCTTGCAGTGTGAAAGAGGCCCGCAAAAAAAGAAAGACCCGAACTCGCCTTGAGGGAACGCGAGACTGTAGAGACATCCCAAACAGCTGGCACAAGCTCTGCAAGGTAGAACTGCAGAAGTGTAGAAGCCACGGGCAGTCGCACTGAAAGGTCTTTAATAGATGTCGTCGATTCCAAGGTTCACCCGGAATGTAATCCCTAGGCCCTAAACCCCTAACCTTTCGAACGAATCCCTTCTAGCTGCAGGCTGCTAAATTTCTTCAGCGGTTTGTCGCTGCTTTGGGCTTTCCGGTCGGGTATTGCAGAGCCCCACTGCAGTATGCCATCCTCACAACGTGTAGGGTAGGGCCTGGGTTTGAGGAGGTGGCCCAAGCCCCAACTCTCAAACCAGCCCCAAACCACGACTCTCACCCCCGCCACGCCCAAATGACCTGAACCGGTCGGTGATAGCTTCTGAGGCCTGGGTCGAAGGCTTTCTAGGGAAGCTGAGACCTGGGATGATATGCATGGGTGGTTGTGGATGTTGGGGTCGCTTTTTGGGTCCTTATTATAATACGGCACCGAATATTTAGGGTACCCAAAAAGGGACCATACACCCACATAAGCAGCCCGGTTCCGAATCTCAAGCCCGAAGCCCCAAACCTTCAACCAAAGATCCCGCACAGATCCTCGTAAAAGAGGTTTCAGCACCGCTTAAACTTTACCCTCTCGCCAAAACCCGAACTCTGGAGGTCTGTCGTTCTGGTTCACTCATATAGGCGCCTGACTACTTAGTACGACTGTCTGATTATTGCATATTCAAGGCCTTCGCAGTACGTGAATCGCCTGCTGTGGTAAAGATGTTTCACATGGAGACCAGTCCGCCCGGTTTCTCCGAACCTGACGTCGTTAACCCAAGCCCTCAAACCCCGATAGAACCCGTTGTCATCGCCCCTTTGTCACCCTTAACCGCTAAACCCCTCAACCCCTAAACCCTAAACCCTACAACCCTAAACCCCTTGCCACCCTTAACCCCTAAACCCCTAAACCCTAAACCCGAAGCCGTGAACGCAACCACGTTCTAAGCGCGTGGGAGGCCTGCCCCGAGTGTGGCATGTGCTCGGCCGCTTTACGCAAAATGAAGTACTTGGAAAAGCGTGTAGGGCCTAGGGTTTAGGGGCTTGGGTTGATGATATAAAGCGTGCATTACCTTCATGACCCGAGACTATGGGAATGATGGTATCTTCCTCAATATGGGTAAGTCAGGATTTATATCATCAACCGTTGGAAAAGGGTTTGGGGGTAGGTTCTACTCCACTTTAGAGCAGGAATTCGAAGGATTCTTTGTAATACTATCCTATAGCTTAAGGCAAAAGCATCCCACGGTTTTCCGACAGCAACAACGTAAACCCTAAAAGCCTAAAGCCCGAACCCTAAACCCCTAAACTCCTGGTCCTAAGCTTTACTCGTGTGTCAAGGGACATATGGCCTCTCTTATCGTTGGCTCAACTGCATCGGGACCCTGAGGCTGCAAACCCGCAAGAAGTCCCCATCCCTCTACTCTGAACCCGTAGAAACGGCCCCACCTCAAGGATCGCTTAGGGACTTAACAACCTGTAAGCCTGCTACTTACCAAGCCCCTTGATCGTTTCAGTACCTGTCAGGTGCCAAGCCAAGCTGCTCTGATACTTTGGCCCTTGCGGTCTCCAGACACTACACTCCCTAACCCTGGTAAGTAGGAAAGCGATAACTAGGCACTAAAATCTGATGGGCCCTGACCCAATACTCACCAGCCGTGGAAACCAAGAACCCGCAGACCCAGAATTGTTTCTGATCCCAAAACCCTGTCCCCTCAGCGCTGACCGATGAAGTTCAGAGCCGCCAATTCCCTCAATCCTACGTTCGAAAGCCCGAACCTTGCAGTCTAGCCGCCAACACTTTCTCAAATCCAATAAATTGGAGGTCTGAGAAAGGTAGTCATAGCATCTTTCTGATTTCCCCTATACACGAAGAGTATAATCCACCCTAAGGCCCATATGTGAATGGGACTCTGCCTCCGAACCGAGGTTGCGGACTACGATGGCGCAGGCAGTTGCGGAAACCCTAAACCCTAAACCCTGGGCACTGTTCTCCTGGTGGAATGGCCTTCTACCTGTGGATTGCAGATGGAAAACGGAGCCCACCCAAAAATTAACCCTAAACCCTGGAGTTGAGGATTCAAGATTCGGGGGTTCAGGACTCTTAGGACTTCGTCCGCAGTCAGCGAGCATAATGTAGGAACCGGATTAAGAAACTCTGGTAGGGTTCATATGGGTGGTTGTCAATATTAGGGTCCCTTTTCGGGTCATTATTGTAAGACGGCACCCAATATTTAGGGTACCCAGCAAGGGACCATAGTTTTGACAACCACCCATATATGGAACCCTAATAAAGGCCCAAGGTTTTTTAATCAGCTTCCTGCATTATCCCCCAAGCCCTGGTGGTACAGTATTACGTACAAAAGCCCGAACCTCCCATACTCGCATCGTGCGGAAGCCTGGAACCAGCCATCGTGCGCGCTCCTACCCTTCTAGTAGTGGCTTTGTCGGGATCCCCTATTCTGAAGTTGGGGTCCAGAGTTCGGAGTTCACTGTCCGGGGTCTGGGGTATTGAAATTCATAGCTCATGGGAGAGGCAGGCCATCTAGCATGGATTTCAGAGTTTGAGAACACGCAGTTTCTTCACAGAAAGCTCCAGCAAGGTTCCAGCACCAGCAATGGTGGGTTCTCCACAAGCTTTTACGGCGGCACCGGTGGCTACGGTGGCTCCCTGCCGTGTTTTGTAGTTTGTGCAAGGGCCGTGGCGTGCTGGAGTAATTCTTGAGACTGTGTGCTTGCAGAGTGCAGGGGCTTGGTAGGTTATTGACTGAAGCATGCATCACTGAACCGTGGGATTCAGGGTTGGCTTTGGGTGTCGAGAGATGCTGCTGGCCAAAAGGTTGCAATCATGACGCCGCGCCCCCGCTTCAACATGGACTGTACCCTGCACCTTCGAATTCGCCTTCTGCCGTTTATCGTTCGTTTTCAGTTTTTCTGCCGGAGTCATCCGAATTCTCCCTCTGCCTGTTCGTTCGTTTTCAGTTTGTGTAAGATGGCCCGGGCCGGAGCCATCCGAATTCTCCCTCTGGCTGTTCGTTCGCTTTCAGTTTGTCTACGTTGGCCCGGGCCGGAGCCATCCGAATTCTTCTTCTGTCTGTTCGTTTGTTTTCGGTTTGTCTAAGATGGTCCGGGCCGGAGCCATCCGAATTCTCCTTCTGCCTTTTCGCTCGTTTTCAGTTTGTCTAAGATGGCCCAGGCCGCAGCCATTCGAATTCGCCTTCTGCCTTTTATCGTTCGTTTTCAGTGTGTCTAAGATGTTTGGGGCCGTAGCCATCCGAATTCTCCTTCTGCCTTTTCGTTCGTTTTCAGTTTGTCTACGCTGGCCCGGGCCGGAGCCATCCGAATTTTCCTTCCGCCTAGTCGTTGGTCTGAGTTTGTCTAAGATGGTTCGGGCCGGAGCCATCTTCCGTTTTCAGCTTGTTTAAGATGGCGCGGCCGGACCCATCCAAATTCTCTTGCCGCCTTCTGTCGTCCGTGTTCACTTTGTCTAAGATGGTCCGGGCCAGAGCCATCCGAATTCTCCCTCTGCCTAGTCGTTTGTTGTCAGTTCCCGTGCCGGAGCCAGCCGAATTCTGCTTCTGCCCTTTCGTTCGTTTTCAGTTTCTCTAAGATGGTCCAGGCCGGAGCCACCCGATTTCTCCTTCTGCCCTTTCGCTCGTTTTCAGTTTGCCTAAGATGGTTCGGGCCGGAGATAGAAACCCTTAGGGCCCTTTCAAGGAACCCTATTCTAAGCCCCTCTATTACCCTGCACCCTTTCAATCCTAGTCCTTCAAGGTCGGACCCAGGCTCAACAACAATCGACGCTTGAAATCCGGAAGGAAGCGTGGGCTGGCAAACCGGCTTTTAAGCAGCCCCCCTCAGCTTGTGAGAAGCTTCCTGCTTCCTCCCCTCTCAGCCCTTCCGCCTTCGAAGAGAAGCGAGGCTTTACCACATCTGCGCCAAGCACTGGCGACTTCATTGGGGCCTGCCAAGGCGAAAAAAGGGCGCAGGGGGTGTGGGCCTTGGGAGTGCTCAAGGCATAAGGCGAGGCGTAGAAGGCGTGCTACTCAGGGGATCATGGGACTAGTAACTAGAGTTATAAGTTATATGTAAGGTAACTATACTTTTAACTACTTGTAACCCCAATTATTGGTACTTATGACCTTACTTACCAAGTCCCATGATCCTCCAAGTAGAAGGCGTGCTAGCTGACATGCCTAAGTACCTCTGGCTTTTCCCTTAGCGGCCCGGAAGATGAGAGGAAGAAGCCGAGAAAGCCCAGCTGCTTCCGGTCATGTAGGTGGTGCACTAATTGGTAAATACCAATATCCTTGGGTTCCTTATTCTGAGTATACTTTATCCTGACCCAAAGCCTTGTTCTGACTACTGTGCTGAGGCCCGCATAGGAGGGACCTCAAATGAGGGCACAGGCTTTTCTCCTTTGGAGAACTGGCGTCGAGATCTCTGCAGCTCGTTGGGAGACCTCTCTTCCGCAGTCGATGCACCGCGTTTCGGGTCTGGGGGGTCTCGCGAGCTAGAAAAGGGTTTCGGCGTATGTTTCGGGTATGTTGTCGTATGCATATTTGGGACTAATTACATGTGCTCTTATGCTCATGAGTCATAACACTCCAGGCTCTTCCTGGGAGAGAATGTGGCGAGCACAGCTCGGGTGGAGAATGCAGCTGCGACGGGTGCTCAACACAGATCCAAGACCCTAAAGTACACTTTAACAGGGGGTCTTGGCAATGTTCAACTGCACTGTTTTCAAGAGAGACTTCACGAAATCGTAGTAATGTCGCCCTAAAGTTCCGGTACTCATTCTGGTGTATCTTTGCGATTGGGTTTCTTGCGTAGAGCATCGCCCGGGGTCTGAGGAATCCCTGCCAGCTTTAAGCTGATCTCGTTCTTTCGTAGGAAGCATCTTGAGGGTATCACTGATGTCAGGAGTGTCCGACCACAATCCAATCTCACACACGCCGGCAGGTGGTGAGACCACGTGGAATGCCGGCTTTGGCGACTGCAGCACGTGGCATCGGCTGAAGAGCTTTCGTGAAGTGCGGACAAAGTTCACTACACTGTCGATTCTCAACCCTGAGGGAACATGCAAGTCACATTGAGAAGTCTAATCGAAACTGGCCCTGCAGAACTCTAGAGCGCTGTAGTATATGTAGCCTACAATCGTCCGCCGTATCTAGGCCAGGTGCAAAAATCCTTGTAGGAGAACAGGAGGAGAAGAGTTCCAGGGTTATGACAATCACAATAACAAAAGAATAGACTAATAGTGACTACGATGATAGCAGCTACTACAAAATCTCATCATGAGTAGAGTATTCACTTGTTTTTTCTCATTAAGCTTTGGACTACCAATAGAATCCTGCAGCCTGTTCTAAGAGAGCGGTCGAACAATTTTCGTAACGATATCAACTTATTAGAGTCCTTATATGTATATGTACCAACGAATACCCCAAAGCCTTGTTCCCGAGCTATTCAAGCCCTCCTGCTTGGAGGATCATGGGACTTATTAAGTAAGGCTATAAGTACCAACAATTGGGGTGTTATAAGTAGTTTTAAGTATCGTTACCTAACTTCTAACCCTAGTTGCTAAGTCCCATGATCCTCTAAGTACTGTATCTGGGTTGAGGACTTCGGGCTTTAGGAGACACCAGGGCACTGGAGACTTGAAGCCACGTACGGTACAGCCAAGCTCAAGCCCAACGCCCGAAGCCCGGGAGTACTTAGAGGATCATGGGACTTAGTAACTAGGGTTAGAAGTTTGGTAGCTATACTTGTAACTACTTATAACCCCCCCAATTATTGGTACTTAGAACCTTGCGTACTAAGTCCCATGATCCTCCAAGTAGTCCAAGCTGAACGAGGTATGCTCCGAATTCCGGGAACCATTACTGGTGCCCCTATGACACGGACTCCAGTGGCATCGTCGCCTACCAGGACCCTGCAGTTGCATCAAGCCGCGCAAGTGCCGTGATCCTAGGGAATCGAGGACCCTGATCGGAAACCCTTAACAAATCCTCAGCCCTGAGTCAAAACAAAACTTAAGGTGGGTGGAAGGTCAGGGTCTGAGGTGCAGGATATTTGCTGTTCGAGTTCAGTTTGAAGGAGCTTCCTGCCGACAGCATCCCCAAAATAGCGACCCAGGACCTAGTTGCCACCGCTTCCGGAAGCCCGCATCAGGGTTGCCTTCTAGGTATACAACCTCGTGGCAGTATGTTAGACTAGGACGAAGCATTAAGCAAAACACACCCACGCATCGGTGTGCTGACTTTGGCAGGGTGGGTGGGCTTTCGCTTTGCCCTAAAGCTGAACCCTAAAGCCTAAACCCTGAACCTTTTTTCCCAGATCCTGCACAAAGCCCAGAAACCTTCAATCGGCCTAGAAGGCCAGAGACCCCCACACGCCCCAGGCCCAGGTACAAGGGCTGGGCCCACAACGGGGAACCGGCCCTCAAGTGAGCAGAAGCAAGTTTTTCGGCTCAACCCCGCCAAAAACCCAAAGAGGCCAACAATGCACAGCAAAACCACACCCTGGCGTGAGCTGCCGCCAACTCTAAATCCCAAGTCCGATGCCCCAAACTACTCAAGCCAACATCCGATGCGAGCTTTGGTACCCTGGCCTTCCGACAAGCCGAAGGATCATAAGGGTGTTGCAGGGCTGTGCGAGGTAGTATGAGTGTTCACAGACGTTTAGTTGAAAGTGTTCTGAGCTGTTGCTATTACTGTCGTGGCTACCGAACTGACACCTAGAACAAGCTCGCAGGTGTGCCCTCAGTGCGGTCGTTGCTCTGTCCCTTGCCCATGCACCATGTGCTTTTTGCAGTCGTTCGTGGTTTGGTCGGAGTAGTTAGGCTCAGTGAACCTGCGCATCCCGTTTGCTTCAGAGGCATAACAGACTAGTGGCGGAAATTGCAGGTTTGGTGCAGGTACTGGAGTTTCAGAGCTCCTATTGGGGAGTTCACATCATGATGGTAACTATTTGGGTACTAGGACCTCAATAGTAGCCCTATTACAGACTGTTACTGTATGGGGGGGGGTACCCAAGTAACTGCCGTGGTCGTTGTAATTATCGCCAAGGTTTTGCACTTAGCCTCAAGCTCGTCGCAACCCTGCGGCTCAACATCCCGGACATCACCACTGCACAAACCCACCTGCAAGTCGTCGTACATATGTACATATATGTATATATATATATATATATATATATCGCATAGTGTATGTATACACACTTTATCAAGCATATACCACAGACATAGGTATAGTACTTATATATATATATATATATATATGCACATACATACGTCTATATATATATATATATATATATACACACACATATGTGTGTGTATGTATTTACCGTGGTTCAAGATCTCCGGTGCTGACCCATCGACCGTGCTCAAGACCTCAAGCCAACGCTCCAAGCACCTGCCGAAACACAAGGCCCAGAAGCCAAAGCCATAATCAAGTAATATGCATTCTCTTTCCCTCTCTCTCTGAATATACATGTGTGCATGTATACACCTAGTCTACGTTACATGCCGTATATACTACGGGCATATATACGCCGCACAAATAGTATTACATGCACTGTACATACTTGGCCAATCCACGGCGGCTTCCGCGGCCCACAGGCCGTGGGCTACGGCGCGCGGTCCCGCGCGGCAACACACCAACAGCACCCCAGCGACAACAGCAACAACAACACCAGCAGCAGCAATAGCAGCAACAGCAGCAGAATCATTTGGCGATTTCAGTTCGTCATACATTAAGCAAACCCCGCATTTGGCGGTTCTGGTTCATCACATATCATAAAAGTGCCCTCTCGGGTATATACCATGTATACTGTGTATGCAGAATTTGTAGATACGTGCATACATACATACATGCATCATAGTCTACACATGCATGCATACATACATGCATGAAAGTCTATAAACACCTTACATGCTGCATGTACTATGTTTACAAAATGAGCTGTGTATACGGTATATAGTGCATATGTTACATGTTATATATACTGCCTTCATCTTTGATGTACACTACATATACAGCATGTGCATAATGCATGTGTGTCCATATGTATATGTGTATAACTGCAGTTTTACATGTGTATGTATACATACGCATTATATGGACATACGATGCACACACACACACTATTCGTATTAGATGTATTGTATGTAGTATATACAGTGTACATATACCACACTACATACACTACATATACCGTGGATGCTATCTACTGTGTTTAAGGTTTATACTGCACATACTGTATGCAACGTATACACTAATTCTACTATGTATCTACATTGTATATACTGTACACACTATTGGTACTACATATGTGTACAAATGTATCAGCACTATATACACTCTGTATCCTCTGTTTACTGTATGCACAATATGTACCATAGGTATTGCATATATTATGTACTTTCTTCACCGTAGATATGTACATGTATATGTATACACACACACACTCTCTCTCTCTCTCTCTCTCTCGCTCTGATTCTTGCAAATGTACAAACACACACGCTCTCTCTCTTTCTCTCTCCCTCTTCCTCCATACACGCACATCGATATACTTATATATATATATATATATATATGTATATATAGGTATACACATGTGAATTTTCACATGCGTACGCAGCCATAGGTGTGTAGGTAAATACATGTGTATACATATATATATATATGTGTGTGTTTGTATATGTGTATGCTTATATATGTATATATATATATATATACACATATAAACGGCCGTGGACCATGAATCACATGCCATCTACTTTCTTGACCGCACACCATATACCACATGCCATACACCGTCTGCAGCGTGCCATATAGTATATGCCCAATACTAGATACAATACACTGTGTACCATATACTGTATACTATACTATACTTTACATAAAGACATGTTCTTTAACCCTACATTCTACATGCTCTTTTCTATAGACTACACCATGTACGATATACCCCATGCTCGGAAGCACGAAAGCTCTCCAGTCGCCCGGGCTCGCGTCAGCCGAACTAAGGGGTCGTCGTCCGCGGATGAGGACTGTTCCACTCGGTCCCTTCTTGAGGGCTATAGAAGATACGCTAAGGGGTCCAATCGAGACAGTTTAGGATTCATGGATTGGGGTGTTGAGGACCTTCTAGGGTTGAGGTTTTGAGGAAAGCCCCAAACATGGCATAGGACCAGCCCTAAAAGCCAGGCATGTCCAGATGGGGTCGAGCTTTCAACCACTGTTGCATAGTAAGCCAGGCTTGTGCAGTCCCTTCACAAGTACACGGAGTAACGGCAACAACAACAACAACAATGAGACTACATGGGTGACCGCCCTTGAGGGCTTCACTAGCTGTTTGCACTCAGCCAACTACAAGTTAAGTAAGTATGTAGGTAGGAAAGGTAAGCATGTATGCATGGATGCATGCCTGTATGGCCACAGGCATGTACCTGTTTATGTATGTATGTATGTGTATGCAGGTATGTCTTCTCCGAAGTCCGAGAAGTCCGAAACCAAAGCCCAATACCGGAAGCTCTAAACCCAAGCCGAGGCCTAAATCCTAACTCCAACGCCCTGGCTTTACGCTCTAGCCAATATCTGGTATGGCCACCTGCTGCAGGAGTTCGTGTCCATCAACTGCGATGAATGCCGCCCCTGGGCTTCCGATGTTTATTGAGCAGTTAGTTTCATGTGGGTTTAGGGTTGTTTATCGCTCAAGGCGTTCATGCTTCGTCGCTGCTGCGGGTCGCTAGTTGCCGGAAGTTGTTGTGGGCCCTGAACCCTGAACCCGAAACGAAGCACCTCCACGAATCCAAAAATGATCAAGCTGCTAGCAGGTGGGTTGGAAGGAACGGGATTACGAATTATGCCGGCAACCTGTGACTGTCGAATGTGTAGCCTCGTTACAACTATGCGGTAATGTACCTTAAACTCGCCATGAGGTTTCTTATGAGTTTAGGGCTCTAGGGTTGTTGGGTTTGGGTTTATAGCTTACAACAAGTCGCCAGTCTTTGTATCGAGGCGCGCATGAGTTTCTCTCTGGACCCTGCAGAATTCGGGTCCGAGGAGCCATCTAAACGCCGGCTATAGAGGTCGGAATTACGAACACTCTTCTTCAGGATTGACATTATGCAAGCATCTACTCCAGGCCTCTGTACCCTGTATTACATGGGAGTTCACATCGGGCAGCCCTTAGAGGAGTGCCACGTTTTACGGGGGATTGGGCGCTTTCGTGAGATGTCCATCTCTCATCACATTATATGGAAGTTTTCGAAAATTCGTGGTTTTGGGGTCCTCATAAAAAGGATCCTACTATTTAGCGTACGAAAGGGTCCCCTATATTCGGAAACTCCCATATCGTACCAGGCCACCCGAGATGTCGGTCGGTTTCCAAAGCCTGTACTTGTAGACACCACCAGAAACTCCGAGAGTTAGCAATTGCCGTGCTAGCCCAGATCCCGGGTGTAGCAGCCACCGGAAGAGACCATGGTCCTCCGAAGAAACACGTGTTTGTCTTTGGCGAGCTCGGGCATAGTCCCACCAAGCTGCATCCTACCCCTTGCGCCCGAACTTGATTTAAAAGCCGTAGACCACTGTGCAACCGAAAAGAGCCGAGACATTTCGGCATGGACCTCGACATCTACGTGCCTGGACGTGAACGGCACTTCCACCGTTGAGGCTGCACAGAAAGGTCTTTAGAACGTGGTTAAGGGTTTAGCAGTGTTTAGGGGGAAATCCATGTAAGGGCTTATGGCAGACGGTCGTGCGCCGGCAGAAAGCATGGTAAGACCGGGAGACATAAGCTCAAGAGCCCCACCCAGCCGAAGCTCAACTATCCAGGAAAAAGGCACGTGATCCAGGAACATGGTGAAGGACGACACACAAGCACATTACCACGTTTGGGCTTGTTCCGTTTCAAGCATCCTGAAGAGTAGTCGGGAGCACGCTAGAATCACAAGGGGTCACTTGGAGAAGACCCCGTACCTTGCACCCTCGACCGCCGCAAATCCTGAGTGCACGAGCCACGCGCCCAGAGCACTATCTTCAAGTCGGTGGTTGTCAAAATTATGGTCCCTTCTTGGGTCCCTATTGTAATACGGCACCTATCATTTAGGGTACCCAAAAAGGGACCATAATGTTGACAACTACCCACGTGGCCTCCCCCACCAATTCGACACCCTCAGCCCGCAGACTCCCGGCCTTGTCACACTGAGCCCGAAGGACCTTGGATCCTAAAACTCAAGAGCCATCCCGCCTCAGTCCTGGTCCCAACACCTCTTGTAAAGAAGCCATACTTTAAAGGAGCCCTATTATAGAACCCTTGAAAGGGAACCCCATTATCGAGCCCTTCAAAGGGAACCCTATATTACGAAACTCCTTAGTAGCATCCTGGAGCCCTCAAGGCCTCAAAGCCTTGAAGCCCTGAAGCCCTACGTACACCTGCCAGCACCTCAAACCTTGAAGCCAAGGCCTACCATAGGGTTCCCCTTGAAGGGTTTAAGGTCTGGGGTTCAGGGTTTAGGGTCGAGGGTTCAGGGTTTAGGGTTCAGGGTCTGAGGTTCAGGGTTTAGGGTTTAGGGAGTCCTAGAGGGGCTTTGCATACGGGCAATGTAGGGTTTTGGGTACTGGCTCGAGTGGTGACCAAGGCTTTTCCCTACCACAGAGCTCCTTACAGTAGCATGTTTCTACGATGATTGTATATTTTTATATACCTCAGCTCCCGTTCCATGGTTTCAGGCCCCCTATATCAGCAGCCCCACATAGACCCTTAACCCTAACCCTAAGCCCTCAACCCTAAGCTCTGAACCCTAAACCCTCAAGCAGAAACCCTCAACCCTAAACCCTAAACCCTAAACCATCAACCATAAACCCTCAAAGGCCCTCAACAAAAAACAAAGAAACACTAGGCGCCTCCAAGAGCGAAGCCCAAAGCCTCTGCCAGCGCAGGCCTGTGCGAACGAGACGCTGACCGCCGAGGGCGACGAAGAAGCAGAAGTTTAGGGCAGGTTTGTTGGGTTCTGATAGGGTGTTTCAAGTGTTCTACAGGATTTTTGGTTTAGGGTTTGGCGCTTCACGGTTTAATAAAGCAGCAAGACTGTGACAGACATCTGGCAACATGGCAACATGATAATGGGCCCCCCCGAGAACACAGGCTCTTTTCCGGGGCTTTGACCACAAGATGAACTATGGCAAGTTTGGTAGTTCTTTTCTATCTCTATCTCTATCTCTATCTCTATTTATGTGTGTATCAGCTGGCAACCCAGGCTTCGCCTTCACCCTGGAGAAGCACAGCGACTGCTCCGGAGGCCCCAACAGTTTTCGCATTTCAGTTGTTTTGCCGGAGCGGGTTGGGGCATTTAGGGTTTAGGGTTTAGGTTAGGGTTTCTACATTAGGAATCACTATTATGATTTGGGAAAGTATACACCATAGCAGTACCTAGAGGCTGTGGGCCGGGGGGTCTTTTTTTCGAGATGTGGGGGTTCCGGATCTGAATTTAGTCTTTCGGGTTTTGAGGGTGTAGAGATGTGTTTGTTTGTATCTAGGCTTGAAGTTTTAGGGGATTTAGGGATTTAGGCGGTTTAGTGGTTTAGGGTCAGGGTGTAAGCTTTAACGAGGGATTCGGGGTGAGGCTTCACGGCTTCAGGCGTTGGCTCGGGAGCTATTTGGGGAGGGTGCGTGCGCCGGACAAGGCTTTGCGATACATCCCAGGGAAGCCGAAACTAGGCGGAAGGTATCCTACAACAGGACTACCAATTCAGGCTGCGTTATGACACAGTTTGGGACAAGGCTTGAGGCTTCAGTCTGCACGGGGAGGGGACTTTTCGTCCGGTTTTCTTTGCCAAAGCCACAGCCACCTTAGCTGCTTATTCCCGGCACTGCTAGCATTGTCTCAGGGTGCCTGGGCATGGAAGAAATTGGGGATGCGAGAATTTCGGATCTTAGACGAATTCGAGGGATCAAGGCTGGTGGCAGTATCTTTGGAGGACCGGCGGACTTAGCAAGCCGGGGTCTACGAACAAATGCACGACTCTTGTTGTTTTTACTCTGCAGGGTTTTAGGGTTTCTTGGTTGGGATGTAGGGTTCTTGTTATCGCTTCGCATCGTCCCCCTAGGCCTGAAACCCGAAACTCAAAACCCCGAAACCTTAAACCCGAAATCCTAAACCCTGGCCGGGCGGGGATTGGTGGGTGCGGGCGTAAGTGAAACTGCACACGGAGCCCAAATCTATTGGAGAAGATTTCACCGCAGAGGTTCACACAGAAGGGGGGGGCGGCAGGGTTTTTTTCGGGGTGAGGGGTCAGCGGGGAGGGGGTTAAGAGGTCGGGAATAGAGGGAATTTGGGTAAGAACCTCTCACCGCTTCGGCCGGGGCCGAGGCGAATTATATCGGCCCCTACAGCAGGGTTCTCAGGACGGCTGAATCTCGAGTAGCAGGTCTCTCCTTCCAAAGGCCCCGGAATCTAAAGAGTCGAAGCCCCTATACGATCTGTCCCAGATCCATTGGCTCTTGATGCAGTCTGGGATCCCAAAAACCCTAATACCCTAATACCCCAGTACCCTTTTATCCTAATACCCTATTATCCTAATACCCCAATGCCTTAATTAATATCCTGAACCCCGAAGGGCAATATGGCCAACCCCCCTCCCAAAACTTTCTATGTCTCAAGCAGCACAGTGAGATGCAGGTGTCAGGTGCGTCATCTACACGGACCGCTTCCCTTCTCAGTTGCAGACGCCTTCCAAGGGTTTGGTTCTTCAGTCGATATACAGGGGCCCTGAATACGGGGCAACCTTGAGGAATATGGGAGTTTCGGAAATTAGGGTACCTTATTTTGGAGTCCTTATGAAAAGGACCTTACTATTCAGGGTACTATATTAGGGTCCCCTATTTTCGGAAACCCCCATATGGTTTGTGAGGATTTAGGATTTAACGCGAGGGGTTTCCGGCGCCTCTGCGAGCTCTGAGGGCTCTTTTGCGGATCTTCGGTGTCTCTCGGGCTGAAGCCGCCCTTGAAAGATGGATGTGTAGATGATGATGCAGGGGTACCCCTGCAGCAAAAAAGAAGCCTTATAGTAGTTTTCCTACATCTTACAGCCCAAACGAACCTTCCTGCAACTCTGCAGCTGACTCTCCGAAGCCTCGGCATCTTCAACCAACCCTTCCAGTCCCAGTCCCGAAAATCTTGAATGAGGGTTTAGGGTTTAGGAGGAAGGCGCACGGAAAAAGAAGTCTGCCGCGTTTGCGGAAGAGCTTCCGAACCTCAAACCTTCAGGTCTAAACCCTAAACCCTAAATCCTACTGGGCTCGATCTGCTTGAGCGTTTTCTTGCTTGCCTGGCGGGTTGTTGCCTCGACATCGAATCTTTACTTAACATGGAAGCCTGAATCATTCGTAATGCGAGTCCCTTGGGCTTTTCGTAATATCCCCCCAAACACTATTCCGAAAGAGCAAGGCCCATTATATTAGGAGCTAGCCGCCCTAGCTCTGAACCTGATGCTCACCTGCTCTACACCCAGCATTTGCGAGCCGGCAGCACTTCTGAGAATACAGCTCAATGTCAACACCAACTCCGAAAGTCCTGATGCAAAGAGCCCTAAATCTCGCAGACCCGCGTTGAACCCTACATCCTCTGAGAGGACGAGACAAACTTCTTCCCCACAGATTTTGAAGCGCCCTGTGGTACCTTTGCGCTCGCGTGGCTCAGCCGGGTTGACACGAGAAGTGCGTAAATAGAACTAGATAACACCACGAGGGTACAGACATCACAAGTTGTTATTTTCCGATGGATGGTGGTTTTAGGAGTGGGCTCTTCGCGTTATGGGTTCATGGTGTCTGCCACACCTTCGTTTCATTTTGCCAAGGCCCCGTAAAACCCTAACTTGCCCTAGGCACTAAACCCCAACCCCATCTGAACCCCAAGCTTCTATCGGAGCCTTCAACCCTAAACCCTTATATAGGGACCTTGGTACTTAGAATGGAGTCTTGGGGCTCATTATGCTCCAAACCCAGATCCTAAACCTTAAAAAACCCATCAAATTTGCAGCCTCAGCCCTAACTCTCTCCATAAGTCCTATAAGCCCCAGTACCCGATTACACCCGAAGCCCGATCCTTTTTTTTGGGGGGGGGGGGGGAACGGGGGGGGGGGGGGGTTGTCCTCAATACTTTATAAATTAACCGAATCATCTTGGACCCACTCTATGCCCCAAGCCCCAAACCTTGAACCGTGAACGCTATTAAAGCTAAATCCTAAATAGTAAAGCCTGAGGCTCCAGTGTTCAAACCCTAAGACCCTAAATGCATTAACCCGAATACACTGAAACCTTATCCGGGTCCTTTGGATGCTGAGGCAAGAGTCCTGCACGGAAAGCACCATCGAGGGTCAGCTGCCCAGATCTGCGGAAGGCAAGCATTTGGTGTTCCCGTTCGGGCTTTATGCCGGAGGGTTTGGGGACTTTTGTGGTTTATAGGTACAGTATCTGGGCTTCAGGGCTTTGGGCTTCCGTTTTATGACCTGGTGCCGTTTACACCCAGGCGCGTTCTTCGTCCGATATGGCCTCGCGCCGCTGATGCTGCCTGTGATGGCCGGGGCCTTTTTTTGAATGTGCCAAATGGTGTTTGAGGATAGGATTTTGTCACGGGCCGGGCATCTCTGCCTAGATGCATCGAATTTCGCGATTACACGATGCTGAACCGTAAGCCATGAACCGCAGCATTTTCAGACCAGAGCGGATGGCATGTGGGCTACGTAGGCCTTCTTTGTCAAACGAATTCCAGATACCTGACAGTGAGAAGTCTAGGGTCTGCTGGGCATGGACACTTTAAGGGGTGTTGGCTTCTTTTCCGCGATGATCATATGGATGACGATCACGGTGTTGATGATGAGAACACAGATCGTTATGATGCTCTTGCAGCCTTTGTTTTCTGGTGCATTGAGAGTTGCTTGTTCCTAAAGCCTAGGCTCCAAACACCAAGCTCAACTCGCACCCTCAAGCCCCTAAGCCCCACACCCTAAACCCTATAACCCTATAACCCTAAACCCTATAAGTAAGTTAAGAAAACCCCTGAGCCCCAAAAAAAAGTCCCTAGAGAATGCCGCACCTGCGCCTCTGCACTTTTAGCCTCAAAGCCGACACCCCACAACCCGTGGCCGGAAGAGCCCGCGGTTCTAGAAAAAGTGCGTTGATAACCAGAGTAAGGTTTTGGGGTAGAGAGCCCTGCCTAAGAACAGAATGGGTTTTGGGGGTGGGTTGTCGTACAGGGGCGAGGCGAATTTACTGCTGTTCGCTATGTAAATAACCATTACAGGACATTTTCTTAAATCGTCGAACGTCGTAATTATAACTGTAGCAACAATTTACCCCAAGACCCTAGTCTAATTATTAAGGCCCCTACAGTATACCCCAAGCCCCAAACTACGTCGAGGCGGGCACGATCCCCTCTGACTTCCTTGACGCTTGGAGCAGCTCGGTGCATTTGGGTGGAGAACTCCACAGGTGGAGTCTTTTGGTGCTGTCGGCTTCATGAATTTAGGAGGGTTCTGGGGCACTCTATGATAACTACAGCTACGTAAGAACTGTAGGAAGACAATAGTACTAGTACGGCCCAGGCGCAACATAGACGCCGTGCGGCCAAAGGGCACGGTTTAATTTCTATCAACGGATAAAATCAATTTTTTGCCCCCCCCCCCCCCCCCGGCACCGCCTCTGCCCCCCAGAGGAGCAAGGCTGTTCAGCTTCCCCACGTGCCCTCCCCTCTCTACAGGGCTTCTTCTCGATGTGTCTTCTTGTGTGTGTATGTTCTTTCTCTCCTGGTTTACTTGCATGTTGGGTTTGAAACTCTTTATGGTCAACTTCCAAATCCTGAGGCATGTGGCCTAATGCCTGATTCCTGGTTTCTTTTGTCGTTTTTTATCTCTTCTTTCTATTTTTCAGGAACTCGTAGGACAAGCCTGGAAGCGAACGACTTCAGTGCGCAGGGTTGGGCGCTTTAGGTTTTGGCTTAGTCGAGAGTGCAGAATTTCTATTTGGGCTCTTGGGTGTCATTCCGTTCCATGCGACGGAGTCCGGAGAAGATGCTCTCTGGTAGCTCGACCTGTCGTTGCCAAGGCCAGTGGTGGAAAGTGGGGTTGTCCGTGCGCCGCTTCGCTGAATCACTGAGATTTCAAGCTCATAGGAGACCAAACGGGGTTTTAGCTTATGGGGGTTTAGTAGGGATTAGGGTTCCCATAAAAAGGTTCATATGAAGGAATCCCTACCCCAAGAATCTTACACCGCCTCCCATCAGCTTAACCGGAAGCTTCTCGACAGCTAATCCTGGTAATTGCACTTGCGATCTGAGCTGCTCCTTGCATGGGCCCCCGTGGCCCGGGCTTTGGGGGTTCTCCCTTCCGTTCTGAACTAGACAACGAAGCCTTACCGGAATCCCTGCGAGATCACACAGGTTCAGGGCGAGTGGTTGGGGGTGTCTATGCATGCTTGTGTGCATTATTGTACTGCAGTCCGCAGGAGAATTGTTTGCGCAGTTGCCAACATCAAAGTTTAGGTGATGTGTGGTGCCTCACCCGCAGTCAGACTACCTGGTTTCTTGAAGGAACCTCCCCAGGTTGAGAGCAACACCCTTACCCTAAATCCCACACCAACCTTACAACAGCCCGTGGACCCTTAGCGGCGAAGCTCAAACTCGAGCCTCATCAAAACAGGTTTAGGTTGGGTACCGCCCCCACCCAGTAACAGTTAAATGATATTATTTTTTTGGATATATTACGACCTTCATAGTAGCCTTATTATAGATATATTTGGACCTTGGTAGTAGCCTTACTATAGACTGTTACTGTACAAGGTCCCTACAGCCTGGCAAAAGAAGCTGCCTGCTTCTGCGACGCCTGCAGCTTCACCAAGGTCAGGCGCTCGATCTCTCGTGGCGAAACCGTAGATAAACCTGGGTTTGGAGTACCACACTCCACACTTGAATACTTTTTCTTGGTACTTCCTTAAAGGAGCCAAAATGAAATAGAAGTCTATACTTCTTCCTCCCTGGTTCGTAAAGCCTAAGCCCCGAGACCCTGAACAAAGGGGCCCTGGGATAAATACCTGTGCCTGAACCTGCATTCCCTATAACTATAGTTATAAGCCCTATAAGGGGGCTTAGAACCCTACTTCGAACTACCCACGAACCTTCAAGTCTAAGCAAGGCCCATGCATTCGCATTCTTACTAACGAGCCGTCGGCTTTGAGAAAGGAGGGGGACAACAACCCTAAACCCCACAAGTGAGCCCGGAGTCCGAAACCCGAAGATGATTTGGGAGTGTCCGAAAATTAGGGGTAAGTTATTTTGGGTCCTGACAATAAGGATCCTACTATATTTTCGGCACTTTGTTAGGGTTCCTTATTTTCGGAAACTATCATTTCCTGGTCTTGAAGTTTGGGGCCCAGGGCATCGTTCAGGCATGTTCAGGCTTTCCGGAGGTGTAGCCCGTGGCTTTTACAGTATCCCCCCCCCCCCCCCGCGTGCAGCAACATCCAATTTGCGCGTGCCTTCTGTGGGAAAACCTAGAACTTGATCTCTAAACTCCAGGCCATTTGTGGTTTTGGGGTTTTGGCTCCAGCGCGCTGTTTTGACAAGAGATTTACGGATTAGCGTGTAGGATTTCGGGTTTAGGGGTTGCATTTGTTAACAGGAGCGAATCGCTGTCAGATTATGCGAGTTTGGCGTATGATGAACCCTTGCAAGAGGTCGCATAGGGCTGTGTAGAATCAGAGTTTTTTTGTGTGCCTATAGCGAAGCTATACAGGGATATTGGCTACTTCCATCTCAGACCCTGAAATTGCCTAGTCTCGCCCCCAAACCTAAGCCTAGAAGCCGAAACTCAACATCCCAAAACGCTCAACCCGAAATCCCTTAACTTCAAAGTTCCAACACCGTAGACCCAAAAGTCTTCCTGAAACCCCAAGCAAGCCGAGATCGCGACAAACTTTGCCACGCACCGGCCTTGGCACAGAAGACTTTCCAATATGGTTAGTGTAAACCATAATATCCAAAGTAGCATGTTTAAGGCCATTCCTTTCTCATAGCCACTCAGAAGACCCCAGTCTAGTTATTTAGGCATCTGCAAAGGTTATTGTCTTGCTGTGCCCCAAACCCTGAACCCGTTTTGGGGTCGACGTGAGGGTTTCCGGGCCCCAGGGCCCTCGGATATCTTTCTGGAGATTTTCAGTCGAATATACATGGGAGTTTCCAACATTAGGGGTACCTTACTTGGGGGTCCTTCTAATAAGGATCCTACTATGTAGGGTACTACATTATGGTCCCCTATTTTCGGAAACTCCCACATCTGAACCTCTGGTTCAGGGATGCTAGGGTTGAGGGTAAGCAATTTCCAACAACTCGCTGTCATACGCGGCATGTGAGGCGATACGCCCGTTGCAAGTCGCGTCCAGGAATACAAGAGACAGAGGGAGCGAGCGAGAGAGACAGAGATAGAGCAATGCATCGGAAGCTCACGCCCAGAACAGACTCTGTCGTACATACTGTTTCGATAGACGGTTCGTCTGCACTTATCCCAGAGCTCAACATCCCTGCCCCCCGAACTTAAGAACGACGAAGCCAGACACTCCACACACACAAACCCGAGCCCCAGCACCAAAACTCTTGGGATGCAACTGCGGAGCCTTCTCTAGAGGACACCGGCGGTTTTGATGCACATCGACGCCCGGCGAAAGATGACAAGCTTAGCTTTAGTTGATGGCCCTCTTGTGTAGGCCGAAATCATGGCTTTCGGGGTTTCATCAGAGTTTTTTAACGTTCAGGGTTTTGGACTTGTCTCTGCTTGGAAGATGTTGGTGTCTTTCTTCATGTGCCCAGCTTTGCAGCCCGGCATAGTTTGTTTAGGTTTCTGAAGACTGAAACTCTTAAACAGCATAGTCACCGTCAAAACCTCCTGTAGCTTTTCTGCTGCGAACTCCGTCAGTCGAGATGTTGAGCCTCCCTTGAGGAATGATCAGTCTCAAATCCCTACACTCGAACTTTTGAGCAGCAAACTCGCATGTTACATCAGCGACAGCAGCAAAAGCCAAACATTTCCCAGGGTGAATCCGCGAGGCTCGGAACAGAAACCGCAATGCTGGGAAACCCAAAGCTTCGACGGACCCGGTTTGAGCCCAAATGCCAAAGGCCCCAAGAATCTAAAAGCAAAAACGCGCACAGAGAGAGAGAGAGAGAGAGTCTTTCAGGGTATTGGGTGATATTACGGTTCACAAAACGCTGTCCTCACCCGGCTAAACGTGTCACACCACAGACCGCGGACCCGCGGGAGGGGCGTGCTCCTCCTTGTCCGAGTGCAAGCAAGAGAGAGAGAGAGAGAGAGAGAGAGAGAGAGACGCCCGCAAGCGCCGGTCCCTTGCAACACTTTGCCTTGAGCTGACTTCCGGCTCAAGGACTCCGACGCCTTAGAGTTCGGGCAGGACTGACCCGAACCCGAAATCCGGCGCCAGTTTCGACGCCCTGGCCCTTCAGCTTTTGGGAGCTCCGTTGCGGCGGAAGGTAGCAGAGGTCGTTCGTCTTGGCCGCATAAGGCAGGCCAGGTTCGGTTTGGAATGATGTGTATCTGTCGGGTACACCTCCCTAGCGAACAAGGAAGTGCATCAGGCTCTGTCAGGTTTTGCTTTCTGGCTTGGACTGAGCTTTTTGTCGACCAACGGCCAGTGTCTGTGGAGCGCTTGCAGGCTTCCTTCTCGGCACCTTGACGAGACAGCTCCGAACGAAACATGCGCAGTTTCCACTTCCATTCATAGTGCATGTTTCAGTCAGGACTTTCCTTTTTCCCGGCTATCCTAAACAGCGTTGCCCCCAAAAACAGGGTTGCAAGGCTCTTGTGGTTGTAGTCTTCAGGCAGGGGTTTTGCTGCCTGTGCTTCAGGGTTTAAGGACAAACGGAACAAGGAAGGAAGAAGGGAGAACACCATGCCCAACAAAGGGTTGCATACTTGAATACTACAGGGGCTTAACTAACTAGTTAAGGCCCCTATATCATAGAGCCCTTCTAGTATCCCCGGATAGTGGCCCTTACAGGCCCCTTTAAAAGAAGCAATTTCTGATTATTGAGGCCCCTATAGTAGGGCTCGTTGTCGCCAGAGACTGCTGGAGGAGCTGCTTCAGGCCAAGGAGCACCAGGCGCCTCGGATGGTTGGTGGTCGCTTCGAGCACGTCGTGGTCGAGAGAGCTGGGGTTTTGGGGTTTCAGGGTTTAAGCTTTAGGGTTGAGGGTTCAGGGTTTCCGAGGGCTCGGAAAAGAAGGATTTCGGAGATGAGGAGTCTGCTTGAAAGGGCAGGCTTTGCCCTGAATTCACTTGTGCGTCCGCCGATGAGTCCGGGGCGGAGGTTGAGCATGCGGTGCCTGCGGAGGTTGAGCATGCGGTGCATGGTGGTTCCAGAATTTCGGTGGGAGGACGGCCACGAGGGCTTATTGCGGCTTCTTGCCGTTTGAATGTATGGGAGCAAAATGCCATTTTCTGTTGCCCGGCCTGTCAAAGTGCTGGCAGTATGTGGTGCTGGTAGCCGTGTAGGTGGTGGTTGTGGTAGTGGCAGTGGTGATAGCAGCAGCAAGACTTGGCTGGCGATGGGAAGGGGCAAAACGGAAAAAGAAGAACAGCAGCAAGCAACAAAGCAACCCAAAGCCCTATGGCATGAGCCCTACCCTAACCTACCAAACCCTACATTTTTTGTAGGTTCTTATTATGAACCCCAATATGGACTTTATAGGGACCCTACAATAAGTAGGGTTTGGTAGGTTCAGGTAGGGTTATGAGTTTGCTGAACCTTGAACCCCTGAACTTGAAATCAACCCGAGCCTGACTGAGATCTGGAACGCGGCGTGCCCAATGGTTGCAGCCAGGAGCCACTCGCCTTCATAGCCGTGCCGGGGTGATTCTGATTTGGGGTTTAGGTTTGATTTAGGGGTTTTGGAATTTTTAGGGTTTCGAGTTTTGGGTTCCGGCAAACCCCGAAGAGGAATTGCGACCCGTGGGGGGGCAAGCAACGCTTTCATGTGCCCTGAATGCCACAGTAGACAAGCAAGTAACATGTAGAGCAGGTTAAAGCCCTATATTAGATCTTGAAGGGGGGTGACCGCACATGTATACATATATATATATATATATATATATACACATAGACACATAATATCCGAAGAGGTTCACGGGTAGGATTCCTAGGAATCCTAGGAGAACTCCGAGCTGCTTGCCGAGGTTGCTTTGCGCAGAACCCGGTTTGCTCCAACTTCAGCTCCTCCCTGTCGGCCCGGCCCCTGAGATAGGGTTTAGGGGTCGGGGGTTTAGGGGTGTAGGGGTTCAGGGGTTTAGGGGTTTAGGGGTTTAAGGGTTTAGGGATTTGGGGGTTTGGGGGTTTAGGGGTGTAGGGGTTTAGGGGTTTAGGGGTTGGGGGTTTAGGGGTTTGGGGGTTTGGGGGTTGGGTTCATGATACAAGGGCCTTAGGAAGCAGAACAGGGTTTTGGGGCCATCATACTAGTCATAATAAGAAGCCCCTAAAGTAGTATAGGTAACTATTAAGGTCCCCACATTAGGGCTTCCGGGGAAATAAAGTCTCGGTTCGTGGCTTGAAACAGCTCTACTTGGAGGTTCATGGGTAGTTATACGTGGTGTTGATAACCCCTTAATATGGGTTACAAGTATGGTTACCCTAGTTATAACCCCACGTATAACTACCCATGAACCTCCAAGCAGGGATGGCATATTCTCAAATCCAGTAGGAGCCTGGGATGTTCGGGATTTTTTGCATTGGGGGAGCTGGGGATTCCAGGTTCAAGCTTGAGGATTTTAGAGAGGTGGGATGGATGGTTAAGGGACTATGGGGTTTCGTGTTCGGAGCAACAGCCCAAGAAACGGAAGTGGATTTGGGGGTGTTCGTAGAGGTCGTATTCATACTATTCATACTAATGATTGATGCCCTTGAACCTTCCCTTACGGACCCTACTCGTTGTTCCGCAGTATCAGTATGTTCGAAGGAGCATTTGGGAGCAATCTTAAGTTGAGAAATGCACGTGCCAGCCAAGCCGGAAGCTTAGTGGTGGTTTGGGGCATAGCAAGGCGAGCTGAAATCCTGTAACCAAGCCGAATGCCACGTGTAGATTTCGGTCGCAACCGTGAAGTTTCCAAAACGCTCTACCTACTGGCTTCAAAAAGCACTCGTTGTAGCCACGTGAATGCAATAAACATGGGGATCCTTGACGAGGCCTTCCCGAAGTGTCTGGAGCACCCCCCCTAAACCGAAAGAGGGGCCTTAATAATTAGAATAGGGTTTTGGTGCCCAGTAGACTATCATTAGAGTAAGGAACCCCCCAAAAAAGTATTAGTAATGATTTAGGCCCCAACTCCTAAGCCTCAACTCCTGAGCCCTGAGCACCCGACTCGTCAGTTTCTGGGCACTGCCTTTGCCGACCTCGAGACGCCGGATAATGCCTCGTGCAGCGCCGCAGGCCGGGTGTGGGTGTAGGGTTGAGGGTTTAAGCTGTAGGGTTTGGGGGCTCAGGCCTTTGAGACTCAATGGATTCGCACACAAGTAGCCTAAACACTTGAAGAACTGCAGCTTCCAAAACGGGACGCCCAACTTTTTCTTTTGCTGCTGGCACTCTGGCCTGTGCGATGGCCTTAGCCGGCGTCTTCTCAGATTCCAGTAACAAAGGTATGGGAGTTTCCGAAAATAGGGACCCCAATGTAACGCCCTAAATAGTCGGATGCTTATTTCAAGGACCCCAAAATGAGGTACCCCCTATTCTTCGGAAACTCCCGGGTGTTGCCCAACTAGGGAGTATTGAGCTCCCTCCAATCTGCCGGCTTTGCCGTGGGTGCACCGAGAAGTCTGCGGAGTCCGTCAGAGTTTCGCGCATGGTCCACTTCTTTCCTCGTCACTGTGATTCTGGACCGTTCCAGTTGCTGGGAAGACCAAGACTACCCTTTTTGAAGCTCCTGACTTAGGAATGTAACTATAACACAGAGTTTGCGGGCAGGACGCTGTAGGGGTTTTGGGAATGTAGTGTGTTTTTGTTGGTGAGGGCCGTGTCCAGGTCTCAGTTTCTCTGCACTTCAATCGATACCTGAAGGAGGTTGGGCTTTGAACCCTTTTGGGTTCTCATGTGGGCTTTGTCCTTCAGGCAAAGGTTCAAAGGCTCAAGGTGTTGGGGCGGGGTTTCTCCGTGATTTCAGACTTGAGGTTGCACGGTGCAGCCAGGATAATCCGTCTACATACTACAGGGGCCTTAATTCTTACCTGTACTATTTTGGGGTTCCTCATTATACTGGGCCCCAAAACCTATTCTAATTATTAAGGCCCCTATACTAGGCTGTAGGTTTAAGATTTTGGGTCTTGGGTGAAACAGTTTTCTGGTGCCTTTTCGGGTCAACTTCTTGCCGTGCTGTGTCGCCATGTCTCTGCCCCGGCTACAGTCATATTATGAGCATGTTTGGGTCGGTTGATGACGGCCATTCGTATCACGATTGCTGTTTCTGGTCTTGTCTGTATGCAAGTAGAGTTCTGCATCCCAGCCGCCATCCCTGCAGGATATCCGATCGCCGCGCGGCTGCATCGAAGTGGTTTCCGAAATCCGGGAATTCTTCGATTCCAATCAGGACTTCTAAGCTAAATTCCTTCGGGTTTGGGGTGGATGTTTCAGCTTTCGGAGTGAACAAGCTTTTGGAAGACAAGCCGAGCAGACGGGAACGAGCAATGATCTACTAGTACGGGTTTTGATAGAGCACGACTAGGAGAGTCTTGCCTATTACAAGGCATGAGATGGCGCACATCGTGGCTGGGGGCGACCCCCTCTTTGTGGGGAGTATTGTGGGAGTGCGAGCAGCCGAAGTTCGAAAACTTCAAGACCGATTCCACCAATGCACAGTCCGGAGAAGGGGCCATCAGCGATTCCGCCAATGCACAGTCCTGACTTTGCCAAGCCTGAATGAAAAGTTCATGCAAGGCAGGGGAATGCAATGGATTAAACCAGGCCTTTCGAACGTGCTTCCGGATTTTTGGGCTTCGCGAAGCCACCTGTGATGTTTACAAACTTGCGCAGAAAGCCCCGCTTCCGATTACAGGAGCACCCGTGCGAATGTCCATGTTAGCAGAATAATCCTCAACCCTCAACCATGGCCCCTACGGGGTCTGCTGCGCTTTACCAAACGGTTACGACCTGGTCTTCCGAAAGCCGACATTCGAAACCAAGACAACCTGAATCCGCGCACCTGGCAGCCTTCCTCCGACCTTTGATCCCATTATGTTCTAGTTCATTATGTAGTACATGATTTTACAATAGAGTATATGATATTATACTTTAGCATATATGTAGTACATGATATCTTTCTTTTGAGTATAAGACACTCTACTGTAGTACATCAGTGTTGCAATCTATACACAGTCTGGGAACCTGGCCTCCAAGGACGGAAGCTACAAGCTCTCTTGCGGCTCCAACATGTCCAACATGTCCAATACGTCTTCCAACACGTCTTCCAACACGTCTGGGACCACGGTTTGTAGGGCCCTCAACAACCTGTGTTGGGGGAAGATTGTGGCTTCACTCATTTGGAACTGTTGAACCCACTGTCGCGCGAAACGGGGTCACGGGTTTGAGGTGAAGGTCCGTTTAGCTAGGCTAGCAGAGGCTAGCAGTATTGGGGCACAGAAGCCCCATGTTTCTGGTTCAGGGTGAAAATGCAAAGCCTCTATGAGGCGATCTTAGGGATGTAGGACGTGTGGCTTTCTGGCAGAAGCATCTTCGATGCATCTTTCGGGCTTGGCTGCGAAGACCAGGCACAACTAGCCGGCGGGCTTGCGTCAGAATACTCCTCATGGTAGTCCCCGAGTAGCCAAGCTGCCAAACCTCAGTTCCGCATACCTTGACCTCAGCCCTGAACTCTAGACCCCGGAAAAACCCGCAGATACCGGAAACTCCCGCTGCATTGACAAAACACCCCAAGCTCTGAGCCTGAAGCCCCGAGCCCCCACACCCGGATACTTGGCTCTCGGTCGTTTTTGCGGAGATCGGTTTGGTTCTTTGCGGTCTCAGTCTGGGTGTTTAGGAGACTCTGAAGAATCCCGGGGGGGAGGACCGGGGGATGATGCTGTGATTTGAGAGCTCGACTCTGCCAGCATCTTGGAGGATAATGCCATGGCATACTTCACCGCACTGCGCAGCAAGTCTGGTGACAAAATGGGGTTTGGGGTTTAGGGTTAACTGGGCCGTGAGTTTTAGACCCAGGATCCCGCTTGCCCTGAAGACAGCGAGGTATGAGAAGCATTTCAACCTTGCATGTCCCGCCGTATCAAGCCCTTCAAAAAGGAGCCCTTCAACCACGACCTAAACCCTGGACCCCAAAAGCCCCCAAACTCCAAACCCTAAGCCTGAAATCCCAAGCCTCCCGAGCCAGTCTTGCCAAAATAGTTCCCGAAAAGCCAAGCTTTTTCGAGAGAGGCCCGAGCATCTACGTGGACTTCTGTGGCTCCCACGACTGCCGCGGAGGCGCGCAGCTGGCCTTTGTACCTGGGCCCTCAGAGTATGAAGGATAATAGCCTTTTATAGGGTTTGGGCCATGATTTTACCTACCTTTGGGGGTCTAGGTAGGGCTCATCAAGAGGATTTAGAGTTTAGGGCTCTGTGGGTAGTCCTCGAAGTTAGGGTGGGTTTTTCTTTTGGGTGCCCAAAAGAGTGAGGGACCTTTATAAAGAGGATCCTAAAAGAACCCTCAGTTTGAGAATTGACCGTTGACCGTTTAGGGTACAGGGTAGAGTAGGAGTTCTCAGGGTTTTGGGGCGGGCATGTCGAAGCATGCAGGGGGAGTCGTCTCAGGAGCCTCATACCTGGTAAGTCCTCGAATACCTGGTAAGTCCTCGACGTTGTAGTTGTGATCTCTGCGCAACTACCCGTAAAGTTACTCCTGTGTAACTTGCGATCTCTATGCATCGACAGGATATGAACCCCTTTGTCACTATGGTCTCTGTAGGATAATGTGGGCGGATCTGGTAGCAGCGCGACATTTCTTGTCAGTAACCTGGGCAATGCGCATGTTGGAGTCTGAGATGTCCCTTTGGGACGCGGTCGCGCACGGTCGCGCAAAGAGCAGTGTTGCTTTGTTCCAGCATTTCGTGTGGACCTTGGGCGACTCTCTCACATAAGTACCAGTAGCAATTAGGCACATGCTTACCGGGCCCCTAAACCCTGCACCCTAAGCCAAGCAGATTTCTTTGCTCTGCAACTCCTCGCCTTGCAGGCACCGGTTGCCCAACCCATAACCTCACGTTTTGTGTCCGAGAGGGGAAGCCCCCCTCCCCTGACAAGCTCGGATTTTGCGTAGGCAAGGGATCCGCAACTCAGTCTTATCCGTTGAAGCCTAAGCCATGAATTTCTGAACCCCCAAGCATTGGACCCACGCTCCAGAAGCTAGACCCCGCACCCTAAGCTACAAAACCCCAAGCTCCAAGGCCTAAGCCCTAAACCCTAAGAGAAGGCTCTCGGCCTGAAGCCCGAAACTGTCGGAGTTCTTGGGTCCACCAGGAGACGGCCTATGCTCGACGGATGAGACCCCCGGCCTGCGCAGTAGCGAGAGGGCTTAGGGCTCAGGGTTCAGGCTTGGGGGTTCGGGCTTAGGGTTTAAGGTTGAAGGCATTATTGTCGGAAGAGCGTCCCTGACGCAGCCTTCATTGCTTTAGAGCCTGGCTGGCGCTTCAGAGTGTTGGCATAGAGCTGTTGTGAGACAATGCAGCATTAATTATTGTTGGAAGAGCGTCCCTGACACACTTTGACAGCCTTCAGGAAAGCTGCCGACAGGGCGGCGGCGCCAATAGTCAGCTGCTAAATCGCCCGCTTTCTGGGGCTCAAAGCTCGTACCAGGCGTATCTTAAATCAACGTGGCAATCTGACGATTGTCATGTCCCGCCATGGTGGGTCTTTAGTTTCTGGTTTGGTTCTCTGCCGCCTGAGTGGAACGGATGCGAGGACTGAAAACAGAAGCTCACCTGCCAGACGAAGACGAAACTTGCGGAGGTTGTCGAAACCTAGGCTCAGACACAAGTTGTGTGAGGCGGCCATTGGCCACCGAGACGGCGCCATCTTGCCATGCGAAGGCACCCACCACAAACTCAGTTGATAACGCGGCTGTAGCTGCTGCAACAGTTCATCTGCGCGAGAGGCCAACACAAGAGCCGACCCTCCCCCCTGTAGCACTCGCATGGCCGACTGGCAGTCCGAGATCACCTGGACCCGGCCTCGAGCTCCACAAATCTCCAGCGCCGTGATCACCGCAAAGAGACCTTCAAGTTCTGCTCCGTGTGAGGATTGATCGTCCCCAGGCACTCCCAAAGTGAAAGGCTCAGGCTCGCCCTCGATCACCACAGAGAACACGGCGACGTTGTCGATGACGCTGCCGTCGGTCGCCACGATCAAGCAGCTCTCCGCCTCGAGGTGCTTCTTGAAGAGCTCGGCCAGGTCCTCGATGAAGCCCGTGTAGTTGATGACCAGCGGAGCTGCCAGGGTTTCTGGCACAGCACATGCTAGCAGACGCGCCTCTAAACGGCTCTCAGGCTGCCGAATGTCCTGCCTAATCTCTCACAAGCCCAAAGCAAGGCAGGTTCAAGCCACACGTGCAGGCATTTGACTGAAGCTGCCGGTCTGAAAGATGCCAGCGTTTGCGTATGTGCCAAATCCAGTGACCATGGCCGATCGGTCGAAGACGTCCTTGGCACCCCTCCAAGCCTGGCACCCCTCCAAGCCTGCTTGTGCCCAGCATGCCAAGGTGTCCCCTGGTGGCGGTGGCAGCTGCAGCCCTTAGGCTAGGTTTTCACCCTCGTCCGGTCTGCCTCAACTCCTGGGTCACTCGGCTGCATCTCGCCAAGCCCCGCCATCGACACCACCGCAGTTGTCGCGCCTCATGATGCACGCACCTTCAGCATCATGCCACCACCCAAGCTCCAGTGAGTGGAAGCAGGTGGTACCACTTGCGCGTGGCCAGATGAATCGAAGCTTCCTCCAGCCACACCGGCGTCCTGCGGTGAAGTCCAGGGGCCTCTCGTAAAGCAGCTAGGTCCCGCTTGGCCCAATCCGCAATCTCGCAGTACAGCAGGTGCGGCGCATCGACCGCCATGGCCCACTGAAGCATCACGCGAAAGGCCTGGATGAGCTTTCGCAAGTCCTCCTCCGAAATGGTGGGCCCTGGAAGCTACTACGAGATGGATCTGATCTTCTTTCGCGTTCAGATCCCCTTCAGAAACTTACAAGGTCTCACCAAGAAGCCACAAATTCCCAATGCTGAGCCAGCCGAAACTAGCCGGTGGCAGAATGAAGCCACAAGTGGGATTCCGGGAGGCTCGTGTCGACATGATCGTGCGCCCACTTTTGTTGAAGCACAAAATGGACGAGAACTTCTGCAAAGCTCTTGGTAAAACACATGGCTGTGTCATTGTCAACAAACATCCGCGGCATGGGTTGTGTCCTCACTTTGTCCAACATCTCACAGCACCCACTCAGATGATAGCTTGCATCCGCAAACCGGTGATCAGACAATCAAACTCAGAAAGCGCACTCCAACTATAATTGTCCCTGGCCGTTTTGTGCAGTCGGATGGGCATTCCATTTTTTGCTCAGTCCCATCGTCACCTCGGCAACCTTGGCATTTGGCTTTGAACAAAGCCAAAGTGCGAGGAATGCTAATCTGTTCACCCATCGCCATCACAACATTTGCCCATTTATCGGCAGCCAGGCGTTGGGGCCCAAAACTGCAGAGCGGAACCAGACGGGCCTGTCTCAGGGAAGTGGGCACTACTCTAAACCGCACCCGATGCCCCAAGTCCTAAGCACGAACCCCTGAACTTGTTTTGTCTACAGTAGTCGAACAAAATTATTGCTGCAAAAATCCCACGGCTCCGTAACCCCAGGCTCACGCGCAGAAAAACGCCGAGACCCGGGCACCCTGGATCCTCGAACCCCCTACTTGGAGGATCATGGGACTTAGTAAGTAAGGTTATAAGTACCTTAATTGGGGTTATAAGTAGTTATAAGTATAGTCACCTAACTTACAACCCTAGTTGCTAAGTCCCATGATCCTCTAAGTACCGTCTTTTTGTCTCATGACCTGGGCCTCCATGCGTGCCGAAACGCGAGGCTCCTACCGGACCCAGAGGCCCCACAGCCCCCGCAAACGAAGGATTCTTTGCTTCCATCGCGGCTACACGCCCTATGGGAGCGTTGCCTGGGCGACTCGGCATTCTTCTCTTGTTTGGGAGGGGGGGGTTAGCCTAGAACCATCTAAACCCTAAATCACCCTGGACCCTAAAAGCCCAACCGCACGCTAAACTCCAAGCCAAGCCGAGTTTACAAAGAGCCAAAACGTAATCCTAAACCCTAAACATCATATAAACCCGAAACCTTAAACCCCAAAAAAGAGCGGCCTAGGGGGAGGAGAGCCACAGCTGCGCGAAGCTGGAGGACGGCTGCGCCTGCAACGAAGCCTTTGAGGCGTCCGTGAGTCGAAGCTGCCACTTCTTTTAGGGGTTCAGGGCTTAGAGTTAGGGCTATAGGGTCGAGGCTTTGGGGTTTAGGGCTTTTGGGGTTTAGAGGTTTGGGGGTTTTAGGGGTCTAAGGGGTTTGGGGGTTGAGGGTTTAGGGCTTGATTGGCTTTGGCGAGTTTGTGGGTATGTCCTTCTCTATTTCGTTATGACTCTTGTCATGGTTATGGTTCTTATGATCATGATATTTTTTGTTCTTGCTTTACATTTATGATGCTTGCTTGTTTGTTTCTTGTTTCTTTGATCTTTGTTTTCTGGTCGGTTATTGATTATCTTTGTATGGGTTGTTATGTCCCATCTTTGTGCTGTTGTTCTCGGTTTATCGTCTGCATCAACTTACTTGTTTATTCTGCACGTATCAACCTGGTTGCTTTAATAAGTCTTACCAGCTATTCTAACCGTTACTGTAGTACGATCATGCCGTGTTTCGGGTCGAAGCTTTTGCGGCGGAGGGGGGCGATTTTGGAGGTAGCAGTTCAATCGCTTTCCATTTGCGAGTGGGGGTTGGGGAGTAGGCAGTAGGGTTTTGTGCTTCGGCTTTTCAGGTGTCCCCGACGCTAGTTTGAGCCGTAGCTTTTGCAGACTCTGGCCCTCTAGGACTTGGGGTTCATCGAGATTTGGGTGTTCTATCTATCGAGTCCGAAAATTGTGTAAAAGCCCTTGAAATGTGAATACGCAATAATGATATCCTGTCAAGGTCCTGCTATATCCCAATTGCAGCATCCATGCTGGATATGAAGCCTAAACCCTAAACTACAGCCTTAAGGCCAGCGCACTGAGGCTCGGAAGTCAGAGAACTCGAAAATAGAAGCCTGAATTAACGAATTACCAAGAATGCTTCCTGGTTCCTTATGATAATGATCCCAAAGCCCCATTCCAATTATTAAGGCCCCTGCATTTCCTGGCTTTGACAAACTTCAAGCAAACGTCATCGAACTCTCAGGGGCTCCCCGCGAGCCGGACCCAGAATTGAATCGAGCGTTTGAGCACTTCCGACGCATCGGAACGTCGCCATAGTCTCCTAGTAGTAGAGTAGGTAACCTTTAACCCTTTTTTGGGTAGTATAGTCCCCATATAATCCCTATATAACCAAAAAGGCTAACCTTTAGTTCCCCATGATACCCGACAAGTAAGGTCTGGATTTAGGGGCATGTCAAGACGATGAGATCCGCTTTGTATTCGAGTCCCGCACAGTTCCGCCTAGACCTGAATCCTGAACGCTGGCTGATGGCTTCACGCCTTAACCCTAAAGCTTCTCAGACCGAAGCCCCCCAAACCCTGAACCCTAAACCTAAGCCCGCAAAGACTGAGTCCAAGAAGCCTGAACAGCAGGTGGAGTGCTACAGTCCTTACTGGCCACCTGGGCCGAAAGTGTGCGTGCCTGCATCAATGGGCTGCGCATCCCAGGTGCCTCGCTTCAAACCATGTCTTTCGGCTGTGGAGTCCTGGTCGTGTCTTATGCATGTGTTTGTCATTTGTTTCGTGGTGCTCTTTTTGCCTTGCTGCTGCTGCCGGGGCTGCTGTGGCTGTGGGCGTTACAGTTTTTCCGTGGCCGTTGCAGCAGGTAGTAGTCGTAGTAGTAGTAGTAGCAGCAGCAGTAGTAGTAGCAGCAGAAGTAGTAGTAATAGCAGCAGCAGTATAGTAGTAGTAGTAGTAGTAGTAGTAGTAGTAGTAGTAGTAGTAGTAGTAGTAGTAGTAGTAGTAGTAGTAGTAGTAGTAGTAGCAGTAGTAGCAGTAGTAGCAGTAGTAGTAGTAGTAGTAGTAGTAGTAGTAGTAGTAGTAGTAGTAGTAGTAGTAGCATTAGTCGAAGTGGTAGTGGTGGTGGTAGTAGTAGTAGTCGAAGTTGTAGTGGTAGTGGTAGTGGTAGTGGTAGTGGTCGTGGCTGTGGTCGTAGTCGTAGTCGTAGTCGTGGTGGTGGTGGTGGTGGTGGTGGTGGTGGTGGTCGTGGTGATGGTAGTGGTCGTGCTAGTGGTCGTAGCAGGAGGAGGAGGAGGAGGAGGAGGAGGAGGAGGAGTAGCAGCAGCAGTAGCAGTTGTGGGCTAGTGCTCGTTGCTTTTGTTGCCTGGCTTCTTCCTTTACTTTGGGGTCTTCGGGGTGGGCTTTACCTACGTCGTCCATGTAGTCCTCTCCTGCACACGATCATAACCTTTGAGTTCCCAAGCTTCATAGGCTTCAGTCCGAAGCCCCCGCTTTTGTCCCCACGTTCCTTTTTGAACCCAGAGCCGGCCTCCCAATCTAAAGCCCTGAACCCTAGGCCCTGGACCCCTCAACTCCTAAGGTCCTAAACTGGCCTTTGGTTAGTAGGGAATGGAAGACTGGTAGTAATAGTAGTTTTACTTGTACCCCATTCCTCCATTCCCTACTAACCAAAGGTAAGTAAACCCAGAAGCCAGAACCCAAATTCAACACTAAACCCAGAATCTTCATCCTTGCCAAGGGGCTGGTGGAAGGCAGCGGCTCGGATGCCTTGGTTTCTGGTATTTCGGGGCCTCTGTTGGGATGTCTCATATCAAATTAGAGTATAGTATAGGTACATTATATGGTAGTGTATTATGTTACCTTATACCACATGATATTATGTCTTTCTATACCTGCATTTACCAATCATCCCGATCCCTCTCTCAGCGGAGGAAGGTGAGGTAAACCAAGCAAACTTAAGCCTCCCAAAACCCAGAGTCTCAAAACCCCTTAACCCCCCTAACCCCCCTAAACCCCCCTAAACCCCCTAACCCCCTTGACCCCCCTAACCCCCCTAACCCCCTAACCCCCCCTGAACCCTGAACCCGAACCCAAAAGCGATGCACCCTGAAAGCGCCAAGTTTAGGAGGCTCACAGCCCAAGCCTTTTTGCCTGGAACGCTGCATCCAAGAAGCACCCCCCCCCCCCTTTCTCCGAGGCCTGAGGGTTTGGGGCTTAGGGTTTAGGGTTTAGGGGTTTAGGGTTTCGGGTTTAGGGTCTAGGGTTTAAATCGGGTTTAGGGTTTAGGGCTGAGTGCTCGTATTCCCCGCAACGCACTTGGGGTTGAGGGTCTTGGAAGTTTAGGCTTCAGCCCGAAGCACGCGCCGCGAGGAGTTGTCTGGCCCTTCACAGCACTAAGATGCCTTATGACTCACCTAAACCCTAAACCCTAAACCCCTAAACCCTAAACCCCGAAACCCTAAAACTCTAAACCCTAAACCCTAAGCCCTAAACCGGTAAGGCTCCAGTCTGTGACTTCAGATTTGGACACCGTGTGTGTGTTGTGTGTTTCGAAGCTATTGAATGTTTCGGAGCACTGATTTACGGCGCAAGCCTCTGGCAGGCGTGTGCTGGACCTGCTCAGGCGGAGCAAGGGCCACTGCATTAAACAAAGAAGCCGAACAATTACGAAGCCCCATGGAGGGCACATCCTTCCACGGAATTCGAAAGCCGAGGCCCAACTGGCCCCGGTGGTTACGGCGGTTACGGGTTCTCCACCACCTACTCGCCTGGAGGCGATGGTTGCCGGGTTTCTAGTGGTACTGTTGTGTTGCAGAAATTAGGTGTAGGAACCCTCAGCCCGAAACTGGAAGCCCAAGAAGCAACAGATTGAACTCAATGCGAAGAGTTCCGAATGCAGATCTTCAGTGGGTCGGTCGGCACTTCAGAAAGCGAACTTTGGGTTCGGCGCAAGGTTTCGAGATCTTTCCAGGTTTCTGCATGGAGATGGTTGTAGCAAGCTTGAAGTTTGATGGGTTAGCATTTAGGGGATTTGGGTTGAGGGCTAAGGGCTTACCCTGATTGATGGCAACATGCTTCGGGCTATATGGATGTATGTGTCTCTGAAGATCAGCCGGAGCCAGACCCAAATACAGTGACTGCATCGCTGTTTGCTCAAGGGCACAGACAAAGAGCGCCACAGACATTGAACCTTCCTTGGGTTGTGACTGTCGGGTATTCTACGTTTCCTTACGGGGTACGGTCTAGATTGTAGGAATAACATCGAGGCCTTCAAGATTGGATTAGGTTTGTTGGATATAATGTAGTGCATTTACAACATTTTACAACAAGGGACCTAGGCTTCATGCAGACAGCTGCGGCAGCAGCCTTCCTTTATTGATGCACTTGGGGGGAATAGGACGTCACTGTGGATGATTTCAGGGGACATGGTCCGCGTACGTCCTTCTGAGGAGTCACAGAGGACCAAGTTCAAGCCTACACCTTCGATGCGCCACGTCAGGCTATGGTGGTGGCAGTGGTGGCTATGGCGGCGGGTACGTCTACTGCCCCGAGCTGCACTTCGGCGTAGAAGGTATAGATACATAGTCACGGCTAGCATGTCTTTGGGAAACTCTCGAGCGTGCAGAGAAACTTGATAGCTGCTTATTGCGACTCTCTCCGATGCCGTGGTCGTAAAATCAGAGAACCCTAAACCTTACAGAAGCGTCGGACCAGACGCCCCTGCTGGCGTCCCGGAGCTGTCAAACAGTGCATCCCGAAGCATTCACTGAACTTGCACCCCCCCCAGCCCTAAGCCCTAAGCCCTACGCCAAAAGCCCCGAAGCCTAAACCTAGCAGTCCATGCTAGCACCTGCCCAGCAAATTTCGTTCCGAAATCCGATGGGCTCTGGTCTCGTGAGGGACCTCTCAACTGGGATCTGTTTAGGATCTATCCTTTGTTTTGCCCTAGTACATCCCTCCAAAGGAAGCCAACATACAGGTATGCATACTTACTTAGGGTTCCGAAACTAGGGGACCCTCATATAATAATCCCAAATAGTAGGATCCTTATTGTAAGGACCCCCCACAAGTCTTGGGTGCTTATACCGGGGTTAAACGAAGCTGTAAGCGCAACCAATGACCTGGCCAGGCGACAGCAGATGTAATATAGGGATCTTATTAATGAACAAGTTTATTTTGCGGGGTTCCTTCTTATGTTTATAGCATAATTCTATATAATCATAATTGCCTATACTATTCTGGGGCTTCCTTGGTATAAATCTAGTTTATTGGGCTCCCCAAGCCCTATTCCAATTATTCAGGCCCCCATAGTACCAGAGGTTGGGTTCATACAGTTACCCGGTGCCCTCGACCGCAATGGCTTACCTCTATCTATCCCAAGAATATAGTCCAGGCTAAATCTAGTTCAAATGCTGGATCCAGAGCTAAATCTGAATCTATAGCTAAATCTAGTCTAGCTTAACGTGATCTAATCTCGTCGAATTTCAAGGGGATCTAATCTGATCCAATCTAAACTAATCCAACCCGGTCTCTCAAACACATAAATACGTATGATTTTGTATGTATGCATACATGTATGTATACGTATATACGTATCTGTATGCGTGTGCGTGTGTCTTTAGGCACAGTATATTTAGAGATAGTCACACGCATAAGCCCACACATGTGTACGTGGAAAGGTGCGCACACGTAGGCACTCGCACATATAGTGGTGCTGAAGGATAAGCGCATTTCATATTTGCTTGCTGGCTGGCTGGCTTGCTTGCTTGCTTTCTTTGCTGACTTACTTCTTACTTACTCACTCACTTGCTTGCCTGTTTACTTACTCACTTGCTTGCTTACGATCTTATTTAGCCATCTACTTACTTGTTCTATCGTCTCCTGGCATTCCAAGGTATGTAAACACGTATGCGTCTACTTGTAGAAGTATTTGTGTCTAGATCCTAGATGTATGTATGTATGTATGTATATATATATATATATATATATATATATACGGATCTGTCCTCCATTACGTTAGCTGAAGCTCGATTTTTGGCAACAAGGAAAGTGAAAGTACATATATATATATATATACATACATACACATACGTACATACATACATGCATACATGCATACACATAGGCACAGGCACATGCATGTGTTCAGGTGCCAAACATCGAATCTTTGAACTCCCGATCGGTTCCCAGCTGGAGGTACTGCTACGAGATGCCTTACAGCTCGAACGGCTTGGAGCCCAGCTTGTAAGCCGAAATTACACAGGGTATAGACGATTGAATACGATCGAAGTTCTTAATCTCAGAACCCCGTCCATGAACCCCAAAAATAGCTGGATCTCTGTTTACACATGTCTAGGCCGGCTTATGCCTCAGGGTTTGGGCACGGGCTAAGGGTCTAGAAGCGGCAATGCCTGGTTCTATCTTGTCAGACGGGTCTGAGGCTAATTCATACTTGTGTTGCCAAATACCATCCAGTTATAACTGTATCGTACATTCAGTTCATTTGTGTTGTACATTCAGATTGTGGCCATGCTAGACGTGCGACCCCCAAACCGCAAAGCTCAAGCACGCAGCGAATAGTGTTTTGGGGTATATCTTAGTATGGTTATATAGGGCCAAGATGGAGAACTTAAGTAACATCATTAGCAATTCCTCAGCTTCCTATACTAAGTCGTTTGGCGCAGGCACGTTGGACTGGAACATGTACAACTACACTCCGACGTGCATCGACAATGGTGCCTACGAAACAGGTCAGCCTGACTCTTCCAGTGCAGGGTTTAGGGTTGGTTCCGGGGTTTCGAGACAGCCAAAGCCCCAAAACCTGAAGCCCTTGATTCTGATCCCTACGCGTTCCTACATCACCGGGGTACTTGGCAAGGCTGTGTCTCCTGGGTTTCACGACCCCGTAAGGAACGCACCAAGTGTGTTGCATCTTAAGATGTCGGAGACAGACACTGGCGTTGCCCTTTCGACCGCCAGACCAAGTCCACTCCTTCACCTGAAGCCCTGTCCAATGTAGGGGCCTTGGGCTTCCCTAAAATATTAACATAATAGACATAATATACCCCCAAATCTATTCTAAGTACTTAGGCCTTAATTGTTCAATTAGGCCTCCACACTAAAGGCTCAAGTCCTTGCGCCTCCTAAGCTCCCGACCCATAGGGACGGAAATTCAACACGGAGCTCTGACATTCCGGCTGTTGCAACGCTCGAACTCGTGGCGTAACTGGTGGCGGGGCCATAATTAATGAATACCTATACGATTTTGGGGGTTCCTTACCCTGCAGTCGCTAAGCCCTGAGCCCTAAGCCCCTAAACCTCTGAACCCTCCCAAACCCGAACCCTAAAGCCTACAGCCTCAACCCTAAGCCCCAAAGCCTCTGAACCCTAAACCCTAACGCCTAAACCCTTTAGGGTTAAACGCTAACCTTTAAACCCTTTTACCAAAAACCCCAAAGCCTGTGAGCCATAAAGCCTAAACCCAGAACCCTCCTAAACCCTGAGCCCAAAGTCCTAAACTAAACCCCTCAACCTAAACCTCTGAACAGCCCTACCCAAAATCACCAAAGTAGTTCCTGTTTGGGGTTCATATACAGAATCCTAATCTCCAAAAAGGAACTACTTTGGGGCTTCTGGGTAATGCTGATGCCCCTTCCCTTGCCTCGGTATAGGCGGTGTAGCCCCTGAGCTGCCCCTCAAAGAGCCCTGTAAAGGAACCACCCCTATATTAGCCTTACAGTAACCCTTTAAGGTACCCCTAGGCCCTAAGCCCCTGACCCGCCAGGCTGCCCTTGCCACCCGCAGTGGGAGACGGCCTGCGAGAGCGGTGGCCCTAGCATCCCTGGCTCCGGGCTTAGGGGTACCTTGGGGTTCCTTGAAAGGGCTACTATAAGGGTACTATAAGGGTGGTTCCTTTAGAGGGCTCTATAAGGGTTGAGTGTTTCGGAAAATTAGGGGTACTTTTTTGGGGGGTCCTTATAGTAAGAATCCTACTATTTCGGGTGCTATATTAGGGTCCCCTATTTTCCGGAAACTCCCTTATAGGTATGCCATTCGGGCTTTCGGGTTTAGGCGCTTTCCGGTTTCGGGTTTACGGCTTAGGGTGTAGGGGTTTAGGGTTTAGCGTAGTTTAGGGCTCAGGGTAATTTAGGGTTCAAGGCGTTCCTAGGGACTTTTATCTTGTGTCCATCTGGGGCTTTCGGGGTCTAAAGGTTTTGAAGCGCACTGGAACTCGGGCAAGCATGCGTGTATTTCCAATGACGAACTTCGGCTTTCCATCGAGGGGTTTTCAGCTGCGGGTCGAGGTAAGAAAGGGGCCGAATTAGTTACCTATACTATTCTGCGGGGTTCCTTATTATAACTATACTATAATGGGCCCCAAAACCCTATTCCACCTACTAAGGCTCCTATATTAGCTTAGTGGAGCTGGGCCTTTGGACCGTCCTGGTCAGCCTTCAAGAAGTCGGGAGTTTCTGGTGTTATATGCCTCCGAGGAGATCTGATCAAGAGCCCCAAGCCTTAAAGCCTGAAGCTCTCGACGCCGAAATGCTGAGCCCGAGCTTTGGATCAGGCTGGGGCTCGAAATTCTGCGTACCAGTGACGGAGGGCTGTGTCTCGGCGGTACATTACTATCATAGCAATAAGGGGCGCCAGTAGCAGTGGCAGCAGCAACAAAGCAGCGGCAGAGGCAAAGGCAGTGGCAATAGTCGTCGTCGTGCTTGTGGCCGTGTGGTAGTGTGGTCGTGCGGTGGTGTGGTGGCGTGGTTGTGTGGTTGTGTGTGTGTCTGTTGCTGTGTGGTTGTGTAGTTGTGTGGTTGTGTGGTTGTGGTGGTGGTAGTTGCTGTGGAAGTGGTAGTGATGATGATGATGATGATGGTGGTCGCCGTAGCAGTAGTAGCAGTAGTAGCAGTATTAGTAGAGCTAGTAGTAGTAGTAGTAGTAGTAGTAGTAGTAGTAGTAGTAGTAGTAGTAGTAGTAGTAGTAGTAGTAGTAGTAGTAGTAGTAGTAGTAGTAGTAGTAGTAGTAGTAGTAGTAGTAGTAGTCGTAGTAGTAATAGTCGTCGTAGTAGTAGTAGTAGTAGTAGTAGTAGCAGTAGTAGTAGTAGTAGTAGTAGTAGTAGTAGTAGTAGTAGTAGTAGTAGTAGTAGTAGTAGTAGGAGTAGGAGTAGGAGTAGTAGTAGTAGTAGTAGTAGTAGTAGTAGTAGGAGTAGGAGTAGTAGAAGTAGTAGTAGAAGTAGTAGTAGAAGTAGTAGTAGAAGTAGTAGTAGTAGTAGTAGTAGTAGTAGTAGTAGTAGTAGTAGTAGTAGTAGTAGTAGTAGTAGTAGTAGTAGTAGTAGTAGGCAGTAGCAGCAGCAATAGGCGGAGTAGTAGCTGGTGCAGGTGTAGGTGTAGGTGTACATGCTGGCAGCAGGCTATAGCAGGTAGTAGCAGGAAGGGTGGCAGGTAGTAGGGGCAGTAGTTGCTGTTGCAGTTGCAAGAGCAGCAGCAACAGCGGCAGCATGAGCGGAAGGAGTAGCAGAATCAGCAGCAGCGGCAGCAGCAGTAGCAGCAGCAGTAGCATGTTGCTCCGGGCGTTTGGATTAGTTTAGGGCGTGCAAACTCAGGGCTGAGGGTAGGTCTGGTTTTAGGATTTCAGACTCTTTGCATTTGCTGGTCGAGGCTCGGGATCTGGGGTCTGAGGCCTGGAGGAGTTCGGGATTTCAGGGGATGAAGGTTTCGGATGTCGGGCTTCGAGTCTTGGAATTGTTGCCACCGCAGCTCTCAAATCTGGAGCCCCCTCCTCCCTTCATAAACTTGCTTATGCCTTACGCCGCACCCACACCCCAAACCGGGAACCCCAAACCACCGACCCTAAACCTTGAACTGTCAGACCCCGACCTGCAACCTAAACCCCAAAACCCTTATTAAACCCCTATTCAACCCCTATTCAACCCCTAAAAACCCCATAAACCTCTATGAATCCCTGGAAACCCCTAAACCCCCAAGGCGTTGAAGCCCTGGACCTGAGTTCACTTCGCCAGGCTGGGACCCCTTCGACATCGACTGTGGCTTCGGGCAGAAGAAGTGCCAGGATTGCCAAGTAATACTTGGAGGATCATGGGACTTCCGTATGTAAGGTTTCCTTAAAGGGATCTATAGGGTTCCTTAAAGGGATCTATGGGTTTGGGGTTTAGGGTCTACTTGGAGGATCATGGGAGGTAGTAAGTAAGGTGATAAGTACCAATAGATGGGGTTATGAGTAGGTGAAAGTATAGTTACCTAACTTATAACCCTAGTTACTAAGTCCCATGGTCCTCTATGTATAGGGGCCTAAATAAATACCAATACTATTTTGGGGTTCCTTATGATCATTGTAGTATAATATACCCCAAAGCCCAATTCCAATCATTAAGGCCTCTATATATTAATTGCCTATACTATCTTGGGGTTTCTGATTACCTTACTATATAAATAACTAACTAAATAAATAAATAAATAAATAAATATATATATATATATATATATGTATGTATGTATATGACGATCTAGGGGCTGTTGGCTTTGGTGGGAGTCTGGGATTACAAAGTTTGGTGGCCTTTCTGGTAAGGTAATATAGGGGCCTTCAAAATTACCTATACTCTTTTGAGGGTTCCTTCTTATATGTATAGCCAAAGCCCTTTTCTGATGATATCAGGCTCTTATATTCGACGGCTCCAGTTTTTGAAGCCCTTTTCTTCGGACTCCAGCCCGCTCCCGGTCTTTTAGAGGCTGACTCTGCGGGCTCGGCATCGACTCTTTGAGTTATTTTGGGCTTCCCTGCGTTGATATTCTTAGGGGTCCAACAAGCACAAGCATAAGCATTCTGTGGGGATATCCCTACCTTATTGGGCTTCAGGAAAAGGGGGGATATATGGGATATCCCTATCCTTCTTTCTGCTTATGTGCTATTTCGGGGCCCTATTTTCGCGCCCTCAAGGTTGGGGGGTTTGAGGGTGGGGTTAACAGCTTTGGTTCCTCGGGGGTTCGGCTTCATGGTGTTCAGTGTGCGCTTGAGAGTCTATGCCACTTGTGCCAACATGGAACTCGGAAGAAAATGTGGAGACACAGCGTTCTTGGAGGGATTGGGCAGCATAGGCGCTTATATCATCAGTGCCGATATTGCGCTCGAAACTTGCCGCATACCCCGGGGTCTTATTAGAGGCCCCAAGGAAAGAAACCACGTCGACCTATGTGCAACTTCATGAAGCTTGCGCAAGCGTGTTCTTGAAATTGAATCCCGCAATTCGGCTTCGGAATCGTATCGCTTTTGTGAGCTGGCATGATTCATGGTTTTGTTTTCGTTTCAAATGTTTGTCTTGAAAAAGTTCCTTGCCTACGGCTGACCCGAACCACAACCCCGTGTGCCTGTGGCTTACATGCCAGAGCCCAAAGATCTGAAACATCCAAACGATCCGGCACTGAGCCCCAAAACCTACACATCCAAAGCACGAAGCTACAGCCCACCAAGACCCACATGAAGTGCAGATTACCCTTAAGCCTTAAACCCTAAGCCGCCCTAAGCCCTCAAGCCCTAACCCGCAACCCCTGTTCTGCTCCCGCCGGAGGACGAGTTTAGCACCTTTTGCTGGGAGGAGTCCTGGGGCAACTGCCCTCTCTACTGCACCAGCTGCCTGGCACGGCTGGGTTTAGGGTTTAACGCCAATGTGGTCAAAACTAAGGCTTCTTGGACTACTTTGCGGATGTGGGAAATCACCAAACTACACCATTTTCGTGATTTTGAGCCATTTTGGGCTTTTCCTAGAACTTCGGTGTGCAGGCCTCATGCCGTGTGCGGGCTGCGGGTTCGGGTTGATCCTCTGATTTTGTGAGTGATGCTGGCTTAGCACATTCTTCTTCCGTGTCCAGGCCGCTTTTTTTGAGGGGCTTTCGGGTGTAGGTTGTAGTTCTCGGGCTAACTTATAGTTATCTTGTAGTACGTCTATTCGAATCATGACGGGCCCTTCCATTCCGTAATCCCATGGCGACCCTGTATGGCACCTGCTATGGCGAAGGCAACGAGACAATGTGCCACAGCTATGGCTATGACGAGTGCCCTGGCTTTATAGGGCCTAGCAGGCTTCGGGCTTAGGTCAGGCACTAAAATGCTTTGGGGTTATTCGGATTAGGTTTTAGGAGGAAGGGTCAGTTTCTTTTAGGATACTCGGGCAGGCTTGTTGGGGTTTAGAGTTTGGCTTCTTAGGGTTTACTTTAAGCCCAAAGAACCTACCCTTTTCAGGACTCATACAAAGAAGTCAGAATAAGGAACCCTACAAATGTAGGTTCCTTAGGGTCCAGGTAGGGTCTGGGCTTGTTCTGGCTTGCCAAAGTCTAGGACCCTAATATAGTACCCTAAAGAGTAGGATCCTTATTATAAGGACCCCAAATAAGGTACCCCTAATCTTCGGAAACTCCCACACTGCTAAACAGCCTTAGATTGAAACTTGGAGCGTTGCAGCTCTGCGTGGTCGATTCCTCGTTTCATTAGCGGTGCAACCCCAATCTTCGGAAACTCCCATTTCTTCGAAGCCCAACATCGGGATTGGGTGGTTGTCAAAATTAGGGTCCCTTTTTGGGGTCCCTATTACGATTATGATATGGCACCTAATATTTAGGGTACCCAAAAAATGGGACCCTAATTTTGACAACAACCCAGATGTCTAGGGCTTAAGGTTTAGGGGCTTGTGTAGGGTTTAGGTGCTTGGGGGTTTGGGTTGGATAGGAGACGGAGCCGCTGGAGATCACAAACTCCCATTACCGAAAAGCCGCGTGGTCCTTGCGAGTGTTCGAACGAGTTTCAGCGTAATCCTCAACCCCTCTTAGGGCTTAGGGTTTAGAATTTATAATAAGCCCCAAGTCCCCTAAAACCTTAAACCCTATATTCATAAACCCTAAACCTTAAACCTTAAATCCCCTAAACCCGAAACCTCTATCAGCCCCTACAGCCAGTGGTCTTTGAATCAAGGTTCGGCTACCAGAACTATTCAGCCGGGGCCGTGGCTTCCTCGCAGGTCTCCCAAGAACCTTACTAGTTAGAAGAGGGTTCCTGGCCCCTCTGACTCTGTCTAGGCTACTATACGGCCGACCATAAAGAGTTAGTATAGGGGCTTAAATCATCATCAATACCATATTGGGGGTTCCTTATTGTAACCATACCATAATGGGCCCCAAAACCCTATTCTAACTACTAAGGCCCCTATATTAAGCCCTGAACCTTCACTCCTAACATCCAAAATGCTAAAGAGCCCTGCACTCTCAGGCCAAAATCTTAAGGCTCTGCCATAGAAACGCTAAGGTCCTCGAGCCCTAGAAACGCTAAAACCTTCTCCCTAGAAGCCGTAAGCCCTAGAAACCCTAACCCCTGGAGCCTCAAACTCAAGTGTCAGGGTTAATGCAGGAACCTGACTAAGACACCTGGGCCTGGATTAGGGTTCCTTATGTGGGTAGTTGTCCAAATTAGGGCCCCTTTTTCGGGTACCTTAAATATTGGGTGCCGTATTATATTAGGGACCTAAAAAGGGACCCTAATCTTGACAACCACCCATATGACTCCGAATATTTTGGGGTTGGCCCTCTAAGGGGGTCCTAGAGTTCTTCAGAGTTCTAGGGCTTCAGGGTTTTTGAGGGTCTTATAGGGGTTTTTAGACTTCCAGGGGGCTTCAAGGGTTTTGAGGAGGCTTCAGGGGTCTTAGGGTTCGTTGGAGTTCTGGGGCTCTGGGGCTTTGAGGGTTTTGTGTTCGAAGCTTTGGAGCGCGGTTTGGGGTGTAGGCAGAGGGTCGACTTTGGACTTCTTTTGTCTTTCCAGCCCTAAGCCCTATAGACTCTAAGCTCTACCCGCAACATCCCCTAACCCTGACCCTACAAGTTGATGCGCTCAGCATAGGACATTTGGGTTTGAGGGTTGTGTCGGCTTCAGAGTTCGAGGGTTCACGATCCCAGGGTTCTAGGCCTTCAGGGTTTTTGTGATCTAAGGTTGCAGGGCTTCACGGGAAAGGGGTTTTGGGGTTACGACGAAGTGCTGAGGCCAGGCAGGTGCAATGCGGCCCTGAACCTTAAACCCTAAATCCTGAACCCTAAACCAAAAGCGCACACCCCGAGCCCTCCTTCAGCGAACTCAAAGCTTCCGCTACGAGGACTACCAGGAGTTCTGTGCTCCGTCTGCCACGGGATGCCCCTGCAATGCTCAGCCGCGCACTGAGGAGCGGCGTTGCTGGAAGAAGCTTGCAACCTTCAATGCGCGTTTTGGTTTTGAAGCCTTGTTGTGACGGTCTGAGTGTATGTAAGGCCATGTGTCCGCAGCCCCAAGCCATGCCTGTTTTTCCGAGGTTCGAGAACAAGTGCACCGATCGATGGGGTCGTCCCCGCCACGGTTCGTGCTTTTTTTAGCGGGTCTCCGCACAGCAACTAACGAGAACTGCTGCCTCGACCGTAATCTCAAGCTGTACGAATCGGATAAGTTGTGAACCCCTAAACTCGGAAACCTTGAACCTTGAAGTGGCAGTGACTGGCATACAATTTTGAATTTGTTAGTGGCACTATCCGCCTGCAGTCCCCATATCGGCGCATATCATCTGCAAAATTATGCGCTCCAATCCTGACTCCGCACGGGGCCTGCACCGTTACCTGCTCCCGGGGGCTCGAGGTTTGGGGTCAAGGGAAAACTGTGAATGCCTTGAACTCTAACCGTTCCAGTTTCGCTTGGATTAACCGGACTTAGTCATTCATCAATATTCAGCATGCATCTAGAGTCTAGGGGAGAATCCTCATCTACTGCGTATGCATCTGTCAGGGTTGGTGAGCGAACGCCCCCGGCCTCTGAGCCCGGGATCCCCACAAGAAGCTGAAGCTTTTCATAATGCGAAGGTCGCATCGACTAGTCGTAACTGCATCTACCCCCCCCCCAACACGTTTAGGGTTTAGGTTTTAGAGTTTAGGGTTTAGGGTTCCGCCCCCGCCCTCCCGAAGACGCTGTTCCCGATAAAGCTCCAAGTTCGAGCCATTGCCAGGCTACAGCTGGTGCCAGTCGAAGCAATGGCCTTGCCCCATCGTGTGCGGCGACAACGAGCAGGCGCCTATGTCATACAGTAGATACTATACTTTAGAATATCCTAAGAACTATGAAAAAATTTAAATACATCTACAGAATAGATGATTTTATGTTGCTTCAGAGGGGAGCCGGGGTACGGGAAAAGAAGAAGAAGATACTTGCAGCCTCGGGCCACCAAGAGCAGCTAAACCCGAAGGCCCCACAACCCTCGCATGTGGTTGGTTGTCAAAATTATGGTCCCTTTTGGGTACCATAAACATTTGGTGCCGTATCATATTCAGGACCCAAAAAGAGATCACAATGTTGACAAGCACCCACGTGAACTACACACCCTAAAGCCCTACACCCTAGCCCCTAAACCCCTAAACCCTGAACCCTAAACCCTAAAGCCCCAAAGTCTGCAGACCAGGCGCTCGAATCCCAAACCAAGGATGCTGAAAGCATCACGAAAGCACCACACACAAGAGCATGTGGGTGGTTGTCAAAAATATGTTCCCTTTTCGGGTCCCTAACCCAGTACGGCACCTAACATGTAGGGTACTCAAAAAGGGACCCTTATCTAGAGAATTACCCATGTGCTTGTTCAGATGCTGCTCCTTGCAGGGATTGAATTACAGACACGGTGCCGGTTGAAGCACTTGAGGTTGTCGGGTTTAGGATGCAGGTGTTGGGTGCTCGGCCTAGCGCGTCCTCGAAGTTCTTTTCAAAGCCTTTGTTGATGCAGGCTGTTCTTTCTGGAGGCTTCTCCCCACGCGCTACACCCTACATCCGTACCTAGCGCATTGAAGTCCTTGAGCCGTCAGCCTTACTCCTAACCTCCGATCTCAGCATCGTGAGACGGGGATTTCGGCAATATTTTTGTGTAACACTTGTTGAGTGTATCCTTGGAGTGTACCCATGGAGTTCGTAGCACTCAAGAAATCCAAACCCCCAACCCGAAACCCTAAACCATTGCACATAAACAAACTAATTACACCCCAAGCCCCCAAGTCTAAGCAGTATTTGAGCTCTCAGCGCGGCATCTCACGAAGGAGTGCTGGTTGACGCCCTACGGATCGGATGGTGCCGAGCTGAGTCCACCTCCGGTGGGTAGTGTAGAGGCCTGCATAATTAGCACAGGCTTCCGTAAAAGGGCTCTGTAAAGGTTACTATACGGGCTATTATACGGATTTAGTGTAGAGGCCTGAATAATTAGAGTAGGGTTTTGCGTTCGTTTATAGTATACGCAAGTATATTGAGGAACCCAAAGGACTAATGTGGGTATTTTTGTTCGGCTTCTATATTCTGTGGTTTGGGCTGCTTCGGTTGCCCACACGCAACCTCGATCTAAATAAGGAGCCTGCATATTCCGCCGCATTGCATTTAGCACGCCCGTGAGTCACGGCATAACATACCCCGATGTTGAAGCCGCAGTCTCACAGTTCAGACAGCTATACTACACTCGCACGCTCAACTCCCAAGCCATCTTGATGTAGGGATGGAATAGTGGCAGTACGTACTACAAAAGGAACGATATCCCTCTATGTTGAAGTAAAAAACGCCACAAAATTCCTGTGTTAACTGTTCAGGCCCTTATCTCAGCTGCCAAAGGCATTCCGGACTGGAGTATGTCCCAGAACCAGACATGCCACCCAATCAACGAGTGCGGGGCTCGGAGTCGCGTCTCGGGTTTCGGGTTTCGGGGCTCGTCAGTAGCGCGGGGTTTCGCGTTTAAGGTTCAGGGTTCTATCTTTGTCTTGCGATTTGCGTGCATTCAGGTCCAGGGCGTAGTTGGTGCCATTTCAAGCGCAAACTGGAACACATCTGTCCTATCGCTGTCAATATGATCGCGAAGGATTATTGACGCCGACGACCGCGGCAAGTTTTCGTGCACCCTTGCCAGCGTGTGGAGTCTACGCATCTGCGATATCATCTCCCTGTCGGGACAACGATGTGTCCCGGTCTTGGTTTACGACAGATGGTGTTGCTTTTCCTCACAGCGCTGTGTTGTCGTTCGAGCACCCTTGTTCTGAACAGCGAAGCGTCGTCTGTGTTGCCGATGAATTCGCTGAGCGTGGCTGCGCCCGTCCTATGCTTCCCAAATCCTTCAACCCCGTATCTCTCGCGCACATGCTCAGAAGACGCCCGCTAATGAACTAATTTGCTAGAAGCTGCAAGCCTTCAGCTGCAAGTTCAAGCATAACTAAAAGAAGCCTGGAGCTAACCAAGCACCCCGGATCGCAGAGTTCAACACGCACACAACTTTGATGATGATTATGATGGTGGTGCTGGTGGTGGTTATGAGGGCAAGGGATCTCAGTATTGGGTTTGCTGTTATCCAAACACCAAACACTAGCAATCCCTAGTTACCATGAGTCTAAAGCGTCAAGCCCTCAACCCAAATCCCTAAACCCAAAGCGAATCTCTAATTCAGGACTTGTCCCTGCCACGAGACGTACGAGGAGAAGTGCCGGGTCCTTAGATTGCTGTGTGCGAGGTCGCCATCACCAAGCGATGTTCGAGTTCTTGAAGCGCTCTACTCGCACACCGGTTTCCAACACATCATTGTCAAGCCCCGAACCTTAACTTACCTTCACAAACAGTACCCAGCACATCCAACAGTGTTCAGGCTTCCCTTTAGGGCCTATAGGATTAAGGTTTTGGGGTCAGGGTTCGTTTTGGGGTTTAGGGTTGAGGGCTGACGCCTGAAACAGCCTGAAACCCCAAACCCCAAGTGAGGGAGACTTCTCTTCTAACTTCGATGGGGGAGTTTCCCAAGACATATCTAGGGTGTAAGGCTTAGGGCAATATGTCCCGTGAACTTGCCACCGCTTTATTAAACTCACAAGGTCCCGCTTTGGGTGGCGGTTTAGGGTTTAGGCTTTAGGGTGTAGGGTTTAGGGTTTAGGGCACGCCCGAGGCCCCAAGCCCTGAAGGCCCGTGAACCAAAGCTCTTGAAAGCCTAAGTCTGCAGCCTTCAAGGCCAAAACTCCTAAACCCCTAAACCCTAAGCCCGAAACCCTTAAACCCTAAACCCTAAACCCTTACACAACAAGCCCTACACCCTAAACCCTAAACCCGAGCACGTCGGGGTGTCAAAAGTCGGAATTTGGTGGCTGCAGCAAAAACAAAGCGGTCGCAATAAGTTCTGGAATTCCCTTGTGATCCAATGGCACTGGACCTGATACATTACATAGTATATGGTATACAATATATCCAGTACAAATATATATATATATATATATATATATATATATATATACACACACACACATGATCGATGTTTAAATAACATATCATAGGTAATACGAGACAGACTATTTTATATGTTATAGTATGTAGTTATCAAGGCTCCTAGAGTTGGGGCGTTCTCAGGTTCAGCCATTGGCTCGGAAGCCAAACTAGTCTAGCGGCTTGAACAAGTTTTCCTGATTAAGACAGACTTGTACTAAAACCCGCTTCTGAGTAGTAGTTTTCTGATCATTGGTTCCTTCTTTCGCATCTTTCGCCCGCCTGAGCCGGGGAGCGGCGTAGCCGTGCCCTGTGTTGCCGGGGTTCCTTCTTTTCTGCCTGTCTGGCCGGGGGGCGGCTTGGCCGCACCCTGCGCTGCCGGGGTATTACTTCTCTCGGCGGGTTTTTATTCCACGTGCCTCAAGGGACACGGTTTTTTCCCCTCGGTCTCACAATGTAGATCTGACGTTCTCAGAATTTCTGATCGTTTTCAGGCCAAAGCCCCGAAAGTAACCCTTCCAGACCCAGTTTAAACGGAAGCCTTGAAGGAGCCAAGGTTTAGCAAGGCAGCAAATCTGGAAAATCTACAGGGGCGCCGCTATGGTCTCATGATGTCGAACGGGTCTCCGGTTTCCAAGTATTTGGAGTCCTGGAACCTAAGAAGCGCCCATACGAAGGCCACGACAACTGGGGCCACTGGTGCCAGACGAAGGCATATGGCTCCTGCCCGGTGCAGCTTGCTCTATACGGGAACGCCTGTGCTTCTTTTGTCCTGCCGGTTATCCATAGCTAAACATCCCATGGGGGTGGGCGGGGGGTCTGCCTCTTCACGCTGTTGTGACTCGGGAAGGCGCCGGCCATGATGTGGACAGTGCCGGCGGTGGTGATGATGATGACGTTGATAGGGTCATCTTGATCCTCGTGGTGACGTTGCTGATGATGTTGATTTTAATGTTGACGATGCTTGCGGCGAAGCTGACGAGATTGATGTGGTGATCTTATGCCGGTCTTTCGTGATGCCGTTGCATTGGTGTTGTTGGGCGGTTTTGACCCAAAGGCGGTCTTCTTATGAGGGTGATTCGCTCTTGGCGATTGCGATGATGACGATGATGAGGGTAATGATGATGACCATCAAACCATGTAGAACCCCAGATATCAGGTGACGGGTTGACATCTAGCCACTCAGGGCTTCAGGCTCGTGGGCTTTCGTGTTTGGGCTACATAGGTCTGCTTGGAGCTGGGTCTCAATAAGTTCGCCTGGCATGGCTCTTCGGTTTTTGCGGCGTAGGAAGTTCTGGGGTTGAAGTCGGTTTCGAGTTGGGTTAGGTCTGAGAGGGATTGGGAATCAATGGTGTTGGGGCTCTAGGACTTGCGATCTGCTTCTGACGTCATGTTTTTGGGTTTGGGCACTCTCGGCATGCTCTATTTCTCTCTCTCTCTCTCTCTCCCTCTCTCTCTCTCTGTCCCTCCCTCTGCCTTCAAATGCCCGTCCGACCGTCCGTCCGTCTCTCTGTCCATCTGTCGGCCTGCCTGCTTGTCTGTCTGCCTGCTTGTCTGTCTGTCTCCCTTCCCTTCCTTCCTTCCTGCAACACTTCCCTAGAACACAACGTATGCTTCCCGCCCCCCCCCCCCCCCCCCCCCCCCACCTCCCCCCGCCCCACTGCGGTTCCACATGTGTCCTCGTGTTGGGCCTTGAAGTCTGAGGTACTGCACTGCCAATGAGCCGCCCGGGCCAAAAGATGCAGAGGGCAGGAGTTGGGGGACGAAAGGCTAGGATGCCCAGCGGTACCCTTATCCTCTTTTTGTAGTCCTTATAAAGGTACCCAACACCAAAAATCGGAACCCCCTTTTCTTCCTATGTTACTGGGCATCCTAGAAGGGTGCCGAGGAGGATGCCTAGGGCTTTGGGCAACCAAGGCCGAACCCAACGCCTCAAGCAGCTGCGGTGTAGCCTCACAGGAGCTGTGCAAGCTTGCAGGCATTGCACATGATGCTACAAAGCCCGAACGCCGGCTGCTTTAAGGATGACGTGCTGGGTGGCGCCATACGATGCCACTGGGCGATGTATGAGGCTTTCGTTTACATTTTTGGTTTAGTGCCTTGGGCTTTCGGGGGTTAGGGTTTAGACGAACCCCAGGTGGTTGCCTGCACCCTACCTCTTCCCAAAATCCTTCCCACCTCGTGTTTCCTGAACTTTACACACCAAACCCAAAACCCCAAACGCTCAAAACCGTAAGACCCGTAAACGAAACCAGGCCACATCGCCAAAAGACCCTCAACCCCAACTCCCTAGAACCCTACACCCTAAATCCCCACAAACGAGAGAGCTCGCTTGAGTCTCTTCAGTTTGCCTGAAGCCCTGCTTAGAATGGCAGTGCATTTTGTTGTGTTCAGACCGGGACCTGTGATGGAACTGCGTCGGGAGCATCTGAAGGACCTTGCTTGCTGGAACTGTGGTGCTAAACCCTAAACCCTAGGACTTTTCCTCGCCACCAACACTAAGCCAATACTGTATTTTCTCTACCCCCACCCGCGCCAGCCCCCTGTTGGGCCTCGGAAAGCCTCTCTTTTCTCTACAGTCTTGTGATAGGGGCCTTGGGACCAGATATCCCTGTTTGAAGGTACATTGAGGGTCCTAGGAAACCTTTGTTATTTCACCCATGTTGTCGAGGAAGAAAAAGGACTCCTCGCCCTTTGTCGACAGGAAAACCTCTATCTCCTCCACATTTTCATGCGAAGTCTTTGTGTTGTTTATAAGATGGGATACCCTTTACTTCCTGTATATTTTATAGGGAGGCCCGACTTCCTCGGTGTTCTCTAAAACCTACCTGAACAAGACACCCCATACACAAAAAGATGCTCCTACACTCCGGGGTGCATGTGGCTGGTTGTCAAAATTATAGTCCCTTTTTGGGTACCCTAAATAATAGGTGCCGTATTATAATAGGGACCCTAATTTTGACCCATGTCCGTTGCTCGAAAGAAAGCGCTGCGCATGCGGCGGGCGCTCCCGAGGCCAACGGCAGCATCGACTACTACGCGAGCTGGACAGAAGTCTGCGCGAACATCTCCGAGGGTCACCCGCTTTGTGGATTTCATTGCGAGTTGCTTCTTTTCAGGGCCCGGCTTTGGTCAGGTGGTGTGCGACGGCGAGTTGAGGTTCGGGTTCGGTGGGATTCGCCTTTGACGGTCCAGAACGAGGTGTTGTTCACTCTGGCACGACCCTCGTTGCGCATGGGAGGGTTTAGGGTGGTTGCAACCGGTTGGGGAGGGCGGTCGCAAACGGAAAGCAGCAGCCCCCATTGTTGCAACCGCCATTGCCATCAACGTCGCCACCGCCAGATCGACTTTTACCAGCATAGTCGATCATCATCGTGTCCATCGTCGTCGTCATCATCATCGTCATCACCATCGTCATCTTCGTCTCATCAGCATCATCTTCACTACTTGTAGGAGCAGGCGATGGAAGACACCGGAGCAGGAGCATCGGAACCAGCAGTTAAGCCCTAGACCTCAAAAGGTTCCTGCATCTGAAGTACTATGACTAGAACGTTTGCATACCTGCATAGGGTATAGTATGATAGCACAGTATAGCATAGTACATAGTAACCTATACCTCAAACCCTTTCTGAGCCCCTTCCGGGGGTCATGATCATCACGAGCATCTCGGTCCTTGCGACCCTTCCTGCTTTGACAAGGCTGCCCATGCGACTCCACTTGGGAGAAGAAGTGCACCAGCCATGGCTATTCGCTACTGGGACTGGAAGCATTCAAAGGCTTCTGCTTTAAAGCTTTGAGATGACGCTTCAGGTTCAGTGCCTAAGGTTCTGGGCTCTACATGCAGACGTCTGCGGCCGGATGCTAGCATTCCAGCATTCTAGCAATCTCAACACCGGAGGAGTCCAAAATTTAAACCCACCTTGGAGGGCTCATGCTGCCGAAAACAGACGAGACCTTTGCTTGCGATAACTATGGGCCGTGTTGGTCAACAACAAGAGCATGCTACAATGGCGATCATGATGACAGATGCTGCTTATCGAGGTGATTCGATCGATGAACGTGGTCATGATGATACTGCCGAGGAAGTATGACTATGGTGGCGATGACGATTTTGGTCCCATCATAATGGTGTGAATGGCTATGAGCACCTCGACGAGGCTGCTGATGGTGTTCTTGTGGTGCCGGATTCGTGTTTCGCCCGTTTACTGCATCTTGATTAGAAGCCGTGCAGGTCACTGGCCATAGGCTCTGTATCGCCACGGTCTGTCGAAGATGCTCAAAAGCTCCTTCGCACATTTCACAAAAAAACTGTTCTTTGTTCTTTGTCTGAAGTACTCCTAGGCAGGGGATCCCGCTCCCGCCCAAGGTGGACCTGCAGCCACCCAAGTCGACATTGATTGGGCCGCATCTGTACCATTTGTCTCAGCTTGGACTCTCTGGCCCTAAACCCACAACCAAAATTGGCTTGAGGGCGCACCACAACCTTGGTAAGACAAGCGGAGGTTCTGCGAATCGATCTTCAACAGCTGCGCCCTGGCATCAATTTCAGAATTTGTCATCAATCACCTTGCTTCGGGGTCCTTCTGGATTGCATCTTCAATCCGCAAATTATGTGGATGGGCCAATGTATGAGACTAGTACGACGACGACTACGACTGCGACGACGACGACCACGATTCTACTACTACTACTACTACTACTACTACTACTACGACGACGATTACTACTACGACTACGACTACGACTACGATTACTTCTACGACTACGACTACGACTACGACTACGACTACTACCACCACCACCACCACCACCACCACCACCGCCACTACTACTGCTACGACTACTCTTTCGAGATGCGTGCATCTAAGCGCAAAGGACTCAAGGCAAAAGACTTGGCTAGTGGCGGCTAACTGGGGATTAGAAGTCTAGTTCTGCCACGCCAAGAAGATCCCGCAAGCGCTCATGAAGCAAACATAGGTATTCAAAACCAAATAAGACCAGACCTCGCCCGAAGGGTGATGCCACCGTGAAGTGACCAAACTTGTGCATGACCCCACTGTCTGGCACCGAACAGTGCGACGAGCCATATCCGTCCATGCGCGGTGTGGCGTATGACTGACTGACTGTGCCTGCCTGCCTGACTGCCTGACTGACTGACTGACTGACTGACTGACTCACTGACTGACTTGCAATCTTCGTAAGACTACCTGACTACCGAAACAGCAACAAGCCTAGGAAGAAAACTTGATCTCAATCTCGTTGGAATTGAAAGCAGAAGAGGGGTTGGATTGCGTTGTGCTGGAGCTTAAGGGCTTTCTACATTCTATTTCTAACCCCGGAAACCGTGTCTAAACCCTAAACCCGAAACCCTCAACCCTCAAGCATAAACAGCCCCTGGTGACGAGGCCCCGTGGACTGTGGAAGCGCTTCGACGTGCTACCACTACATCTCAGGCGGCTGATGTAGCATAGGGGCTTGTGTAGTTACGAGGACTACTTATATGGGGCTCACTAGTAAGTACCAATACTCTTTCGGGTTCATGAGTATGTGTCTAGGATAAGAGAGGGGCTTAAGTCTTAAGTAAGTACCAATTACTACTTGGGGTTCATGATTACATTTATAGTATAGTATATCCCTGATCTACTTATTCAGGCCCTTATTTATCATGAGCAGCCCGAGTTGATTCCCAAACTATGATTGTGATGCGCTTAAGTGGGCCGACTTCCGCTGGTGCTTCGAGAAGGGAATCCCACAATAGAATTGCAATACCTAGATCCCCCAAAGTAGGCAACATACTGGCCCAAAGCCTATAAAAGGCCATTATTCTACATACTTTTGGGGTCCAGGGAGTTACTATAGTCCTATCTTGGCTTGCCCTGTGAGTTTCCGTTCTGTTCTGCGGGACGCCATGAAGACACCCCCACGCCCTCCGTGAGAAGCTGCGTGTAGTCTGACGAGTCTGCGCTGGCCTTGATCACCCTGCCTACACAGCCCTCATTCCTAAACGTCCTACACTTCAAGGCCCAGCTGTGAAGCGAAGCCCTGAACAGGCAACGAGTCGTGCGCCACAAACACCGGCTGCGTGTGTGAATCCAACGAGATCAGCTGCGCCAATCCGGACTGGGTTTGGGTGGTGCGGCAATCTGCAGCAGAAGTCCCTGTTAGCTTGTGCCTGACTTGTCTACGTAGCATTTGGCGTCTTCCATACGAAGCAAACCCCCGGTGTATCCCTGAGCCCTTCTTACGGCCCTTACACCTGTAGCTACAGGCCGTGCTAAGCCCTTGGCTGCTTGAATCCTTGTCTTGCTTTGGTCTTAGAGGACCGGTGACCCCCCTAACTCCGGTCCTCCACAACAGCCACAACTTCTCAGAGTCACTCAAAGAAGGCCCCAAGTCTAAAGCCCTGCAAGACTCGAATCTCTACTTGAGCGTGGGGATGAGGACAGCGGCCTCTCTGAGTGCTATCCAACTGCCTCTTGTCCTGCACCTGGGGTCTTCTTGCACGACCGCAATCTTGCAGAAGTTGGGCTTGGGGACGTTGAGGCTTGGGGCGCGGGTGTAAAACACTGAAACCCAAACCGATGCTCCTAAATCCTGAACCGCCCGAAACTCAGGAGAGCTCCTTACCCAAAGCCGTGAACCCCAAGCCCTCAACCCTCCCCAAACCCCAAAGCTCAAACCCCACAGTAGACGCCCAAAAGTTGGAATCCCCAGAGCCTCCATCCTTAAGGGTAATGTACAGAGAATCCCAGCACTATTTGGCCTTAGTCCAGTTTCCAACTTTATGGGAAGACAAGGATTGGTATCCGAGTGGATGTCCGGTGACCTGCGCCCACTACGAGATGATCTGCTCCCGGGCGCCTTGCTTTTCGAAACCTTAAACCTTAAACCCTCTACAGTAGAAACCCAAAAGTTGGAAACCCAATAGCCTCAACCCCTAAGAGTACTATATATAGGGAATCCCAGCACTATTTGGCCTTAGTCCTGTTTCCAACTTTGTCTACTGTACCCCCCCGTGCTTTTGGATGCCATTCTCGGTCTGGTGAAGTCGAAGATGTTGGATCCTTGGGTTGCTGGGGTTTATCATAGGCACTCTTAAAAGGGGGGTAGGGGGAGGGGGGGGTAGGGGACCTTGATGCCCGTAATGCGGACCGAATAAGGCTTATTTAAGGAGGTATTATTTAAGGAAGTATAGTCCCCTACCCCCCTCCCCCTTACCCTTACAAGGGTCCGAGTTGGAATTCCTGTAGAATTCCCTGCGTCACTCGAGGGGTCTTGGCAACAGGCCTTCTTGGGATTTGCGAATGGGTTGAGAGTTTGAGAGCAGAGCCGTAGCAAGTCTAGTAGTCGGTAGAATTAGAATAGTAGGAACCTGACTAAGAAGCACCTTCTTGTGCAAGATTTGAAAGAGGCTGACAAGTGGCAGTCAAACACATTTGAACTCCATGTTCGGTGTGATGCCCTTCACCTCTGATGTCCCTAGTGTCAGCTGCTTGCACAGGGCGCATGCCCTGACCCGGCATGGGGCCTGGGTGGAAGTGTGCCCGAAGCATTCCTGTAGATCATGGTGGCTGCGGAGGGTGCGGACAGAAACGCGTAATATAGCGGCCTAAATGCTTACTATACTATCCTGGGGGTTCCTGATTATGGTTGTAGTAGAATATACTCCAAAACCCTATATTAGTGTAGCTTCCCCAGCATCCCGCAGGCTGCCTTCACGCTTCCAAGCAACTGCTGTCTCTCGCAAGACCGGTCTATGCAGCCTCGCCCTCTTCGTAGTGGAAGTACATAGCATACACTAACACCCTGACTCCTGCGCCAAACCCCCCAAAGCGAATTCCGGGTAAGCCCCTCCGCAGATCCCAGAATTCCGGCAGAGGTCTCCTTCTCCGCGGACGGCCTTATGCACGCCTGGCATGTGGGGTTGTGCCGAGATGTCGAGGGAGTTGAAAGGCGGCGCCCTATTTAGACCCCTAGACTCTTGCCCCCTCCGATGTGGAAGGCTCCCGAAGCTCGGGAAGCCACTGTTTTGGCTTGGGCTCCGTGAGGGTGATGTATGAGGGTCCTTCATGTTTCGAAAGGCCCCTATGCTGCTTTAGTTGCTCCAAAGGCAGTGGGAGGACTACTGCGTGAATGGGACTGAGAGCCCCGGCTGCAGAAGAATCGAACATGTTTCGACGTGTTACGCCACTGCCAAGCTATTTGTCAGCAATATCAGCTTAAGCCCCGAATTGTATCCCGGTCTGGAAGTGGTTGTGTGTGTGTGTGTGCGTGTTTTCGTGTGTGTGTATATATATATATATATGTGTCTGCGTGTTTGTTAGTTTGTTTGTCTGTGTGTATGTGTTGCTCTGTTTTTCTTCTGTGTGTGGGTGTGTCTGTGTGCGTGCTAGTGCTTGCTTCTGTCCCATGCTGAATATGGTTGAAGATGTCCTCCGCACCCGCTGGCACAGGGGAGGTATTGTTGATGATATGAACCCTGCATTACCTATAATAAGGAACATACCATATCCCATAGTTTAGGGTCCTTAAGGTAGTGCAGGGTTTATATCATCAACAGTATGAGTGCATCTGCAGAGGGCTTGAAAAGCCTTTGGATCAATTGGAGAAGCAGCAACCCGAACGGACCAAAGGTGAGATTTCAGTAAATCACATGTGCAAGCTGCAATATAGGGGCCAATATAAATACCTATACTGTTTTGGATGTTCCTTATGTTATGTGTGGTACAATGGGCCTCAAAACCCTATTCTACTTATTAAGGCCCCTGCAGCATGCACAAGCCGGCACAAGATAGCCCGAATAGGCCAAGCCCAAGCCTCAAAGTGCGGCACAATCGATGGGTATCTCCCTTGCAGCTTGCCATGGCTGTGCTTGCTCAGGCTCAACTTACCTTGGTTCGTAGGGAATGGAGGAATGGGGTACAATTATAACTGCTATTACTACCAGTCTTCCATTCCCTACTAACCAAGGGTAAGCCAAGAGTGTAGCAGCTTACCGGGCCTGAGACATCTAGGATCAGATCTGAACATATCGTGACACTACACTGCGGCGCTCCCCAAGCCCCCATCCAACTTGGCAGTAACTGGCAGGCCCTCAAAACCTGGACAAATCACGCGCCGAGGAACAACTGGATGTGCCCAATATACTGCGATGCTGCAACATCGCAAAAGCGCGGGCCCATGAGTGGTTAGGGGTTTCGTGTTAATTAATCCTATATACCCGAAATTTGCCATGTAGTGACTTAGATATAGAGTATGTCTGTATATATGCATATACATACATAGATACATAGACATAGACATATACCCATATCTCTCTCGTTCGATGTTTGGATACGCACCGGGATTCCTATCCTCTTTCCTTCTTCTTTCGCACCCATGAGCCCTAAACCCGAGAAACCTAAACTCACAGACATCGGAAGAATGATGATGATCATGATGAGGATGAATGAATGAATTAATGAAGAATGATGATAAACATGATGATGAAGGTGATTGCGATTGAGTCTGGTGGTGGTGATGATGGTAGTTTGAATTATAAAGGTGAAAATGAGGGGTGCGATTGAGTATGGTGATAATGATGGTTATGATGCTGATGACGATTTTCATGGTAATGATATGACCCATGGCAATGATGGTGGTGATGATGAGTGGCATCTTGCCCGTCCTTGTAGCCTGAGCCTCAAACCTCATCCATCTATTAGGGGGGTTGTCAAAATTCCAAAAAGGGACCATAATTTTGACAACCACCCAATTAAGTCATCCTTGGATGCTTAGGAAGCCTTTGGGCCCGTAACCGCACACCCGAGTTCCGTCTGACAACCCCAGCCACGCGTAATTCCACGGCCCCAAACCTTACCTAGACCCCTTAAAAGGTAAAATAATGGCCCAAAACCTATGATGAAAGGCCATTATTCTACATACTTTTGGGGTGCAGGTAAACCGGATATCCGACACCCCAATCCCTGGCAAACCCGTATACTTTATGTCCTAAGGCCTTACTAGAGCTGAAATCACAGAGCCCAAACATTAAACCCCAAACCCAGGCCGGGGTGTGCACCGGGACTCGAGGGGCTCGAGTCTAGGATTGGCAAAGTGCTGACGATGGTCCCGACTAAGGAACTCCAAGCCTCACTTAATCTTAGGGCTACTTAGAAATGTTTTTTAATTTTGGTTATTATAACCCCTAAGAAACAGCTAAAATTCACCTAATGTCATGTGGGGGGTTGTCAAAACTATGGCCCCTTTTGGGGTACCCTAAATATTAGGTGCCGTCTTATATTCAGGACCCAAAAAGGGATCTTAATTTTGACAACCACCCATGTACCAATATGGGTAGTCCTCGAAATTAGGGCGCTTTGCAAGTCCCCAAAACAGCACGGTAGTGGTAATTACTCTTGTGCGAAATATGGTGACAGGATTCGAGTGTATATATATATATATATATATTGCTATATGTAGAAAATATGCATATGTATATAAGTATAGCACAGCGTAGTCTAGTTTAGAACTGTGCCCAGGTGTGGCACTCCAGGCACCTGGGACGAGCACTGCATCTCCAAGGTGGCTCTGCTTGCATCCAACCCCTCAAAGCCAAGGCAGAAGCAGATCGTATAGTGTAGTTCATCTTGGCATGGTGTAGTATATCTATAATCTACAGTGTGCGTCCGTGTGTTATTCGTGTTTAATTCACTGTCACAGTATACGATAGTATTTCATGTTGTAAAACAGTATGCTGTTTTTTGTATATGTAGTATATAGATAGACGCAGATTATCCGTAGAAAAAGTAGCAGGGCGTCAGGCCAAGTCATTTGATTCATGGTGCTGCTGTCTGGAGAATGTTTTTAGGAGTACGAGGCGACACCCTGAAGCCTAAACCCTGCACCCGAAGCTCGAAGCCCAAACCCTAAGCCCTACACCCATATTCTGTGAAGCCCAGACCCCAAACATGGTCGACTCCCTTGTGGGAACCCTGAAATTATATTCTTAATACGGCACCCTATAGTTTGGAAACCCAAAAGAACACTCATTTGGACAACCACCCGCATGTAAAACGAAACTCTGGACCGTGAGCTAGGACCCTTGGCCTTGCACCAATATTCCCTTCGCCTGTCCAGAACGAGACTTGTCCGGTGAGTTGCTCGGAGCAGTACTGCTGGGTGGCCGCCCGCCAGCAAGCCGTTTCGGTGGTCGGGTTTAGGGCGGGGATGAGCCCTGAACCCCAAAGCCTAAACCGAAGTCCTAAACCCTAAACTCCTAAACCCTAACTAAACCGGTTCATGGTTTAGGGCTTTCGGGCATTTGAGAGCCGGCGGGCTCACGCTCTCTTTTAGTACACGTGAGTGCTCTGTGCAACAGCTTTATACCAAGGAAGATTCATTTCCTAGTCTTAACCGTCCCGGCTCCCATAAGAACCTCCAGACCCGGGGAGCAAGGACAACTACGACAGCGCCGGCATGTGGCTTGACAGCTCCGAATCTTGCTCCTCTTTTGCAAGGAGGTGTACTACAGGGGGGTCTGAGCTACGTCGACCCATGAGCCCGCCATTCGTTAAGAAGCAGCTTAGAGAGTCCCGTGGCAGCTAATATACGGATACTTAGAATAGGGTTTTGTGGTATATGACATTATACTTACAATAAAGAACCTTCAAAATACTATTGGTAAGTTGCCTCAATCGCATTTTCTCATCCAATCTCGGTCTTACACACGGACTTAGGGTTTACATGACACGGTCCAAAATGTGGGCTTGGGTGAAGGTCTTTACAGTGGAGGGCTCTGTAGATTTGGCCAAGGATTGTCTTGAAAGGTGGGGGTCTTCTGTTAAGGGCTCTTATCCAAGCCTTCGACCCCTACACGTATGCAATCGATGTGGTCCGGCGTTGACCTCGAATTGCAAAGAGGCCATGTTGCGGCCATGTTGTGCGGCCTACATCTGTCGGGCTTTCGTAGGAAGCTTCATCATTCTGACTGACATCACATGGGTCCGGAATGCTCGGATCCCTTCTACCAGCTGCCAGTGTCCATACAGCCCCAAACGGCTTTTGTGCTCCAGCAGGTTCGTACAGCTTGCTACGATGGAAACGCAGTGTGCGATGAACCCTACGAGGGTTCACGGTTCTGTGGGCTTCGGGCGTAGACCCTGAGCCCTATGAAACCCCCTTCAAGCATCGAAGAGCATAGTAGACCCCTATAGCTCAGGGGAACCCTAACGAATGTTCAGGCGCTTCCTGGTCTGAAACGTGCCCCTGCGGCTCCAATGCGGAGCTCTGCACGGACCCCTTCATGGGCCCCCTGGCCACCGATTCTTCGGGGCTTCAGGGTTTCGGGTTTAGGGTGTCTGGCTGTTTGGATGGTTAACTCTTACTTACTGATTGCCCTAAACTCGTATATAAACCCGAATAAACCCCTTGTGTGAGGGTTTCGAAGTGCTGTTGACTTTCGGGCCATGTTCCGTCAAAACGCGGTAGGGTTGCTCCCCGACAGCCTCGACCCCAGAATACCTAGGCACCCGAATAATGAGAATTAACTGCCTGAGGGAACCATCGGGAATAGTATCGCCAGTTATGCAGACCCTCACCATCAGGTCATTAAGTCATCCCCTACTTGGATACTGTCTGCCTTGATGTATGTCCTCAGCAATAATCCCTCAACCACCACCACAAAACCTAACTCTGATGGTTTACAGTTGAGGGTTTAGGGTTGAACCCTAAACCCCTAAACCCCAAAACCCTAGACTTCTAACCCCTAAACCCCCAAACCCTTAAACCCCTAAACCTCTGAACCCTAAACCGGAGTCGAGGGTCTATCTCCTAGCCGCGAAGCCCAGCCCTGTCTGGGGACGTGAGGCTACTCCTACTGCTCCCCTGCAACTCGGCTCTCTCAAGGTTCAGTCGCCAGGGCCTTTTGGGGTTTTAGAGTTTAGAGGTGAAACCCTAGGGGCCTTGATAGTTAGAATAGGGTTCCCTTCAAGGGCTCTATAGAAGGGTGACTAAAAGGGTACTATAATGTAGGGGCCTTAATAATTAGAATAGGGTTCCCTTAAAGGGCTCTAAGGACAAGGGTACTACACTGTACCGGCCTTGATAATTAGAATACGATTTTGGGGCCCATTATACTGTAATTATAATCAGGAACCCTCAAATGAAGTTCTCTCTTAGAATTCAAGTCTGCTGAGGTTTCGGTTCTCATGAGTCGCTTCTTATGTTTATCACCTGCAAACCCAGGGGGTTAGGACAGATATCGGGCTTGTTTTGAGTCCAAAAGGGCTTAATGTAGCGGGCCTGAGTACTATCTAGTTATCAAGGCCCCTATACGATACTAAACCCTAATGGACTGGTTTTAGAAGGAATCCCAGAGGGTCCAAGTTCCCAAATAGTAGGGTTTCGAGGTCCAAAGACCATTTAGAGTATGGTTTTTGAGACCTAAAACCATACCGTTCGGGTACTTGGACCCTCTGGGAATCTTTAAAGGCGTTAAAGGCGGCTCGGCTCCAATGACTACAGCATCCTCCAGTCTGTGGGATTTGGAATCTTGGGTCTGTCGGCGAGTTGGCGTCTGTCCGAAAACATGGGGGTACCAGACATCCTTAAAGAAGTTGGGATCGGGTTGAGTGTTTGGGGTTTCAGGAGTTTAGGGTTTTAGGGTTTGGGGGTTTCAGGATTTTAGGCTTCAGGGTTTGGGGTCTAGGGTGTCGAGTTTAGGGTGACCGAAACCCACGAAATCCGGACTTCAAACCCGAAGGCCCTGACATAGTAAGCCTGGGAAGTCGGCTTTCCGCAGGAAAGATGAGTTTGTAGGAACATGTAATTCCCACCGAGAAGAGACATTCTTTCGTATGTCCCCTAAACCCTAAACTCCAAAACTTTAAACTCTTGAACCCCTAAACCCTAAACGCCCTAAGCCGTATGTCAGCCCCTCTGTCGAAGCCTAATCCGAGTCTTATTGGGGCTGCCCGCTCTACTGCAATCCACTGACCGAGAAGACTTGCTTCCTGGACTGGATTCACTCTGGGCTAGTCTGGTATTTCAGATTGTAGGGTTTGGCATGTTGTCACAACCTTCGAGGGCTTTAAACCCGCTTCGCATGTATTGATGGTTGCATGTCGAAGTCAGGTTAGTAATGTTCAAGGGTTTCGGTCGCGCAGAGGAGGCGTTTCTAGGAGGAGGATATGAAGTCACGTGCATTTTCGAGAGGTCGGCGCCTTCGGGCTCTTCACAACCCAAACGCAAAGCACTGAAGGGTACCACAGTAAGGCCCCATACGGCATTTGGGGGGTGTTGCAAGAGCCAGGGATGTGGACAATGAAGACCCCTCAAAGTCCAAGTTCTCAGGGCTCCGTTCGGGCTGCAGGCAATATAGGGGCCTAAATCATTACCAATACTATGTTGGGGGTTCCTTGTTATAATTATAGTATAATGGGCCCCAAAACCTTATTCTAACCATTACAATAAGGCCCCTATATGACGGCAGTTCAGCAGTTGAGGTTCATGAGAGCTGCATCGTAGAAGCCCTAAGCCCGACGCCTTTAACCTCAACACCGTCTGAATCCTAAATGGGTGGTTGTCAGAATTGGGGTCCCTTTTTGGGTACCCCAAATATTAGGTGCCGTATTAAAATGAAGACCCAAAAAGGGACCCGAATTTTGACAACCACCCAAATGAATGAGGCTATCCGGTCTCCTTCACCGTGGACGGCCCCCTGGCCCAGCTCACGTTGGTTTGCGCCTGTTGATCTTGGCTTCCCAGAAAGTAGGGCTCCATGGAAGTTGCACGGGTTTTGGCAGCGGGTGTTGTTAAAGTCTGCGACTTCGGGAACACCTCTGGATGGTATTCAAAGAGGACGCTGTTTTCACATGTTTGTGCGCCTCACCAAGAGTCCAGTTTCGCAATGGCTGTGGTAAGCAGAGACCACGAGTTGTTCACAGTACTTCTCCCTGCTGCTGCGCTTGCTGCTGCTACTGCCCCTTTGCCACAACCAACTTCGTGTTCATTAGTCACTTGTAGCTTTGAAGACGCACCATCCGACAATACCATGAAGATAGTTTGCAGGCTGCCAGGGAGGAGCTCGTTCATATGAGTGTTTCGCTTGTTGCAGCAGTTGGGATAGTTGGATTGGGTGGGCACGGACCAGGCGTAAGCACTCAGCATCTTGCATGCAGCCTGCCTCTTAGGGCCCTCAACCCTGAGGCACTGAACATATAGCGGCCCGAGTCATTAGTCACTGGACTTGAGTTTCGGGGGGCCCTGGAAGCAACACGATCCTCACTTCAAACACCTCCAAAAACTGGAGAACCAAGTCAAGGTTTGCAAGATTGGGATGCACCCGCCAATGAGAGCTGCCAGAACATTACGCAGCACCTCGGATCAGAGCACGGAAAGCGATAATTCTCCGGAGCTTTACTTTTTGGCGTTTCTGGGTTTCGGTACCTCAGTGAAATCGAGTTCAAAGTTCGAGGTTCTCGGAAATGAGGTCGCAGGGTTTTAGCATCCTGTCGCAGGTGTGTCGGGGCTGGAGTCAGCACGTGGAGCTCAAAAGCTCAGTTCGCAGCACTACAGCCGGTAGGGCTTCAGGAAGCTTACATAGGAGCCTAAATAACTACAAATGTCATTCTGGGGGTTCCTTATCATGATTATAGTCTCATATATGGTCAGGCGTCTGGCGTTCCCAGCCCCCCCCCCCCCCAATGGTATGGTCTGACAGGGGTGGGGGGGGGGGGGTGGGCTGGCGTGTGCGGAAAGGGGTTGGGGCCGTTGGAGCTGCCACTGGATGGTGGGGTGGTGCTGGCGGCCAGGGCTCACGCGCAAGCCCTTCAGCGCGTGCCCCTGTTTTGCGCAACCTTGACTTGTACTTAAACCGCTACACTCAACCCTAAATTAACCCCACCTAACTGCAGGCTCTAAGCCTAAAGCACTAAAGCAGAGCATACACCGCAAATCCTCCCTAAGCCTTTGTCGACTCGAAGCCTTATACGTTGTAACCGTAAACCCAAAACTCAAAAGCTTAAGCTAAACCCAAAACCCCACAACCACCCCCCAGAAGGAAGAGGAACCCCACACCCCACACCACAGGGGAGGGGGGGGGCCACCCTATATCCGGACCATTGAGCTTTGGGGGGGGAGGGGGGGGGGCTGCGGAGCGCGTGACCATATATCCCAAAAACCCATGACAAAGGATTACGGCCCCTGAACAAAACCCTGACATGGATAGACCCTAAACTCAAGGCCCGGAGCCTGCACCCGTTGGGTCCGAAACCTTCGACCCCAAACTCCAAGCTCTAGACCCTAAATGTGGGTGGTTGTCAAAATGATGGTCCCTTTTTGGGTACCCTAAATATTAGGTGCCGTCATGTAGAAGCCTGAATAATTAGCACTATTATTCCTCAGGCCTCCGTATTCGATCTTTACTACGATGTAGACTGTGGGAAACCAGACTACGTCTAGTTGCAGCTCAGGACTTGCCCCTGCGGTGCAAACGCGAAAATGTGCCGATGGACGGATGCTCTGAGAAGAATCGTAGGATATGTTCAGAGCTTAGGGGCTCCGGGTTTGCAGAATCGGGTTGAGAGATGTAGGGTCTCGGGTGCCGATTCGGGTCTTGCTTTGATGTTCTAGGATCCTTGGCAGTTGCTTAAAACTTGCTTAGAACAGAACCCGGAGAAGCAGGTTCGGTTTTCAACAGCTCTCAACGGTTCTTGAAGAGTCTCTGCTCGAACTTCCCAAGCCATAAAGCCCGAAACGCAACGCCCCAAAACCCTGCACGAAGCCCAGAAGCAAGGGTTTGTTGTTGGGTTCCAAAACCATGGTGCTCAGCATGTCTCGTGACCTTCCGAATGCCCCAACCCATTCCCATTCTCACGCGCTCCCATGTGGGAGTTTCCGAAAACAGGGGACTCTAAAAATGTACCCGAAGTAGGAGGACCCCAGAATAAGGTACCCCGAATTTTCGGAAACTCCCATGCGGCCGTCCTCAAATCTGAAATTTACACCCTTCATCAAAGCTGCCCTCCACCAGCCTTCCCGGCCAAGGATGAGTGGGGGTCTATGCCTCAGCCGGAGCCATCGGCATGGGCTTTCGTCTTTGCTTTGAAGGGGGAGGTTGGTATGAGGCTTTAGGATTTTAGGATTTAGGGTTCCAGGGTTTGGGATTTTAGGATTTAGGGCAGGCCATGCGTCAGGTAGGAAGCCCGCAGCAAGTGAGCTCCTCTTCAAAGGCATGTGAGAACTCGCTGAGGTACGAGAATGAGGTGTGCTACCCAGTGGCCGAGAGCTGCCCCGTCACCTGCACGTTCCTCGGAGTCATAAGCCTAGCCCGGGCCTTGAGACGCGCAAACCCTTAAGTTTCGTGACCCTAAACCCTGCAGGAATAATAGGGGGCTTCTCTTCCTGAGGCCTTGGTCTCTTCAACCCGACCATTACCTGGACCTCAACAGTATGTAGAATATTAGCCTTTTATAGGTTTTGGGCCATTATCTTGCTTACTTTGGGGGGTCTAAGCATAGATCCTTTATCGTACCCTTATAGATACCTTATAGTAACTGGCACATATGTGCCCGCGCTCCGCGTTCTCGACCCCCCCCCCCCCCCCCCCCCCCCCCCCAATGGTATCCCCCCCCCCCCCCCCCCCCCCCCGGGCGACCACACAACAAGAACAAGAACAAGAACAAGAAGAAGAACAGCAGCAACAACAAAGCAGCAGCAACCACGCGGAGGAACCACAGGAACCACAGGGGGGGAGGGGGGAGACAGGAACCAGAAGAACCACAAAAGGGAGGGGGAAAACCAAGAGGAACCACAGGGGGGGGGGGAACCACAGGAACCACAGGGGGGGGGAGGGGGATTACCATGGGGGGGGGGAGGGGGGGGGGGGTGCGCGGATGCTGGCACATATAGACCCCTTTAAAGGAACCCCATGCCTTGTACGGCCAGTCGAAGAGCCGGGCTTGTCTGTCCAAGGTCCTCGGAGCAGCGCTGCTACCTCTTGGCTTCTCGGTGACTCCCAGGTGTTGCTATGAACCCAAACCCCAAACCCTACTCTTTCTAGTCGAACGGTAGCAAAATATAGGGGCCCTGGAGAATCAGTACTGTGTTTTGGTGTTCCCGAACATGCGCACAGGTTGGCTTTTGCAGAGGGACTGTGTTGAATTCAACTCATCTTCGGCCCAAGCAGACTAGAGTGACTAGACATAAGCTTTGTCATAGTTGGGTAACATTTTGCATTTGTAAGGGTACCCAATAAGGAATAAACATGTGCGTTTTTATTCGTATCCCAACAATGAACTACGGTTGATGATATAAATCCTGCATTACCTTAAGGACCCTAAACTATGGGAATTAGGTTACATTCCTTATTATGGGTATTGCAGGGTTTATATCATCAACCAGAGTAAGTTCCTTGCTCATGAAGCTTGACCCCGGGCCCCTTGTCGGGTCTGGGCATAGATGCAGTTAGATTGAGTTGGATATGGGTGGTTGTCAAAATGATGGTCCCTTTTTGGGGTAGCCTAAGTATTAGGTGCCGTATCATAATAGGGACCCAAAAAGGGACCATGATGTGACAACAACCCATTTGAGGCTCTACCCTAAACCGTAAATCCTAAACCCTAAAGCCAAAGAAAAATGACGAACTTCGGCCTTCGCTGAGTCACAAGGCCCAGGATTGGAGTTGCAGAGGTGTTCAATATACCTCGCCCTGCAGCGTGGGTAAGTTAGGCTTTGGGGCGCCGGGTAAGCGGTCCGACTTGTTGAGGGCCTTCCAGGATCTGACCAAGACGATGGTTCGGGGGTGGAATATATGGCTTCGAATAGTTAGCAAAGGTGCACCCTTTTGGTCCGTACGTGGCAACACTGGCATGTACAACCCAAACTCTATTCAGACTTACAGCCCTCCCATGCTCAGGACTACGACGCCAACGGCTACCCCGGCCTGTATCGCGAAGCTTGGCAAGCGCTTGACAAACGGCTTTGTTGCTTCGGACCAGCATATTGTTCTCAACGAGTAGTTGCTAATATATTAGCTGATTAAGAGACCACAGCTTCTAATCAGCCTTCGAAGATGGATCAAGTTGTTTTTGCGGTTCAGAAACAATACGAGTTTTGTTGTCCGGGTTCACGCATTGCGTCACTGACAGCAGAACGCCACCCCTGTCTTAAGAAGGCAGAGTTGCATAAACCAAAAAGTGCACGAAAAAATGTCTATGACGTATTTATGGTTGTATATGTTCAGTAGTCAAGGCATGCATGCACATATTGTTTGTGATATGCACATACATGTGCTGTCGTGCTGCCGGTCCGGTGCCTTTTGTTCGTTGCCGGTCTGTCTGCCACCCGAAACTCCAAAACCTAAACCCGCAGCCCTCGACCCTAAGCCCTAACCCCTATAAGCCCTAACCCCTAAACCCAAAGCCACCCCTGAAACGCTTGGCCTAAACCCCACGCCCCGAACCCGAAGCCCCAAACCCAATGCGCGGAAATCAGGTAGGGGCACCTTATTTGGGGGTCCTTATAATAAAGATCCTACTTTTTAGGGCACTATACTAGGGTCCCCTAACTTCGGAAACTCCCAAATCAGGAGACCTGCGTCTCCAATGACGTGGTCTGCCCCTGCGGGACTAACTCGCAACGCTGCCATGATCCACACTGGGAACCTCGGCTGAATTTTCGAATTCCCAACTCGCCAAAATAAGCCCCAAAGAGAGCCCTAAACTCCTTGGGCACTGATGCCCAAACCACTCAAAGACAAGCTGCTTGATTTGGGATCTTCTCCTACAGCCAAGATGTTAAGGCCCAAACAACGTTGTAGGACTTGAGGTAGAGTGGCCGGCAGGGATCGCGGCCTTGCCGCGACGAAGGTCTGAAGTAGAGGGCGAAGATCTAGTGTAGGGGTAGCCAGTTGTTGAGGTTCAACCTGGGAATTTGCGGCGCCGGATGCACAGCAGAGTTGCAAGCCTCAAACCTCACACCCGGATAACCGCCCGAAAATGCGAGGCCCTTAACCCCGGAGCCAGGTTTGTAAAGTGCGTTTCTGCGAGGATGTTGATTTCAGTCTCAATTTTAGACTTACAAAATCTTTTTTGACTTGACACGGTGGGCTGCAAGGCGCTGGGGGGGGGGGAGGGGTTCTGCGAGGCATGGCCCGAAACCAGATAGCTGTACACCAGGCCCCACAACCCACAACTGCCGAAACACCAAACCCAAGCTAGCCCTCAATCCTACCGAATCTTTCGATGCACTCAGGATTTCCACTACTGCTACCCTCTCCGGGACTACTGGACCAACAGCCCCTGCGCCGCATAAGGTTCGGAGCTGATTGGAAAAGAGGCTCAAGCTTGAATGACTTCTGATCGTATACCTTACGGTTCCTTATAATGATTATGGATGGGGATACTTTCTCCCTATCATGGTTATAGATGGGAAAATTTTCCACTTTCTTGCACATTATTTGAGGCCCACGAAATGGCTAGAGCGTACGGCTTGAGGGAATCTTCCCGCCCCACAGCGGAAGCCTGACATCCGCAGCAATCCGCACCGAGAAGCCCAGAGCCCGTCTGTCGTCCGGGAGTACATTGCCTGGACCCCAAAAGTATGTAGAATAACGGCCTTTTATAGGTTTTGGGCGATTATTTTACCTACTTTGGGGGGTCTCGGGAAGGGCCAATTGAGGAATAATTCGTTTTAGGGTTTAGGGTTTAGTAAGGACTATACCTCAAATCATAGTAGGGTTCCTATTGGGTTCCCATTACAGTTTCAGGTATAATCCTTAATTAAGTGGCGTTGGAGTCTCTGGGTCGTGGGAAGAAGCACAGACCGTACCGGTTGCACTCCTTCCTCCTTAAGCCATATGAAAAATCCGAACTCACGCGGCCCCAAAAGCTTATTCTAATTCTTAAGGCCCTTATATCATGCGGCTCCCGATGCTCTCTACATCTGAACTTAACCTTAAACCCTAAGCCCAACCCTGAACCCCAAGCCCAAGCCCGACTTCTCTAAGCTCTAAGCCCGCGACCCCAAAATCACAGCTGCGGCCTGAAGCCGAAAGGCGAGGTCACCGAACGCCTCCATAGTTGATGCTATAAATCCTGCATTACCTTAAGGACCCTGAACTATGGGAATTATGGTATATTCCTTCTTATGGGTAATGCAGGATTTGTATCATCAACCGTACTAGTGGCTTGAGAGGCTTAACCCGGCAGAAGCGTTTGGGCTTCAGAGCTGCAGGCTAGGTGTCATGCCATTCCCGCTCCATGCCCACGAAAGAAAGCCAGCATATCCCGTAACGGCCGAGTTCTTCACAGCCTCGACCCTAAACAACCCAAAGCCCAAGGCACCATGCGCTGCCCAGTGTACTGCACCGACGAACAGGACTACTGCTACAGCCCCAGCCGCTCGGTCTCGAGCAGCCTGGGTTCGCTGTTCAGGGTTTCCGGGTTTTGGGGTTAGGGCTTGGGTTTTTTGGGGTTTGGGGAAAAGGTCTGCGGCTTTTGTCTTGTGTGGCTTTCGTACTGCATTTGGGGCGGTTCGGAGTCCCAAGAGCCCATGCTGGAGTTTGCGGTTACGTTAAGTTCATGCTGCCGAACATACTTATAGGCAGACCGCCAGAGCAATGGCTGGCTCTGATGACAATGCAACGAAAATGACAGCTACGAAGAACACGTCCGACCTGATGTGCGACAGTTGGAGTGATGAGGACAGACAAACTCTCCCGAGAACCTCGAAACGCGGAAAGATAGATGCATTGATCCCGTGAAAGAAAGGTTCAGATTTTACCGAAGCTTGTTCACGCCTGCAGGCTACGACGCCTCAGGAAATTGGCTCAGCACGGAGGAGTCGTGCGTACCTCTTCAGCATGAGAGCTTTTTGCAGATGAAGATGTGGTTTGTCGCAATGTCGCATGCAAGATGCAACCACCATCATCACTGGGCCACCATCAGCATCAGAACCGTGCTCCATGAACCCGAGGCCCGAAACCCCAAACTCAATCGTTGTCCCTAAGCTCAAAAAAAACCTAAACCCGAAGTGTCGTCGCAGGTTGCCAAGGGCACTCAGTGTCAGTGCACGGGGCAGAACTCCTTTGCCTGCGACTTCAACGTGCCTCGGGCTTTCTGATTTGGGCTCTCGGGGGCTTGAGAAAGTTTCGTCCATCTAGGGTTTCAGTTTCAGGACGGGCCGCGAGGGGTACGATTCACGCGTTGGTATGTCCAGGTGTTGCAGAAGCTTCAGTTTATTGTTTGAAATCAGTGCTTCTGTTGCCGAAGCTTTAGCAACTTCTACCACTGACCATGCTGTAAAAGGTAAATTAAATGCTGTTCCACTGATTTAGAATTTTGAAAGAAGGGCACCCGTTTCGGCAGGAGTTTGGATACAGCTGGCGTGAGTGCCTTCCTCTGGAAGGAGGCTGCGGCTGCTTTGTGCCGTGTGGTTCGTGCAAATGGTTCAGGCTTAGGGTTGAAATGAAATGGGGGTTTCCGAAAATTAGGGGTACCATGTATTGGGGCCCTTACAATAAGGATCCTACTATTTAGGGTACTATATTAGGTCCCCTATTTTCGGAAACTCCCAAATGGAGTCACTTCAGGATAAGGGTTGTTGGCGGAATGATGGAAGGCACTCGGACTTAGCTCGTACCAAGCCATCTTTCAACTTTCAACCCCCATGCAAGTCCAGTCATAATCGAAGAACCCCAAATCTTGTTTGGAACCGAGAAAATCTTCACAGATGAGCACGAAAGCATTTCCGATTGTTCTGCAGCTCCAAACTCACAGTTTGCAGCAGAGGGACCGTGCAGCAATGGAAAGCTGAACCATAGATCTAAACCCCAAGCGCTGAAGCCGCAAACGGCTAATTAAACGTTAAACCCCTACACTCAACACCTTCAGACCCCTAATCCATTTGCCGTAGACTTCCTGATTCAAGAGCTGGGGCTTAGCAGGCCTTTACGCTTGAGGGTACGGCATTAGAACCCACCACCCGCATCCTTTATCATCTGGAACCAGGAGTCGGCAAACGACAACACCAGATTTGCAATTCTCCAATATTTGACTGGGCAGGCTTCTGAGTCCAAAACCCACAACCCCAAACCCTAAACCCAAAATCTCTGAAATCGACCCCTGGGCAGGCTTCTGCCCCCAGACCTGCGCCGAGGGGGAAGTTAGCTGTCCGTCGGTGGAGGACTTGGGTGGTGTGGGGCTTTAGGAGTTTGGAGATGTTGGGTTTTGGGATCCTGGGACTCAACGTTTGGGGTTTGTTTTCCGGTTGCGGCTCGAGCCTCTCGACGCGCTCATGAATTCAAGAAAGCATGCCAACGTTTGGGGTTTAGGGTTCAGGGATGAAGGTGAAGATGGTGTGGACTTGGCAATTTTGGGATGCAGGCTAGGGTATGTCTAGGGTGCAGCTCGGGTGTTACGAATGCTCAGCAGTCTCCTGAGTGTTAAACATCATGCGTAGTATGCGAGCCAGTTACACTTTTCTTGTCACGGTTTGGGGTTGAGGGGTTGACAGAATCTGTGTCAGTTGTTCTAGCTGCCACTTGGCCTACCTGGCTCTGCCGCACGCATCTGCTTTCTGGTTTCCGCTTGTTTCAACCGATGCCTTCCCTGTGTTGAAATGGTCTGCAAGTACCCCGAACCCTAAATCCTCGACTCTCCGGGACCGTAGAGATCACAAACCCCTAACCGGGCCTAACCTTAGCTCCTTTTTGTGGTACGGTTAGAGACCCGAGTCCGAGCCCTTGTGCTTAAGTTCAGAGTTGCCAAAATGTGGGGTCCGGCTTCGACGCGATTGGGGAGTGGGGTTTTAGGATCTGGAGTTGAAGGTGCAGGGCCTTACACTTGAAGCCGCGAGTTTCAGGGCGTCGCTCGGTGGGTGTTTTGCCTGTACATGCAAAGTCTGGGGCCCTCTCCATGCCTAAACCCTAAACCCTAAACCCAAAGAAAACGGCGACGAGGCACAGCCCAAAGAAAGGGAACCCCTGTGGCCCCTTAGTAGGTGAGTGGATACACTTTACACTTTTTGGAATAATACTACCCACTATAACATGAAGGGTAGTTGTCAAAATTCCACATATCAGGTGCCGTAGTATTATACGGACCCAAAAAGGGACCATAATTTTGACAGCCACCCAAAAGTGTACACTTTCGGGGGCTTATGAATTCAGCAACTAAGTAGCGGCTCGGGGGCCGCCGAAAGCCAGAGAAGCCCCCGAGCCCCGAAGCGCCGAATCGGAGGATTACATGCCGGATGGTACCTGGCTCGGTCTCTTGGCGGAACCTTAAACTCCTCAACCCTATATAAACCCTAAACCGCCTCGTTTGCCTATCAGCGATCTTTCGGGTGATACCGGCGGCCCAAAGATCCCACTGCAGATGGGTCTTTAAGCCTCCTGGGTGGTTTGGGTCTCGTGGTGCCCCCTGCGGGTCCGGGTTCGCATGGCGAGCCGAAACATGCGAGAGGACAGGTGACTTGACTTTACCTTTGGTTAGTAGGGAATGGAAGAATGGTAGTAGTAGGAGTTAAAATTGTATCCCATTCCTCCATTCCCTATTAATCAAAGGTAAGTGATGGGAGGAGCTGAGACGAACTTCTGAAATCGAGGTCAAGGGCAGCCAAGCTTAGCAATGGCAGGCCCTGGGAGAAGGTGATTATGAGACTCATGCATTTATGTATATAGATAGATGTATAGTGCACAATATATATATATATATATATATATATATATATATATGTATGTTGTAGGGTGATGCTCACTGGACGTGCTCTGCTGTCGGAAGCTTGGGGAGCTGATGCTGATGATGCTCGTGAGGCTGTCCTGCCACCTGCAGAAATGTCGAGGTGTCGCTAATGAGGTCAGCTGAATATGACTTTGCTCTAAAGAGGCGTGGCTATTGAGTCAAGCTGAACTAACCGTGTTGCAAGCGATGCTGCTGATGCGCGCTGGAAGTGCTGCGATCCCGAAAGTGTTGGAGTCCTGATGCTGGTGATGCTCGTGAGGCGTGTCCTGCTGTGGCAGAGATGGTGAGGTCATGCTGATGAGGCTGGCTGAACCACCTTGGGGCTCCGCGCACATGTGCGCAACTGATGCTGCTGTGCTCGCTGGATGTGCTGTGCTGCAACAAGCATCGGGGAGCTGATGCTGATGATGCTCGTGAAGCTTAACCTGCTCGAGGTGCTGCTGATGAGGCTGGCTTGTCCTGCTGCAGCAGAGCTGGCGAGGTCATGCTGATGAGAATGAACTGCCGGCTCCAAGCACGCGTTGGCAACTGATGCCGCTGCTGCTCGCTGGATGTGCTGTCCTGCAGCAAGCATCGGAGCTGATGCTCATGATGCTCGTGAGGCTTGTCCTGCTGTGGCAAATTGTGAGGTGCTGTTGAGGCTGAACTACCTGGCTCCAAGCATGGATTGATAACTGATCCTGCTGACGCTCGCTGGATGTGCTGTCCTTCAGCAAGCATCGGAGCTGATGCTCATGATGCTCGTGGAGGCTTGTCCTTCTGTGTCAAATTGTGAGGTGCTGTTAGGCTGAACTACCTGGCTCCAAGCATGGATTGATAACTGATGCTGCTGATGCTCGCTGGATGTGCTGTCCTTCAGCAAGCATCGGAGCTGATGCTCATGATGCTCGTGAGGCTTGTCCTGCTGTGGCAAATTGTGGGTGCTGTTGAGGCTGAACTACCTGGCTCCAAGCATGGATTGATAACTGATGCTGCTGATGCTCGCTGGATGTGCTGTCCTTCAGCAAGCATCGGAGCTGATGCTCATAATGCTCGTGAGGCTTGTCCTGCTGTGGCAAATTGTGAGGTGCTGTTGAGGCTGAGCTACCTGGCTCCAAGCATGGATTGATAACTGATGCTGCTGACGCTCGCTGGATGTGCTGTCCTTCAGCAAGCATCGGAGCTGATGCTCATGATGCTCGTGAGGCTTGTCCTGCTGTGGCAAATTGTGAGGTGCTGTTGAGGCTGAACTACCTGGCTCCAAGCATGGATTGATAACTGATGCTGCTGACGCTCGCTGGATGTGCTGTCCTTCAGCAAGCATCGAAGCTGATGCTCATGATGCTCGTGAGGCTTGTCCTCTGTGTCAAATTGTGAGGTGCTGTTAGGCTGAACTACCTGGCTCCAAGCATGGATTGATAACTGATGCTGCTGATGCTCGCTGGATGTGCTGTCCTTCAGCAAGCATCGGAGCTGATGCTCATAATGCTCGTGAGGCTTGTCCTGCTGTGGCAAACTGTGAGGTGCTGTTGAGGCTGAGCTACCTGGCTCCAAGCATGGATTGAGATGCTGCTGATGCTCGCTGGATGTGCTATCCTTCAGCAAGCATCGGAGCTGATGCTCATAATGCTCGTGAGGCTTGTCCTGCTGTGGCAAATTGTGAGGTGCTGTTGAGGCTGAGCTACCTGGCTCCAAGCATGGATTGATAACTGATGCTGGTGATGCTCGCTGGATGTGCTGTCCTTCAGCAAGCATCGGAGCTGATGCTCATAATGCTCGTGAGGCTTGTCCTGCTGTGGCAAATTGTGAGGTGCTGTTGAGGCTGAGCTACCTGGCTCCAAGCATGGATTGATAACTGATGCTGCTGATGCTCGCTGGATGTGCTGTCCTTCAGCAAGCATCGGAGCTGATGCTCATAATGCTCGTGAGGCTTGTCCTGCTGTGGCAAATTGTGAGGCGCTGTTGAGGCTGAACTACCTGGCTCCAAGCATGGATTGAGATGCTGCTGATGCTCGCTGGATGTGCTGTCCTTCAGCAAGCATCGGGGAGCTGATGCTGAGGGAGTTTTTCCGGCTGCGCCAGTTGGTCCGTGAAAGACAAAGTTCCCCATACCAACGTCTACACGCCAACTCTTAGCACTGTGGACTCCGACCGTAAACCCAAACCATCCGAATGTCCGAACCCAAAACCAAAGCCCCGAAGCATTCAATGTACTCAAAACGCTGCTGAGGCTTTTCCGACCCATCTACGAGCTGTGCAGCCAGCCTGGACGACTGCCCATGTGGCAAGGAGGCAGGGCTTTGGCCAAATACGAAACCCTAAAGCCAGGTGATTTGCGGTGGCGAGGCCTCAAACCGAAAACAAGTAACAAGCCGAACCACCTGAAATCCCAAGTTCTGAAGTTCTAAGCTGTAGTGAAAGGCGTCGAAACATTCAGTAAGTGGGATTACTAGAGTCTACCAGGAAGCCACGGCGCCTAAATTGAAAGAATTACAGCCCCTTCTTGAAATCCGACTCCGATGCCTCAGGCGAAGGTATGCCCTGGCTCGACCATGCGGTGCATCTTCAAGGCAGGGTCGGTCTTTGGTTTAGGATCTGAGGTTGAGGGGTTAGGGTCTGGAGTTTAGGGGTTTAGGGTCCAGGGTTAGTTTAGGGTTTAGGGTTGAGGGTTGTGGGCGAAAGTCTTGAAGGGCTGATGTGTAGGGTTTAGAGTTTAGAGTTCTACAGAGTCGGCGATCGAACGGCATGGATGGGAGCTGTGATCGGAACCTTTTCGGACGAAAGTGGCAAGAACAGCTTTGCTTGAAAAGGCAACTTCAGAAGTAGCGCCTTCAAAGCCCCCAAAACTCGATCACTGCACGGTTTTTCACCTTTACCACCCCACCCTCCGCATGCTTATCATGTGATTTCACCCTTCCGTAGGCCCTCGACCAGACACTATGTATACTAAACCGCGAACCCCAAGCATCTCATAAATATGGGGCCTTAGTAATTAGAATTGGGTTTTGGGGCGCCCTTTATACTATAATTATAATAAGGAACCCCCACCATAGTATAGGTATTTATTCAGTTCCTTTTCAATCATGGACAAGCTCAACTTCCGGAACCCGCGAATCCCAAGATGCTGGACCAGGAAACCTTGGGTACTGCCCCCCAGTCAGTAACAGTTGGATAATATTCCTCATATAGATATATGAGGACCGTAATAGTAGCCCCATTATAGCATAATACAGATATATTAGGACCTTAATAGTAGCCCTATTATAGCATAATATAGATATATTAGGGCCTCGATAGTAGCCCTATTATAGACTGTTACTGTATGGGGGCAGTACCCAAAGGAAACCCCTTAAACCCCAAGTCCATCCACACAGAGCTTTCTGGAAAGGACGAGGATTGCCCTGTCGTCTGCGGTGCGGATCAGAAGAAGTGTTCCTGGGCTTGAGTGCTTGGAGTTTAAGACTTTTTATGGTGTGGGTCCTAGGGCAAAACTGTCGAGTTGAGATGAGTCTACTCATTACATCACAATGCTGGAGTTAAAAAGAGATCATGTAGTACGATCAATGCAGCACAGTATGGCTGCTACAAATACAGTAGTGGGAAGGCTTGCAAACACCGTCCATTGCATATACATATACATAATGCACATATACACAGATATATATATATATGTATATGTGTATATCTAGGTATATGTATGTTTACAGGCATACATGCACAACAGACACATGCATACATATCTATCTATCTGCATATATAGATCACATAGAGTGAATCACATAGAGTGTACAACCTAACCCTAAACCCTAAACCCCTAAACCCTAAACCCTATACCCTAAACCCTAACGGGCTATGGTTCCTATGGCTGAAACCCTCATGTTCTGGCTTCCAGGGAATGGAGCTTCGAGACTTCTTGGGACGACGCTTTGGGCTTGTAGTGTCTGGAGCTTAGCATTCATGGTTTTTATTACTTGTTGTTTTTTGGTTTGGGGTTTAGATAGGGCAGTAGGCTTGCATGGGTCGGAAGTAGCAAGTTTCGGAGTACAGCATGCCGGTTTTATGCTAGCCGAGCCCACACCTCATGCTTCAACCCATGCGTGTTGATCAGGTGTGCATACCATGGGGAAGGAAGATTGCAGGTTGATGTCCGCTTGTTGGGAGTTGTGGGCAAAGCTACAAGCTTGCAGTTACAAACCCTAAATCCTAAACTCTAGGCCTTCAGCCCCGCTTTGAGAAAGGCTATCTCACGGACTACACCACCGGAGAAGAGTTCATCAGCCGATGGGCCCAGCGAAGACCAAGAACCCACCTTCATGCTGATCCCTAAAGCCTGAAGAACTTAGAGTTTCGGATGTAGCCCTAAATCCGAAACTCTGAGCACCTCGCCACTAAAGGCAGAGCTGTTTTGTTATTTGCGGCACCCTCGATTTGCAGGGGTTTGACCATTTGTGCGGCCGGTGTTTTGGCAAGAAATGGTTATTTCACAGAGTTGCACGCATAGAATAAGGCTGGCAAGGTTTCCAAAACCGTGAGACCATCCACCGATCCATTCAATTTGACTCTTCGGTTAGTTCCCTGCCCTGCCCCTGTCCATTGCTGCTCCCCGAAACCCTAAACCCTAAAACCCGTTTGCAAGACCCCGAAAACATTAATGTGCTCAGTTCATAATGACTTCGTATCGTAGTTGCCACTGTGATTGGTTAGGCCCAGCACTGTGCAGATCGTTCTGTAGACGTGGTTTAATACATGATCAGTTTATAGGATCAAACGATTACGACAATAGATGTTTTATGATTGGTTCGGGATCGTACCACGAAACATCTATCATGGAATAAGATCCGTTGACCTTCATGTGGTCGAAAGAACTGGCTTCCGAGATTGTTGGTTGAGTTGTCAAGCCGTTTCAAGTTGTCACAAGTCTTCCCATGCAAACCGATCCTGGGATGCAGCTCATGTTCACGCCTATGCAGTTTTCACAACCCACCCCGCTGAGCTCCGTGTAGTTGGTTTCCGGCAAGGCGATCGCGAGGTCTGTGTAAGCAACAACGCTGATTGCCCGTGGCTTGGCTGACATCCTGAGAGAAAGTTGGGAGTTTTCGAAAATTAGGGGTACCGTGTCTTGGGGTCCTTATACTAAGGATCCTCGTATTTAGATGCTACCCCTATTTAAGTTTTCGGTGTTGGGATCATTGGATCATCATTTTTGTTCGGCAGCTGAAGTGCACTTGTCACGGTTTCATGTCGGGTTTGGGACTCCGACCCGAGTCTGGGTTTGAGCATGGAGGGTTGCTTCGTGAGTTTTGTGTTTCGCTCTGTCCCAAGTTCAAAAAGACCTGAAGAGGGTGGTGTGACCCTCATGTGCCGGAGTTTCATGTGCAACCTTGCTCAATTTGGATCTGCAGTTGCGGAAGCTGAGTAGCAAGAACATGCGGAGCCATTACGTGAGAGTCTGTCATCGGTAAATAAAGCGTCAGGGGAAGCCCTACATCATTCTCACCTTTGGCGTTTAGTGCTTGGGATTGACGGTACTACTACCACATCTACCACCACAGCAAGTACCACTTGGACAAACACGGCAGCAACAGCAAACCAGTACGGTGGTAACATGAGCAGCCGTGGCGATAATTAGATGGAATGGCAAAGGTGCTAGTCACGGTACCACGATGAGCAGTGGCAACATTTGCAAGGAGCGCGACTACAACAACAGCACCAAAATCAGCTCTAAGATCGGCAGGAATGTACCTGATCACATCAGCCGGACTGGTAGCCTTAAGTGACAGAAGCAACAACCAGACATCGACAAAACATGAACTTTCAACATCAGCCATTTACAACACATGGCCATGACAGCCGTACAGTCAGCTCAGACGAAATCGTTCTGCCAAGACCGATATCATTAGCATGAGCAGCAGCATGAACAGCATTTGTGCACCTTCAAACACAAGATGAAGTACGAATCTTACGGTTTATAGCGCCTGTAGTAGTTCTGGTAGTCATGATGCAAAACTGCGTGGCAGGTAGACAGACTGGTGACCGTACGAGCGGTGGGACTGACGATGGTGGTGTAGCAAGAACGCAAGTGAGTGCATTCGCAGACAGCGGCGGGCGGAAGAGCATAAATGCTGAAACGATGAGATCCTAATCCGGAAATCCGAAACCTAAACCGTGAACGACGGATGTGATGATGCGTCGCCAGGTGCGGCAAGAACACGCAGCGGTGCCCAGGGTCAGACGCGTGCCTCCTTGCGCGCTCTGGCTCCAAAGTATCGGAGGGTTAATGTCTAGGGTTTATAAGTTTTCGGTTTGGGGTTTAGGGCTACAGTTTTGCCTGAGAATCATCATCTTCCCAACGCCTGCAACCCCCGTCAGCATGTGAGAACATTTAAACTCTAGACCCGAAGTCCTAAACCCTGGACCTTGAACCCTAAACCCTAAACCCCTAAACCTTGAACCCCTGAATCACAAATACCCTGAACCCCTGAACCCAAACCCCTAAACCCTATACCCTAAAACCCTAAACCCTAAAAGCCTAAACCCTCAACCCCTAAACCCTATACCCTAAGCCCCTAAACCCCTAAGCCCTAAGCCCTAACCCCTAAAGCCTAAACCCTAAACCCTATTCTAATGATTCATAAATCCCCAAAAACCCGAGGTCCAAGGCTGCCATCGTCTGCCCTTGCGGAGAGTCCGAGAAGCAGTGCCTTTGTCATAGTTGGGTAACATTTTACATTTTCATGGGTCCGCAAGCTCCTATTCCAACAATGAACTAGGTGCGATGTGCTGGACTACACCACTTCAGGCCCTTTCGGTATGGGTGGTTGTCAAAATTAGGCTTCCTTTTTGGGTACCCTATATTAGGTGCCGTAAAATAGGGGCCTTAATAATTACCTCTACCATTTTGGGCGTTCCTTATTACAACTATAGTATAATGGGCCCCAAAACCTTATTCTAATGATTAAGGCCCCTATAGTATCTTTTCCGCTGTGGCCGGCGGGAAGATGCGGTTGAAGCTATATGTATATATGCACACACTATGCTGTATTCTGTTGTATGATATTGTATGATACTGTATTGTTTCATATTATGTTACGTGCCATTATGTCATGATGAACCACGACATTGTACATTGTATTGTACAGTGTCTTATTATGTACTATCATTGGGTAGTATATGTTATTTCATAAAGAAATATTTCACATGTTTTACAGTTTTATACGTGTAATATTATGTTATGTTAAGTTTCGGTGTATTATGCTGCAGAATGTTGTAGTTCTTTCATGATGTTATGTTATGTTATGCTGTGTTATGTTATGTTATGTTATACCTGATCGTACTGCATAAACATATTCCGTATCATATGGCATTATTTCGTGATAGTCTACGGCAGTTTTGCATAATATCACACAGTATCATAAATTGGTTTTCGAACCCATAAATTACTGGATTATTGCATGTTTTGAATGATAACGGTATTCAAGATCATAATGGTTTAGTAGTAGCAACAGTAATAACAATAATATGTAAAAAAGATATAGCAAGAGCAAAGATCATCTAGGAATAGCAATAACAATCATGAGAATAGCAACACGAATACTCATAATGGTAACAGTAATAATACTAATAATATCAATAGTACGATGAATAATCATAATACTACTACTAATAATAGTAATAATAATAATAATACTAATACTAATACTAATACTAATAATAATAATAATAATAATAATAATAATAATAGCAATCGGGTTGGTTTCGGAAACGGAGCTCGCCTCGAAGCCCCGAGCCCTTGACTTGGACATGGGTGGCCGACTTCTGAGCCCCCGAAGCCCAACACGCAAATGCCGGAAACTCCGAAGAGCCCCGCAAGCCGAAACCCCAAACAAGACTAGAAGATGGCCAGGGTTTCCGTCTAGACCAAGCCGTGCCGTGCCCGGACCGGACCTCACCCACACGCCCAATCTCTGCCATGGCTTGTGCAAAGAATCATGCCAGGGTCTTTTGCTTGTGGGGAATGGGCAGGAAAGAAGTCCAATATCACCACGCAGTGTGTGAACAAGGGCATTAAGTGCCCTTGTGGCAAGAACACGCCGGACCCTTGGAAGGGTCATTTGGGGTTTCGGATTCGTTGTTGTCTGTCGGGACGCGGATTTCGCATTGCTTTCGGTTGAGGGGGTTTAAACAGCTTCATAGGTGGGGTCCTGCCATAAGGGTGGTTGTCAAAATTAGGGTCCCTTTTTGGGTACCCTAAATCATGGGTGCCGTGTGACAACCACCCATAAAGGGGATCTTCTTTGAGGATCATTACTTAATTGGGGTTATAAGTAGTTATAAGTACAGTCAACTTACTTGTAAGCTTAGTTACTAAGTCCCATGATCCTCTAAGTTGGGTTTCTTGCCCACATCGGTCCAAGAGTACATGCTCTGCAGGCTGGTCCTTCGGACGATAGAGCCTACCTTAACCTAGCAAATCCTACTTTTTTGTAGGCTCCTATTATAAATCCTATTATGAATTTATAGGGACTCTACAAAAAGGTAGGTTCTGGTGGGTTAAGGTAGATCATAAGATGTTGAGACAAATCGCTCACCGGTCCTTTGCACAGCAGTGGTCATGCCAGCTTCCTGTAAAGCATTGTTCAGGCATCTGCTGGGGATTATGGAGAGCTCTGTTTTGTTGCCAGTGCAGCTGATGCTTGAAAAACTATTTGCCAGCTTGCAGAAGCCCCATGTGGCCACAACGACTTCCCGGCGCTATGTTTAATTGCTGCACCGGCTGTCGCATCCCAGGTGCTGCGCGATGCTGGAACTCTTGAGCTGCCATTACACACATACAGTATGTAAGTCGGAGGCCTGTAGGATCGAGGCCGAAACACTAAACGAGAGACCTGTCGGCTTGAAAGCACAAACAGAGGCTGACATGCGCGGATCCGAACGACACTCTGCTGCATTGGGCGGGTCCTAATGGAGAAGGCGCTCTTTGATCCACCCCTGAACCTCAAGCACAAAGCTACTACCTGTATAAACCTTGGCCCTGAAACCGTCTATATAAAGGGCTTAAGACTTGCTCGAGAACTCCAAAGATGCATTTCGTTCCGTTCTGTTTGTGTCAGTCTTATGGGCAGCTCCAGATGCGCATGCTCCGCCTCTGTAGCACGACCTGGTATGGTCTAGTGGGCTGGTCTTTCAACCACGCCTCATAACCATGCGGCGCTTCCACCGTCCGTCCACAACTTCGCAACCAGCTGTAGCATGGCCGGGAGCATTAGATGCCCATCGTCAAGGCATGCCCACAGCCCCAAGAAATACGTGCAACTACCACTGCGACTACTATTGCTACGTCTGCTACGACTGCTATTAGTGCTACTGGTACTCCGAGCGCTCCTTGCACTCCTAGTACTACCATGTGCTACTACTACTCCTTAGCCTGCGACACAACAGAAAGCTTCTTGTGAGCAAGGATGCCGAAGCAGACATTTGCATTGCCAAGTTCAGCGGCCGCCCGGCTCAAGCTTGGAGAGGTTTAGGGTCGGTTTGCTGTTTATTGCAGTTTTCGGTGTGTTGCTTTAGGATTCATAAAGCTGCGTCGCAGAGGTGTGCCCCCGAACTGAAGCACTAAACCCCGACACCCCTCAAAGCACTAGACGGGTAGCCGCCGCAGCCCGCAGCAGCCAGGATCGGTGCTGAACAGCTGTCCACAAGCCTGCACACCGACGCAGGACTGCCACGCCACTCCGGGCTTTCAGGGAGTTGGGGTTTCGGGTGTAGCTTATCCTTCCGCCCTTCTGGCCCCATCTTCATAGAGCCTCTCAGTGTCGTGACTCTCGAAACCGGGAGCCCTAAAGATCTGACAAAACGAGAAGACTCTGGAGCCTGGTTTCAGGAGAACCCTGCAGCTTTGGGGGAGCCTCAGCAAGACTCCGCCCAAAAAAGCAGAGCCGCTCCACTTCGAACGCCCATCTTTGCCTCCAGCCAGTGTGTAGTCACACCAAGGCCGAGGCCCCAGGCTTAAAGCTGTTTAGGGTTTAGGGTTTAGGCTGAAACCGAGTCCCTCAGTTCAAAAACCGGCAGCAAGGATGATGTACTTTCGGAATGTGGCTGCTATACATGCCGGAAGTGTAGACAGCATACTGTTTACGGACTCTGCACCGAAATCGCAAACCCGAAACTTGAAGCACCAACCTCGATACCTGTTATCGGCCAACAGGGCAAGACCTTCTAATCAAAGGGGAAAACGAGTACCCAATAATGGGCTATATAATGGGTATATAATGGATATATGAAGGGTATATACCTAGGGGTCCTTATGAAGGGTCCCTCCTTTTACCCTTGGATCTAAAGCCTTATAAAGGCCGCACCAGACCCGAAAAGTCCCAGCAGATGCCGCAGGAGGCTTCCGGCAACCGGACCTGTATCCAGAGCCTCGGAGTGTAGGAGTGTCGTGATTTATAGGGGCATAATACTGTTGATGATATAAATCCTGCATTACCTTAAGGACCCTAGACTATGGGAATTATGGTATATTCCTTATTATGGGTAATGCAGGGTTCGGGAGTTTCCGCAAATAGGGGAAATAATACAGTACACTAAACAGTAAGACCCCTATTATAAGGACCCCCGAAATAAGGTACCCCCTAGTTTTCGGAAACTCCCATTTAGGGGCATAATAGGGATTCGGTCCTACAATGCATTACAGGGCTTCCGTAAATATGAGTAGCTTGTTTAGGGATACTTTAACAATCAAGGATCGTTTCATTCTTGGCTTATTTTGTGGCCGTAGTAGGGTCCCTTGTTGTCAGAAACGCCGGTCTTTGTTCGGTTGGTTTGGGACATGTATTCCTTGTCAGGGGATCACGGTCTGGGAGGCTATGGGCAAGGGGTGTAATGGGGCTAAGAACGAAATTCCTTGGGATTGCCACATGCCTCAAGGATCAGCACATCATCAGTTAGGTGGTTGTCAAAACTAGGGTCCCTTTTTGGGTCCCTATAAAATACGGCACCTAATATTTGGGTATTCAAGAAAGGGACCTTAATTTTGACAACCACCCAGTTAACCCAAACCCAAAGTCCCTAACCAGCCGCAGCAGCTTTGGAGGAGAGTTGCGGGTTCGGGTGGGGTTTGGTTCTTATTGCCGTACTATAGGGGCCTTAATAATTACCTATACTATTTTGGGGGGTTTCTTAATATGGTTATAGTATAATGGGCCCCAAAACCCTATTCTAATTATTAAGGCCCCTACATTATAGTATCCTTAAAGTAACCCTTCTATAGAGGAACCCCCTTCCAATTATTAAGGCCCCCATATTAAGCCCTAACCATGCCGACGTCTATGACTCAAGACCCTTAGCCCTAAACCAAAAACGCAGGAATCGAGGGCCTTGGGCTTCACCGTAAACTGCTGGAGGTGGTGTAGAGCTTCCAGGATTTAGAGTTCATAGGGTATCGGGTTTCGGGTTTGTTTGGCATATAGGGCATATATGGTTTGTAGGGCTTGTAGGTTTTAGGGTTTACGGTTTCTGTGACTTAGGGTTCTAGGGTTTCGAGGGTCATTGAAGCATTGTGTCGGACCCCCACTCTGTCCGTCGTGACCGTTTTGGGCAAGCTGTACGCGGCTGGTTGAGCTACGAGGCTGGTGCCAATATCCATACTCTTACTGATGCTGATGCTAAAAAGAACTCGAAGATGAACAGTAACATTAGGACGAATACGAATACGAGTGCGAGAACAATGCTAGTACCAATGCAAGTGCAATCGCTGAAACGGCAATGCTACCGCTATTACTACTGATACCCTGCTACACCCGCTGCTACTGCGACGACGCCGACGGCGACTACTGCCACTACCCCGACGACTACAACAACATCTACTTCCACTCCTGCTCCTACTGCCTGCTGCTACGACTGCCGACCACGAGCACTAGCGCTTGCACTAGCACTAGCACTAGCGCCAGCACCAGCCCTACCACGACTACGACTACGACTACGCTACTACTTCCACTACTGATGGAGAACATCCATGGAACATCTCAAGTCCTAGACTGAGGGCTGTAATGTAGATATCCTATATTCTCTTGCAGTGGAGGGGGCGTTCTTTATCTGTCGATCTAGACCCCAACCCCATTCCTTAAACCCTAAACCCCGCACCCTAAACTCTAAAGCCCGAACCCTAAACCCCAAGCCTTTAAAGCTTCGTTCAATTTCCTGAGAGCCAATCTGCAACGCGCTTAGGACTCACCTGAGCGAGACTGGTGCCTTCGAGTCTGAGACGATTAGCCCTCCGGCCATTTAAGAGGGCTTTTTGGAGTCCTCTGATGTTTCAGGGAAAGAGAGGAGTGGCTTACCGGGGTCTGAAAGTTTGGGGATTGCAGTTCTTTTGGTGTTGGGTTTGAGGAGGAGGAGGAGGAGGAGGAGGAGGAGGAGGAGCGCGACTTTAAGTATTGATCGCTCTTCCATGGACTGTAGCAAGCATTTGGATGTCGGGGCTTGAGCATGTCCCGAATTTTATATCCTTACATTAAAGACTGAGTTATACCATGCTGCACCTGAAACCTTAGGCTTGTCTCTGAGCCAACGATGTTACCTGCAATCAGTACGGAAGTTCTTGGGTGGGTTTCGTGCTGGCTATGCCTTCTGAGTTGTTACAGGAAGGTCGAATCCGATTTCCCACACAAATACGCACGCTGGCGCAGGGTTTTAGCGAGGATCCCTCAATCGGAAACCCTCCCACCCGTCAACCCTACTAAAACTAAAGGACGACCAAGAGCTTGGGGTTCTCAGCATACATGGTCACGGGCCAACCAGTGCTGGCATCGCATACTGGGACCTTGACCTGAAAGCCCAAATACAGAAGCCTGAATAACTGCCAATACGATTCCTTCGGGTTCCTGCTTGTATCTTTGCGATCATGTATATCAACACCCTATGCATTGAGGCACCTCTCGAATCTTATGTGTATATATACATATATATATATGTATGTGTACATATTATCGCCAGGATAATGACCGCAACCTGTGCTTTCTGCGCCCGCCAACTTCTTTTGGTGTTGCCCATTTTGGCCCGGCAAACTCATTGGCCCGCGAATCCAAAACTCAAGAAGACAGTCTCGAAGGTTCAACACTGAAGTGCAACGATCCTCCTAAACCCTAAATCCGGAACCATAAACCCTAAATCCGGAACCCTAAACCCTAAATCCATGAACCCTAAACCTTAAACCCTAAATCCTGAACCCTAAACCCTAAATCCTGAACCCTAAACCCTAAATCCCTGAACCCTAACCCCTAAATCCTGAACCCTAAACCCTAAATCCCTGAACCCAATCTCTGAACCCGAAGCCCTAAATCCTGAACAATATTAGGGACCCTTTATGGATCCTTATTATAATACGGCACCTAATATTTCGGGTACCCAAAAAGGGGACCATAATTTTGACAACCACCCATAACAAGGAATCCCTACCCAAGAATCTTAAGCCCCCCCTTTTAAGCCTCCCATCAGGGTCTTCCGTCTCGAAGCTCTGGATTCTCCCCCTCCGAAGCTTGAGCTCTGGGACCTCGACAGTGCAATGGTAGGGGCCTTAAATAATTAGAAGAGGGTTTCTTTATAAAAGGGTCTAGAAGGGCTAGCACAAGGGCTGTTATAAGGATTTCGTGTAGGTGCCGTAACTTTTTAGCATGCGGTTTAGAACCCTCTTCTAGTTCTCAACGCCCCTACATTAGGTTGCGTGCCTCCGGACAACTGCCTCGCCGGTAAGAACATGCAGAAGTGCCAGAACCCCGGGTGTGATCGCAGGTTGCAGGTGTTCTGGGGACCCGTGCTTGCTGGTGGCTGTTTAGGGTTTAGGGGTTTAGGGTTTAGGGTTGTCCTTGTTCTTCTCATTCCTCTTCTTCTTGCTGTTTTCCTGTTCTGCTTCTTCTTGCCGTTGCTCTAGTCGGAGGAGGGTTGACCAAAAAGTAAAGACACGGGTGTTTTTTTACGGTTCTGTGGGATCTTTGTGGGCTTGGGTGTCTTCAACTTAGGTTATATTGGGTTTGTGCCCTGTATCTCGAGCTTGGGGTCTGTCACTACCAGGCAGGCTTTGCGCTTTGCTGGAAATCACCTCATCATCTATGCTACTGTAGGGGTTCCTTATTATATTTTTGGTATAATGGGGCCGAAAACCCTAGTCCAATCATCTCTGTGTGCTGGTGCCTCTTCCCTGAGGCTAGGGTTTCGGAAGGGAACCCATATGGGAGTTTTCCAAAATTAGCTGTTACCTTATGTTGGGAGGGCTCGAATCGCCTGCAAGGGCAGGAATATCGGTAGCCCCAGTTCCTGTAGAATCGCCCCAAATGGGGAAGGGAACGTCTTTAACATCAGCCATGGTGGGCCGTGCTGTTTATGAGCTCCTCGAGTATGGGGATGCGGTTTCACTTCGAGAGCTGCGCTTGGTCTTACAAAGCCGGACAAGCGTCGACCTGACATCCCAGAGGCCTCTCATAAAGCAAATGGCAGAGAACACCCTTGCGACACTGACTTCCGGTCTCGACTTGATGCAGATGCCGCTGGAACAAATAGCAAGATTGCGTGACCCGTGTATCGGTAAGTGGGAACCTTTCTGCAATATACTTGCTACAGGTGCTGCTTGTGTTGCAGTGCTCAGGCGGCATGATCGCCCATGTGGGAACACATGCTGTCAACGGGAGCGTGGGCGAATGTTATTTCAGCAGCTCCATGATTCTCCTTGTCTCACGGATGTTTGGAAAGGCATGTGGGAGCCTATTCCTCGGAATGTCCCGCAAACTCGGAGTCGCAACAATCCTGGTGAAGGTTTTGCATGGTTCAGCATGAGCCTGGTGACACGTGTTTTGGACTGTGCCGACGGCCGAGATCAATATGAACTGTGGCAGACAACGCATCCGGGTGGAAGGCTGCCTATGTATGTCTATGACCCTAAGGCCCGACACAAGGCTTGCGAAGCGAAGGTCCAGATCCGCATGGCCAGGGGCATGATGCCCAGCATTCTGCCACGGCTCTTTGCTGACAAGCAGGTAGTGAATGATCGCCAACCCATGACTGCTTCGGGTATGCTGCTTGGGGGTGGTGCTGCCCTGCTCTGTCCTGGCTGCTTTGACCCTGGTGGCCCTTGACGCATCTTGCCGGCCAATTGTTCTGAGGATGTTCGATGCATGGCTTTTCGCGGTGGTTCACGGAGGTAGCATCGAATGGACTTCAGCTCCTTTTTGTTCTAGAGGAGGGAACGCTTTTGATCGTAGGCGCTGTTAAACACAGCTTTTCCAACGATTGCTGTTGCACCCTCTAACCAGCCTTAGTGCACACTGTGGCGCTGTCCCAGATTTCTGCGCAAGGCTGAAACCAGTCCGAATTCAGACGCGCATGAATTTTGGGACGCGCTTCCCCGTGCCGCACAACGCGGCCTGAAGCACGAGTGTCCGCATCCAATCCAATCCAACCTTATGTTGGGATCCTTATAATAAGGGTCTATTTAGGGTACTATATCCAGGTCCCCTATTTTCGGAAACTCCCATATTTCCCTGTGCACCGGCAAAAAAATCACAAGGCGGAAGGCCCTCCTGGCAGTACTTCTGGAGACAACCCCCATGCGAAGTACTGAACCCTGGGCCCGAAAATCCCGTGAGCGCCAAGCCCCTAACGTTTCCCAAATGCGGATCCGAGCCCCGGAAGAAAGGAAGCAGACATACGGCTAACACGAAGATTAGGGGTACCTAATTTTGGGGTATGGTCCTATTATTGAGGCTACCATTTTTGGGTCCCTGATTTTTGGAAACTCCCATATGTTCCGACGTGCGATAAGAAAGACTCTGCTAGGCACGATCCACACGCATATTGATTATCTTCGCGACCGAGCACTGCTCTTTCAGACATTTTGGTTCCCACTCGCACGGAGCCACAATGCCTTAACATCGAACTCTGTCGTATTTAAATCATCCGAAATCGCCAGTCTGATTGCTAAGGCCCCTTTGTTAAGGCCCCTGAATGCGCAAAGTCCAAACCTTAAGCTTCAGGCCCCTCCGGAGCTCACGTGCCTACATGGAAGCAGTGCAAGGACAGCTCTCTCTATGCAGTTTGGGTCTTGGGATCCGAGAATTCGGTGACATAGGCATTTCAGGCATTAGACTTTTCTTTTGGGGGTATTCGCTTGCAGAGGTGTCGGCTTGGAGTGTTCCGGGATTAGATTCGGATGTTTGCTTCGCGCATGCTTTTTGCATGCCTTTCGGTTCGGGGTCCGGTGGCTGTGGAGACCGGGGCGTAGCGACCGGTAGGTCACATTCCTAGATGGCATTTCTCGCTGACACAACACGACAAAGACAGTGGCAATTGCATCCAGGGTGTGTAAACTCTTATGAAACCAAAATGGACACAACCTAGTGCATGGTTTAAGGTTTGCTAAACAGCACAGCAAAACACGGAACCGTCTTGAAGCCGAGTCTTTTGTGGCCCTGGGAATCCAAGACAATGGCCGGCTTAGTGCTCCAGGGGGGGCTTAGATCCGCAAAAGCTCTCTCCACAAGACATCACGAGAGGAGCCCCGAACCCTCATGCAAGAACCAAGCCCCTAGACCCTAAACTCGCAACCCTCAACCCTAAACTCGAAACCCTAGACCCGAAACCCCTAAACCCTAGACCCTAAACCCTAAAACCCCTCAACGATGGAACCTTAAACCCTAGGCCGACCTTCTCAGGATTTGTACGGCGTTGGGGCAAGCAACGCCTCGGCTGTGTCCAGTGGCGAGCAGCAGACCTCCACGGTGCTCCTTGGCGCGAAGATCTTAAACGGTGGTGTGGGCAATAAAAAATAATATATATATATATATAGATATAGATATGTATGTGTATATGTGTATATGCTTATATGCATATGAGCATATGTGTAAAGATGTATAAATGTGTATGTGTGTATGTGTGTATATGTATATATGTATATATGTATATATGTATATATGTATATATGTATATATGTATATAATATGTATATATGTATATATGTATATATGTATATTTATGTATATTTATGTATATTTATGTATATTTATGTATATTTATGTATATTTATGTATATTTATGTATATTTATGTATATACGTATATATGTATATATACATATATATATATATATATATATATATATACATGTATATAAGGGTATAGGTAAATCGGCATATAGGTTTATATGCACATATGCATACATGTATATATGTATATGCTTATGTGTATATACATATGTTTATATATGTGTATATGTATGTATGTATGTATGTATGTATGTATATTTGTACGTATGTATACATGTGTATGTAAATCCACGCCATGCTGCAATCGTTTGGGCAGCCCGGGATGTCAGGGCTTGGAAGGCAGATCTGCAGATTCCAGAGGTGTTAGTGGGGGTCTTGATCATATTGTAAGATGCGGAGGTTGAGCTGTCGGATTCCCAGTTCAGATTGTCCAGTTTCGTTACAACTGAAGATAGAAGTTCTACACCTTGAAGCAACGGATGCACCTCAAAAGCCTAACGCAATACATTGAAACCTACACCTTCTTTTAGTGTGTTTTCACACCTACACCTTAAACCCCCCTAAACCCTAAGCCCCTAAACCGTTAAACCCCTAAACCCCGAAACCCCTAAACCCTAAACCTCTAAACCCCTAAAACCCTAAACCCTAAACCCCTAAACCCTAAACCCGTGTCGCGGTGTCCAGGTTCTTGACACTCGACTCGCCAGGGCCCTGGACTTTGAAATTCCTGGGTCGAGATGCTTCGCAGGGTTTAGGGTTCAGGGTTTAGGGGTTTAAGGTTTAGGGTTTAGGGTTTAGGCGAATCGCTGCAGATGCAAGGGTGAAGCAAGTTTTCGATCGTCAAGTTGCTTTTAAGCCATAATATTTGCTGTAAATCCAGATTATGGTGTCAACTCCTTAACAAGAACCCAGTTTATCTGGCTCCTCCGCTTCTAGCGGGGCAAGCCTTCGAGCATCGGCGTTTTTCGATTTCGGGCTTCGCAACGCGAAGCGCTTCGACTGACCTTAGGGACCCGAAAACGACAGAAGCATAAGCACGTTGCAGGGATATCCCTACCTTATATTGGCTTGGGGATATCCGTATTTTTGGGGGCCTATGACTGCCTTGAGGACGGGCGACAACGCACTGGATTCCCTGGAGACGGCACGGGTGGCTATGAACGGCGAGCTCTACTTGCCCAAGGGGTGGCTTGGGGCATCTGCAGGGGTCGCAATTTGATGTACTGTTCTGTAGTGTGGTGCTGAATTTCCGTGGTGACACCTCTTCCCCAAACAGTGTGGCAAGGCAGCTCAGTGAAGGGCAATGGGGACGTGTCGTCCGGTCTGGGGATGCCCCTATTTGTGTTACAGGGTGTTGGGCTCTCCGGTTTCTCGACACTCTTGCAGTAGAGCCCCAACCCGAAAATTGATATTGCAAAACCTGAACCCTGAACCTTAAGCTCCCTGAAAAAAACACAGGAGCGGTGCACTACACTCTAAAACAGAAACTCCCTTAACCCTAAACCCTGAACTGCATCTACTTGGGGTTCCCGTCCCTCAGCCGGTACGGTCGTCTGGATGCCTTGCGGTGAAAAGACACGAGGGTTCAAAAAAAAACAGACGCCGAGGATCCAAACCGAGATGGTCCTGAAGACCGCCTCCGTCAATCGCCGCCTCTCCTCGCGCTCCCCGCGCCGCTTGCAGGCGGCTTCTGGCGCCGTTGTGACGTTTCTTGGCCAAGCTCAGTATTATAGGGGCCTTAATAATGATTACCTACATTAGTTTGGGGGTTCCTTAGTATCATTTAGTGTAATAGCCCCCAAAACCCCATTCTAACTAGAAAGGCACCTACATTATGCGCTAAACCCTAAACTCTAAAGCCCTGAAGCCTCAAACTTGTGAGCCCTGAGCTATTCCCGGTTTCGGATGCTGGTGCTGGGTTCCTCGAAAATTTCAAAAAATCCTCCAGAGGCTCCAAGGTTTGAATTTAGGGTTTATACGGGTTTAGGGTTTATAAGGGTTTAGGGTTTATAAGGGTTTGGGGTTTACAAGGGTTTAGGGTTTATAAGCGTTTAGGGTTTATAAGGGTTTGGGGTTTATAAGGGTTTAGGGTTTACAAGGGTTTAGGAGGCTCCAAAATTGTTTACTTTGAGGGTTGTCCGCTGCAGAGTTCAGGTGCGCAAGACAGCTTTTCCACGTCTTTGTTGTAGGCAGTTGTCTCGATGATTTAGGATTTCTTGGGGTTGGACGGTGGGTGTCCAAAACGTGGCTTGCGGCTTGTTTTTGGGGTGTAGAGTTTTCGACATTGAAGTTCTTGGAGTGTTTTCAGTGTTTGCGAACACCTGCCAAGCACGGTTGCACCGTGAGCCACAGGATCAGGACCTGAGCAAGTAGCAAGTATCCGCAACAGAACTTTTGGTACAAGCTGCCCCCAAACCCTATTCCCTTGATTACGGCCCCCCTTGCAAACGAATCCCCAACTTCAAAGTTAACGACTTCAACCCCTAAAGCCACAAAAGCCTCAGCGCCTCCTGCGCTGCAAGGTTCGAGATCAAAAACAAAGGCTGGCAGAGGGCAGGGCGGCTGCATGCACTATACCCTGGATCAGCCCCTACATGGCCCTACATCCGAAAACCGGGTCCGATAGTTGATGCAAATGCTAACCTCACTTCGGCTGCGTTGTGGGGCGATGCTGAAGACATTTTGCAAGTCGGGCCTTTCCAGAGGACCGGAATAGCCCAGTAGATGGTTAAACACTCTCGGAAAGACAAGTCTAACAGCTTGGTTGCAGGCTGCACCAGAACTGTCGCACAGGCCTATGCTGAAGAATCCTAAATGCCTCAGCTTGCTTGTAAAGCCCTCTAACACCAACCCGCGGTCCTGCAGGTGCAAGCTCTGTGTCCCCTGCCAGTATCGCCGAAGAGCTCAAGAAACAAGTGGCAGCCTCAGCTTCACACCTCGTCATGTACATCCTGCAGAAACTGTAACTGTTATTACTGTTGATGATGGTACTGTTGTGCAGAAGTGGCAGCATAAGCAGTAGCAGGTAGCAGGTAGCGTAGCAGCAGCAGCAGTAGTCGTAGCAGCAGCAGAAGTAGTCGTCGTCGTAGTCTCAGCAGCAGTAGCAGCAGCAGTAGCAGCATCAGCAGCAGTTGCCGTAGCAGTAGCGCTGGCAGTAGCAGAAAGGAGTAGCAGTACAGCAGTACAGCAGTAGAGTCAGTAGGGCCTTAGAGCAGTAGAGCAGCAGAGCTTTAGAGCAGTAGAGCAGCAGTACAGCAGAATCTGCTGCTACTGCTACTGCTCCTCCCTGCCACTGCCACTGCCACTGCTACTGCCATTGCCGCTGCTACTGCTACTGCTACTGCGATTCTTACTGCTACAGCTGATGCCACTGCTACTGCTACTGCTACTGCTCCTGCTGCTGCTGCTACTGCTGCTACTGCTGCTGCTACTCTCGGAGGGCTGACGAAAAGGCATTCCCAACCTCGTGCTCTCTTCGCAGTGAGCAGCAGTCACACATGCAGAGTTTCCCTGTGCTCATTCCCTGCTGGTAAGTAGTGGCGGAAGCGGCGGTGACGATAGTGCAAGCACGACCACATGAGAACAAACACAATCATTGCAGTAAGGATAGCTCTCACTGCATGCAGATAGGCCTTCTTGGGTCATTAGGTGGGTAGGGTCTTTAGAGTCTACTGGACTGGAAGCCTCAGAGGGCTTGAACAATCAGTACTGCCCTTTCTTTGGTGGTCTAGCACCCAGTGCTTCAGGCCCCAATGGAAATCCTGTCCCAAAACAACCTCGCTAACATACTCTGAGAAGAAAACCTGAAAAGCCCTAGCCCCCAAATCTCAAGTCTCCATCCCAAATCGAAATCGTAAGCCCTACTAAGCTCAAGACCCAAATTCCCAAGTTCCAAGCCAGAAGCATGTGTGTATGCATCCGTTGGCTTTTCCAATCCGAGGTCAAGAGCGGAAGTGCTGGAATCTCGAGTGCCATGAGCAATGTCGGCAAGGTGGACACCAAGGCGGTCCGTGGGGTGTTGCATGTGTGCTTCCCGTTCATACTGCAAGTAAAAGTTTACGAACAGGTTCACAAACATTTTCTATGGTAGTTACTGTTTATATTGGTGGCTGCTAATAGCTAGCAGCTTGTACTACTCGGGGAGGGATTGAGGGTTAGGGTTCTGATGGTGTCGCAGTTATCCTCTCTCTGTGCGTATGTCATGTGTGCAGATACACATGTATGCATGTACACATCTTTCCACACACGTCAACATAAACAAGCACTGATCATGCGAATAGAAATGGCAATCACAGCAACAATAGGCGTAGTAGTAGTAGTAGTAGTAGTAGCAGCAGCAGCAGTAGCAGTAGTAGCAGAAGTAGTAGTAATACAATAACAACACTAACGATTTTGCCAATGGTAATCACAACAACAATAGAGTAATAATAGTAACAGTATTACTAACAAAACGAATAGGAACAATATCATTATAACAATACACGTAATACTAATAGCACGACGACTACCACTACTACTACTACTACTACTACTACTACTACTGCTACTACTACTACTACTACTACCACTACCACTACCACTACCACTACCACTACCACTACCACTACTACTACTACTACTACTACTACTACTACTACTACTACTACTACTACTACTCCGCTATTGCTGCTACTACTACTACTACTACTACTACTACTGCTGTCGCTGCTGCTATTGCTGCTAGTACTACTGCTGTTGCTGCTGCTGTTGCTGCTGTTGCTGCTGTTGCTGCTGTTGCTGCTGTTGCTGCTGTTGCTGCTACTGCTACTGCTGGTGTTGCTGCTACTGCTACTACTGTTACTACTACTACTACTACTACTACTACTACTACTACTACTACTACTACTACTACTACTACTACTACTACTACTACTACTACTACTACTACTACTACTACTACCAGTACTGTTAATGGAATAGTGACAACACTACCTACAAACACAGTAATAAAACAATCGCCCGACAATAATGATCATAGTAATAAGTAATAAGAGTAATAAGAATACGGGAAATGATAGTAATCCTTTCATGTTTGTATATGTATATATGTATACAACCGTATACACATGTTTATGTGTATGTGTATATGTATACGGACATATTTGTGTATGTACATTTTTAACTCGTTATGTACACGTATGTACGTGAATATGTATGCTTGTACGCGCGTACATGTGTAAGTATGTCAACCCTACACCCGCAGGCCCAAACTAGCTATGTATGTCGTAGCACCACCCCAAACAATTGGCTAACAAGGCCGGTGTTGGAGTGGCCTCGTCGACGAAGCCGCGCGGCGTTCTCTCAGATAGTGCTACAAGAGTTTTCATGGGGTTACTTGCAGGATTTCAATGGGGTTGACTGGGTCTCTCTCTTCAAGATTTTTCTAAAGTTGACCCCCCTAAACCCTAAACCCCTAAACCGGAGTTCCAGCCCGGTTTAGCCAGGACCATCACGACACGCGAGGAGACGGTGCAGCAGCAGCGCGCGGCAGGGGCCTCGGATTTGCATCGTTTTTGACTCCTAGATGCTCAAGTTGCATAACCCTAAACCCTAAGCCCCTAAGCTCCTGAACCCCTAAACCCCGCACCCTAATCTCATCGGGACCTACGATTTGGCGTTTAGGGTTTAAGGTCTATGAGGGCTTGCGCCTTTCAGGTTGCAATGAGCCGTAAACTTCTAAACCAAACCGTGAAACCTGGGTTCATAAACCCTGAACCTTAAACCCTAAATCAGCATTTGCCTGTGGTAGTCGGTGTGGAGTGTAGCTATTTGTCGACTCCAAGTGGTTCAGTTTTGGGCATCAACTAGTAAGTCTAGTAGCTACGTTCAGCTTCAATCCTGATCTGCGAGCAACTTTTGTCTCGCAATCGCAAATAAAATGGCCGCGAAGGCTGCGCAGCTGCAGGTGGTGCCATTTGGTGCTAAGCCCTACACCCCAAATCCCAAGCACCATGAACCCTAAGTTGCTAACTTCGGGCTCTGTACGTGGCGTCGCTGCGGGCTTCCCGAGGGTAGAAGCCCTAAAGGGCAAGCTTGGGGTTTCGGTGGTCAACGCGGTTTAGTTTTAGGGGGTTTAGGGTTTTAGGGGGTTTAGGGTTTTAGGGGGTTCAGGGGGGTTAGGGTTTCGGGTTTAGGGGGTGGGGACAGCAGCACGAATAATTAATCTGTCGTAGGGCAGAATGCTCTTCCCGTGACCGTCCCCACATCGCACTCAAAATCCTATAAACCCTAACCGCCGAACGGTAACCGACCACCTTTTTCGATCCCGAGGCTATCATCGTTCCTCGGCTGCGGCGTTTTGTTGGAGCTTCGGGGATGAGGATTTTGGAGATGTTGGATTTTCCGGATGTTAGGGGGTACCTTATTTCGGGGGTCCTTGTAATAAGGATCCGACTATTTAGGGTATCATAAGAGGGTCCCCTAGTCTCGGAAACTCCCAGATGTTGGAGAGCTCGGCTTATATAGGATGTTTGGAGGGTCAGGTGGGGGATGCTAGCTGTTGGTTGGCATCCCTTTTTTGCAGTGAGGGATTAGGGCTCAGGGTTTGCTTTGGCCTTTTTTGGGGAGATGTGGGTCTTAGGGAGTCAGAGGATAGCTGAAAGCAAGTCTCGAAGCAAACATAACCTGCAACTCTTCACATCTGTCAGGGACCCCACACAAGGCGGCTTGTTGTCGTTTCACTTCGGAGAATATCCTTTTGAGGCTCCGGATTTAAGAGCCATGTCTAGAGCCTAGAAATGTCTCCAGTGCAATCCCGAAGATTTTGCAAATCAATGCGGGAGGCAACAGCTGACAACCTCCCTGAATCCACCCGTGAGGCCCAGAAGCAGAAGCTCTGAAGCGTAAGGCGAAAGCCTGGAAGATTTGGTAAAGCAGTTGGTCGCAGCCTTTTCCAAGGCTTCATCACGCTTCCCCAACCTAGGCCCTCGGGGGCCCACCTAACATAGGGGCCTTAATAATTACCTATACTATTTTGGGGGTTCCTTATTATAATCATAGTATAGCGGGCCCCAAAAGCCTTCTCTAATTATGAAGGTCCCCATATTAAGTACTTAAGTGATATGTCTTTCTATGCAAGTGCTTAGGGTTTTGAGGTAAACGGTTATAGTGTCCCAGAAGACTGGAGGATGCTGGAGGTATTGCGAATGCTTCAGCCGTGAAATCTTGATATCCAAGGGTGTTCCGACCACCACCACGACCACGACCACGACCACCACAGCTACTCCGGCTTGGAGTATTTCAACTTTCATGGCATCAGCGGTGCAGGATTCAAGACGGAAAGATGCTCGTGAGCCTTAGGTCAACATGTTTCGAACCCCCGGCCCGTTATGACCCAATATTATTCTGGGGTCCCTTGTTAAAGTCATAGTGACACTAAATACATCTGAACTTCGACTTCTTATGATGTGGCGCTTGCGAAAGTGGGGTGTTGGAGTACTGGGATCCAGGTCATAGGTCTTGATTTTCGTGTTTTGTGTGCGTTTGGCCCCGCCCTGGCTAAGACTACCACCACGACCACGACGGAGGGACGCGATTCCCCAACCACCACCACCACCACAACCACCACTACAACCACAACCACTACCGCGGGCAGGGACTCAGGGCGTGAAACGACGACGACGACCACCACCACCACCACCACCACCACAACCACAACCACAACCACAACCACCACTACTACCGATGCGGAAGAATCGAGCACCACCACCACCACCACCGACGAAGCTTCCAGCACTACCACCACCGACGAAGCTTCCAGCACCACCACCGCCGACGAAGCTTCCAGCACTACCACCACCGACGAAGCTTCCAGCACCACCACCGCCGACGAAGTTTCCAGCACTACCACCACCGACGAAGCTTCCAGCACTACCACCGCCGACGAAGCTTCCAGCACTACCACCACCGACGAAGCTTCCAGCACCACCACCGCCGACGAAGCTTCCAGCACTACCACCACCGACGAAGCTTCCAGCACCACCACCGCCGACGAAGCTTCCAGCACCACCACCACCGACGAAGCTTCCAGCACCACCACCACCACCGACGAAGTTTCCAGCACCACTTCCACCAGTGGAGTGCCGGCGGCAACCTGGCAGCATTGCGACGTGAGCGGCGGAGACTGCTGCAGCGTGCTACAGATCTTGTACGAAGGACTTTGAAAAAGTCCTCATTCAAAACAGGCCCCGAGTGTCAGGGCTTGAAGGTATTGCTGTGAACGATGTGAGCGGATACATCCTTAAACGAAAGTTTACGTTAACCACAACAGCAACAACAACAAGAACACCAACAAGAACAACAACAAGAACAACAACAAGAACAACAGCAGCAGCAACAGCAACAGCAACAGCAACAGCAACAGCAACAGCAACAGCAACAGCAACAACAACAACAACAAGAACAACAACAAGAACAACAACAAGAACAACAACAAGAACAACAACACCACCACCACCACCACCACCACCACCACCACCACCACCACCACCACCACCACCACCACCACCACCACCACCACCACCACCACCACCACCAACAACAACAACAACAACAACAACAACAACAACAACAACACCAACACCAACACCACCACCAACAACAACAACAACAACAGCAACAACAGCAACAACAACAACAACAGCAACAACAACAACAACAACAACCACAACCACACCAACAGCATCAACAACAGCATCATCAACAACAACAACAACAACAACAACAACAACAACAGCAATAACAATAACAACAGCAACAACAACAACAACACCGACAGCACAACTACCAACAACAGCAGCAGTGACAGTAACCGCAGCGACAGCGACAGTACGGAAGGCCTTTAGTCGTACCTGTCGCCATCGAGGCAGGATCCTCGGAGTTTCGCCTCCATTCGGCAGCTTTTCATGGAGAATCGGGGCCCTAAACCCTAAACAGAGCTTGGATGTTGCGGACGGGAAAAGGAGCTTAAAAAGAAAGCCCCTAAACAGAAAGGCATGCTCAACATGCGACGCGGTGGTCAGCAATACGACCTCGTACTTCAACAGTCTGGCGACGCTTGGCTTGGCTATCAAGGCACTTGGTGAGTACAGGGGCTTTAGTACTCGCAGTTGCAGAATATTAGAGAGGGGTTTCTGATTCTCCATTGGTGATGGAGTTTGTGATGGGATGGCGATGACATCGACGACGCTGACTGCTAGGATCGTGCTGATACTGACACTGTTGTTGGGCTTTCCACTGTTCTTGCCAATGTGACCAATGCTGGCGTTCCGATCATTGCTAGCTTCCTTTCTGGTCAGAGGCCGATTGCTTTGCCCAGCTGCTAGTTCAGGTGTTGTTGGGACCTGGCATGAGGGTTTGTCCTACATCGGTGGAAAGGCCGAGACATCTCCCTATCGGAAGGCAACATGCAGGATGCTGCTGCACTTCTGCATCATGTACCCATCTCCTTCCGAACAAGAACCGGTTGGCTGTGCGCAACCACCACTGCGAAACCATACCCCGAAACCACACTGAACCCCAAACCCCCATGCCAAGGGACCCGCAAATGTTGACCACGGAGCAGGAGAGTGCTTCTTGCGCAGCCGGGGCCCCGGTTTGCCAGACTTCGACCTTCCTTGCATCAGAACGCCCGTTTTGGCAACCGAAACCGAAGATATGGGGCCCGCTCTGCAGCATCACATTCGTACTAGCACCCAGGTATAGTGGTACCCTAAACCCCTAATCCCGACTAGCACCGATAGTGTTGCTAGTAACCTCAGAGCCAAAGTGCTGCAACGCCTGCGCCATCGTTTCGAGAAGGCCAGAGCAGGCACACCGCTCGAAACGCGCCAAGGCCCGACACCGAAAGCACGTTGCAAAACCTAAACCCTAACACCCTAAACCCGAACTACCATCGCAGACCTACCTGAAACTTCTGCTGGTTTGTCGAGCTCGGGTAATTTCACGGCCTAAACTGAATACAATTGGTGGGAATCTCCCCGTCCCGGGTATTCGTTGGAGTCCCTCCATGAATATGCCGCACCATATCCGGACACCCTGTCTATTTTCTGAAGCCCGTGTAGCAACCCAGCTCAGCCACTTCCTCAAACCAAGCTCTGTAGCCACCAAGCTGTAAGGACTCCTTGAAATCAAGTCAGATTCCTTAACCCAGCTCCGCAAGTACCAAGTCTGAAGGTGGCAAGCGACGTGCATAATTGAGCATGCAGTGACTAAATCCATCTACACAGATGGCCTACATCGACATGAATAAGAGCGAGAGAGAGAGAGAGAGAGAGAGAGAGAGAGAGAGAGAGGGGCAGAGAGAGAGAGAGAGAGAGAGAGAGAGACCGAGAGAGAGACGCATGGAAACCAAGAACTTGGCTTCAGATCCTTATTTAAAAGCGATCTCCCGTCTCCGTTGCCGTACAGAAATGCTAAGTTGGCTTCAGCAATCGATGCCTGCTTCTTGGCTGATGAGAGTCAGTTGTGGGTCAGACTTCGGCGGATTCTGCAGGGTTTGACGGGGCTGCGCGTGCTTGTAGATTCCACTCGTTGTGCAGAAGCTCTTTTCCAAGGAGCCGGAAGAACAGCCCCCTGTGATCGTTGGCATCCCACGGTGCAGGCTTCTTCTCGGTGGGCTACTGCGGCAATGAGTGTTTCGACGGCCTCCCCGCAGCTTTGCCTTCATTCGGGTGGGTGCATAGCGCTTGGGAGGTTTTTGTGTCAACAGAATGGTAACGAAGTTCATTTTGTCCGATATTTTCTGGGGACTGGAAGGGAGCTCTGAGAATTTACTGTGCTGTGGTTCACACGGCCGCACCCTCTTCGCACTAAGCTCGCAGTCTTAGTCTTGATTTAAGACGCCTTTGAAAGGGACCACAGCCAAAATCTCTGACGCACTGACTGACCGACTGACAACCAGTCGGATGATCAAACCTTGGCCCCTAAAGCCCAACTTGAAAACCCCGAGACTGCAAAACCCAAGCCAGATCAGTGAGCCGATGGCCGAAACGCAGGCAGATCTGATGCAGTTCTACGCGGAGACCAATTCCTTGAGCTTCTGCACCAAAGACAACTGGCTCTGCGAGGCAGCGTCGTCTTCTCTAGGGCAATTTTGTCTGAGAAGTGCAACGGTTCATGGGTCGAGGGCTTCAGTTTTCGAGGGTTGGCGATGGAGCCGACAGAACGCCCTAAGCCGGGGCCTACTTAGAGGATCATGGGACTTAGTAACTAGGGTTATGAGTAAGGTAACTGTACTTATAACTGCTTATAACCCCAATTAAGGTACTTATAACCTTACTTACTAAGCCCCATGATCCTCCAAGTACGCCAGCCTTGCTGCCTTGCAGCGATCGACCCTCGCAGCTCCAACCTCGTGGCTCTTAAGCGGATGTCGTTCAGTTGGGAGCTGTGAGGCAGAGGACTTGCCTGCGAAGCCAAGCTTCACGGTTTTCAGCATTTCCCGGGCCTGGGGTGCAGGATATATCGAGCTACGTTCAACAGATCCTTGAGTTCAACTTTTTGCACAGGCTGCAGCTGTGCACACTTGACACTTGAAGCTTCAGGGAGTTCGAATCCCACTTAATCGTGTCCGTTATACAGATTTAAGGGGCGTTGGATACACACCTACCTGCCCATATATCTGTATGTGCGTAGTTATCGCTGGACTCACTTATGCACGCACTTTGCAGATATACCCTAAACCCTAAACCCTGAGCCCTAAACCCCAAACCCCTAAACCCTGAACCCGCTCTCCCAGCGCTTTTCTTTCACCAGGCCAACAGCACCACCAGCCAGGCCAGTCACAACTGTCGTCTCAGAAACCATCGGCTCTTTTTTGGGTTCGGGGTTTGGGGGTTAGAGGACCTACAGTAAACCCCATAAAGTTGGAAACCGGATTAAGGCCAAATAGTGCTGGGATTCCCTATACATTACATACTCTTAAGGATTGAGGCTATGAGGTTTCCAACTTTTGGGCTTCTACTGTAGTAGTAGAGTAGGTAACCTTTAACCTGTTTTGGGGTGGTATAGTCCCTATATAATCCCTAAATAACTAAAAAGGGGTTGACCTCGTTCCCCATGATACCCGACAAGTAGGAGGAGTGTACCGATCAATGAGGGCACTAACTACTTTGTGGGCTCTTGCAGGCTTTGTTTTTAACGACACTTTGGGAAGGCGGCGCACTTGTAAACCAGTGGAAAGCCTTGCCAAATCAGTATGAACGTGTAGGAAGCATCATCTAGAGTATCTAGAGTTGTTGTAGGCATTCGAGCAGGGTTGGGGTGTGACAATCGAGTTTTGGTCGCATATCCCACTTGTGTCCTCCTTGTGCTTTTCTTCAGTCGTTACACTTGCAGTCGTCTGCATGTATTATGCGGCGAGGGCTGCGGGTTCATGGCGTTCTTTTGCGCTTGAGCCTTGCTCGCTTGAATGTCACCTTTTGGGCGGAAGTGTTTCTTCCTGCACTTGTCCTTTACTGCTCCGTTTGGGTGCTAACATCCGGGTGTTCAGCACATGTCTCGCTTGGGTCCTGCTTGCACCCTCTTGTGTCGGTCGTGACGAGTGCATTCCTCTGCAAAGGCTTGTACAAGGGGTGGGGGCGGATGAGGGAAGCTGAATTGTAGCTTAAATACAACAGAATGCTGTGAAGCTCGGCTCCCACCAGCACCCCAGCCCAACAAGCAGATGTAGAGGAATGCATATGGCAGTTGTCAAAATTATGGTCCCTTTGTAGGTACCCTAAACAGTAGGTGCCATATTATAATAGGGACCCAAAAAGGGACCATAATTTTGACAACTACCCATATGTAATAACCGAAATCAGCAGCAACACCAGAACACCCTTCCAAGATGCAAGACTCTGAGTTTCCGAAGGTTTCGGACTTCCCAACACCACTTCAGCCCTAGGAATTCCTGCGCTTTCAGGGTTTAGCTTCTCTTCTCTTTGCCGAGTCGGTTTCAGGGCGGGCGTCAAGGTCGGAGCCCAGGGAAGGTCATATATGTATATAGACGGTTTGGACTAGGTGTGGCAAGTAATCCGACAAATATAGGCACCAAAGAAAGACCCGTGCTGGGCAGGAAACTGTCGTCGTGGCCTCAGCATGTCGATGCGTTGCTGGGAGTGTCAGGAAAATTTAGACAAATGTTGAAGAAATACGTCAGTAAATAAGTAAATGAAAGCGTATTCATATATATATATATATATACACACATATTTATAGATGGATATATATATATATATGTTTAACTATATATAACTAGGGTTGGGGTTCAGGGACTGTTGGGGGCTTGGGGTGCTACCCCAAACCAAGTTCTTGTTTCGGCTTCGGCGTCAAAATAGGGACCGGAGCAACTCGAGTTCGGGGGAGCTGCTGCCTGCTTGGAGGATCATGGGACTTTTTAAGTAAGGTTATAAGTACCTTAATTGGGGTTATAAGCAGCTATAAGCATAGCTTGCTTACTTATAACCCTAGTTACTAAGTCCCATGATCCTCTAAGTGCAGGCCTAGATCTTATTTTGTCCATCCTGAAGTCTTCGCCGCCCAAAGCCCCAGAAGCACGGAGAGCTTCCGAGAGCAGACTACTGGTAGGGTTTAGGGTTGAGGGGTTTAGGGGTTCAGGGTTTAGGGTTCAGGGCGTTCAGGGTTTGGGGTTAAGGGGTCTAGGGTTTTGGATTCGAAGTCGGCAAACCCCCGTAACCACAAACGCACGTACCCGGGCACCGACATGCTTGCAACAAATGCGGCAAGAAGTCGTTCAAAGTCTCGAGGCAAAGGACCTGGTGCGCCGGTGCAGGCAAAGCAACTCCAAGGCCCAAGGCCCTTAGGAACAGAAGATGCGCTCATCCTTTCCTCCTGCTGCTCGCCTCCTCCTCATCAACAGCGCCGCCACGCCACCGCCTTTGCCGGCCTCATGCTTACTCATTCATCACTACATGACCAACATCAACAGCATCATCGGCGTCAGAATCATCTGCCCGTTGGCACAGCCGTAAGGGCTAGTAACTATCAACCACCTCTACAGCCCCTCGTCGCGACCACCGTCCTCATCGTTCATCGTCCTTGTCCTCATCCTCGTTGTCTTCCTCCTCCTCGTCCTCCTCCTCCTGCCTCCTCGTATCATCATCATCAGCATCATCATCGTCAGCATAGGATCATGATCATGACTACCTTCATCCTCATCGTCATCATTACCTTCCTCCTCGTCGTCATCATCATCATCGTCTTGCTCATGAACATGGTGAAGGTCATCCTCGTCATCATCACTCGCACCAGCCTCGTCAGTTTGATCACGATCGGGTCGTCGCGGCATCGTCGTCGTGGCTGTCAAAGCCTGATACCCCACACCGAATGCGTTAAAGCCCTCAAATCCAATCCTGGCATCCAGAACCCTATACGAGAAAAGCCCTAGGATTTAAAGCCCTACACCCAAAAGCCGATTCTAGTTGTTATAATAAGGCCCCCGAATTAAAATCCTCAGCTCAGGAGGTCACCTTCCACAAAGTCCAAGTCCAACTGGAGCCCCTGGTCCTCTTAAGGGAAAGTTGCTTTAGTGTTGTGCGTGTTGGTGCTTCAGGCTTTGCCTAGACCCCTCAAAGTAGGTAAAAAATGGCCTAAAAAATACATACTTTTGGGGTCCAGGTAGGGTTCGGTTTCCGGGCTTAGGTTTTAGGCTTTGAGGTTTATGTTTCAGCGCTTAACCTGTGGGTTTTGGATTGAGCCTAAACCTACAACGCGTCGACATGCAAGGCGAAGCTTCGTGCCACAGAGCTGGAAGACATGAACCGCGGTTCAAGGTTTCGGGACCCTAAACCCTTTTTTTGGGCTCAAGCATGTTGGTGGTGTTTGGAGTTAGGTACAGTCCCTTGCCCACAGATGGAGGCCTAATCCCTAAGCACTTAACCCGAAGCTCAAAATCTCACCTCCGAACAATAACTGTCTGCTCTTTGCAAGACGGCATTTTCGTATAGTGTAAAGTAAACAATGCGGTGGATGAAACTGTCTACCATGTAGATTCCCCTGCAGTAAGATTCGCAAGATGACAGTTAAGATCGTTGAGTGTAACCAGCATGGCTCGTAGCGCCGCGCCTGTCCGGGTGCCGCTAGAACTCCCATTCGGCTGTGGCCGTGCACCTGCCTCCGATTCGGGCTTTTCTCGCCCGCTGGCTCCGCTTGCTTTCGGGGCCGCCGGACAACTTCGGCATCCCGCAGGGCGGCAGAGGGCGAGCCCGGTAAGAATCCCACCGCCATGCCGATGAACGCGCTGCCAGCTCCTTCGCTCCGACCGTTGCCGATGCAGCAGCTGCTCGATCTGTAGCAACAGCACCATATGGCGGCCGGTGTGGCTGCAGCAATCCTGGCCGTGGTGGACCGCCAACATCACAGGTTTTGCAGTCCAGCACTGATTGGAACCCAAACATCTTCGGTTGGAGAATCCACAACACGTGGCCTGTTTTGCCGCCCCAGTACTGCCGCATGGGCTACTGGGGCATGCAAAACCGTAGATCAGCTCCCGCCATTTGAGGGTTTCGGGTTTGAACGTCAAGGGTTGACCGCGGAGCCCGAATTCGAGATGTTGGAAGAGGCTTGACTACTCAAAACAAGCTGTAAAGTCCTAAACTCTAAACACCTAAATCCTAAACCCTAAACGCCTAAACCCCTAAACCCCTAAACCCTAAACCCTTAAACCCTAAACCCTAAACCCCTAGACCCCTAAACCCTAAACACTAAACCCCTAAACCCTAAACCCGCAGCAACAAGGATGACCGTGGACGACCCGCAGACGATCATCGAGAATGCCCGAGACTGAGATCCGAGGATTAGGGCGGTTTTGGGCTTTAATTTAGGGTTTAGGGCTTTAGGGGGGGGGGGGGGTTAGGGTTTTAGTGCTTTAGGCTTGAGTGTTTGTGGACTTCAGAAGTCTAGGGCCGAGGGTATAGGCTTTGCGGTCTGGGGTTTGGGGTTGAAGGTTTAGGAGTTCCGGGGTCGGGGCTTGAAGGTTCAGGCGGGGCTTCAGAGTTCCTGGCACTTTCCGGCTTAGTCTTCGAACCCTGAACTCGCGTTGGGAGGGTTCCGGGTTCAAGGTTTGAGTCTGCACTTTAGTGGCTCGTGTTTGCTGAGGGGTTTCAGCTTGCATGGACGGACAGGATCGTAAAGGGAACTCAAGGATGTCTGTGTCTCATGGCTGCGCGCGCAACGGCAAGGGGCTGGAGTTAAGAGTCAACGGTAAGCATCAGCTGAGGTGTGGGGACCGTTTCCTTCTACGATAAAACGTGCATGTAGATACCAAGTAATTAGGCTGCGAATCACTCAGTCATTCTGCCTCAGACATCAAAATCACATCTCTCACAGTACCATGTTCTGGAGCTGACTCAAATTCAACATGGGGCTCTTTTGTCACATGCTTTTCGCTGAAGACGCCGGGTTTTGCGAGTCTACACATGTTCAGCACCCCCACACCCTAAGCCACGTTAATACAACCGAAACCTGCAAGTTTCTGCGAAACACGACGCCCGAACTCTAAACCCTAACCTTAAACGCCTAAACCTTAAACTCCTAAACCCTGAAACCTTAGCCCTAAAGCCTATATCGATGTTCCAGACAGACCGGGAATCCATTATTATACATATGGGTACTTTATTTGGTGTCCTGAGAACAAGGATCTAGATCTGTAACCTAACATCATACAACAGAACAGAGCAGAACTTGACATCATGTACTTTAACTCAACTTTATAATCATTGAGGCTCTAAGAGACCCGCATAGATCCCTGCCAAGAACTCTTGCAGGACCCCATACACCCTAAACCCTCAACCCTAAACCCTAGACCCCCCAAACCCTAAACCCTTTACCCCTAAACCCCTTAGCCCCTAAACCCCACTCTCCATTAAGGTCACCCTCCACTTTACGTGGTACACTAATGAGTAGGATACTTATTGTGAGGACACCAAAGAAAGATTAAGGTCACCCTCCATTTTGCTGAGGTGACTCTGGTCAACGCCATGCGGCGCTCAGCTCAGTTCCCGGCTTCGTGGCTTCGGTACTCGGGGTGCTCAGTGTTCAGGGGTTTGGAGTTTAGGGGTTCAAACCCTAAATGCTCATGTGGCCAAAAGTGCCTGCCCAACTAGGCTGTGACGGCTAGAGACTAGTGCAGTCGCAAGAAGACCCTCAAAAAAAACCTAAACCCTAAAACCCTAAACCCCTAAACCCTAAACCCTCAACCCCTCAGTTTGGGTTTGAGGTGCTTTCAGGGGCTTTGGCTTAGGGCTCTTGGCTCCGGAGGCTCCGCATTCCTCGACATAGCCCAGTAACCCAATCTAAGGTAGTATATCATAGTATAGTGTCGTATATCATATTGTATTATAGTATATTACCTTATAGTACATTACAGAACGTTATCGATCTACCTTTCAAGCCTGGACATGAGACGACCGAAGGATGTCGCGCGGTCTCCTCGCCTTGGGCTGCAAAGGTCTGATTATACGGTGCTACCCCAAAGCTCCAGGTCCCATGTGGGTGGTTGTCAAGATTAGAGTCCCTTTTGGGGTCCTTAATAGAATACGGCACCTAATATTTAGGGTATGGCAGATATAGGGTTTCGAGTGGGGGCCTCAGTGATAAGGTAGGGCTTGGGGGTATATTATACTATCTGGGAGTTTGCGAAAATAGGGGGCCCTAGTATAGTACCCTAAATAGTAGGATCCTTATTATAAGGACCCCAAAGTAAGGTACCCACTATTTGTCGGAAACTCCCCTGTGGCTTCCGGGACCTCGGCAGGCGCGGCATGGCGAATCTGCTCAACGTCTCCGAGGCCCCTGAAACCGCAAAGCTTGTCTACGCTTGTCTTATGATTCTAGTCTCCAGGAGCGTCTAGAGATTGATCCAAAGCACCATGGCTCGGATTGCCTGCCCTTTTGTTGCTTCCGGCGTTTAGCGCTCATGGCTTTGTGCGGGAAGGATGCCGTCACTGTCATCTTCGAAACCTCTCGGCGCCTGCAGTCCTCCACCACACTCAACGTGCTGGGGCCTTGGAGCGTTGCGATCGTACTATAGGGGCCTTGATTAATAATTCCCTATATTATGTTGGGGTTTCCTTATTATATCATGGTATAAAATACCCCGCAACCCTATTCTAATTAGTAAGGCCCCTACAGTAAATCCCAAGCCTTGAACCCCCAAAAGCCTGATGATTGCTTGCCGGATCTCAGGCTCTTTGAGGTAACTTTCAATGATGCGGCCGCAGCCGAAGTGCCACCCGGATGATTGTTGAGGGTTTAGGGTTTAGGGAGAGCCAGAGCTGGTGAAGTTTGAGGGGTTTGGGTAGCTTTCGGAAGCTTCGACGGCTTGGGTCTGCCTCTTGGGTGGACTCCTTTGGTGCAGGCTGAGGTTCCCTGAGCCTGTGGGTAGCAGAAGCCTTCAGAGTGGAACCCAAACCCGTCGCTTCTGCGATTCTTCTGCTCCTGGCCATGCTGGTGCCACTCCTTTCCTTGGGTTAGTAGGGAATGGAGGAATGGGGTGCAATTATAACTACAAGTACTACCATCCATTCTTCCATTCCCTACTAACCAAAGGTAAGTTTTCCGACTGCTGCTGCAACAACTGGTTATACTACCACGAAATGGGCGACCACGAAGACGGCGACCGTGAAGATGACCGCCACGAAAGTGACGACCAAGAAGATGACGACGACTAGCACGAGGACGCGGCTTCTGTGCTACTGCCACCTCCTCCTCCTCCTCCTCCTTCTCCTCCTACTCCTCCTACTCCTTACTGCTCCTACTCCTACTGCTACTCCTAACTCCTACAGCTACGGCTACCGCTACCGCTACCGCGACTGCTACCGCCACTGCTACTGCTACTCCTACGACTAGTACGAGTACCAGTAGGAGTACTAGCATCATTGCTGGTTATAGTACGAGTACTCCTACCAGTACTCGTTCTCGTACTGGTACTGCTACTACTCCTCCCTCTGCCGTACCCCTGACGGTGCTTCTGCTGCTCCTGCGACTACTGCTACTACTGCAAGAGTCTTGCCAGCCTGATACCGACTGCCCAACTTTCCCGAAGCGATATGAGGCAGGATTCAGTGTCCCTGCCTACACGTCGCCGACCCCCCGTATGAAAACCCTGATCTGAGAACGGCAAGTCTCTGTAACTCTCACCATAAGCACACTCGCCTACTGTAGGTTATTTGAAGGCCGACGTTTGTCCATTGGGCGTACAGACAGCAGCCTACTATATAGTATGTCCCTAAGCCCAACCCCAAACCCTAAACCCAAAGACCCTCGACCGCAAACCCAACCCCTAAACCCAAGGACCGTTTAGTAAAGCCTGAACCCTACACCCGTACACCCTAAGTCCTTAAACCTTAGACCAAGACACGCACACCTTAAATATTAAGCCCTGAGCCCTAAACCATAAAAGCCCAAAGACCGTAAACCCGAAGCCCAAAGGCCGTAAATCACCGAGTAAACCCTAAACCCCAAACTCAAGGACTCGACCTTAAACCCTAAGCCCTGAACCCTAAACCCAAGGACCTTGAACCCTAAGCCCCTGGAGTCTCCACTCCCTAAACCCTAAACCCAGGACAAGGGCCGACGTGGCGAATTCCACCGCGTCAGCGGCCACCCAGGACACCGACTCCGGGTTGAAGGAGGGTCTTGGGGTTTAGAGTTGAGGGTTTGGGGTTTAGGGGATTAGGGTTGAGGGTTTGGGGTTAAGGGTTGAGGGTTTGGGGTTAAGGGTTGAGGGTTTGGGGTTTATGAGGGTTTGGGGCTTAGGGTTGAGGGTTTGGGGTTTAGGGTTGAGGGTTTGGGGCTGTAGGGTTCGGGGTTGAGGGCTCGGCGTGGAGGGTTTAGCGTTCAGAGGGCTTCTTTTGGATCCGGATTTAGGGTGGTGATATGAGCCGTAAGCTTTCAGAGTTTTGGTTGTTCGGGTCGATGTTTGGTGGAGAGGATCGATTCGCAGGTTGCTCAGACATGTAGCTCGGAGGTAGGATGGCGATCTTGGGGTCGAGGGCTTCGATACTTCTCTCGGCGTTTGAGATTCCGAGTCTTGTGGATCTCATGATGGTTCAAGGGGTTTTGGAGGTTGCTGTTTTGGTTTACGAAAGCGTTTCGCATGGCCGGGTTTGGGGTCTGGGGTTACGCGGTTAGACTGCAGAGAAGGACAGGTTGGTGTGCACGGATGCTTCGACAGCGCATCCTAACCCTTGGGTGGTTGTCAAAATTATGGTCCCTTTTTGGGTACCCTAAATATTAGGTGCCGTATTATACTAAGGACCAAAACAAGGGACCCTACTATTGACATTAAACCCTAAGCCTAAACCCACCTTTGCACTGTTCAGGCTCGACCATTGCCCGCTTTAAGGGCTAGAACTGTCAAGAGCCCCGTAACCCACTCTAAACCCTAAATCCTAAACCCTAAATCCTAAACCCTAAATCCTAAATCCTAAACCCTAAACCCTAAACCCGAAATCCTCAAACGAAAAACTATCCATCCTTGCATCAAGAAGCCAAGCTCCAGGAGCTGGGCGCCGTTCTCGCGGACAGCGGGGGAAGGGGGGGGAGATCCGGGGAAAGCTTGTGGCACTTCGGGGGTTCAGAGATTAGGGTTTAGGCTGAGGCCGCGGGCTTGGAACTTGCAGGGCAAGTCTACTGTCATACATTTTCAAATATTTAGACTTTTTATGTATATATGTATGTATATATATATATATATGTATATGTATATTACGTGTGTATATATGTAGATAGATAGATAGATAGATAGATAGATAGATAGAGGCTTCTCGACGGAATCGATAGATGGATAGCACGGGGTCGTCTTTTCAGTCCCCGTGCCCAATCCCCGGCGTCCCAACGAATGTTTTGGAGAGGGTGTTACTCTAAGCGCCAGACTAGACTGTTGGGCATATGCAGACAGAATCAGCTCAGACAGTAAGGTTCCCAAAATGCGGCCTATTATGAAGGTTTGACTTTGTGGTTTTGACAATGATTATGGTTATAAGTATTTCCATCATTTTCGCTATTTCTATATTTTTAGTTGTATTATCATGAATAATGTATTATTATCGTCATTCTTCTTCTTCTACTGTAGCCACATGGAAGAACCTCAGCACTGCCACCGAAACCTGAAATATCAGGTCTCGGGTGTTGGGGTTTAAGAACCCAGTTCCCACCCCGGACTGAAAGTCACCAGCTGCCGGCAGGACGTGGGCTACCAGGGCACCGTGGAGGCACACCTGCTTCATTCAGATACGAAGACAATCGACTGATATGGCAGTTTCCGAAAATAGGGTACCCTAAATAGTAGGGTCCTTGTTTTGAGGACCCCAAAATAAGGCACCCCCAGTTTTCGGAAACTCCCATATTGGAACTGTAGTCGGATCACGAGATTGCAGTGACATAGTATGGTACTTGTAGCAGCGACCGGCTTCCGTTTGAGTGTGGGGGGGGAGGGCTGGTGGGACAGGATCTCACTGCTTTCTCTGTTTCAGCAAGTCGTGGGGTGTATTCTATTCACATGAATCCAAAGAGGACCCCCAGGCAACCTCAAGCCGTCAAACCCTTCAAAGCCCTCCAGGGCCCCATACGCACCCAATCCTGCAGCCCAAATCCCCAGCAGTTTCTCTTGTCCCACACACCGAAGCCCTCTGAAGCCCCATGCCCCGCGAAACCGGAAGGTCGTCGGCAAGACCGTTACTGTCGAGGTGGAGACGGTACAGGTATTGGGCCTAAGTCTCCGCTTGTGCTCTCTTTAGCTTCCAAGATTCAGGGTTTCGCGGTTCACGGTTTCATGAACTCCAAATCGTTACCATCGATCAGGTTCCGGTGACGACAGTGACATCGAGCTCATCTTCCACTGAATCTTCCACCGCTTCCACCTCCACCACCGCAGCTCGAAAAGAATCAGGGTGCGCAAGACTAGACCCCGGAGAACCCTGAAGCCCCAAGCTCTAAAGCCACAGATCCTATCCAAAGTTAGGATCCTCCGCCCCAAACCCTGAACCCGAAAGCTCTAAACCCTTAACCCTACGCTCTGAACCTAAAGCCCTGAAGCTCTAAACTCTAAGCCCTCAAATGCGTTCCAGGGCTGTAGCCAGAAGTCCTTAGATCTCCACTTCACTAGATAGGATTGTCAAGCCGCGGACAGCCGGCGGGCTTCTTCTCTACAGGGGCTTCACGAGTACCAGTTTCGGCATCAAGACTTGTTCAATCCTCCCCTGGTGGCCAAATGCCTGCACAGCAAAGGCGATGTTGGCTGCCTGTGAATTCCAAAACCCCTAAGCCCTAAACCCTAAACCCCAAGACCCCTAAGCCCCAAGTGCAATTCACAAGCAGCCAACGTCTCTCCTCCATGTCTGGGTTTAGGGGTTTGGAGGGCCTCAGGGCTTTAGGGGCTTGGGGTTTAGGGGTTTGGGGTTTAGGGTCTATAATTATGGGGTCCTAGGGGTCTGAATTGAATAGTTAGAGTATTATTTTCCTTTGAAATTCCGTAATATAGCAAGCTCGAGGAGCAGAACCCACCAAAACCCTAATCAATGTATTCAAGCTTCCGGAACTTGTTGATGACTGCATTCCGTAAGTCCGAAGCCCTGAAAGTTAAGAGTTAAGACTGGATGTGCCGGCGGCTTGGAATCGTTGCTTGACTTTTTCGGGATTCAGTTAAATTGCCCTAAACCCCTACGCCCCTAGACCCCTAGACCCCTAAACCCCTAAACTCCTAAACTTCCCTAAACTCCCGAAATCCCGGAGTTTGGGGGTTTGAATCCGAAGCCTCCCGTGAGAGGTCGCTGGTCTAGGGCCTGGGTTTGAAGGCTCTGATCTCCGAGGCAAGTGGCAGTTTCAGAAAAATAGGGGTACCCTATTTGCGGGTCCTTTTGATAAGGATCCTACTATCTAGGGTACTATATTAGGATCCCCTATCTTCGGAAACTCCCAAGTCTCTCTTGAGAACCAACCCCCGCCTAAATCCGGCGGCCCCCCTAAACTTTAAACCCCAATGCACCCCCAAAAGCCCAAGGAAAGTGAGTCTACAACTACCACGACCACGGAGTCAACTGAGAGCACGACCTCGACCACGACCAACTCGTCCACGTGCGGGGCTCAGGGTTGGAGCAGCTCTTCATTCGAGGTGTTTACGGTTCAGGGCTTCTTAAACCCTAAACCCTAAGGACTTCAAGGCGTTAAGGTTTCACGGTTTCGGGGCTGACTCTCAGTGTCTACTAAGGGTTGTTCGGGCTTATGTAAGGTCGGACGCCCGAGGCCGTAGCCATTGTAACCCTAAACCCTATAAGCCTTTCTTTAAGCCGCATACAAACCGAACCCTATAGAAACCCTTTTACTAACAATATAAATTCCTGTATAAACACAACAAGAGCATGAAGGCCGCTGGGTATTTCGGATCCAACATTGGCGAGGTTGCGCAAAGAGGGGACTCGAAACGGTGACCCTTGTTTCGAAGAGCTCTCATGAAGGGTTGAGAGTCTAAGGCCTAGGTGTCCTTGCGTTTGGTGTGAGGCTATGTGGGAGTTTCCGGTAATACGACCCTAAATAGTAGGATCCCTATTATAAGGACCCCAAAATAAGGTACCCCTAACTGTGGGAACCACCCATGTGAAGATAAGGCCTGAGCCACGGTGGCGGCAGACATACTGCCGCCAGACAGCCCAGAAGCATCTTCCTAGCGACTTCTTCATAACAGAACTGTTATGAAGAAGTCCCTAAACCCCAAACCCTAAAGGCGTTCAAAACAAATCCTAAAGCCCCTATACCCTAAACCCTGTCAAAACAGGGTCCTGCGGCTTGTCGTTATTCTCCCTCCTGACACAGGTGGCCTGTGCACATGCTTTCACAGCAATGCTCCCCCTGAGCCCTAAAACCCTAAAAGCCTAAAAACCCGAAAGCCCCCAAACCCCTGAAACGGCACCCTACAGCCCCAAACCCCCTGAAACCCTAAAACCCTTAAAACCGTGAAGCCCGAAGGACAAAGTTTCCTGCTGAAGATCTCATCGCAACTGATGATGCTACGTCTGTCAGGCCGGGAGCAATCAAATGGCCATCAGGGGCTTTAGGGGTTCAGGGGGTTTAGGGGTTTTGGGTTTGGGGGTTTAGGGTTTAGAGGTTTAGGGTTTATGGGTTCAGTGTTTGGGGGTTTGGGTTTTAGGGTTTAGGGAGCTTACCTGGGTTCTTGTTGGGGAGTTTATTTTAAGTTGCCATGCTAGGGATCTATAAGCGCCTCTAAGGAGTTGAGGGTTTAGGTTACCATAATATGGATCTACAGCAAATAGTCGTGTTTCTTTATTATGGTAAGGTAAGGATCTATAGTACACACTATATGGTTTCTGTATTATTATGGTAACTTAAATTACGCAGTTACACCATCAGGATGATACTCTTAGGCTTTGGATTTCACGGGCAATGTCGGTTTCTTACGGTACAGGCTGTAGGGTGCTGTAGGCAAAAGGCTTCAGGGACTTTGCTGTTAGATGGTACCAAATTGGCTGTCTGCTGAAAGGGTTTCGTAATGCTAGCCTGCAAGATTGCTAGCACTACGAGGACGACTACTACCCGCGCCGCCACTTGCACTTCCATTTCCATTGCCACTTTCACTTGCACTTCGAAGACGACGTCGACGACGGCTCATCTTACTCTCCTTTCCCCAGTCTATCGCAGCACCCATGACTACTAACTACTATTGTTCTTGTTATTGTTTTCCTTGTTCCAGCAGCAACCGCAATAGCATCGCCACCGCCAGCAACAAAACCAGCGGCAGCAACAACACGAAGAACAAGAACTGGACCAAGAACAAGAACAATAGCAATAACAAGAAGAAGAACAGCAACACCGGCAACACCAGCAACGGCAACGGCAACAGCAACAGCGGCAGCAGCAGCAGTAGCAGCAGCAGCACCAGCACCAGCACCAGCACCAGACCAGCAGCCGCAGCAAGTATTAGTACAGCAGAAGCAGTGGTAGCAGTAGTGCAAGTCGCAGTCGTCGTTTTCTGTAGTTCTGGTAAATCTAGTCGTCGTCGTACTAGCAGTAGGAGTAGTAGTAGCAGGAGTAGTAGTAGTAGTAGTAGTAGTAGTAGTAGTAGTAGTAGTAGTAGTAGTAGTAGTAGTAGTAGTAGTAGTAGTAGTAGTAGTGGTAGTGGTAGTGGTAGTAGTAGTAGTAGTAGTAGTCAGCTAGTCAGTTAGATAGTTAGTTAGCTGATAGTTCGTAGTAGTGTCAGTTTTGACTTGTAGCAGTGAGTACTTAGTCCGTTAGTAGCCATGCAGCATCCACAGTATTGGCATAGTGCTTGCCGAAACGTTTGAGTCTTGGGGCTGCTCCGCAGTCCATCCAGACCAGAAGAATCTGTGATACGGTTGATGAGATAAATCCTGCATGACCCATAGTAAGGAATATACCATAATTCCCATAGTTCAGGGCCATTAAGGTAATGCAGGATCTATATCATCAACCGCAGTACTACTAAACCGCGCACGTTGGAAGGCTCTTCCTGTCCACCGGCCTGGCCGTCTTGGCCGCAGTGGCTTTCTAAGCAGCCGGGGCCTCAGAGAGTGTGTCTAGTCGGATTTACCTTTGGTTAGTAGGGAATGGAAGAATGGTAGTAATAGTAGTTGTAATTGTACCCCCATTCCTCCATTCCCTGCTAACCAAGCAGTACCGGAGTTCGGAAGAGTCTACAATCGTGCGGTTGAAGGGTAGGTCTTGTTCGAGGTCGTAGCAGTGACAATTAAACCCATGAACAAAGAGTTTCAGCAATTGGGGTTTGATTCACCAGATTGTCATGAAGTGAAGTGAATTGCAAGTTTCTGCCACTGCCGCACTCGCGACTTATCTGGGTAGGTGGCAGCTCGACAGGACAAAACGCTTCACCCTCGAGGCCACAATCATTACCAATAGAGTGTAGTGTTCCTTAAACTGCAGGCCACACATGAGGCCCCCATGCTACTAAGGCCTTCATGACAAGAGATGCTACCAAGGGCCGCTTAAACCGTGACCCGCCTGTCTCTTTCTAGCGCCTGCCGGAGGCGACTGCTTTTTTGCTTGTCACAGGCGATAACGATACTGTGGGGGCCTCAATAATGACCGATACTAGTGTCGGGGTTCCTTAATATATTGAAAGTAAAGTCCTATTCTAATTATTGAGGCCCCACTTCTGGGACATGTGCCCGGAGAGCCCAACTTTGGCGTCTTAGGAAGGGGCTAGAGTTCTTCACTCCTAGCTGAATGGAGGGGTACTGGGCTCTTCGACTTCACGGGTTTCGGCCTGGGTGCACACCCACATAGAACGCTGTGAACCCAATGAGTCCTAATTTGGAATCTGTTTTCCCGAAAGCATCGCGAAGGGTTCTTCCGTGTGGAACGCCGCAGCTGAGTACATAGATGACAGACATAGAATCAACTTACTTGACTCCATACTTTACTCTACACTCTACCCCTATGACTGACTCTCTACACTTGACACTTGACTCTATGATACTTGACTCTACACTTGATACTTGACTCTATGTTATGCTTACGACTTACTTACTTACTTACTTCAATCTACTTACTAACTTACTTGACACTTGACAACTTACTTACTTCAACCTACTTACTAACTTACTTGACACTTGACACTGGACTCTATGTTATGCTATCTCTATACTTACTTACTTACTTACTTGACTTGCTTACTTATACTTACTATACTTACTATACTTACTACTTACTGACTTACTTACTGACTCTACTTACTTACTTATGATTACTTACTTATGACTGACTCTCTATGCATCTATGACTTACTATGACTTATGACTTACTCTCTACATCTCGGTATCTTAATATTTCTTTTAAAGGCGGGGGTGGCACCGTCGGGGTCCATCGGGAATGCAACCCTTCCCAGGGATTCGCTGCCTCGGGCGTTCAAACGCTAGGTAAAGTGACACATTTTAGGCGCACCGCGCAACCCTTCCCAGGGATTCGCTGCCTCGGGCGTTCAAACGCTAGGTAAAGTGACACATTTTAGGCGCCCGGCGCAACCCTTCCCAGGGATTCGCTGCCTCGGGCGTTCAAACGCTAGGTAAAGTGACACATTTTAGGCGCACCGCGCAACCCTTCCCAGGGATTCGCTGCCTCGGGCGTTCAAACGCTAGGTAAAGTGACACATTTTAGGCGCACCGCGCAACCCTTCCCAGGGATTCGCTGCCTCGGGCGTTCAAACGCGAGGTAAAGTGACACATTTTAGGCGCACCGCGCAACCCTTCACAGGGATTGGAACTCTCGGGCGTTCAAACGCGAGGTAAAGTACACATTTTAGGCGCCCGCGCAACCCTTCACAGGGATTCGCTCCTCGGGCGTTCAAACGCGAGGTAAAGTTACACTTCTTGCGGGCGCCGCGCAACCCTTCACAGGGATTCGCCTCCTCGGGCGTTCAAACGCGAGGTAAAGTTACACTTCTTGCGGGCGCCGCGCAACCCTTCACAGGGTTTGGGTGCAGTTCAATTTTTTTTGCAACCCTTCACAGGGATTTGCATTTTGCAACCCTTCACAGGGATTGGCGTGGTCGGGTGTTCGAACGCGAGGTAAAGTTGCATTTTTTGATTTGCATTGAAATGAATTTTGCAACCCTTCACAAGGATTGGCGTGGTGGAGTGTTCGAACGCGAGGTAAAGTTGCAATTTTTGATGAGCATTGAGATGAATTTTGCAACCCTTCACAAGGATTGGCGTGGTGGAGTGTTCGAACGCGAGGTAAAGTTGCAATTTTTGATGAGCATTGAGATGAATTTTGCAACCCCTCACAGGGATTGGCGTGGTCGAGTGGTTGAACGCGAGGTAAAGTTGCAATTTTTGATGAGCATTGAGATGAATTTTGCAACCCTTCACAGGGATTGGCGTGGTGGAGTGTTCGAACGCGAGGTAAAGTTGCAATTTTTGATTTGCATTGAAATGAATTTTGCAACCCCTCACAGGGATTGGCGTGGTCGAGTGGTCGAACGCAAGGTAAAATGGACTCTATGACTCTTGATTCTGTGACTTTACGATCCTATACAGTGACTCTATCTCACTACGACTCTATGACTCTATGTCACTACAACTCTATGACTTTATGACTCATGACCCATGGACTCTATGACTCTTGACTCTGTGACTTTACGATCCTATACACTGACTCTATCTCACTACGACTCTATGACGCTATGTCACTGCAACTCTATGACTTTATGACTCATGACTCATGGACTCTATGACTCTTGATTCTGTGACTTTACGATCCTATACACTGGATCTACCACATAACCCCCACAATCTTCGCTGATGATGCTTTCGGGCCAATTGCCTTCTAGTTTTGCTTGTAGTTCGCGCCGCAAGTCCTTCAAAAGGGTGGGGCCCTTCCCGGCAGTCAGGCATGAACGTGGCCGTACTGGGCCCTTCATGTACCTGCCAGTGCCGAACATCCCTAGACCAGCCATTCAGCAATCTAAACCCGTCTACGCCTAAAACCTAAACCTGCAAGCTTCATTAGCCTAATGCCTAGACCGGTCCCGTTCTTTCGGCCCGCTCTCCCTCTGCTGAGTGGACTGAGCGATCTGAACTCCCCGTACTACGAGACTGCTGTGGCAGTCACCAGCGAGCCACGACACTTCTCTTTGCACCTCAGCGGGCCCAAGTCTTGGGTTTAGGGTACGAGGGTTGAAGGCTGGACTGAACGGTTGGCAAGACTATCCCTCACTTTCCTTCATGAAATGCAAAACCCACCCTGATCCCAACCTAAATTGTTCAGCAGGCCGGCCGCTGCAAGCCCTCGATCTTTCCTGCATCTGATCTAAGCCGATTTTTCTTAGACTCTGCGCAAATCCCTGCCTCAACCCGATGAGCACCCGACGACGGAACGATCCTAGACTCGGAGCTTGATTTGGGTTATTATCGGAGCGCAAATAAATAATTACCTATGTTATTTTGGTACTTCCTTATTAAAAGTATAGCATAAGGGGCCCCAAAACCCTATTCGCATTATTAAGGCCACTATATTAAATGTTGGTTTTTTCGCTTGATCAGCTGCTGGGTCTTTGTGAGAAAGAGGCAGCCCCAATGGACCCCCGGCCGTTAAATGATGGTAGCATCCATAATATGATTTAAGGGATACTCCTTAATTAAGGGATATAGTCTCTGGGAGCCGGAGATGCAAGAAACCCGTCATCGTGCTACTGCCTGTTTCGCTCAACAAGGCAAAGTAGGCGGGCTGCCGTGTGGAGAAGTTCTTTGTGTCTACAGGTCTATCCTAGTTGTTCTTACTCTTCTTCGTATCGCTGCTATTGTTGACGATGGCTATTACCTGTATAGCATATGAATGCTATTATCATCAGCGCTACTTGAATGTCTGAGTTAGAGTCCAAAGTGTTTTGTCGATTTGCTGCACGGTTTTTCCGGAATCCGAGGCGGAATCCTTAAGCCGCGTTTAGTGTGGGGTTTACCTGTAAGGCTTGCGATGAATTCGACAGACTCGACGGAACGGCACAAACCAGAGATTGACAGAGTGAGTCCTTTGATCCCGTGAGCCCCAAAAAATCGTAAGCCGTAAGCCGCACGCCTTAGCCGAAGCCGCATTCACGAAACCCTAAGTCCCTAAATTCCTAAACCCTAAACCCTGCAGGCTGTTGCAGGTATATTGATTTGCAGGGTTTGTAGTGCAAGCCTTGAGCCTCATGCCGGGGCCTCGAAGAAGGGGGATCTCGTCATAGTGTAGAATGCCCAACGGTTGATGATATAAAACCTGCATTACCTTGAGGACCCTAACCTATGGGAATTATGGTATATTCCTTCTTATGGCTAATGCAGGATTTATATCATCAACAGAAGCACCCCATTTGGGTCGGTTCAGGGTTCAGGGCTAGTTGTTAAGGCCTCCGTAGATGGGTAATGTTGGATGCAAGCCAAACCAGCAGCACATGCCCAATCCACGGTCATCGGAGCTCCTTGTGCCACGATGCCAGGGTAGTCCTCAAAGCAGTTCCTGCGATGACCAAGCAGTATTCTGACTTAAAGGACGTGTCCCAGAACATGTGGTAGCAACGGCAGAACCTCAGGAATTAAGGCACCCCAATATCGACGCTATCTAGTAAGATCTCCAGATTTTACGAACTGCTTACGGCGGACTCGAAGTCCCCATGAAGTTGTTTGAGCATCATGTTCCGAAGTAGCCGCCTGAAAGACTAAAGATAGTGTCAGATTCAACTAGGAACAGGGACACCAAGGAATGGCCGTGAGCCAAGAGACAAAGAGAACCCGTGGCTCCACTTGTGCACAGTGCTTTGCTAAGCAAAGCTCCCGGGCCTCACAGACAGTCTTCGCGCAGCTGCGGATTGGGTCTTCTGGGCAGAGCTGTCAGATAGCGTAATACGGTATACTATACTTTCACATGCTGCCATATACTATAGCATACTAGATGGCTGGGGATCATACAGATTGCCGAGGACTGTGGCTAGACATGCACATGCCGACGGGTCAGGTAATGTTAATGTTCTTCCAGATGTTTGAAGACCGTAAACCGTACAGAGGCTCCAAACTACCGACGTCGCAGCTCTTGAAACTCTGGACCTGCGTCCGTAAAACCGAGGCACTTCCTTGGCCATCTGTAACCTTGAAGCGTATATGCATATCTATGATTTGTATATACATATCATACATATATATATATATATATATAATATGTATGTATATATATATATATATACACATTTATGCAGACATGCATACACACATGCACACATACATACATTCACGTATATATATATATATATATATATAAGTATATGTATGTATGTATATACACACATGCATACATAGACGTGAATAGTCGTTGTATATGTTTGTATGTATTGGTTGTATGTCTGCATGTATGCGTGTATGCATGCATGTATATGTATATATGTATGCTGCATACAGTATGCATGTATGTATGTATGTACGGCGTGTATACATATGTATGTATATATACACAAAGATAGACACGCAATGCCTCGGTAACCTGAAGTTTGGGGAGCGGAGTCTCCATGAAATGTGGAGCACGCTTAGAGCTTTAAGCCTGAAGTCTAATGTAGGGGCCTAAGTATAAGTAATTACCTATTCCTTTCAAGGGCTCTATAATGCGGGTTACTATAAGGGGTCTATAAGGGTACTATAACTTGGGGGCTTAAATAATTGCCAATACTATTTTTGGGCTCCTTATAGGAATTATAGTAGAATGGCCCCCAAAACCCGCCTAGTAACTATTAAGGCCCCTATAGTACGAATCACTGCTCTGTCGGTTTCCACGAGGTTGGGATTCAAGTTTTTAGGCTTGAGCGCCAAACCCGAGATCCAAGCCCCCGAGCCGCAACTTCTGGTGACGGCTTTATTTTACTCTGGGCTTTTATATTGGTAGTTGTCCGGATGGCAGTCCCTCTGAGTTCGCAGAAGTGGCCAGGTGCAGACATGTATAGGTGTATATGTATACACATATACAGCTTTTTATACACATCGTGCTTGAGAGCGCCGCTGTAGCTTTTCTGCTTATTTTTGAAGCGATGTTCTACAGTCTACAGCATGAGTTTGCGCTGACCATTGGAGTTTTTGCATGCACGTCTGCATTTAGAATATGAGCTGAATGTTCATGCAATACAAGTCTACAGTTTGAAAGCAAAATCAAAGTACCAAAACTCGGGCCCGCGGTGAAACTGACTCTCTCTCTCTCTCTCTCCTCTCTCTCTGCTGTCTATCTCTCCCTAGCTCTCTCTCGCTCTGGCTCTCTCTCCCTGTCTCTCTCTCTCTCTCTCTCTCTCTCTCGCTCTCTTTCTCTCCCTGTCGCTGTCGCTGTCTCTCGCTCTCGCTCTCGCTCTCGCTTTCGCTCTCGCTCTCGCTCTCGCTCTCTCTCTCTCTCTCTCTCTCTCTCTCTCTCTCTCTCTGTCTCTCTCTATATATATATATGTGTATGTACACATACATGTATTCGCATCAACGTCCTGCTTTTGCAGAACTGGAGAGGTACATGACTTTGGACAACCTTCGCATTTACTGGACCGTTGATGTAGGCTGCGGAGAGCAGTCGCATCGACCGGACAGCGTGGTTGCAGACGATGGTGGGCTTTTTGAAAGCCCACCGCGAGAGCGCGTGGGAAGCTTTCCGCATCCGGATTCCTGACTCGGGGCTTCTGATGACATAATATATGGCCTAAATAATTACCGACACTGTTTTTTGGGGTTCCTTATATGATTATAGTAATTATAATGGGCCCCAAAACCCTATTTTAATTATCGGGCCCCGATATTGCGTGTATAGTTAGTAGTTAATTCTTGTCGCACGCGCTCTAAAGTTCTTGCACCGGGTCCATGAAGAGAACACGGACAGTGGGTTCAGGGTCGGGTCGAGGGTTCGCTTATGAGGGTACTCGTGTTAAGCAATGGGATTTAAGTATTTCGAGCTAGGTGTCCCTAACACAAGGGAGCTACCTCATTGAAATTGAACGCGTGCACGAAGCTCTCCATGTAGGAGCAGTGGAACTATTCCTTCTCGCACCTTTCCGGATTGCGGGAGTTTCTCACATGTTTTTCCATCGTCTTGCAAGTAGGATCGAACGACTACGTGGTCGACCAGAGGGGATCAAAAAGAGAGCTCGGGAATTTTCCGGTGCTTCTGATATGGGGTTGTCAACGACGACCCTGCAACGGTTTAGTACTGCACCCAACCCCTCACCGAACTCCTAATCATCCTGAGCCTGAAAAGGGTGTCGGAAGGCTAGCTGAGGTTTGTTAGTGGTTGGTGAGGGTTTATTGCGGCTTAGGGTTCAGCGCCTGGGTTTCTGGATCGGGGGTTTCTGCAGGGTCATGATACCGACCTAGGGTCAAGAGGAATGAATTCCTGCTGCAGTGTCGCTGTCGTTTGACGTCGTCGACTCTCGATTTCTGCACATGAATCATGACAACTGTCCGTAAGATACACTACTAGGACCTAGAGTAGGCCCTTATTTCCTTTTTTAGGGTTCAGGTTCCCTTGTAAGCCCCATTGACCCAGAAAGGGCACCCTTTTTATACCTAGGTTACTCCTGGGTCTAGACGAGGGTGTGTGCCCTGGATCAGTGGAGGAGCTTCGTTACTCTTTTGGCACGTGGTGCCCCGCAGAGTGCCCTGTTCCTAGATGTAGAATGGGACAGCCGGTGCTTGCTCCTGATTAAAATGGTGAACCTAGCGGCCTTAGCAATTACTGACAGTATTTTGGGGGTTCCTTATTATAGTTAAAGTATAATGGGCCCGGAAACTCTATTCTAACTATTAAGGCCTCTATATTACCGAATCCAATCGGCTAAGATGCTATTGACCCCAATCCCCAGCTAAAGCCGCGAAGATCCCTTCAGACTCCGGCTGATACTCTGAGAGGTTCCGTAAACCCTAGGCCCTAGACCTTGAAGCCTACAGCCTAAACCCCAAACTCAAAATCCTGTCTCTACCATCCTCCTTGGCTGACGCCCGAAGGCTCAAACCAGCTTGCCCGGAGGGCAGCTTCCATCATCCTCTCCTCCATTAGATCGTCCTACTCTTCCTTCATCATGACGTGGCTTCGGTGACTTGGCGACTCAGTTGTTGTCTTTAGGGTTTAGGGTTTAGGGTCAGCTGCTAAGGGTTCCTTGATTCATATGTTTTTTTGCAATTATGCACCCCTAGTTAAGCCCTATCCTAATAATTATTAAATAACTATTATATAAGTCCTCCGTGCTCGTTCAGGCACTCTTTCGTAACGATTGTTGGTGTTTCGGGGCATGTGCTTTCTCGAGAGTCCGGTGCTGCATCTGAAGAACCTTTCTCTTTCCTGCCGTGTTCATGGAAGGGGTTATGATGAAATATAGGGGCATCAATAGTTACCAATACTATTTTATTATGACTAAAGTATAACAGAGTATATTGGTATGTGACGTCGTTCTTCCATAGGGTTTTCTGTTAAAAGAGTTCTCATAAGAGGTCTGTTTAAAAGGATTTTCAAACATTACAAACTACAAGGGTTACTGTACCGGCTCGGTCCTGCTCTCTTCTTTGCCTGAAGTCTGATCTCGGCTGCCGTGCCATCGCGCGATACACCAAGCTCAAGACCCTAAGCCCCAATTTCTATATTACCATAAATCCGAACACCAAGAGAAAGAGTACAGGCTATTGCTTCAAGCTGCGCTGTGCGCTGGGGCAGTGGCAGGCACAGCTTCGAGAGCACACACGTCAAACTCCTGCAGTTTGGCGAGGGTGTTTGTTTACCGTTCAGGACGATGCACGTGTACATGGACCCCACAGCTACCCTCTTGTACTTCCGAGATGCCTAATTGCTGTTATCAGGGCTATGAGAGCCGTAAGGGTGCTGTCAGGAGCACCTTTGCGGGTCCTGGTAGGGTTTGGCGTTTTTCAAGCAATTTGGGGCTTTTGCCTCGCCTTCGTCTGATTTGGATAATCGGATTAGGGTTGGGGGGTAAACTTTCGTTTACTCATACAGGAACCACATAATTAGGGATATTTACTATACATACAAATGGTTCACGCCTCTCTAGTTAGTTGTGTTCCCTTTCCGGCATCCCGGTCTCATAGTAGCTCAACTGCAGAAGGAGCTACGGCAGTTTTAGAAAGACTTCGCAGCTGGAGTTGTGACCCATGATTACATTGGCCTTCGGGAGGGTTTTAAGCTTTTCAGTGCCGGCTCTGGGACCTCATCTGAGCTTCCTGCAGCCCTAAAAGAGGGTCTTTGGGGTCTTCCTGCTCGGGGCTCCCAGCTTTTTTTCGGTTCGGGATCGGGTCCCCGGATTCCCTAAGTCCTGGCTTCTGTCCATCCCTTGAGCCCCAATTTGGTTTTGGTCCATGCCTGCCCAGCACCCGCCCTGCCCCGAGGCAGAGAAAAAGGCAGGTGACAATCGTTTAGGGTTTAGGGTGTAGGACGAAGCACTCGATTAAGCTCCGTGACGGACGACCGCAACGGCCGTGCGCATTTAGTCCTGAAGCTCTATACCCCAAACCCCTGAAACCCTAAAACCCTAAACCCTAAGCCTTATCACCCCTAAAACCCCTAAAGCCACTAAAGCCCCTAAAACCCCCCGCAACCGCCGGCCGCCCGCAAGGACCCAGCTCCCTGAAGCGCCGATTGCAGGCTCGGAGCTCCGAGCGATGAGGGGCCCCAAAGCAAAAAAACACTTCACGGTTACTATGTCAATATGTGTGTGTGTGTGTGTATAAATACATATATATATATATATATACAAAACACACACATATATATATATATACACACACTTGATATCAGGTTACGAGAAGGATTCAAGAAGGGTTCCAATCGGTTCAAGGACACTTAGGCCGTCAAGATAGAGAGGCTGAAGGTAACTGCCTGCTGAGAGACCTTGAGAACCCGACTCCCTAGTCTGGAATACCGATGTTTGTGGGTGTTTTTTGGTTCGACTTGGGGGTTGTCAGGGTTTCAGGGTTCACCAGGATTTTTTTTTTGTTTTAGCGTTTTGGGTGCGTCATCGTGCAGACGATTTAGGACTTGGGGCCTCGCGTCGTCGGTTTTGGGCCACGAGATCTCAAAGCTATCCGGGTGGTTGTCAAAATTATGGTCCCTTTTTGGGTCCCTATTCTGATAAGGCACCTATTATTTAGGGTACCCGAAAAGGGACCTTAACTTTGACAACTACCCATCCATGGCATACTGAGCCCATGAAGTCCTCGTCGTGTCGGCATGTCTGCTTACGTCGAGACCTGGGTTTTGAAGGATGACCCCCGTGGACCCGCTGTGGCCCAATCTTTTCAGAACATACATGTGCAAAAATCGGCACGCTTAAAAATCCGAACCATACAAGCAATCGCAGCAACTTCTACCCAAAGGCGCCCCTCACATCTATCCTCCTGGGTGACCCAGAAAAGCCGGGAACCCTTTGTTTTATGGACACCAGAGGACATGATCCTGAATGTAGGGATCCTCCTCCCCCACCCAAAGGCCCCAGAAAAACCAAGGAAGCAAGGCGACCCTAAACCCGAAACCCTGAGATTCTTATATAGGGGCCTCAATAATTACCAATACTATTGTGGGAGTTCCTTATTATAATTATAGTATAATGGGCCCCAAAACCCTAGTCTACGTATTAAGGCACCTATACTACGCCCCAAACCTGAAAGCCCTGTGAACTGCCTTGGATGCAGGCAACGACCACGTACGACTTCGCAACAGGCTCCGGCAGCCCCAAATGAGGGGTACCTTATTCTGGGATCCTTATGATAAGGATCCTACTATTTAGGGTATTGTATTAGGGTCCTCTCCTATTTCTCCAGTGGCATGAAACGATCTTGCGCGCTGATGGCTGCAAGCATGCGCAAGTTCTCGGAAAACTAGGTTAGCTTAATTGATGTCCTTGAGTAAGTGCGTCGCAAGTTTCGATCTCTAGTGACTCTAGTAGTTAGATTGTGAGCTCTAATTATTCGGAAGGACCAGATTTGTGATTGTTGAGGCTCATCACATTTTTGCAAGTCGGTCGGTATGGCTATGATGGGGGTGCCTTCCATACGACTTGGAGGTTCGTGAGTGCAATCTGATGAGCGCTGATGCCTATCATTAACATTTTAAGTATTTGCTATGATTATGGCCAAGGTTGTCATGATTACTGTTATTGTTCGTATCACTATCACTGTTATTAGTGTTTTTTTCATACTTCTGGGGTTCCTCTCTCCCAGTGTTGTGGGGATGCCGTAGACGTCTTTCCAAGCTTGGAGCACCAAAAAAACAAGCCTGCTCTGAACTTTCCTCTTATGGTCGGCAGTGATAACCCTTACATAGCCCTAAAGCCTAAACCCGAAAAGCCATGCACTCTAAAGCCCCGAACCTAGAGCCCGAGACCAGTCAAGCCCCAAGATCCACTTTTTCACCAAAAGGGCGCGCAAACCCCGCAATCCGAAATCGCGGACATCCCCGCGAGGGCCTGGAGGTTTTTTCAGCCCTAGGACCATTCTATTAAAGAGCCCCAGGGCGCAGAACCTGCCCCCGGTTTAGGGTTTAGGGTTTAGGGTTGAGGGTTTAGGGTTTAGGGGTTAGGGGTTAGGGTTTGGGGTTTAGGGGTTTAGGGGTTTAGGGGTTTAGGGTGTAGGGGTTTAGGGTTTTTTGGGTTTAGAGCAAGGCCCCAAAACCCGCTAAAGGGCCTGAAACCCATGGCAGGCTACTCTGGCTATTCTGGCTACTCCGGCACCGTCACGGGATCGCCCGGTCCGTGCCCAAGCACACCAGCAGTCAGCCAGCCTCGCCTGGGCTCTGGAGTACCATACGGTTGATGATATAAATCCTGCATTACCTTAAGGAGCCTAAACTATGGGAATTATGGTATATTCCTTATTATGGGTCATGCAGGATTTATATCGTCAAGCGTACTTCACTGTCTTTTCTGCCTTGTTCCTCAAAAATTATGGAGCAAAAACTTTACTTTCGGAGACACGATGGGTAGGAATCTCGTGTTGTTTGGCTTTCCCGAGCAAGTTAGCGAGTAGTTGCCGTCACTATCCTCTTACAGTCCGCATACCATCATACTCTGTCCAACATACCTCAAACCCTGTTCCAGTTATCGGGGCTCCCATGTAGCACCAGAGGCACAGGCGTGAAGTCATAGAAATGCTAAGTCTAGTTTAATCGAGGGAGGGCAGTAATGAATAAGGTGAGGGGTTACGGGATATTGCAGTTCCTGCTGTGATTCTTCTTGCTGCGGTCTAATCAGCAGCGTCCTTCAACGCTCGAGGGCTGTGCAAACAACACATGACGCCATGTGGGCTTCCACCTTGCAGCCCTGTCCTCGCTCTAGAGTTCTCAAGCTCGCCACTCCGATGCTAGACTCTAGCCCCTGGATTCTATCCTATACCCGGCACCTAGAAGCCCGAAGAACCAATCTCATTTTTCCAGGGTTTCCATCAGCAAAGGCTGGCATTGATACACCCTGCAAAGAACCCTACGTATATGAAGGCTCGAGCGATTGCATGTCGATGTAGTCCTTCCCCTCTTGGATTTGTTTGTTGTGCCCGTTGCACCGGTTTTTGGAACCTCCTTTTGGTTGGCGAGCATCACTATTAGCACTACTAAGTGCTATTGCAGCGAAAAAGGTTCGGCGCTCTTGCAACAGCCAAGTATCTCAGTACAGAGTCAAGCAGAAGACGACTCTTCCCTAACATGACCCGGTTCTAGTTATTTTGGGGGTTGATGTTAAGTGCCCATTCATCCTCTGAGTCGTTATATGGGAGTTTCCGAAAATAGGAGACCTGATGTAGTACCCTAAATAGTAGGATCCTTATTATAAGGACCCCAAAGTAAGGGACCCCTGATTTTCGGAAACTCCATATGGCTCAGGGCCCTCAGACGCAACACCCCCCGGTCGCTCCGAAGCATTCGTATATGTTCGTATCCCGACTTTGGGGTACTTAGAGCAAATTCTTAATTTTTGGTCATTATTATCCCTAAGAAACAGCTGAAATTATGAAATTTGCTAGGGTTCTAAGTTCAGTATGGCCGAGGCTACGGCGGCTACAGCGGAGACTGGGTCTACTGCGAGGAGATGCTTGGGCCCGAGGCTTTAGGGACTCTTGGGCTCAGGGACCCCAAAACCGACGCCCAACTTAGGGGTTTAGGGTTTAGGGCTTTTAGGGTTTAGGGGTTTAGGGGTTTGGGGTTTAGGGGTTTAGGGGTTTAGGGGTTTAAGGGTTTAGGGGTTTAGGGTTTAGGGTGCGCAAATCCAAGGGTTCTTAAGTGAAGCCACTACAAAAGCGGCCCAGCCGTTCAGGCTGCGCGAGTTTGGTTGAGAGTCTTGCGGCTGGTTACTTGGAGGATCATGGGACTTAGTAACTAGGGTTATAAGTAAGGTGACTATACTCATAACTACTTATATCCCGAATTAAGGTACTTATAACCTTACTTACTAAGTCCCATGATCCTCCAAGTAGGAGCTCAGGGTTGTTGGTAGAGTCATGGCTCCGATCTGTTCAGAGACGATTAGTCTCCTTCACCAACGGCAACTTGGAATCGAATTATTGAAGAACCTAAGCCCCCACTCCCAAAGACCCCAAGAAACTTCAGCCGCAAACCCGATGGCTGGAGCGTTTCGCTGTTCAGAAGTTGAAAAAATTGCTTCCGAGTCAACCATCAACTTCAAATCCTTTTTCAGAAAAAAGCCTCACCCGCAAATAAGAGAAGCAGAATGCAGCCGCAGAGTTTGACAGGACGACCTATATTTAGGGGCATGTGGCGTTTTTGGTGCCCAGGTACTGCTACACGAACGCCTACACCGATGCAGGCAAGCAGGGGTAGCTGGATTAGAGCTGCAGGGCCCTACGGTTTGGGGGTTGACTGTTCGGGGGTAACATGTGGTAGTTTCCGAAAATTACGGGTACCTTATTCTGGGTCCTTATAAGAAGAATCCCACTATTTAGGGTATTATATTAGGGTCCCCCATTTTCGGAAACTCCCATGTGTTGACTTTGTAGATGTCACAAGCTACAGGACATCGTTGTGTTGACTGTTTGGGGTACTAGGTCGTGGGTTGGTTCCTGCCTAATACTAATGTTTCGGTCAAGTTTTTTGTGTCTAGTGTCACGGCTTGTTGCTGAATGTAGGTTTACTACGACTACGTCCAGGGCTTAGTGGTGTTGGGTTACGTTGACTAAGGTTCTGCGTGTTTCTGGTTCAGCGATTAATACTCACTACGCTCAGGAAATGGCAGCCCAGACGTTGCGCGTGTGTATCTTGTGTCTAAGATTTTTCCTTCCAAGGTGGGGGAGAACCGTAGTTCTATTCTCTTATCTTCCTCGAAAGCAATAATCAATCTACCCCCCCAAATCCCATGCTAATTCTGCAAGGCGTGAGTCTGAGATTGTATGCTTCACAGTTGGTTTACGGTATGGGGGGCCATACTTGCCTTCACTGTCGTTTCTGTGCGCACAGCAGGCATATCATCGGTCGTGAGGCTTCTGGCGATTCTGCTGCTTGTGGCAGGTGGTTTTTTAATCAGCGATCTGCATCTAAACCCTCACCCCTAAATCCTAAACCCTCAACCCTAACTGACGGAGGTGAGATCGACTGGGATGCGACAAACATGAATGAGCCCACGTGCTCCACCTACGAAGAAGGCCCCGGCTTTGGCTCCTTTCTCTTTCGGTTTCGGTTTCGGGCTTCAGGGGTTCTGGATTGAGCATGACAAGTTCAAGGTGCAAGTTGGGGGTTGGCAGCTTGTCGCGGCAGCGTGTTGCAGAAAATCTGGTCGTGCGAGGCTTAGGTAAAGTACTCCCTGAACTTGTGCAGACGAGTCTGTTTGGGGCTGGTTCTCTAAATTAGGGTCCGTGTAATGAAGTTGGATGTGTTAACCTCGTATAGCAATGAGGAGTGCCACGAGGCGTCCTAATCGATTGGTCACTCTCATATGTCACTCTTATTGCAATGGAACATGTAGAGGGCCAGAATTCGTAAAACCCCCACATGCAGAGCCCTGTTTCTACTCAACTTCACGTCTGTGAGGTCTGCTTACCCTTCAGATAGGCACGGCAATCGGATGTTCCATCCTCCGTTACTCTGACTCTAATAATCCTTGAGTCCAAGCCGTAAACTTGCCATCAAAAGTATTGAACATTGCTGGTTTTGTAGGGTTAAAAACATAGAACTACAACATACCCCAAACCCGAAAGGCCTGTTCAGATTATATAAGGCCTGCCTTCAATCATCCGCCAGGAAGCCGACACTTTGTCACCATCAGCACGGTTCCAAGCTCTAAATTAGACTTTCGGAAAACAATTCAGGGCCTCTTACACTCTGAAACCCCCAAACCCTAAGCTCTTGAAGCCCTAAACCCGATCCCCCCCAAAACGCACCCCGAAGTCTCTTTCAGGTTTTCCGTTGCTGACGTAGGTGAGCCAGTTTCCAGGTTGCAAATGCAACGAGCAGTGGGAGGAGGAGTGTGACAGTGGGGGACCCAGACACGGTTTTAGGGTTTAGTTTCGTGTTTAGGGTTTAAGTGATCCAGGGCCCGTAGCCCATTGCAACAGACCGGAGTTCCTGAAAGTTGGACGGCACTTCAAGGGTTCAGGAAAAGCTCCAACAAGGTACCCCAAACCCTAAATCCTAAGCCCCAGACCCTGAGCCCCAAACCTTAAACCCCAAACCGTAAACCCTAATCCTTAACCCCCCCCAAACCCTAAACCCTGAAGGGTTCAGGAACCCCAAACCCTAAAACCTAAACTCCTAAACCCGTACTCCGGGGCCCAAACCTTAAACCAAGAGCTCCGATGCTTCGAAACCAGAAGCGGAGCCCGAGGTCATCGTGGCAGCCTTGAAAGTTAATGTATTTTTATACTATCTCAGATTAGGTCGTATGACATGAAGCTAACTATGGCAGATCATGTCAGATTTTCGTGTTAATTGTATCATGTCACATTCCGTGCTACGAAACTAAATGTACATGAAATTGAAGCTGAATAGTGAATAGTGTGAGGGAGGCTGTTGGGGAGTCGGTGTTGTGCTTTCGCAGGATTTGGGATCAGGGTCTCGAGTAGATGCATCTTAGAACCCATGTAGAATCCATGAAGGTTTTAGCGTTTAGGACTAGGAATTTACAGATCCCAGATGTTGTATGGACTACTGTTCCAACCGAAACCCGGATCAAGGAACGATGTTACAAGTTTCTGATACTGAGGCTCTTCTATGTAGTCTGCCGAGCTGCTGTACTCTGGAAGGGGAGAAGGGTCGCGATGTTGTCTCTGTGATCTTTACCCAAGGGTACTCAAACCAATACTGGGCGCTCATTATCGGAGGCTGGAGCGGCACTGTAATTCAGGATAGACCCTGCATGGCCGGCTTTGCCGGCAACTCTTGAAAGTAGGTGCTCTGCTTGGTGTTAAGTCAAGTGGTCGTAATTATGCCCCTAAACCCTAAACTGCTAATCCCTCAACCCCTAGACCCTAAACACCCTTGGACATATCGAAAGGCCATGCCTGGGAAGCATAAGCAACCACTCTTCGACTCGTTTTTTAAAACGAAAGAAGGCTTCGGGGCAAAGGTGTAGATATCTCGCCTAAATCCGACATCTTCAAACTCAATTCCTTAGAAGCTTGGCCCTTCAGTTGCCAGGTTGGGGCTACAAGTATTGCGAGCAGAAGAGCATCGGATGCTCGCTCCTCAGGGAGAGTTCTCTCAGAGGCCCACTGATCTGATCTGAGTGTAGCCTGGCACGAGCCTAGAAGGGCCGTGACTTGCTGGGACCCCCAAGTTTCAGAGCCCTTGCCGTGTCAGCTGCGAGGGAGCCAGGAATCGGAGCAGTTGAATGGAGATTTCTCGATTCAGAGCTTGGGGTAAAATCACCTGTGATTGAGGGTTCCGCCCAGGGTGAAGGTGTGCAGCCCTGCAGACAGGGCTTTGACCGCGTGTCACGTCCGAACCTGCTCAAGACCTGGTAAGAGTTCTTCTACTAGTTTGGGGCTCCATCCAAGGCTCTGCAACTTTCAAATCTGCATTGGTTGTCTGTCGCATGCTCTTCCCTGAGGCTTCGATCCTTTCGACGTCACTTGCATGGACAACGAAGTGAAGTGCCAGGCACTTCTGGGAAGTCAGCGGGAATCTACTGCAGGTAGAACACTCGACGAACAACAGCGCCACAAGCCTTCAACGCTCCGGGCCAAGAGCCCCGCACTACTAGTAACCAGTACCATTTGTGCCATAGGTGCTACTTCTACCCTGAGGGCATCCCTGAAGACGACCCTTCGAATACTGCATGGCCAAGCGGATAGCAGCGGCAGCGTCGACCATAGCGATGAGAGCATCTGCGGTGAAGACCAATGATAGTACCAGTCGTAGCAGGACTCGCCGTCGTCCTTTGCGTCGTCCTGATCGTCATCATCGTAGCTATCCTTCGTCATCATCACGGCACCCGTACGGCAAGCTGGTAACAGCAGCGGCCATTGTAGTTTTGTTTTTTTCCCATCATCGTCGATCACCTGAAGATCCGACACGCGCCAGGAACTCAAAATGACGGACACAAGCGATGTTAGATCACTTAAATCCCGACAACGTAAATTCCGCACTTGGTGCGTTTGCATCACCTGTTCGGTGTGGTGCTTCGTCCGAAAGCTTCTGAACCCCCCCAAATCCGCTAGCCATAAACCCCAAGCTCAAATGCCTAAAGTGCAGGCTTTTGAGCAGCCTTCCCCGCCCATGCTCCCCTGAGCTCTTGCGTCCAGGGCTTGCATGGTTCTTAGTCGTCTCTCCCGTACACTGCCTGGATAAGTATAGTACACACAATCAGCATTTCTTGTTCCTGTTCGACGAAGAAGCCGAAACTCTTCACCTGCGGCTTAGGGTTTGGGGTTTGATTCGGGTTCAGGGTTTAGGGTGTAGGGGTTCATAAATGCAAACTCTTAAGTCCGCGCAGGACGACTTCTCCAGCTACTGCTGGGATCCCTCCTGGGGCGCTTGCCCGCTCTACTGCAACAGCTTCTCGGTGCGAAATGTCCTGAACCCCAAACCCGAGAGTTCGAATCTAAAGCACCCACCCGGTCCCTTTAGTTACAGCTCGAAGTTTACGGATTCGGGATTCAGTTCCTGGGGTTGAGGAGATTGAGCCCCGTAGTTCCTGCTTAAGGCACTAGTGTGCTCGAAGAGGGGATGAGGATTCGCGAGACTTGACGTTGGCAGAGGCTCAGCTTAGAACTGGTTGAAGTGTAGGAGGCGTGTGGCTGAAGCGACCGAGGACGCCGTGGTAACACAAGCAGTGCTAATTTCGCAGGTCACAACAAGCGGTAGTACCTCGAGACTGTCGGACATGGATCGGCGTAAGTCAAACGGCAGACAGAAACACGAGACGCCTAAACCGGCCCCGCCCCTGCTGCACGTGGGGGTTGTTGTATAGAGAGACAGAGAGACGGAGAGAGAGAGAGAGAGAGAGAGAGAGAGCATGCCGCCCGAAAGGAATCCTCAATGTTAGCACTATCGCAGGAAACAGGGGGGACTCTATGCACAAGTAAAGCAAGCGTCCTACGACAGTTGATGTCGTCGGGGAAGCTCCCATGAAAGAAAGCCCGTAAAGTATGTAGCCCAGGGAAGCATCATCGCAGTCTCACTCTCCTTCTAAGCCCCATAACAGTGGGGGGCCCTGGCAGCGGCAGGGGTGTCTAAGACACACGCGCCTCATTCCCTGATGAAGAGAAGGTGAGAGAGAGAGAGAGAGAGAGAGAGAGAGAGAGAGAGAGAGAGAGAGAGAGAGTGATCGAGAGGTAGATAGATCGATAGATAGCTGGATAGATAGCTAGACAGCTAGACAGATGGACAAAGAGACAGATATACAGATGGAGAGATGGATAGATAGGTTTATAGGTATATATAGAGAGAAAACATAGATCGAGAGATAGATCGTCAAACAGATAGCTAGACATGGAGAGATAGATAGTTGACAGAGAGAGAGAGAGGGAGATAGATAGATAGACAGCTAGACAGATAGAGAAAGAGGCAGGTGGACAGATAGTAGACAGCCAGACAGATAACAGATAGATAGGCAGGCAGACAGACAGACAGACAGAGAGATGGAGGGATAGAGAGAGAGAGAGAGAGAGAGAGAGAGAGAACCACAGGGCGAGATAGATAGCTAGGTGGATAGACAGATAAAACAGTGTGGAGTAGAATAGAACAGATAGACAGACAGACCGTTGGATCGATAGACAGTTATAGGTAGTACTCCTACAAGCCGCAGTCTCAGTTGTCAGCCGTAGGTCCTGTATCGTTTCCTTCCTTGCGTTTGCTCGTGGCTTCTGTTCTCGAGGAGAACCCTAAGATTCATAGCAACGGCATACCCTAAAGATCAATAAACGGTCGAGGCACGGAGACGTACTGCTACTCCTACGGCTACGATGCGTGGCTTGGACTTCTCTTTGCAGGGTTCAGGTTGTCAGCTCTTACCTACGCGCTTTCTCAGTCAGTCAGTGTACGTGTGTGTGTGTGTGTGTGTGTGTGTGTGTGTGTGTGGCATGGGCTTCTCAGCCAGAAGGTGTGGAACCTCATACAACCCCAAATGCCATTACCACGTATGATCGTAAGCTTCCTCCAGACTTGCGACTACCATGGCTCCGCAGCGCCCTCCCCAAGATTGTTTTCCACACCTGTGGTGCGCTGTAAGCTTTCCGTGCAGCCTCCGAGCTCTCTTGTGATTGCAGTAGCGGGCTTATAGGGTTCACGCTCACGGTTGAGATGTGTAGGATATAGTTTTGTTACTCCGTTCGGCTGGTGCAGAGTTGCACTTGTTGTTTCTGTCGGCATTGGCGTGGAAAGGGAAGATGCAGGCGGCCGTATCTCATGAAGTTGCGATCCTGACCCTCGACCCTGAACCCCTGCGTACTGGCATGCCCTTATCATAGTGCACTTGCACTACAAATGGAACCAACATCCTGTTCAAGTTATGAGAAGCATCAGGTTTCCCCCCAACATCCACCTGACAAGCTGCCTCAGAAGCGTCCCAAGCTCCAGGGTCCTTCAATCGGAGTGCCATTTCTTGGCCCTCATTAATAGCCCCCTAAACAGCTCTAACAACACTAAACCCTAAATCCCTAAACCCTTAAACTTTAAACCCCCCCGAAAACCCTAAACCCTAAGCCCCTTAATCCTAAACTCCTAAAGCCTAAACCCTTAAAACTCCCCAGTCCCAAGAGCTCCCTTTCTGGAGGTCGGGCATGATGAACTACTCGGCATCTGGTCTCATAGCAGAGTCCCAGTCTTCTGGGCGTGCCCTAGAGTTTAGCAGGATCTTTCGTACCATACTTTAATACTTTGTTTCTGAAAGGAACCTTTATGAAACGCAAGTTTGTACTTTTGTCTCCCTGGTTACTTAAAAGGCCAGGTTTAGAGGGTTTAAGAAGGCCTGTGGTGTAGGGTTCAGGGTCTATGTCCAGCCGGGCTTGCAGGGATCAGTGTTGCAGTCATGGTTTCAGGGCAGTTCTCGCTGAGGGACAATGTGTCCAAACTTTCGCAAGTCTTCATGTCTCGTCGGAAGCTCCTGTCGGCTGGCTTCGCTCCGACGCTAGTGTCCATTGCTGCCGCAAGCCTCCGGTTTAAGTGTGGGAGCTTTGAGGACTACCGTGAATACTGCGCGGCCGCGGACACGGGCTGCACCTGCAACGCGAAGTCGGAGCCTTATTCTGAGCGCTTGCCGACAGCCCCAGGAGACGAAGTACTGTAGACCGGAGAGACCTTTACAGTTGGAACTGGCGCCAGAAAGCCATAATCATTCATGAAGGATAGCTGACAGCAAAGTATGACCTTCAAGATTGGATCGTGAAGCGAAGCAGATTGCATTCTCCGATCGCTTTTCAAGCAGGATTTCAGGAGCTTTCGAAGCTTGAACGCAGATGTCTACTCCGTGGACACTTAACTTTGCGACCCCATAGTGTAACCACATCGTTTGGAGTCTGCATTGAAGAAGGAAGGCTACCATTCGAAAGGAAGGCTACTATGCGAGAAATGACGGCGAAGCATTCAAAGAAAACAGCCCCGCTATCGTTTTGATTCAAGGGCTTAGCTCGACAATCGTGATCACCAAGAATCTGCTACCTCTTCCCAATCTCAGGTGGGAGCACAAGTGCACAGATCAGTGGGGCATGCCCTGCCTGCTTTTGGTAGCCAAGCGAAGGACTTATGAAGATTTCGTGGTGCTTCACGGTGTTCGGAACCCACAATACCAGCTACGCCTAAGTTCTGGCCCGACCTTCGTGACCTCGATTCGTGCCGAGTTACCAAGATATCGCACGAACCTTCTACCTGGTTGGTGCTTCGCTCCAGGTTGTTTGTGAACCTTGCAGTCTTGGCTACCCAATTCCCGAAACTCTGAACCCCTAATCACTAATCCCTAAGCCCTTCTGCTATGTTGCCAATGAGGCTTCAATCCCCTACAGCCCCCACATAAACAAATGTGGTTGTTGTATAAAGTCCCCCCCAAGCCTAGAAATATTCAGACCACTGTACGAGAGTCAAAGCACCACGAAATGTTGGACTCTAGTTTCCCAAAACCCTACTCTAATTGACCATGGCTTCAGCGTCAAAGGGAGAGCAAACCTAAACCTGCACCACTACACATGGGAGTTTCCGAAAGTCAGGGGTACCTATAGTAAGGATCCTATCATTTCAGGTACTATTTTAGGGTCCCCGAAACGCCCACGTCGAAGCCTTAAAAAAGCCCCTCAATGCCAGGCTACAGCTGGTGTCAGGAGAAGACGCAGGCGTGCCCCATCACCTGCGGCACGGATGAGCAGGCGCTCTTCTTGCCTATGGTTAGTAGGGAATGGAAGAATCGTAGTAATCGTAGTTATAATTGTCCCCCATTCCTCCATTCCCTACTGCCACAGGTAAGTCTTGGGCTTGGGGTTAAGAGCTGGGGCTCTTGGGCTCGGGGTTACCCATAGGCCCCAAAGTAGTGCCTTTTTGGGATTACCTTATAAGATTCCAAATATGATCCCCAGCAAAAAACTACTTTGGGGGTTGGGGTCAAGAGCTGGGGAGTGGGAGGTTTGGGGCTCGGAAGGGATTCGATTTCTGCGCCGAGCGGAGTTTTGCAGGGTTAGCTTCTTTGAGGTTTTAGTAGGTTCTTCTTCTCAGGGTTTATCGTTTGATGCGGGTTTGGGGGTGTGGTGAGCCTGCCGCCAACAATTTTAAAGCCAACACCTCAAATCCTACACCCTACGCTAGTGACAGTGAAGGTGGCTCGGAGGGCTTTCAAGAGCTCCTATAGAGACTGCCTGGCGAGGATTGCTGGATGACGCCCTATGCGAACGACGGCGGGACGCCAAAGTCAAGCATTCAGAATTTTCATGTCCTGAACCCTTGAACGCCTAGACCCCATAGCCCGACAACCTCAATCGCGCAAGCCGTCCTAACAAAAACAAACCCTAAACCCCGACTAAACCCTATAGCCTACAAATATACAAATAGGCGAGTAATTAGATAAGCAAGCAGCAAACAGGTCTCGTGGTTGCATGCTTCGTTTAGGAACCTCTGTGCCGGGATTCGGTTTCGCCTTTTGGATTTCGGATTACTGGGCTTGGGCTTTATGCCTTTGTGTATAGTTTTCTTTTCGGCTCCTGTGGCGAAGGCCTCAAATTCTAAATGGGACACAGAGTTTTCAGCCCAAGTGATCCTGTCTGGCAGGTGTCCACCATCCCAAACCTAGAGCTAAACCCACAGCTGCAAGGCGAAATGCTCGGTCCCGAAGGAATCCTCAAACGAGTTTGGGGCTTAGGGCGAATTCAGTTCCTGTTTCTAGACCAAGCCAAGCAGTTTAGGGCGGATATCTTAATCTTCAAAGCTCCTTTCGGCAGCGGGAGTGGGTGGGCAACACACCCACAGGCCAGACAGGGGTCTCCCCTGGAGATTTCTGGGTCGGGTTTGAGCTTAGGGTAGGGTCTAGTTACCCATAGGCCCCAAAGTAGTTCCTTTTTGGGATTACCTTATAGGATTCTATAGGTGAAGCCGAGGGCTTTATTTAGCCTTCTGATTAAGGACTATTCCTTATTTCCTATTTGGGTTCCTATTATGATTCAAGGAATATTCCAGACTGAAGGAGTTTTTGGAGTCGCTGGGTTCATTGGATCTCCGTTTTTCGTTTTAAGAATCACGTCGGAGATCGGGGTCTCATGGGTTCGTATGGTTTCGTCACTTCACTACTCGTGCCACCGAAATCATGTCTGTGCATGTAGCCCCCTTCGAAACCCCTGTAGATTTCTCCAAAACCTATGAAGCCTTCCTCGAGCCGTTTTGCCAGTTCGAATCGTCCAAAACATAGCCGTAAGATTCTGTGAAGCCTCCCGTTCATTGAGTGAAACTGCGCGGAGGCTATCCAGATTGGAATGCAAGCTACAACCAGACTTGCCACCCCATCGACCAGCGCGGGACCTGGAATTGCGGCGGTTTCTGTATCCGAGACCCAAAACCCTGAACCTCTCACACTTCCTAAGCACACTTCCGGAATCTTCAAAACCTCGCAACGCCATTTCGGTGTCACCTGAGCTTCAAGTTGGGCATGCAGTCTTGCATTTGGGCGAAAAGCTCCACCGAGGCCTTCAGGACGGCATTTGACGGACGTAGGGTGATCACTTGCTGGCACCTTGCTGGTTTGGGGGCCGAAAGCCCTAAACACAATTTTTAGATCTCAGCAGAGTTCAGCATGTGAGACTGTAACACTTTGAATGAATAGCTCACTAGCAGCGCATAACCGTGAACCCGTGAAGCACGGCTCTGATATACTACTGCTCTGCCCTCACCCCCCAAACCAGAGGTCTCTGCCTTTAGACCCCGAAGCATCGCTCCATGCCCAAAGCCCGGAATCCCTGAATACACGATAATATAGGGGCCTAAATAATTACCTATACTATCCTTAATATAACTATAGTATAATCGGCACCGAAACCCTGTTCTAATTATTAAGGCCCCTACATTAGATCCGTGGAGCTGTGTGATGTAAGCCCCGGAGAGCGGCCCCAGGGCGTGCCCCTGCCACCCCGTGCACGAGGAGACCTGCCAGATGCCCAGCGAATTTGAGGATTTCTTCTTCCGTAGTGGGTGCAGGGCTCCAGGTGAGTGCACCCTTTTCTTTCGGAGTGCTGCGATGTCTCGTTGTACTCTAGGGTTGCTATGATTTTATAGTAGCGTAGCTCAGAGTAGAGCATAGCAAGTGTTGGGGTACCCCATTGGTATCAAAGTCTGCTGCAGGAACTGCCCGACCATCATCTCGAACCATTCCCACCTTGGCGCACCATCGTTCGAGAGTCTCCAAAAGGATTCTGTTGGGTCCAGGGCTGAGTGTTTAAGGGTTTGGGGTTTCTGGTTGGTTGAAGGTCAATGGAAAGTGATAACTCGGATGATTTGATATTGATGGTGGAGGCACCAAGAGATCTTTGTCATAGTTGGGTAACATTTCATATTTTAATGGGTACTTAAACCCAATAAGGAATAAAAATGTACTTTTACTCCTATCCGAACAGTGAATTAGAGATGCGGTCTGGCCCAGGCAGCGACAACTGGGGTACCTGGTGTCAAGCGAAGGTTTATGGCTCGTGCCCAGTGTGCCTTGGCAGACACGTGAGAAAGTATAGTGACATAATATCTTACATAGTAACATCAGAATGACAATAAACAATGCAACAATAATAGTAGTACCGAACATAATAACATCATAATAATAATAATACAGAAAATACAATACTAAAACGAATATGAAGCAAAATCAGAATGCATGATATAATACAGGGTCTACGGTTAGAACTTTCCGGGGCTTGTCACTGCGTTACGATATTCTGCAGTGTGTTTGGAAGGTGTCTTGGGCTTCCCAGCACCCGGCTGTCGCGAAACCTCTGACGGACGCGGTAGGCATGGCTTTCCGGGGTAGAGTGCATACTACTTACTAGTTTCTTCCGCTGCTACTATATATTCACAAGGCCCAAGCAACTGCCGTTCCTATGGTTTTGACAGTGTTGTCAATACCACATACAGAGAATCGTGCTGACAACCTCAAGCTTCGTCTCCGTCACTTCGGCACCATCATGAACAAGAACAAGTCATCTTCAGACAACCCTAAATCCCAAACCCCAAACCCTAAACCCTAAGCCCTAGGCAGCCGGAGGCCATATCCTGGAATCCGCGGCAGCATCGCCCCAAAGCCCTAGGTCTGACGAAGCTCCAAAAGGTCGAGACGTCTTATAAAGGCTTTCAGGGGTTACTGTAAGGGTTACCATAGGGTTACATTAAGGGTTACCATAAGGGTTACTATAAGGGTTACTATATGGGTTACCATAAGGGTTGCTATAAGGGTCACTATAAGGGCTACTATAAGGGTTAGTTACTATAAGGGGCTTTAGTACAGGTGCTTTAACAATTAGTAGTCAGTTTCATAAACATAGGGCGTGTTGTAGTAGTGCTCCGGAAACACCGAAAGCATGACGCTCTGCTACGAGGTCTTGCGCTGCCGACGAGTTTCCTGGATGCTTTGGTGTGCTTGTCGTCATTGGGTTTGGGTTTGGAGTTGCGGGTTTGGGGCTGTTTGGTGTTATTGTGGATTCCTGCGTTTGTCTGGCGACCATCGCTGTGACGGGGGTAGTACTAATTGAATCACGTTTAGTAGCAGTCGTCGTAGTCGGTCTCGGCGCAGTCGCAGTCGTATATATATATATATATATATATAAATACATATTTTTTCTATATAGATAGATAGATATAGATATAGAAACCACGGTATTGGCTCCAACAGCTACAGCAAGCAGACCTGTGCGTTCTCGGTTTCGCAGTGAAGTGCGGCAAGGGGGGCTTCCAGGGTCCCTAAACCCTGGCCTAAAGCCTAAATTCCTCAGATCTACCGACACTGAAGCAAAGTTTCTGTCATTCCGAGCCTCAGGATGCAAAGTCTCGGAGGCTTAGACTTCAACCGGACATAGTAAGCAATGTAAGCTCGAACTCCCTGAAGTAGCTTTACAAATTTCGGAATGGGGTGTCTTGAACCGAAATCCGAAACCCTAAGCCCAAATGGAGCCCCTATCAAGAGCCGCTCCAGAGCCCCCTGAGGATGATTTGCTGGATCACGCCTTATGATGCCTCTCGCCCGAGGGTTAAGGGTGTAATACAGGGGCTTCAATAATCGCCTATATACTATACTTTGGAGGCTCCTTGTTTATCATCTAAAGTGCGATATACCCAAAACCTAAATACCTATACTACTCTGGGGGTTCCTCGTTATTGCGACAGTGTGATATACCCCCACTACCTTGTTGTAATTGTTGAGGCCGTACGTTGGGGTTCAGGGAATTGTTAGGGCCCAGAGTGGAGGGCCTGTTGAGCTTCGGTTTAGGGTTTAGGGTTTTTTGGGGGTTTAGGGTTTAGGATTTAGGGGTGGGGCGTAAGGTTTGGGTGATGCCGATCCGATCCGGGGCGTGCGCGCGGCAGCCGGGCGCCAAACTCCAATCAGAGCAGTGGCATCTGCGATATCAGACTTTGCATCCCAGACCACTTCATGCAAGTATGAGGGAGCAGCAAGGGAAGCGAAAAAGTCGGAGCACGCAGACAGGGAGAGATAAGGGTTCCGACTCTCCAAAGCTTAAAGCATCCTGAAGAATTACCAATACTATTTTGGGGCTCCTCATTACAGTATAATTCCGGTATGTTGCAGCAGAACATAACCCGAAACCCTATTCTAAGTGTTGAGGCCCCAGCATTACCCCGAAGACCCTAAAGCCCCAAAGGCCATGGAATGATACTGTTCTTTTCATCTTCATCTTGCGGTCCCCATGGTGGTCCTAAGCCCTCTATATCCTGCAATGCCCCCAATGTAGGGGCCTTCATAATTGGAATAGGGTCCGTGGGTATAGTGGGAAGAGGAGGGACCCTTAATGGAGACCCCTACCCTATAATGGGCTAAGTAATGGGTATATATATAATAGCTATATCAAGGGTACATACTAGGGGTCCTTGTTAAGGGTCCCTCCTTTTACCCTTGGAGTAACGAACCCCCCAAACCCCAATTATATACTATAGTTATGATAATGATAAGGAGCCCCCAAACCCTAATGTTATACTATAGTTGTAATAAGGAGCCCGCCAAACCCTACTTTGATCATTGAGGCCCCTACATTACCTTTTTTACACTCACGTCGTTAAGACCGAAAGCGTCTACTCTGCAGTATTGCTCGGAATTTCTCGAGGACTCCGGCAACGTTCTCTACGACGCCATGTGGAACGAGACCTGCGCTCCCATGAACAACAGCCACCTGTCGGATAATATCTAAGTAGAAATTTGAGCCTTAAATCATCAACATCCCCATACCCTAAACTCTAAACCCCTGACTCTAGCCGCTAAAGGAAGCCCTGCACCCGACGCTCTAAGCCCTAAACCTGAACTCGATCCCTGCTGAGCTTATGAGATTTGAAACCTGGGAATCATGGAGCAGAGTCATCAGCCAGCGTGGGTTGGACACAGCACGGTTTAGGGGCTGAAGTTGATGGTTTCGCGTTAAGGGTTTATGGATATTAGTCCATGGCGACAGTCATGGAGTGCAGGGATTCGTGGTTTGCGTTTCTTGGCTTAGGGTTGGGGGGCTTGTGGTTCCGTCCAGACAAAGGTTTCCGCGTTTTGGCCACTTATGATTGCAGCGAACTTGCTCACGTTGGTGTGAAACAATTCAATATAGCGGCCTTAATCCTCAGAATAGGATGTTGGGGCATATCATGCTGTTATGCTATATTCGTAGCCTCAAGGAGAATATTCGGAATGATTCCGGCACTTATGTTGCTTAGCTCGCGCATCTAGGGTACCATAGTCCTTGCTAGTGTGTTTGGACAAATTCTCGTCCCCTCTAAACCTCTTCGCCACACCGACTACATTTAGATCCCGTCAGCCATGGCTCGGAGACTTGTGCTACCTGTGCTAAGGTTGCCCCTGCAACGAGAAGTGGGAGAAGCAGTGCACAAGCTACGGCTACACGTGCCTCGAGCGCTTTGGGGAAGGGTGACGCAATGTGTGCTGGGCCTTGGGATGTAGAAGCACTCGTGAAGGTTGCCCCAAATGCAGCGGCAGAGAACCGCGATGCTCAGAGCGAAACCGCAATTGCATTGTGTTGGAGAATGCCAAAAGACCCAAGCCGTACGTCATCCCAGGTTCTGTGAGGCCAAGACGAACAGCTGTGGCTTGGTTGGCACATACACTTCTAATGCTGTAGTTGTTTCTCTGCTCTCTTCTGTTCAGACACGTTCTAATGGTGGGGTTTGGGAGTGCGACTTGGGTCGTTCATGACCCGTCTGGTGGTAGTGCTGGTGCTGGTGGTGCTGCTGCTGGTGCTGGCACTGCTGGTGCTGCTGGTGCTGCTGGTGCTTGTGCTGGCACTGGTGCTGGTTGTGGTCACTGGATCGAAAATCGGAGCCGATGCTCCATGTCTTTTCTCTTTCTTTCCTGGCTATGATAGTCTACGCACGCAACCTCGCATGCAACAGACAAGCGGCATCTCCTTCGGGCCCCGATGCCCGAAGTCTGGGAGGCTTGACTATTTTCCTCCAAATTTGCAAAGAAAGGAGGGCAAACAATCCCAAATTCATCGACATCACCGACTCCATCCTTGAGCCTAGACTCGGAATACCGCCCAGCTTCAGACGAGGTCCTGTGGATTGTGGCACTGCAGAGACGTGCTACCACTACGGGTCAGGCCCTGCCCGCTTGGGATGCGCTTCGGTTTTGTGTTGAGGAACGGGCAGGTAGGACCTGGATTCAGGGCTGCGAACCTTAAATGTCAAACTCTAAACTGTATGCTTTCGAGTAACGCGCTTTGTGGTCGCTATCCGCGGCTCCTTGAATCCCAGTCTGAGTGCTTTCGGATTGAACTCGTCAGTACATTGCTTCGGGTTGCCTCGACTATGTCGGCACAAGTCGGTGATCTGGTTCGATAGGTTCACGTTGCTTGTGTTTGGTTCAGCGAGTGCATTTCGCTGAGTCTTGGTGGTTGCACAGCGAAGTTTGCCGAGACTTACGGTTGATGATGTAAATCCTGGATTGCCCACAATAAGGAGTATACCATAGTTCCCATAGTTTAGGGTCCTTAAGGTAATGCAGGATTCATATCATCAACCGTGTCAAGTGCCAATGAAGCCAGAGATCCGAGGCCCAAGCCCCTCCACCTCTGACCTGCCAAGTGAGGGGACGTTAGCTTTAGACTCCCATTTCGAAGCTTCAGCATATTCGGCTTCAAGTGCCTTGTGCCCCAAGGGCTCTAGGGGCTGCGGCCTACGTCCTGGGCAGGCAACCAGACTTGTGCGACGGATTCCGGCTGTGTCTGTGAAGCCAGCGAGATCAGCTGCAGCAATCCGGACAGGGCGCTCTAGGGTTGTCCGCACTGCTGCTCAATGTGGGAGTTTCCGAAAATTAGGGGTACCTTATTTGGGGGTCTTACAATAGGGATCCTACTATGTAGGGTACTATGTTAGGGTCCCCTATTTTCGGAAATTCCCATGTAGGGCTCTCGGTTTGGGGACTTCTAAGCATCCCATGCCCAGGCTCCTTGAGCCCTGTTCCGGCATTCGGAAGGTGAGGAGTAGGGACGACGGGTCGTAGAGTCTTGCTCAACCAAAACACGCATGCCAAGGCCACAGTGAGGTAAGGTCTCTAGTGGGTCCAGTCATAGGCAACAGGAGTGCTGCGAGTTTCGGCTTTGAAGAGGGTGAAGGAGTCAGAGTTGGATATTACCTAGATCGTCCTTGTTCAGGCTCTGGCCATCAACTAAACCCTAAACCCAACGTGGATTGGGACTTAGTGACTCGGGTTATAATAAAGGGATTTAACAACGCGGGCTATAAATAATTGAGGTAACTCTCCCCGGAGTCCCTCTGCTGGCAGGACCTGTAGAAAGAAGCAGCTTGATGGTCAGACTAGGGCCTTGGGGGATGAATGCTATTCGAAACTACTCTGAAGGAACCCTAAGGAACCCTGTTCTCACCATGAACGCTCGTATATTATGCTCTATGTGCAAAAGATAAGGTCCTTGTCCAAATTACAAGGTGAGGCTGACCTGAACCATTAACCCAATACCGTCATGAAGTACCTCTAGTCTCCATTGTAGTTCGTTTTGGGAGTTAACTTGTAGGAGCCTACATATATCATCGGTTAAACCAAAGAAGTTCAAAGAAGGAACTACAATGGAGACCACAGGTAAGCCACAGGCCGTAATGTAGCGTAAGAAACCCTAGAGCAGGACTCCAACAAACCCTGAACTTAAGTGATCCGGGTCTACTCGAATCGAAACCTTTCGGAGGACACCGGCAAGACGGAGTGCTATCCCACGGTGCCGCAGCAAATCTTTAAGCTGTGGGGCTTGAGATTTGGTGCAGGGGTCATTAGCATTTAAGGATGAGTATGTAGGGGCGGAGGAGTTGTGAACACGGAAGGATGGGGGCTCCTATGTCGAGTAAGTTCGAGATATACAATGCGGACCCCCAAGCAGAAGTAAGATTCAGAAGCCCGAAGCCCTCTTCCCTAAGCCCCAGATTAGAAGGTGGTGGGACGTCGCTGAGCACCGTCACAGCGTCTCCCCGTGTGCTAAGGCCAAAGTCTTAGCTCACACATCGCACATGTAAGCAACGATGGGAGTGAAGTAGTCCTCGTCGCCAGCAGCAGGAGGGGAGGTACGGCGCGGGATTTGCAGTAACAGCCGAAGAAGATCCTATCTTGAGTTTGTAGTGTGCCGTCACTAAACCGAGCCTGGAAGATGCAAGCGGGGTCCGGGTCCGGGAAGCCTTCTCGACAACATTCATCAGAGTATTGTTTGAATTGGATCCGTGCTCACACTGCGGGATCCTCTACCTCGAGAGTTCGACATTCATCCATGCTGAACTTGGGCTGAGAGCTTGAATTTGAGGCCTGGCCTCCATCGCACTTATTGATAGATAGGTCAGATATGCTGACGTACTAAACTAGCATGACATATCCGGAATGTGTGTGCAGAAGGCTTGCTTGATTGTCAGACAGTCATATTGGCCAGCCATTCTCTCCGAGGGCGCACATAACACTTGTCACAACAGATCAAAGCTTCGGGTTTGGGATGTTGAAGTTTCAGTTTGTGTTAGCCGGATCAACCTACCTTCGTCCGATCATCTGCATGTCATTGTGGCGATTGCCAGCATGCTTACAGTTAGACTTTTGTGTATGCTGTTCCATTACGCTTCGCACCCCAATTGTTTCGTACTCGCCGTTTTCTGACTCAAGTTGAGCTTCCATGATTAGTATCCGTTGCCCGTTCCTTCTCACTTCTTCTTCTTCTTTTCTGCAGGACTGGTATCCTTCCGGTTGCCCTGTCATCTGCAAGATGTCGGAAATGCACCCTTCGCCGGTCCAGGGTTTTGAGGGCTTGTAGACCTATAGGGGAGTTTCTCAAAACAGGTTTACCTTTTTTGGGGGTCCTTATAATAGGGATCCTACTATTTAGGGTACTTTATCAGGGTCCCCAATTTTCGGAAACCCCCATAAGAACCCTGGACCCTCAAAGAGCCCTTGTAGAACCAATCTGGAACCCTTGCTGAAGCTGCTTACAGGACCTGACAGAAGCCTGATGGAAGCCCCTAGAACTTGGGTACGGCACCCACTCCGTAATAGTTGAATAATGGTGTGAATATCCATATATTTGGACCTGAATAGTAGCTCTATTATAGACTCTTACTGCAATGGGGCTGTCCCTTCGGGAGACTTTGACTGGGAAATCTCATGGTCCACTTTAGGGGTTTTAGAGCGTTGAGGGTTTGGCGTTTAGGGCTAAGGGATGATGATGACCATTCAGGTCTGAATTCGTTGTTGTGTTTTCGGATCTTTTCGATTTTCGATCTGTCTCTTTGTGAATAACGATAGGGATAAGGACTGCCACAGCGCCACGACCTTTGTGTTTCTTAGAGTCGTGTGTGATACATTCTTTCGAAAAATGTGCGGCGGCTGAGCCTTTGGGGCTTTAGGGTACCCGAAGCTTTAAACATCTTCAAACCCTCAACCCTAAACTTTACCTAAGCCCTAAAAATTAGTAGCCTAAAGCCAAAACCCTAAACCCTACACCCTAAACGTCAGCAAAGCTTCAGGGCTCGCGGGTGCACTGACAGCCGCGCCTGACGATATGGGAGTTTCCGAAAATTTGGGGTACCTTATTTTGGTGTCCTTATAGTAAGGATCAAACTCCTTAGGATGCAAAAAAGGTTGCGCCGTTGTCGGAAACTACCATATTCTTTTCGGCTGCTTGTTGCTTCGCTTTGAGCGGGGCCCCAAGCCCTAAACGTCTTTGGTAATACTATATATGAAAACTAGGACTCAGTAGGAGGTAACAAGTAATAGTAGTAGCAGTAGTAGTAGTAGTAGCAGTAGTAGTACTAGTAGTAGTAGTAGTAGTAGTAGTAGTAGCAGCAGCAGTAGTAGTAGTAGCAGTAGTAGTAGTTGTAACAATAACACCAATAATAATAGCAATGGTAGCAGATGAGCATGAGGCTTTTGGCAGCAGAACGTTCAATGTCCAGGACTCGAAAGCTTGGACTGAAAACAGAAAACCATACACCACACTATCCCTAAACCGTTTGGAAGGCTCCCTTATGGAATCGGATCGGCCGATACCAGGGGGGTCAGAGTCCTTAGCCCGGAAGTTTGGCAGCTCTCATCAATGTTAAGATTCATGTGAAGCCCCACATCTCCAAACAATGATCGCTAAACCTTGAACTGCAGCGTCACCGTGCTCTGGGGCCTTAGGTGATGCAGCCAATGACACTGAACTTGAGTGGTTCAGGCTGTTTGCGGTCAGGATTTTAGGCTCCTATAGAAGCAGGTACTGCTCCAACGTGTCCTTCGACGCTACTACCGGTATGATGCAACTCGGCAGCCAGAGAGAGCTGACAGTGAAACAGGCACCGCTGCTGCTCTCCTACCACTACTGCTACTAATTACCACTGCCACTACCACGACCCCACCACGACTACGACCACGACGACGACTACTTCTGCTACTGCTACTGCTATACTCCTACTACTACTACTACTACTGCTACTACTACTGCTGCTGCTGCTGCTGCTGCTACTACTAGTGCTACTACTGCTACTACCACTACTACCACTACTACTACTACTACTACTACTACTACTACTACTACTACTACTACTACTACTACTACTACTGCTACCATACTACCAAAAACTATTATATACTACTGTATACTACTATGTACTACTATGTGCTAGTATATACTACTACATACTACTACTACTACTACTACTACTACTACTACTACTACTACTACTACTACTACTACTACTACTACTTCTACTTCTACTTCTACTTCTACTTCTACTTCCACTTCTACTTCTACTTCTACTTCTTCTGCTGCTGCTGCTACTACTACTTCTTCTGCTGCTACTACTACCACCACTGCTATTGCTAATGCTACTACTGCTACTGCTACTGCGGCTGCTGCTACTGCTGCCTGAGAATCAGCGACTGAAAGCTCCAAAGCAGCCTCGCGAGATTCAGGTCCTGGCAGGACTATTGCCTGGATGGCGACACTGGTCCACTTCGGGCAAGCTTTTTGGTAGTTTTGCTGTTTGCTGAGGAAAATCCCGTCATGGTTTTGCTGGTGAGGATAATGATGATGGTGGTGGTGATGGTTACGGTGGTGTTTACGACGATGTTGATCACAGTAGTTGTGGGGAGTTGCTTCTGTCGTCAGCAGGGGACCTCTTTTTTCTGACCCCCTGCATCTTTTTTTTGACCCCCAACCCCGGGGCAGCCCCGCCCCCTCCCCCTGCCGGCCCCAGTTTGCTTCCGATCTGCATTCCAACCCCCTATGTCTTTTTCTGACCCCTTATGTCTTCCCTCAAACCCCCTAGATTTACCCGTATCGCGATCCCGATCTCGTGGGTCACCCTCTTTTATCTTTTGTTTGACCTCGGAAGTCCCTTCCCCGACCCGGCCGACCTGCCCCCGCAGCCCGGCTAACTGGACAAGGCCGAGGTCTGACGACTGATGAAGGGGTTCCGTCCTAAACCATATACCCGCAAGCTAAGCCATGAAGGCTCCAGCGTGGGTACGGGCTGCGCGCCACCCCTGCCTGTGAGCCGTGCAAGCTTGCTTAAACGCACAGAGTTCTCTTGAAAGCGCATCATTGGATCATTGCGTTTCAGAAAAAGTGTTGGCAAGCAGAGGTTATCTTACGAAAATATAGAGATGTAGTGGATACTGGTGGAGAGGGTTGATATAGGGGTTTGCTTGCCTGACGAAATAGCGACCCAAGGCAAAGTAGAGTTTTGATATGAAAATTGTGTTGAATCCAAAGCTTTTCGAATCAAAGGGCTCGGCTCTAAAATTCGCACGTCTGTTTCTGGCTTTTGCAGGCACCAGCAGAGGGCCGTTCCCGGCAGGGTTTCATAGTTGAGGGGGGTTTATAATGGGGAATGACGGTTCTTTTTCGGACCTTACCAGGCCTCGAATGAAGCGAACCAGCACGAATGCCTGCCTCTTCTTAGAAGAGGCTGCCCACCCAGCAACCCCCACAATCCGTAGTTCGAGCACTGTGCTTGCAAATGGAAAAGGGGGATGCACCGGCCGGAACTGGAACTGCCCGCGGCAACCTATGGTGTGCATCACCACCCATGGACATCCCGCCATGCGAACCTGTGTAAATCCTGCGAACCCATTCGAAACCCACGCCGGACATTCCTTGTTTCAGCATTGTCCTTACGACGAATCCTTTCAGCGGCTTTGCAAAGGGGGAAGGGGCTAGCCCCCACAGAAAACCCCTGTCCGCGCGCGAACCGTTACCGTTGTATGAATGCAGAAAGCCAGCAGCAAGCACACATGAAGCATGCAAACTGCGACACCTCAGCACCCACGAAAGATCCGCTGCTCTGTCCCTGGTGAGAAGAAACACCTCAAAGCGCAATTGGCTCAAGGTAAACGGCATGCACGAATCAAGACTTCCATTGCCGCATCCGTACACAACTCTCGCAGAAAAGGGATCCAATCTGTTTGTCCAAAGCCCGGCCTTGCATTCAGACCTACAGCCGGTCGCAGACCAAAGGCTTGCAAGTGGGGGACATCTGAAACTTCCGCTGCTGGTAGTGCAAAGCCAGGTACACATCGCCGCAACTGCAGAATAGGCTGTGAGTGCTAAACAAGCATTCATGCACCATTCATGTCACACATGTGAGCGTGTGGCAGGCTTTCGAAGGAGTCTTCAGTGTTAACGGACCGGATGGCATTCTGGACCAAAGGTCCCCCAGTCGTCCTGAGATCGTTGGTGCCCCAGCCGATGGAAAAGCAGATCGCCCGAGGCCGCCTGTGCTTTCCGAGTTGCACAGGTGGTAGCGGAGCCGTCGGAAGCGCTTTGCTAACTGTAGAGTGCTGAGACGCGCGAGAACTTTGCTGTTGGATAGATGAGTGCAGCGAACCGGGATGATGACAGACCGAAGTTGGACCGCTTTGATGGGTCTGACGTGGCGGCCTACCGTAAGTGGCGACGGAAGGCAGAGCTGATGCTTATGGCTCTCCCTTCGACGATAGGAAAGGAGAAGTGGGGCGCAAAGCTATGTGAATACCTCGCAGGAGAAGCCGAGGAGGTGACCGAGGGCATCGAGCTGGCAAAGGTGATGAAAGAGGGAGGCCACGACCTGATCTTCAAGGCCTTGGATGCTCGCTATGGTGACCTGGAACAAGATGCGCTTCAAAAGTATCTCAACGAGTACTTCTTCAAGACAGCGATTAAGCCCGGCGAGACCTACCGGAACCTCACGATAAGGGTCGAGACGGCTTACCGCAACCTGCAGGAGGTCAAGTTACAACTTCCGGAAGAGGTGAAGGGATGGTTCCTTCTGAGGAAGCTTGGCCTGGATCGGAATTCCGAGGCCATGATCTTGACAGCTACGCAGGGAAGCTTGAAGTATGAGGACGTGAACCGTGCTGTGAAAGCGGTGTTTCCTCGCGGGCAAAGTGGTTCAGCAGCTGCTCGAGCCAAGGACGTGTATGCGGCTGATGAAACGGCCGGCGAGGAACAGACCGAGGAGGCGGGCCACGATGACGAGAACGAGGTGTTTCAGATTGTGGCCGACCAGATCCAAGGGCAAGCCGAGTATGATGAGGAGGACGCCTTGGATGTGCTAGAGACTTACCAGGACATAAGACGCAAGATGCAGCAGAAGAAGGTTGGGCGCGGCTTTCGACAACCGAGCTCAACGTGGAGTTTGTCTGGTACAGTCAAGGGCCGCTTGGAACAGCTGAAGCAGAGAACGAAGTGCTTTTCATGTCAGCAGATGGGACACTGGAAAAGGGAATGCCCTCGAAGGAAAGGAGGGCCTGCTTCCTCTTCTGGGAAACCGAGCTCGACCAAGGACGCCATGATCACCGAGGAGGGTGGCAGCCATGAAGGGGAGTTCTTTATCCCAACAAGTCAGATCGATGACTTGGATGTGTTCTTGGTGGAAGGCAAGGATGGCGAGGTCGACATCGTCGTCGCCGACAAGGATGAGCTTGGATGTGCTGATGTGAGTGCCGCAGTGGGGGATCTTGATCGTGAGCGGCTACTTTTCCAGAGTTTTTGTGAAAGCGCACCGGACGCTGATCAGCTGAGCGATGCATATATGGCTGAGAGCGGTGCGTCTGTAGGCTTTGCTGATTTGTCATCTCATGCAGTTCCTGATACCGCGTGCCGTAGGACTTTGATCGGTGAGAGGGTTCTCGAGGGTTTGATCAAGGAGTTGGGGGCTCGCGGGTTAAAGGTCAAGCATTTGAAGGAAAGGCATGAGTTCAAGTTCGGCAATGCAGGCAAGCTTCGCACTTCGAGTGCAGTAGTGATACCTGCTTGTATAGGGGGCAGACTGGTAGCTCTCAAGGCAGCAGTGCTACCAGGAGCAGGGGCTGAGACACCACTCTTACTGTCGAAGGAATGTCTTAGGGGGTTGAAGGCTACCTTAGATATGGAGAATGATGTCTTATATGTGGGTAAGATTGGGGCTAGGATAGCTTTGAAGGAGACTGAACGGGGCCACTATGCGATACCCATTTTGGGTTTTCCTCAAAGAGCTCAAAGTGATGGTGCCAAGACGGTGATGAATGAGGTCCATGTGGTCAATGAGTCCGACGTCGCAGCCACGGTGAGCAACAAGTCAGTAGATCAAGAACCCAGCAGTCCCAAGCCACCTCGACCGCCGCATGTCGTCGGGAAGCAAGATGGACATGACCGAGGTGGACCCAACACTGGGAACGGCGTGGCGGTCGGACATGAAAGCCACACCATTGATGAAGGAGCTCGTGGAGGCACTCAAGCCAGAGTTGGAGGACGAGTCGGAGACGTCGATTCCGGCCAAAACCCTGGATGCTCTAGAGGATCACGACGACGACGAGCCAGGCGTGCCCGTAAAAGGGACGGAGCTGATGACGATCGGGAAGTATGCCAAAGCAGGATTGGTCAAGGACTTCCAGACCATCTACGTGGAGGACAAGGCCTATGTGCAGTGGATCCGAAAGTTCGTCAAGACGAGCCGGCCCAACTCAAAGGGGCAGTCGCCGACTACGCCAATGATGAAGATGCGGCTCTACGTGGCGTGTCGGGATCAGCTCAAGGACCAGAGGGTTCGTCTCGAGCAGCAGGTGCCGCTGACGGTGGTCAAGGAGTTTCCGTTCATCGACCCCAAGAAGGAGAAGAACAAGGTGCCGACACCAAAGACAACAGCGACGAGGCAGCCCGCCGCTTCGAGCGATGGCTATGTGGGCTGGGAAAAGGTGTCAGTGCCGATGACGGAGTCCGAGAGCATGCTGGTCAAGATCGAGGAAGCGAAGGCGCCCCAGAAAGCAAAGGAGGCCGTGCTGGAGAAGATGATGCAGTTGCAACTGGAGCTCGAGACGCTGGAGGCCGAGGACTAGAGCCTGCAGACGGAGCTGGCAGTATGAGCCGTGTGGAGCCGGACCAAAATTCTTCTGTCATGACTCGGAGCGAGAAGCAGATTTGTAGAGCCGGGTTGAGTGTGATAGGGGATAGTCCGGGTAAGAGCTTAGGTCAGGTTTGTGGTGACTGCGGTTCGAAGCTTGATCTGCTTGAGTTGTTCCGAGGATGTGCTGAGCAAAATGCTCAGAAAGTGGGGCTGTCCGCAGGACATGTGTTGCGGCAGGACCACAAGTTCGAACGACACCACAGTTTCTTCGGGAGCCAGTTGAAAAGAGAGGTAGTGCGACAGTTGCAGGAGCTGAAGCCTCGGATGTTTGTGTGTGTCATGCCACCCCAGCTTAGAGCGATGCAGTGTGAACAAGCCAAGCGAGATCGTTTGTACTGCAGTAGCTACTGTGAACTTGTGAATGCAGTTGGCGTGTGTCAAGACAGTCAAGGTGGTCTGTTTGCAATGGAAGTGGGCAGCGACGCTACTAACCATGGAGCTCTGTTGCGTAGAGACGGAGTGTGGTGTGTCAACATGCCAGATTTGCAGACCAAGTGGGTGACCAATTGCCGTGAAGTTGTGGAGAGAGCGAAGAAAGGATGTGAGAGTGAAGAGCACCGGAGAGAGGGAGAGAAGG